GATCTCACCATCGAACTAATTTTCTTTTTTCCATTGACCTCATATCTTGTCAAAAGTTTTTCTACCGTACATTTTGCGCCCTCACTATGTTTGGGAAGGGGGGTAAATGGAAGGGGGGTGCAAGTTTGGGGGGTAAACACAAGTTCCAAGGTGTTTACCCCCGTTTGGTTATTTTGTAACAGTAGGGGGGTGCAAAACGTGAGCGTAAATTCACTATTTCGGCTTACCCCCCAAATTGGGGTGCAAGGGAAGGAAGGAAGGGAGGGGGAAGGGGGAGGAGGGAAATTATGGATTTTTAATTAGATTATAATTACATAATAATTAATATTATTAATTTTTTCTTATATCTATATTAGTGTAGAAGTTGTTTGGGGTTGACCATTTGACTCAGAGAGCAAGTTTGTCAATGTTCGCCTAGTCAAATCGATATCTCTTAGTTGACCCGAATTTGCATTGAAAATTAGAGATAAGAAGCGTTTGTTGAAAAGATAGAGAGGGACAGTTTAGTTAACTCGATTTACTTTAATAAGTAGTTAAAACTTACAGATTCGAACGTGTTTGACTAAGTTTGACCATATTCAATTTAAAGTTAGGCACGAGAACCCCCTTAGGATGACCAGTTACGAGTTGGATTTCGAGTTTCGAGGTTGCTCGATCAATGATTATTATTATTATAAATAATTATATTTGAGCATTATTATATAATAATTTTTTTTATTAATTTTTTTTTATTTATTATTATTATATATTGAATTTTCATGTTATTATTTTGTGATAATATTTTATAAATTGATAAATCTATTTTATAATAATATAATTACTTACTTTTTACTCTATTTGCACCCCCCTACTTTTTCATCCAAACAACAATTTACCCCTCCACTTACACCCTCCACCAAGTTGCACCCCCCAACAATTTACCCCTCAACTTGCACCCCCCTCGAACTTGCACCCCATGTTGCCAAACATAGTTTAAGAGAAAAAGAGAGAGATAGTGAAGAACATCGTTTGACGGAGCATCCTGAAAATTTGTTTGACGACCAAAATGACTGGGAACATTATTCAAAGATCCATATATACTCTGTCGGCGCAAGTGGTAGGAATAAGGAACTTCAAATGAAGAGCATCCCTTCACTTTAACAACACCCGTTTAACAATATTTTAACTCATAAAGGAAAAGGAATTTGGGAGTTGTATTGTATGGAATCAAATCATCGTAGATAGATATACATAGATGGTGGCTGTGGCTCTTATTGGTTGATCACAGAACCTAAAGGGATCCACTAAAATGAGAACATTGATTGGGTATTGACCAACCCATTCAAAGCATATATAGGTTCGATATGATTGTTCCCATAATTAATAAGCTTAAGCATATACATGTATGCATATGATTATGGCCGTAGCCCTATGGAGAATTGGAGATCACGCTTTCGTAGCTAGATTGATTGAGTATAGCCAATCATTTGCAAAGTAATAATTGGCTATTTAATATTTTTCCTTATTAGTATAGAATATAGATTATAGACTATCAAATTATGGAAAGGTGTATATCTTTTCGTATAGAAATTAGTATATCTGTTACATATTGGGTTCGAATTTTGAAATTAAAAAGTATATTTATACTATAAATTCTACATAAACGCATCAAGGTATTCTTTTGATTTCTTCACGAGATATTCTAGAGTAAAAGTACGAGTCTGATTTAAATATTTTTTTCACATTGAGCTTTTGTGAAACCTCAAAAGCGTTTTTTATTACATAAATACATACTTTTTGAATTAAAATATCAGCGCAAAGGTTTTATAAAAGTACTACATAATCCTTACCGCCTTTAATAAAATTTTCTTTCTCGTCTATTTTCAAACCAAAGTAAATTAGTTAAAAATATTATTAAATATAAAGGAAATATAAAAATGATCTATTTTAGTATTTTCCTTAATTCTTAAATTTCATTTAAGTTTTATAGTGATTATATTCTTCAGCCATTTCTAATAATTTCTTATTGTAAATAGAATTTTGATAATTTATCAATTAAGCACTCTATTTATGTTCAAACCTCACTTGTCTAAAAGTTCCCGCCAAAAATTATATCCATAAAAAAAATCAAAAAGTCTAAAATTCAATCAAAAGACTATTGTTATTCCTGAGAATATTTACTACCAAGAGACTCGTAAACTCCAAACACACCAACTAACGTGTAGCTACTGTCTTACTGAGTGCTCCATCTTACTTCGCCCTAAATATGAGGAGGACGGGACAAAAACAAGAGATGACAATAATAAATCAGACACTGCATTATATTAATTATTTTCTTTTCCTTTATAAACATAGTGATGATCAAACTCCTTCTATAAAGAATTTCCACCATGTATTAGTGATAGTCACAACGTTTTCAAAAATCTCAATAATTGCAAGATTATTTATTTTAAACTCCATAAATGTTAAAAAATCACATTCAAACTTTATATGAAAAGATGTGAATCGTTTTCATAATGTTAATACCAAACCACATCAATCATTTAATCCAACAATTAAAAAATATAACCAAAGGGAATTCGCCCTAATCATGAACCTTTGCCTCACAAGTCACAATTAAACTACCTCGTTCCTCAAATACGCCCAAATCACACAAGTCATTTGGTAAATTTTATAAAATGACTCGAGAGCTTCCAAATTTGATATCTATCCAACTGCTATACGTCATAGCAAAATATTATTAAAAGTAAATCAATTTCTATGCGGTTGTGGTTGGAAGAAAGCGGTCCATTTAAACAGAGTGCAATTTCATGCGGAAACAAACAAAAGGGTTTCGGGTCGCAAAAGGATAAAACATACTAAAATTATTATGGATCACAACTTCGATTTGATATGTTCTTCTTATCCGTTTCGATTAAATTTTGAATAAGTATCGCGTTCATTTTCTATGTTTTGTTAATATCATTTTTAACCTGACTTGAAAAATTAGCAAATCTACAAATTTAGAGATAGAATTGAAATATAAAGCTGGACAATCTTATCAAAACTATCTTGTCGAGATTTAACTCTCACTCATTTTGAGTAATAGTTTTTGCCACATCAAGCAAATAATGTTGTTATTGTTTGTACATAAAAAAATGATGCATTATAAACAATACGAACATTAGAACTATATCAACCAAACTATCACGAAAACAAAACAGCTTTTTAGTCACAGACATTCTTTTATCTACCATGTTCGCAGTATACCATTAACATAATATTTACATCAAATTCTCTTAATACAACAGATCTCTCAACCTCAAACCTTTAATCTCACTAGCTCTGATAGAAGGGACAATGATTTGAAAATCGTTTGATTTTGTGAGACTGATATTGTTACGACTTACAATGTTTATATTATATTGTTATTTCATTGTTAGTTTCAGTTTTATTGACGAACAACTCAATATAAAGAATAGTTAAATCTCATTTTTTTAAAGGTAATATTGTTTAAATAGTATGAACGAAATAGTTGGATTCGTTTTTATATAGGCTGAAATGTTAGACCGCGACTTTGATTTGGCGCTAGGGGTTAGGCCTTAATTAGCAACAAATGAGATAAGCCCCACCCACAACAGTTACTTTTTGTCTGTGGAAAATAACAGTCATTAGATTCATAAGTAATCAATCAATTAAGACAATTAAGATGTGATATTATTTGGTGTTGATGATGACGATTCGATTCCCTTGCCCCCCCAAGTTGGCCCAAAATCAGTTCCGACCTCGACCGATCGATCAATCAGCTCCGGCCACTGCTGGGACCAATCCCGGTGGTGGCAGGCATCAAGTTTGCCGCTACATGTTCAAGTTGGTTTTGAGTTGCTCCCAAACACCATAAAAATGGAGCTCCCTTTTTTGTTTTGTCCTATGTTTTTCACTTTTGCCCCTGTCCCTGTGGGACATCATCTCCTCTCTCCACCACCTTCCCACATGCACGATGATCATCTTCCCCATTTGCTGTTTTCTGTTTGTTAATTCGGTTCCAACAAGAGGAGATTCGGATTACAGGTTAAGCAAACTTCATGTGCCTTTTTGGGGCATTCACAGGTGGAAAGAGGATTGCAGTGCTGCTGCAACTTTGAATCACACGTTTTTGCTTTTACCTATAATTGGATTGAACAAAAAGAAAGCATAGGTCACTCTCACTAGCGCTAGCGATCGAACGGATCGACAGGGACATTACATTAGCACTCCATCTTGTTGCTGATTATAAAAGGGAAAAAAATACTTGAGATATGGTTCCTAAAGTGAAATGATAATCTCAGATATGTGTAATAACATAATAATTCGACCAATACAGTTGCACCTTTATGAACAGTAAAAGTTAAGTAAAGGATATGTGTGTTTACCTACACCCCCTCTCCCCTGCAGCTTCATTTCAGTTTTGCCTGAATTTGGTATGCGGCCTGCCTACTTCATCCATATACGGATAGATTGCTAACTTTGCATTAGGATACAAAATCAAAAGGATAGACACGCACGTGAATGTGATCCGCAAGCGAGATTGAAACGTGAAACGTAAGCTTTATAGGACTCGGTACTCTGAATCATGAAATATATGTTTCTTCTGTCTATCGGCGGCAAAAGTGATGCGCAACAAATTAAAACAGGAGACGTCAGTTTCAGAACACTTATTGTATTGCTGTCGCTCCAACTCATCTATATGTATCTTCCGCGCAAACAAGGATGGATGGTGATCATGCACTAGATATCAAAACAGAACATGTAAGTCTGGTTGGAGTTATTCCAACACTATAGCTCTATAGCGGCTCTCCTATTAACCACAGCGTGAATGATGCACAAGAAATTGATATAGAATAGTATCACCCTAATTCAAAATTTGTTTCTTTCATAAGTTAGATCAATAAATTCTTTCATAGGTTATAACACCACCACCACCACCACCACCACCTTGCTATCTTTATCACCCCATTAAACCACAAACTAAATATCCATTTCCCTTTACTTATTACCACAATAATATTCACCACGAATCATGCTCATCACTTCATCACCTCCCTCTCTCTATATATTCCACGGCACAACCGTTCACTTTCCCTCCCACTTTCACAGAACAATAATCACACCTACAACACTAATAATCATCAACATCCCCGGCTGGCCCCCAATCTCCCACTATATAAAGCCCATCGTCCCACTTCCTAGTTCAAACCATAAAAGGAAACAACCTCAAAGCAAAGAAGAACAAAACACCCACCTCCTCTACCCTACTCCATGGAAACTGCTACTCAGATCGACAGCTTTTGGCTGCTAGTTCTAGCCTCCAAATGCAAAGCCCTCTCCAACTCCTACCAAACCGTTCTCCTCCTCCTCTTCCTCTCCACGGCCTGGCTGGCCGTCGCACTTTACCACTGGGCCAGCCCTGGCGGCCCAGCCTGGGGCGCCCTGCGTCTCCGAGCCCAAAAGAAGAAGAAGAAGTCGAACACGTGTCACATCCCCGGGCCGCGAGGGCTCCCTGTGGTGGGAAGCATGAGCCTCATGACCAACCTGGCTCACCACAAGCTAGCCGCGGCGGCCACGCGTCACAAGGCCGAGAAGCTCATGGCCTTCAGCTTGGGAGAGACCCGAGTCATCATCACGTCTAACCCGGACGTGGCCAAAGAAATCCTGACCAGCTCGGCTTTCGCGGACCGGCCGGTCAAGGAGTCGGCCTACCAGCTCATGTTCAGCCGGGCGATCGGGTTCGCTCCATACGGTGCGTACTGGACCACTCTGAGGAGGATTGCGGCCACCCACATGTTCTGCCCGAAGCAAATCGGCTCGACCGCGGGTCAGAGGTTCCGAATCGCTTCCCAGATGGTTTCGTTGATTAAAGGTGGTCGAGGGGAGAAGGGGTTTCGGGTCAGGGAATTTTTGAAGGGTGCTTCGCTGAACAACATGATGTGCTCGGTTTTCGGGCGTGAATACGAGCTGGGCGAGTCGAGTTTCGAGACTGAACAGCTGAGGGAGCTGGTCGAGGAAGGGTACGAGTTGCTAGGGAAGCTCAACTGGTCCGACCATCTGCCCTGGCTGGCTGGGCTGGACCTGCAGGGAATCCGGTTCAGATGCTCCAATTTGGTCCCAAAGGTGAATCGGTTCGTGAACCGTATCATCGCGGAACACAGAAAGCAGTCCAACAATGTTCAGAAACCAACCACTCGAGATTTCGTCGACGTTCTGATCTCGCTTGACGGTCCTGATAAGTTGTCAGATCACGATATGGTTGCGGTCCTCTGGGTAAGCACCAAAAATTTTCCTATTAGTTACTCATATATTTTTGTTGCTTATTGTGATGGGGAAATGAATAGTAGCTAGCATCAAACCACATCCACATATATATTTCAAGGAAAACAATTATACCATGCCACAAACTTTTGGAAACCCTCTTTTTGACGTGGATTGGATTCTTGGACACAATGCTCTGTCCACGAATTTCTATTTTTCAAATTGTGAATAATTAATGATGGGGGAATTTGGACGTTGATGGTTGAACCATAGAATCTGGAAAAAGATATTCGCCTGTTTTGGAATTGCTAACCGATAATTTGGATCGAGGGATGATACCAGAAAGGAGTTACGGATATTTTTTTTTGAAGCTGGAGATCGACATCGTAATAAATAAGTTAATTTCATTTATTATTTTTACAGGAAATGATATTTAGAGGAACGGACACGGTGGCGGTTTTAATCGAGTGGATACTAGCGAGAATGGTTCTCCACCCTGAAATCCAAGCAAAAGTGCAAGACGAGCTGGATCGTGTGGTGGGCAAATCCAGGCCGTTGATGGAATCCGACATTCCATCGATGGTTTACCTACCAGCTGTTGTGAAGGAAGGCCTCAGGCTCCACCCTCCCGGCCCACTTCTGTCATGGGCCCGTTTGGCGACTACCGACACCACGATAAACGGCCATGACGTCCCCGCTGGAACCACAGCTATGGTTAACATGTGGGCTATCACGAGGGATCCAGAGATATGGGCCGAGCCCCTGAGGTTCAGCCCGGACCGATTCTTGGCCGGTGGTGGAATGGAGGCCGAGTTCTCGGTTATGGGAAGCGACCTGCGGCTTGCTCCGTTTGGAGCTGGTCGACGGACGTGTCCCGGCAAGGCACTGGGTTTTGCGACCGTCGTGTTTTGGGTCGGCACGCTGTTGCACGAGTTTGAATGGGTTAATGGTTCGGAGAACGGCCCGGTGGATCTATCCGAGAAATTGAGGTTGTCATGCGAAATGTCGAACCCGCTTATGGTGAAAGTGAAGCCCAGGAGATCATCAGTAATATAATCGAAAAAATAAGGTATCGAAGTTAGTATCAAACTCCTACCACATGTGTTAGACAAAAAAAATGTAAATATGTGTCATGTTACTTCTAGTTTGTTTGGTTAGCTTCATGTTATCCATATATCTATGTTTTGTAGCGTCCGATGTTATTATATACAGTATAATGACTATATATGTGATGGATGTCTACTGTTGGGTGAGTGAGTGAGTTAGCTACTTTGCTGGTTTCATGAACAATTTCAACATGTGCCAGTTAAAATACTGTTTAACAATACTGATTTTGGATTTATATTTGGTCTCTACTCTATATGACTATATTAGCTAAGCTAATTAGCTAAGCTAATATATGGAAGATAATATTTCTTGGCGTAGAGATTAGGATGAAATGGAGATAACGTCAAGTGATTTTAGTCAATTTAAAATTGCAATTCTGTAAAGGGTTCAACATTAAGAAAAACTGGTCAGTCTTAACAGCTGCTCCCAAATTGGTCCCCAACCCCCAAGATTAACCGTTAATGAAACACTCGAAGTAAAGGAAGAACCGAGATAAATTAAACCGGAGTCGAGTCCAACAGCACATTAAAGTAAAGGAACACTCAAAGCAACAGATTTTACAAAGACCAAGAACAACATAGGCGTCACTGATCAAGAACCCTAACATATGCCTTTACCAACTCCCGGCAAGAACACAAACCCGACGACTTCTTTTACTTGGGCATCCTCGACATTGCCTTCTCGAACTGAGCCCACTTCTGGTCCAAAGTCCCCACATACCCAACCGACATCCTGATCAGCCCAGGCGAGATCCCCGCGACTTCCTTCTCCTCCTCGTTCATCTCGCTGCTGGTGCTGCTGCCGGAGCAGGACATGAGGGTCTCGTAGTAACCCAGGCTGACCGCCATGAACCCGAACTGAGTAACGTTCTGGAGCTGGTTCATCAACTTGTTGGCCCGGTCCTCGGTCACCATGTCCAGGGCCAGCAGCCCGCCAAAGCCGTAGTCCTTGTTGGCCAAGGATTTCAACAGCTGGTGCTGTGGGTGCTCCTCCAGGCCCGGGTATATAACCTTCAGGCCCATCTTCTTCATCCTGGTCGCATAAACCATTGCTCTGTTGCAGTGCTCTTTCATCCTCAGGCCCAAGTGAGGGATTCTCTCCGACAGCTCGAAGGCCACTTTGGCGTTCATCGTCGGCCCAAGCAGCATCAAAGCCCCCTGGCGCAGATCCATCATCGAGTTCACCAGGCTAGCCGGCCCACACACAGCACCTACATAAAAAAATAAAATAAAAAATAAAGCTATCGAAAGGAGCAACAAACAGTAACTAAAATCCAAGGTCGCTGGACGGGTCACGTGTGTGATCAGTGACGATAACTACTGACAAAGAGAGCATATTGGCAGGTGGGTACCCATCAAACGTCTTTCCCAAAAGATAAACGACAAAGCCCACTAATGACTCAACCTAACCGGATGTGGCCAAACCAGAGCCTGCCATCATATGCTGTCACGAGCTGCCCGGCCCAAAACGGGCTAGAGCAGACGGTCATGAAGCTCACATGTAACCAACCCAACCAACCTATTAGACGGACTGTCAAAATCAAAAAGCGCTACACAATTACACATGTTTCCCACCACGAAAATCACTTGCCACTTTTGTCCCGATTCCAGGAATCCACCTACCAATCTTACTGTTGTCATCATCAATATGTAATCAGCCGTTACATGTCTCAATTCAAGTAATCAAATTAATAATTAAAACAGATTATTTTACCAAATCATCAATTAGTAATAGAAATCGACTTTCCCTACATACGCACCGGCAATTATGTCGGCTCCGCCGCTGACGTACTTGGTAATGCTGTGAACGACGACGTCGGCGCCGAGCTTGGCGGGGGACAGCACCATCGGGGCGAAGGTGTTGTCGACGACCACGGTGAGGCCCTTGTCGTGAGCGATGCGGCTGAGCTCCGGGATGTTGGCGACGGTGAGCGTCGGGTTGGATATTGACTCGAAGTAGAGGACTTTGGTCTGCCCTTCCACCACGGCGCTGCTCACCGCCTCCAGGTCCGTTATGTTGACGAACGACGTCGTAATGTTGCATGCCCTCGGCATGAAGTGGCTCAGCAGCGCGTGGGTTCCACCGTACAGCTCCCTCGACGCCACCACGTGTCCCCCGCTGCTGCAAAGCTGCAGCAGTACCGATGCTATCGCGGACATACCTGTCCATCACCACCACCGTACATCAAATTCAGTTCAACCCCTTTTTAGTTTTTTACCCTAAAATTTGTTTTATTTACCTTTTTTTTTAAATGCGGTGGGGAAGGGAAAAAAAAACAGTGTAATTAAAATTTGTTTTAATTACCGCTGGCGGTACAGTAGGCGGCCTCGGTGGCTTCGAGGGCGGCCATCTGACGGCCGAGGTTGAGGACGGTGGGGTTGAAATGGCGGCTGTAGATGAAGAAGTCGCGGTCGGGGCCGAGCTCGCCGGCGAACATGCGGCGCATGGTCTCGGGCTCCATGACGGTGAAAGTGGCGGAGGCCTCGATGGACATGTTGACGCCGCCGTGCTCGCCGAACTCGTGGCGGGCGGAGGCCAGCGCGGCGGCGGGATCCTCCCAGACGCCGCCGGGGGGCAGCATGGCTTTCTTGGAAGGGTAGAAATCGTCGCTGTCGAAATCGTCCTGGCCACGCTTCTTGGTGGCGGGGAAAACGCAGTCGTGGCTCCTCGGCTCTGCCGCCATGGTGAAATTGGGAGATAGAGAGATAGGAAGGGAAAGGTGGAGATGGGAAATTGGTGGAGGGAGATAGCTAGATAGGAAGGGATGGGAGTTGCGATGATTGGGTTTCTTTTTGGTTATATATATAGAGAGGAAGGGAAGGGCGCGTGCCGGTGTCGGGTCGGGTAAGGAGTAGGGGTTTGGGCCGGAGCGAGTCCGTTACTATTGAGGGTTTGGAATCATTCAGAATCAGTAATTGAATTTTGTACCTAAAAGTAATAATAACAATTGAAGGATAGAGATATTATTCCTACCAAACATTCAGATGCAAGGAAAGTGAATCCATGCATTTGTTTGTTTATTTGTAATTAATTAGAGGCTAGAGATATTGCTACCAAACAGTTGTCAAACCGGTTTAGCAAGTGATATAATTCATGAATATCAAATCAATTGTACATTTATATATTATATTTTAAAATAATGTACCTATAATCTTAATTTATCTTTGAATAAAATAAAAGATAAATTATAATATTTAAATACAACATTCAAATGTTTATATTTGAATTCGTTCATTTTGTTAGTTAATTCCATCAACACGCGTATTTTGTTCATTTACTGAAAATCAATTTTTCCTGTTCATCACTATTTTCTCAATTTTGACATTTTTTTGCCGGTTTTGTCTGTTGCTTCATACCAATGGTATTTCAATCGACTTTTTGTCCGATACCAATTGAATCTAATATTACAGGCCACCATACCAGTTGTTTATTTGACAACCAAGCTCTAGAGGATAATATCTATGGGAGATATGTTTTATTAACATTCAGAATAGTTTGGGTGTATCAAAATAGTGATCAAGGGACAGAATTACCAAACACAGGTGCCTTTTTTTCTTTATTTACCCAATGGCATGAATTCTTTTACTGCGCTGCATACAGGTACAGCAGTGAATGTACGTAGACACAATGTAGTTATTTACGATTGTTGGGATGGGATTGTGAACCTAGACACAATGTAGTTAATTTGGCGGCGAAATTTTGACGAAATGGGTCAAAGGCAACACGAATTTGGCTTCCGTGGTTTGAAAACAAGGAAGAGAAACTAATGCAAAATTTCCCGAGACTTATGGAAACTCAAAATCATTCCCGATAGTATCTCTTATTGATTAATTAAAATTTGGAGACCTTTACAAATTGAAATCCAGAGTATATGGAGTGGTGGAGCCATTTTTATTCGAGGTGGGGGTCATGACACTACTTTGGATCCTCTGGTAGTTATCCACATAAAAAAAACATGCCTTTTTGTTGGTGTGGAATTCAAATCTATGACCTCTTGTTATCAACTAACACATATCTACCAACAAATTACAATTAGTTTTCGGACCTAAATGTAAATTTTATTTAACAATTTTATCTAATATTTAAATCGACTTATAAAATTAACTTACCGGTGATCACGAGAGATATAGAAAGAGTATTTTTTCCGCAAAGAACTGTGTAAGCATAACACTTTCAAGTTGAATAAGTGATAATGATAAGTCATGAATAATTTTTTTAGTACGATGCATCGATATAAAGAGTGATATAACTAAAATCATCAAAGCATTTTAAAGGGAGTAGAACTACTAAATAACTGAAATAGAATGTTATAAAGATGATAAGAAATGAATAACATTGAACTAACTCATCGAACGAATAGAACTGACGAAACTTCTCTAGGCTACAAAAATGAATGACAAAGTAAATAGAAATGTCTGCATATGTAGACGTAGATGTGAGTGGTAATTTTGAAATGAAAATCTTATACTTAGTTCTTTTTTCTCTCATAATTATGTGTATTATTTTCTTATTTATATGCAGGACCATGCTAATTAATTCTTGCCTGTCTCATTCTAATTGCATTGGATGTCCCTAAAGGGATGAGATAACTTATATTAATAGGAAAACAGTGTCGACAAGAATTGAGCCACGAGACACTGATGACAATCAAAAGATAAAGCAAGAGAGGCACCTGCATGCAGGCTCCTTTGCCCACGATATGGTTGGCTAATTTATCCAAAAAATGCTCACGTGCTTTGGCGTTCATATAAAATGGACATGTTGCTTTTTTATAAAAAAAATGGTAACATAAGAGGAATTTTACAATGCTATATAGTATTGGTGTTATAGGTTTTTGCTTTTATGGTACAATTTGAAATTGTACCTATACTTTTTGTCAGAGACGGAGCTACATTGAAGCCGGGGTGGGCCCCGGCCCCCCGGATTAGTCCCGGCCCCGAGGACCTTAAGTATATTTAGTACAAAATTTATAAGTAAAGTTTGTTCTGTAAATTTTATCAAGTAATATCTTGTGCTCTAATGGTAGCCAACCTTTACTTGTGCTTAGAGCATATGAGTTCGATTCCCATCTGCCAATTAATTTTGCTCTCCGTCTGCCATTCCCCAAACCAAACAGACACCTATTTAATTCTAATTCCCATTTACGTTGTCATTCCCCAAAACCAAACAGAGACCTTTTTAATTCCAATTCCCTTTCCTATCCCCATAATAATTCCAAGTCCCAACTTGAAATAGATAAACAAATCCTTATTTATTAGATGCTATTTTGAGTGATTTCAATGATCTAAAAAAACGTCGTGTACTTCTAAAATAATTATAAAATATTATGTTAGTTTTTTATTTAATTATTTTCGGCCCCCCGGTCTCGAAATCCTGGCTCCGCCCCTGCTTTTTGTACAAATTTTTTTATGGTATAACTTAAACTTGTACCTTTATGTTAATGGTACAACTTGAAGTTGTGAACTTGTACCATAACACAATGGTACAAGTTGCTTTATGGTACAACCTGAACTTATACATTTAACATTATGGTACAACTTTAAGTTGTACATTAAAGCACCAATACTTTATAGTATAGCAGAAGTGCTCGGTAACATAATCCTAAAGATTTCGTGTAACAAAAGATTTTGCGAACTTTGGTAGTTTTCTATTGATGAAAGAACTATGTAGTCGTAGATCTATAGCAGTTGGTGGTATATGATGAACTCTAAGTAATTGGCAGTCCTTTTCGAATCCCGGTGACACTCATCTACCATGTTAAGCACATGGTGTCCTAACTTGTGCAAACTTCAAATCCATTATTCATATATGGTGGCTTTCGTTTGAGGGAGTGTGTTAATAAACGGTATATGATTCGCGATTAGACCTCTTCCAATAATTAGGGTTATTGGGACGAGTTGGTTTATGAATTATGACTGATGATAGATGAGTGTATATAGGGAGGCAGCAGGGCAGTAGCTGCTGGATGTATATGACTAGTGTCGTGATGTTTTGGTTGTGGGGTTTGGAATCGATCGAGATGATAGATAATGGCGACAATGACCTCCAAAGGTGATGGAACTCCACTTCCTTTTGCACATGCTCCTTTACCATTTCTGCGCTACGTAACTACCCCACAAACTAATTACATAATTATAACACGATCGAGTACGGACAACCTAGGCATGAGATGAGAGGATAAGAATCGAGCTAAGGATTTGTCCACGTTCTCTCTTCTATCTTATCATATGCATTGCCATCATCACCCATCCCACCCACCTTCCTAATAAGCATGAGCCTCGATCATCATCAGCTAACTTCCGAATTACATCATCAACGTGGAGCTTTCTACATATTTAGAGTGTATGTGAATATATATATATAGTAAACATCCTATTCATTCCTGAAGCGAATTTCATTCTACTTGAATAATTCACGTCGTCGGCGATCAACCGGGAGAAACTCCCACCAACGACGGCCTATGGTAATCCCCCAGTTCATCTGTGGAAGGCAAGACAAGATTAGACGGGCGACGTCAAATCATGGCTTACTGTTTCGCCCTCAGTACCGCCGCCATTACTCCCTATGAGTCACGTAACCTTGTGGAAATCTTCTTCTACTTACTTTTGATTAAAGCTATAATTACAAATCCATAACCAACTACACATGAGAACTATTCCAACTTTGGGAGCTATTCACTTTTGAAATTCATGCTTCTCTGAATCTACTGAGACAGAAAAGGCTGCTTGCTTTTGGATCTGGTAAGTTGTTGCAAACTTATCGTGCCACATCAGCTAATGTAATCGACCAGAACTAATATAGCCCATCTGGCTTATTCTTTTACTCTGTCCATCACTAAGGTCCCATGCATCATGCTATGTCGTTTCTGCTAGGAGAAACTGCCACGCTATAACTGTTCAACTACTGTGGCTTTCACTAGTTTTACCATGCATATACAGCTGGTTCCAACTTTTCTGTTAAGCTGCAATTTTTAAGGAAGTTACAACTGAATGAACTGCCAAACACATAAATCAAGCTATATTATTGCTATTTCCACTTCTGGAAATAGCTTCCAGCCTGCAGGTACTAATTCGCCAGAGCATCTGGTTTTCAACAGACACACATATTGTCCATCATATGCACACCAATGGATCAATTCCTCTGATGCGTCTTTGCACCATTGAAAGAATTGAATTTACATCGTATTAACCTTGTTGGTATACAACATAACAATTAACAAGAGTCTAAAATTTTGAGCTAGAATTCGCTTACACTTCTAGATGCTGCACGTTACCAATGGAGATAGGGACTTGAGATGTAGTTGAACCAGCTCCCTGAAGATGTTCCAGGAAATCCATTACTATCGGATCCGTCCACGGAGCTCCAAATGGAGCATCAGCACCTGCAACCCAACCTAGATGCCCGCCCTTTGGAGTTACGATTAGCAAGCAGTTGGGATTTTCCTGAAAGAAACACCCAGGAAACAGCTCTTGTGACTATCGACTTGTTCCTCACAACTTGCAGGAGATAGAGGATTGAGAGAATAAGAAAATGCTGTGTATGCAACTCTGAAACAAATAACAGCCTATTACATACCCTGATATCTTCTCGAGGTATTCCCCTAGCAGGAGCAATTGGATCGTTGGCAGCCTGCCAATTTAACAGAGACAAACATATAATGTAAACCAATAGCTGATGCATAACCAAACAGTAATATGTATGGAATCATCCATCAACCGTAACGAAGCAGTCGACCACTTCAGCCATTAGGCCGACCACAGCATACCTACGGACCACGCAAGCAATCTGGTGGACCAAAGCATACAGGTCGACCACTCAAGCAATTAGTCAACCAGATTGACGCAGTTACCTGTTTCCTCTCCAATCAATCTCTCGGCTTTCATTCTTACTAGATCATATAAGCTAAACATGGCTTTGTTTATAGAGTATGTTTCCTAATTAGATTTCCCTTTATTTTCGTATATATAATTGATGTTGCTGTAACCTATGAAACAAACTTTTCTCTCAAACACCTACGTCTCGGTTTATCTCAGTACACTGACATTCAGATAGGTTGGGGAAGAGGATTGAGCCGAGTCTATGACTGCATCTATCTCTGAATCTGCCATTTAACTTCCAAGTAAGTTGGAAGGTTGTGCTTGCTATGAGGAGGAAAAGTCTGCTGCAGAATTTGGGAAGATTGAAGTATTAAAGAGCAGAAATTAGCTTGTTTGGGCTGCAGCGGGGATATCTTTAAATACCATGGCGCCATCAATCAGGGAGATTAACAGGCTATGGAATAATAAAGTTGTCCTAGTGATACCCCTCTCCTGAACCAATCCTGCTGCAAATTTGCTACTGCTGAAAATTTTCTGGGAAATCTCAAACAGAATGAGCTACCTATGATTATGGTTGTTGTTTGATTGTAATTAGAGTTCCTAAACTACAACTTTAGGTTGCCACTGTTTCCCCTTTCCTTTGTAAATTTTTTAACTAATTAATATTATATCACCATTATAGAAAAGAATTGAGATTTCAGAAGTACATTGATCATGACCTAAACATAAAGAGTCAAACATGAAGGCCTGCAAGTGTGTGTTACCTGGATGCAAAGAATAGGGGTACGAACATGCTTGATGGAATCCGAGCTGCTGGAATTGGAGTAGTAATCATCGACAGACTTGAAACCAAATGAAACTGCACCGTTTTCAAACACACAGAAATCAGCTAATGATATGAATCCCACAAACTTAATTGCACTAAGAATTATCAACAATATGCTTGACATACCTCGGGTCAGTCCATCATCGAATTCTCTGACTGTCCTGGCATTAGCAGCCAACTCAATGTTGAACTCACCACCCATATCTTCAAACAGAGGTGCATGCCTAAAACAATGATCAAAATCACCACCACTGTCAGCCAAACCCAGAGAGATCTCTGCCTGACAAACAGGCGAAACAAGACAGGAGAAAGAAAGACTACTTCTTGAAAATTCTGCGCAGGGACTTTGTAAGAGCTTTGTCATAGATATTATTAAAGCCCTTTCTGAAGTCCTCATCTGCAATCACCAAATTGAAAGGATTGCACAAGGACACGCCACCACTTAGGCGGCATGTCTCATCAGATTCCTACAAAATCAAAACCCAGAATTGCATATGCTATCGTCATAGGCAAAGACAACAACTAACAGCAGAAATTGCAAGGAGTCATTTGATTACCTGAGCCAAGTAATTGACAAGAATGTTGGCGCCCAGAGACCAACCAACCGCATACAAATTGGAATTGGGATATCTGCCACCCACATGAGCTACTACTTCACGAATGTCTCCTAAAAACGAAGCCGAGTAGAACTGCATTTCATCAGTTATTCCCTTTCTTTCTTCAATCATCAATGTGTCCATAAACACAGTAATCAGCTTGAAACGTGCAAAGGAGATTAGAGGGTTGTACCTGAGGAGTAGTGACAGGGCTATCTCCGCAGCCTCGGCTGTTGAAAACGACAACACGCCACCCTTTGCTTCTGGCTCTAATCAGCATATGCCTCACGTAAGAATCGCCACTCCCTCCAGTTAAACCCGGCTGCAAAGATTCAATTTTTCTTTTCTAGTTAGGGAATTAATTTTAAAGATGGAAATTGGGGATTTTTTTTTTTTGGGTAAAAGAACTACGAACCAGCAAAATGAGAACCGGTGATTCAGGAGGTAATTGGCGATCGTCGCCGGAAACCCAATCGAGAGCGACGGCGCCGTCGTCCTTGGTGCGGAGGCACTCTCGCTTGAATCTGACTTCCGGTGTGGAGCGGAAGAATGAGGCGAAGATGGTCTCCACGTGGCGATTGGAGGCGATGATTGGGTAAGCATCGTAGGGTTGGTGAATCGTCTTCAAGGCCGGGAGGAATAGCTCCCGGCCGCCGCCGATGACTTCGAGTGAAGGGTGGGGAGGAGAAGGAGAACTGTGATCATCCATCGGAGCGCCGGTTTGGATTGCTGCGATTGGTTTTGAATAGTACCGGAGGTTGCGGATTGGGAATAATGTAGCAGGCAAGGAACCCCAGCAGGCTTTCGCCATTGGGGGGGTCGCAGCAATGGATTGGAGGGTAGGTAAAGCTTGAAACTTTAGGGATATTCCTTCCCTACTGTACTGGTTCTCTGCCTGGCTGGAATGGGGACGAAGGAAAGTCGCTAAAGCAGAAAGCATAGTCAACTCACAAGTTCTAAGTAAGCGGATACGACGCCGTTCGAGTGACAAAAGAGATCAGGTCCGAATTATTGCTCACAAAACAGAACAAAACAGAGGAAAACAGAGCAAAAAGCGTCTGAAAAATGATGCAATCCGAAACCAAAGCTAGCACAAACAACAAAGCTGCAAATCAAAACAAATCTTCAGCCTTCCAGGTGGATTGTTTCCTCCGATTTCTGCTCCACCGCGGCCACGTCACCATCGTCATCATCGGTGATAAAAGCCGAAACGGGGAAAGACTTGCCGATCCCCATGGGAGTCTTGAAAGTGATCTTCTTGCTGGAAGCATCCTCCATGCTCATCTCCGAGATGGGGACCCAGAGGAACATCTGCTTGCTCTTGATCCCGCTCATCTTCTTCATCCTCAGCTTCTCCACGTAGGCCGTCACCTCCGCCGCGTAGCTGACACGTGTGTTGGTGGCCTCGAAGAAGTGGTCGTAAGGGGCCTTGAGCTTCATCCACACGAACCCGGTCTCCCTGACTCGGCCGCACTCGACCAGGTCCTTCAGCGGGAGGACTCCCTTGGGGAACCCTAGCTCCTGGAGAAGCTCGACAGAGTGGCGGTAGCATTCCTCTGCTCCGTACACCAACTCTGCACCTTCCCTCTGCCCACTACTCCGCGCTGTTGCTGCTGCCATTCTGTTTGTTCTCTTTCTGTGCGTCAATGGAGATGATGGGAATGGAAGGAGGGGATTTGGGTTCTTACATATGAGGGGGGGAAAGATGGCTGCGTTTTGGTGGCCATGGCAGTTGGCGGTGTTTAGGAAGTGGTGGTTGAGCTGCTTCACCTATATATTTAGTCTAGCTAGCTAGCTAGTTGCCATTTTTCCTTTGCTGAATTTGGCATGGCCGCTAACCACTTTACCTGTTTTACTTACTTTAAGTTGACAAGAGAGGGGCTTGCAATAGTATAGCGCGTAGAGAGGAAGTTTCGAATTCAAGGTTGTTTCCTCATCCATCTTCTCTTTTAAGCTCTTTTGGTTAGGGAGTACATATCAACAGCGTTGTTAACTTACATCATTTTGGATTCTTTTATTTGAAGATTAGTGTATACATCACTCTGTTCGTATATATTGACAATTACTTGTCCAATTCAAAATAAAATCGAAATATAAGATAAATTAGATAGAGCTTAATAAATTTACAAGAACTCATAATACATCTTTGATTCTAATTCAGAATTTAAAATTCCACAACCATTTCTCTTGTTCTTACTGGCTGTACAAATACAATTGGTTCACCAACTTATTGGTCGTCATCTCTTTCTTTTTGTTTTTTTTTTTACCTGCGAAATTTTGTGCATATTCTTGTATATGGTTGTTCATTGTATTTATAACATTCCGAACTTTTTTTCGGACGAAGATACTATCCGCTTTGGGTCGAGACCCTTACGATTTTTGACTTGGGGTGTAATTCAATGTGACTTCTCATAAGATCATTCATTTTTGTTGTACTTCACACCGAACACGTTTAACTTCGGAGTTCTCACAAGAACTCCTTTATTTCACCCCCAAAACACGTTTTATCAATTAATGTCGGTTTCATACTTATTAACTATGGATCTCTCCAGTATTTTGTCAATGTAGAATTCGCCTAAAGTGCTACAATATCGTAAAAAAACCGAGAGAAATCCAATCTGTCTGCCTGCAGTAAGCAGATCGGAATTGTACTTAGCGGGCCAACGGCCCAAACTAAGCCCATAACTAGTTCACAGCTAAAGAACCTATAAATCCCTTTGGTGGGCCTTCGAATTACATTACCCAGCAGTGCAGGCAGAGCCAGACCAATACAATTCAACTGACTGGACTTGCACTTCGCCAAACGAAAAAAAAAACTTGAAAATTCTCGTCTTCCTCAGTTGCGTTCGTCGCAGTCTCCCCAATTCCCTCGCTGCGGATCTGTCTCTCTATCTGGTGGTCACTGAACAGTGTTTCCCTCCATATCTCCATTTTCATCGCCGCTGCACTGCTGCCTGCTCTCTCTTTGGAGTGAAACCCTGCAATGTCGACGAACGAGGATCCCGAATTTCAAGATGCGTTAGAACTCCCCCCGGCCCCACCTCTGCCCACAGCCCCAGTCTCAGACTCTACCACAACAGGGCAACAAGAATCTTCACCGGAGAATGTGCCGGAATCCGAGACTCAAGCGAATCGAGAATCCCAACCGGATGCAGAAGTGCCAGAGGCCGTGGCCGAGCATGAATCAGAGCCAACACCAGCTCCTCCAGCAATTATCGATTCGGATGCCAAGGTCGAGGATGAGCCAAAAGAAGCTGCGATCCATTCCAATGGAGAGGTGGAAGCTCAATCCAATGACCAGGCGGGTCGCGCTCAGCTGCGAAAAGACGAAGGGAACCGGACATTTACGATGAGAGAACTGCTCACTGAGTTGAAAACCGAGGAAGGAGAAGATGCTGGCTCCCCTTACAGGTTTATGTTTGGATCAACGCAAAATTCTATTCAACCACAGTTCAAATACTTATTGGAATTGGTTCTTGTTCCTGATAGTAGCTTTTAAGATGCATGCTTGAAGATCTCAGTGTATGTACGATTGGATCAATGCGGATCTTTCCCTTGGTTGTTTCTGAATCTGACATAGGAATAGTTCATTTTACAAATCATGATTGTTGGCTATTAGTTTTAATCGTGTGCCAATTGGTGGAGTGATGGGACTCATGGCATTAAGATCTGAATATGTTATTTTCCTTTCAGGTGATGGATTCGAATGTAATGATAAGCATGATTTTTTCTTCTTACCATCTCAGTAGTTCATTGTATTGTTCTTCGTTGTTAATTGTTTCAGTCAAGAAACCCCACAACAACATGCAGCAGAGCAGACCAATGCTGCCATGGAGTTGATAAATAGTATCACTGGTGTGGACGAGGAGGGTCGGTCTCGTCAAAGAATTCTTACTTTTGCGGCAAAAAGGTGATCCCTTCTTCCTCGCCGTCATCTTTCTTTCTTCCGCATCTGCTGTTCTCAAAACCATGATCAGGGTGTTCATAATGACGGTTGTTCTGGTTAAATGTATTGACTTGGATTAAAATGGATGGTGATAGATTTTCATTGTGATGTCCAGCATGGTGTGAACTTAACTTAGGGTCTTTTCTTTTCTTGGGATCATTTTTGTCCATACTCATCATGTTAAATCAAAACTTGACAGGTATGCCAGTGCAATTGAGAGAAATCCGGATGACTATGATGCCCTCTACAATTGGGCGTTGGTTCTTCAGGTTTCAGACTTTACTTTATTTTTCCAATTCAGGTACCATTTAGATTTTGGTGATGTCCATTGATGCTATTTTCATTTGATTCATAGGAAAGTGCTGACAATGTTAACCCAGAATCAACCTCACCTTCAAAAGATGCTTTGCTTGAGGAAGCTTGCAAAAAGTATGATGAGGCTACACGTCTTTGCCCGTCACTTCATGATGTACGTATGGGTGGTTATTTTCTGAACCTGAGTAATTTGATGTTGGAGTGTCATGTTACTAGTTCAATGTGTACATGCTGCTATCCCTGATGGTTGTAGCCATACATCCTGTGGTATGATTTTTGAACAGGCTTTTTACAATTGGGCTATAGCAATTTCTGACCGAGCAAAAATGCGTGGCCGTACAAAGGAGGCTGAAGAACTCTGGAAGCAGGTTGATCACATTTTTTATATCAGAACTATCACTTTCTTGTCAAGTTGGAAATCCCACTGCCTGTCTAGCACAATGCTTGTATAGGAAGATAACTCATGCATACATTTGACGGAGTTAGGTCAAAGACTAGGTATTCACTTGCGGTCGGAGTAATATTTCGCCATATTTCAGAGGCCATTACAAGTGAAGTTTGTGGAAAAGTTCATTCTTGTTCATTTTTCAGGCAACAAAAAACTATGAAAAAGCTGTGCAACTTAATTGGAACAGTCCACAGGTATGTCCATCTAAAGCTTTGTAAATGCCCCCCGTAAGCCTATCATTGCCAAGCTGCATATGCTTATTTAGTTTCCTGATTGTTTAGTAATGTATTTGTGCCTTGAAATACTTTGCAGGCACTTAACAATTGGGGACTTGCTCTACAGGTAATTATAGCCATATACACGTTGCTTGTAGATTCCTTCTTCACAGAGTTCTGCTTAACTCACCAGTCCTACCTCTGGTAAATCAGATGGTTTTGGGAACAAAGTTTTGTTGCAGCAAAACTTAATTCTATCTTGATTTTACAATTCAGGAACTCAGTGCAATTGTTCCAGCTCGAGAAAAGCAAACAATTGTGAGAACAGCAATCAGTAAGGTATTAGATGTTGCATGTTGGAACAATTCGTGAATTAAAATAGGCATCTAATGACACTCCTGGGTGGGTGTATCCCTGTATCCGTTCTCAATATTTCTCTTACTCATTTTATGATGCAGTTCCGAGCTGCAATAAGGCTGCAATTTGATTTTCATCGAGCAATCTACAATCTTGGGACTGTTCTGGTACTTTTCTTAGTATTGTCATGAATGGATTGCTTTGTTCTAAGCTTTTGCCTCTTACTTTCTTTCACATCCCTTTTTTGGGGAAGCAAGATATAAGTCATCTTTGGTTATCCTTATCTAATCTGAGCGATGGAAAATGCTGAACTAGTTATGGCTTTTTTTCTGCAGTACGGATTGGCAGAGGACATGTTGAGGGCTGGTGCAGCAACAAATAATGAGTTGTACAGCCAATCTGCTATATACATTGCGGCTGCTCATGCGTTGAAGCCAAGTTACTCTGTGAGTAACTACATATTTCGTAGTTTTGGTTTGGTTATAGTTGTTTGGGTTAGTTGTGTGCTTAAACCCACTAGAAAATTGCTTTAAGTCTCAATGGTAAACTGAAATCATATGATCTTTTTTATGAAGCCCATTTTGTCTAATAAAAAACTTTGGTACTCTCTTCTTTTGTATGATGGTTATCTTCTGTTGATGCTTTGCATACAGGTATACAGCAGTGCTTTGCGGCTTGTTCGTTCCATGGTTAGTATCTCAATTTTGTTGTCTTCTGCGGGCACTTGTGGATTCAGAGGCACTATACATTGCTAACATTAGACAATGAAATAATCGGGAATCCCGAGTAACTGGCTAAGCGGCTAAAGTAACAAAAATGTGCCAAAGCTCTATTCCTTCTGCCATAAAATATTAGTATTTAAAATCTCATTGTTGCTTATTCTTTGATGCTCTGGAGTGATTGTTCTTCTGTCCATTATTAACCAAATGATAGCATTTTCTAGTTAATTATCTTTCATGGACTTGTAAATTTCTTGGTCTTCCAGTGGCATTATTATATGAACTCCCTAATTCTTTTGTGTTTCTTCATAGACTACAAAACCATGTAGTACCAGCTAGATATTAATATTATGCTTTTATTCAACTTTGTTCAAGTTGCTGAGCAGCATAATTAGAGCCATAACCAACTCACCTTATGGCTCTGCTAACCTTTGCTAGTCTACTGCTTGAGGACTTGATTTCCCTGGTCTCTGTTAAATTCTTTCATGCGCTCCTGTGGTGTTGATAATGAGGAGTTGAGGATGTGTTTTTATGGTGTAAATTGATATGGGGTTGATTGTTGGCAGTTACCACTACCATATCTTAAAGTTGGATATCTCACTGCACCGCCAGCCGGACAACCCATTGCACCTCATAGTGATTGGAAAAGGTCACAATTCGTTTTGAATCACGAAGGACTCCAGCAGGTACAAAATCATTACTTCATCTCTTTAAGAAGAATGGCATCTTGGGGTCTTGGATAATGAAGGGCTTCAGTAATGATACAATTATTTCTTCGTGTTTATAATAGATCGGTTGTCAGGCATGGATAATTGTTTAAAAATGACATTTTCTTTTTGCTCATTCCAAGCAGTATAACAAACCGGATCTAAAGCAAGCTCCACAAAACCTGTCTCGGAGATCTGCAGATGGTACTAATGATAAAAAGGCTATCAAAGTTGAAGTTCCAGATATTATTTCAGTGTCAGCTTGCGCTGATTTGACTTTGCCACCTGGCCCCGCCCTTTGTGTTGATACAATTCATGGACCCGTTTACCTGGTAAGCATAAATTCTGATTTCATATGCAACACCAAATTACCAATAGAGTTTCTATATGCCGGGGGAGTTTGGGATGACTATACATTTTTGCTCCATACTACTTCAGTTTGTAAAATCATAACCGTGTAAAGCAAATATCAGACCAAACTCATTGAGAAAGGTATGTCGAATCATATTAGATTTTAGAAGAATGAAAAGAATGGCAAAGAATCATATTATATTGTAGTAGAATGAAAAGAATGGCAAAGCAAGTTAGTTCGAAGTTTTGATAGGTCAAGAATCAAGATCCTTCTGCCATTACTGAACTGAAGAAAAGTATCACTCATCTTTTGTCTGTTTCACTATATGCAGATTGCCGACTCATGGGAATACTTGGATGGCTGGCTGGATGCAATTCGTCTCGTCTACACGATATATGCACGAGGTAAGAGCGACGTCCTAGCTTCCATTGTAACCAGCTGATTTATGAAGGTCTCTTGCGCGCACCAAAACCATAGAACGTTGTGAAATTATAACATCGTGTATCCCAATTCGGACATGTGGAATAAGGAAATTTGTAAATTGTAGACTCGCTGATTCAGCTTTTGATTCGTTTTGTGAAATTTTGCTGTATCATCGATGAAGTAAGAGACAAAGTTGGCACGTCTTGTCAGTCTTCTGAGAGTTATAATATGCGAAGTGTGGATTCTTACTGTAGATCACTCAATTTTTCTACGCCATTTTTTGTTTCGGTGGCAAAACAGTACTCTATTCTATCTACTGGTTTCTTTAGAGTCATTGCTGTATGCACCGGTGTTGAAGCTCTAGGATTACAGACTCTGTAGGGGCTTGTGAGTTGTAAACCAAGTGACAACAATCAACTTTTTACATATGCTTCAATGTAGAGTTGTAGACTAACGTTGTATGAAGAACTCTTGCCTATTTGCTCACAAACTTCATGCAGATTGGCGGGTTCACCTTAGCCAAAGCGAGAACCGCCGACGGCAGAGTCCACAGCCCTTCCCCACAAATCAACCCGGAAGCCACCGCCGGAATCATAAACTCTGCCTTCCTCGGCTTCAATTTGTTCCAAGCGTAGACAACTAAACTTCCCACGCACATATCGATGGCGAAATACGCCCCGACCAGAAACGGTATAGCCATCACCATAGGCAGCGGCATCCATCGCCCCACCACCTTCCCAGGAGCTGCGTCCCTCACAATATTCACCCCCACCGCAAAGGCGAAAAACCCATAACACAGCTGCAAGCAATGCCGCGGCAGAGCAGAGAACCCTTCCACCCCGAGAATAGCCATGTTTCTGTATATCAAAGCATATGGAGCTTTGAATTCGCCGTAAGGGTTCCCGACGTCGAACGCCTTGTAAAACAGGAAAAAGCTGAGCGGCGCCATCAAGCAGCCCATCGCAGTTCCGATCACCTGGTTGACGAACATGGCCCTCGGCGACGTCTGCGTCAGGTGAGCCGTCTTGAAGTCCTGCATCAGTATGCAGGCCACGGAGACCACGGACTTGATCAGCCCGCAGCCGGCCAGAGCTGCAACGACGCCGTTCTGTTTCCCTGACACAGCTGCGAGCACGAAGAGAGCCACTTTGCCGTAGTTGTATGCCATGTTGATGTCCGTAAGTCCGGCTCCGTAGGCGTTGCAGAAGGCCAGCGATGGAGCTAGGATGTATGCTACGACGACGTAGTACCATTTGAGCTGTGGGAATATGGTCGGAACCACGAGTGTGGATAGGATTGAGAAGGCCATGTAGCCCACCATTCCAACCCACATTGGTATCTTTTCTCGCAGGAAAAGTTCATTCTGTTTCTTATCCTCCTGGCCCGGCTCCTGAACTTCCCCTGCCAATAGCAAAAAAGGGTTCCGACTTTTAGGCCAAAAAGATTCGAACTTTACTTCCTCGCTGGGAAATGGGACTCTTTTTAATATGTTTTTAGCTCATTACCTTCTGGTTTCAGCTTCTTGTTCTTCAACCTTCCATGGACGTTGATGACAGTGAAGCTCATGACCTTTATGAAATTGTAGAGCCCATCTCCCAGGATGAGTGCGACTGAGAGGAAAACCTGTCGTCACAAGAAAACAAACCAGATGAAGATTAAAATACTGAGAATAGTTTAAGGATATTCCATAACATTGTTTTCCACAAAAGAAAGCTTTGTAACCTTGTAACCGTATAAGCTCTTCATGCTGCTTTCTTCCAAATCGGCTTCGAACCACTTCCCTTTGAGATCACCAATGAGCGGCCACATGATCCCATAAGACAGCACAGCTCCGAAAAGCAGAGAAAGGTTGACTTGGTGGGAAACGATCATCCCTGCCCCCACGTATGTTGTGTTGAAGTCGAAGAAAAACCTACCACAAAACCAGACCAATTGAGTCCAAAAAGTTGCTGGAAAAACAGAACAAGCTCGCTCAGGCAGCAAACACAGTTCCTCTGCTTACGTGTGCTTCCAAGCTTTCAACCCGAAGGTAGGGAACTGGTTGAACCCGCATTCCTCTGTTTTTGCATAGAACCACTTGAACAGCGCCCACAGGAACGACACCGAAAAGTACTTCATGAACCCACGAACCTGTTTTCTGTAACCAAAACCATAAAGATCGAAGCTTTCTCTTATTCCCATCTCTCCAACGACAGAACACCACCATAAATGTAATCAAATTCACGAATAAATTCAAGTACTTTGCCATCTTGTCTCCTCGGTTGTGGAATCCATTGATAAGAACTGCAGTCGCCAAGCCACTGGGATAGGCCAATTCCAAGTCCACTATCATCACCTGCAATTAACAAACTAACTAATTTAGTCCATCATCAGTAAAGCAATCAAACTTTTCCCCACAAACCCAGAAAAAAAAAAGCAGTTACCTTTCTCAGTGGAATCAAGACAAAAAGCCCGACAAAGCAAACCACAAAAAGGTAGCCAGTCATCCAACCGAACGCAGGGTCCTTGACAGCGTAAGGAGAGTTTCCCTCCGTGTGCAGCCCGGAAAGCTCATAGGTCTTCCTATTCAACCCCAACAGATAAGAAGCGAACCCGCCTCCGACCGTGATACTATAACAAGCTACCGCACACGTCTGGATCATGGTGTTCTCCTGTCGCGTAAATGGCTTCGCAACATACCCCAGCTTCCCGACCAGCTTGTTCCACGCCCTTATGAACACGAAAGCCAGCAGCGCCGCCGAGACGTTGAGATTTGGGACCAGGCCGGTTGTCAGGTTCAGCTTCATCGCTATCACGCTGTACATTGACCCGATCATGATGCTCACAATCAATCCTCTGGCTGTGATTTGCCGTGTCCATGGCTGAGCTCGGAAGGCTCTCTCCTTCAACGACGTTGGGTCGTCGTCGTCGTCTCCATCTTGTTGCCGACCATCTTCATGTTTTGTTTCGTGATTGTTATTAGCATCATCTTTGATTTTTTCTCTGGCGGCAGCAGCAGCTTCTTGTAGTTCCGTATTCATGGCCTACGTCGTACCGAAAATAACATAAATTATGTTCAACTTGATCGTGAGGGTGAAATTAGTGATGAAGCTCGCAATGATTACCTTTTGGTGGCTGTGGTTTTTGTGATTCCTCGATCTGCTGGAGCTTTAAGGGGGAATGGTGGATGGAGTGGATAAAACGGGTAGTAATAAATCTTTATAAATAGGAAGTTGGAAGCCTCCCTCGGCGCTGAATTGAATGGAGGTCGGTCTTTTTGAAGTGTTTGGGCATGTGGGACTTTGTTGAGGAGGAGCTTAATTATATTATTCCACTGGAAAAAGGAGGAGGAGTTCCGACGGAGGGAGGTTAAAGAGACAAGAAGGTATCTATCTATCTATCTATATGTCTATTTTTTTTAGCTCTGATTGATTGGGGTAGTAATTACAACGGGAAAAAAAAAATTATTAACTTGAGTTGTTGTATTTTTGTAAATTAATATTATATATTTCAATTACGTGTTATTTAAATTTCATGATACTATATGGGATGTGTATTCAGAACAACGGATTGATTTAGAGAAATGATGCTGAAAATTGTGTTAGAATAATTGAAAAATGATTGTGGGATATATCCTTTTTATAGAGTATGTTTTATTTCTATATACTTCCTACCCTCGATAATTAAAATTGTATCATTCTGAATGTGGATAATTATTAGTTGCATGGACCAATGTAATGGCACTCAAATACGTTAATAGGCTGTATAGTTGCATGTGTTTGAAAATATATGTTGTGCTTTACCCAATTACATGCTATTTGTTTTGCACGCAATTAGTGTAATGTATTGATTGGATTTTTATACCGAAATTTATCATTAACTGGATGCAGTCTCCAAATACTTTTCTTTCTCAATCAAAAAGTTGCATCGTTTTCGTAATATTCAGATTCTGTGGACAATTAAAATTGCACTCAAATACGATTGAAATTGACACCAATAATATTTGACTATTACCTGTAATTATTGATTACATCCTCCTTAATCCGTCCAACCTAGCAAACGACGCACTTTTTGAATCACATGTAATTGCCAAGTCCCGTATTTGTCCCTTGCATCCGGCAGGTAAGGAAAGAAAGCAAAAAGATCTGGCCAACCCAAGCAATATCAAATTAGTCCCAACAAGGATGGTAAAAGGGTACCGGAAGATGTACAAAAAAATCCATAATATAATCTTTTATATTGAAACAATGAAACTGATTCAATTATTAATATGGTTAATATTATCGAGTAACTTGAACTTTGATAAATATTTTTTCGATCGAATTATCGGTGCAATACAATTTTGTAATCCCAAATGGACGGTATTACAAAACTAAAAGGGTCATATCTATCTCTCCAGCCCCACCATATGCACCCAAATGAATTAGAATTTACAACAGTTCTTCCCGGCCGAAGGAATAATTAGGATGGGAGCTTTGCATGTATTGTTTTTATAAAGAACGCTTATCGCCATATGGGATTGCGAAGCTATCAATATTAGACCGACCTCTGATTCTCTTGTATCTGTTTTGCCGTTCTTTCCTTCCGTTTCATGGTACTACTGTAACAGTATATTACTCTGTTGAACTGTTCTTTTTTCATTGTTGGCCGGCTAATCGGATGATGACGAATCACACACATTAGTTCTTAAGACAAAAAGACAACATCTTCATTATTTTTTTCGATTCAAAATAGGTAGAAAGGGAGATTTCTTGTGTCAAGTTAGCTAGATTCCTTGTATTACCAAAAAATCATAAATACAAGGTTTTTTATAGACACTAAAGTTCTTTGGGTTTATATTTTCTATGTGCATAGGTTCTAGAAGAAAAGGTATATACGATTTTAACATACTTGTAATATTCTGCACTTAATACACTATTATCATTGAACATCTCGTCACAAGTGAATATTTAATCTATCCATGTTATCTGTCATAATCTGTCGGCACCTTATGAGAAATCAAAGTCTTTGATGGGTTCCGGAGATAATATGGTCGCAAGGCTGAAACTTAAAGAAATTGGCGAAAGGGCAACACCAGAAGCGGAACATGCGGTCCTTACGTAATAGCGTATTGATGTTGGCATGAATATATGGTGGTTTTATACAAGAAAGAAACTCTTAACTTCTTTTTTTCCAAAACAAATCATCAATAACTATGTCCGGATATTAATCGGCATTGTAACAGTACAATAGTTGTCGCGACACAACATGAATTGTAGTTCTTATAGTTATTTCGACCAATACTGAATAATTCAATCAAGAAAACGTAACATGGCCCGATATATATAAAATACAATTACAGGCACATGTACATCCTTAAAAACAAACTCGATATAATTCCATAAACATGCATGCGGTAACCCTAGTCAACAGTCATGTAGTTAAGAAGTGCAATAATGAAGGGAAGCATAAAAGAGAAAGAGATAGAAATTGTGGAGTGTGGAAGGAGAAGGGACTAGTACTTCTACAGTCCTACTGATCATGGACCTTATCATTGACTCTTAGCATCTTTTAGTTTCAGCCATTAAATTTTGTGTACGTGGTTGCTGCTCGTTTTTCTGTGTGTTTTTGGAGGATGGAATATGGATTCTTCCTTGTCGGTCACTTTCAGCAAGTGGCAGCAGCGGCTTTTCAAAATTTCAACGAATGTAAACACACGCCATTCAATTCCAAGCTCATCTGCTCGATCGATGACAATGATGATTGAACGATGAGACAGATCGATCGGAAGATTAATTCAGGCCAAAGACCAACAACCAGTAGTAGATGTAGACACATTTACTTAATTAGCTTCGTCTACCAACAAAACCAAACAAATAATACACAGGCAGAGATTTGTCAACAATGAGAAACTTTTTAAAACCCTGAAATTAATGAACTGATCTGTGAGAAGGACTTTGCAGAAAGAGCAAGGAGAGCAATTAGTGAAAGTTTGTCATGAAGCAGCGACTCTTCAACCGTGATCAATATCAATAACCTCCTTCAATTTGTCATGCAACTTGTGTATATTCATAAAGATGGATCACGGACGACGTACATAAGATTGCAGAGGGAACATCTTGGATCATATGTGTGAATATTATAGTCCAGTGTATTGTATGCATATAATAATTACAATTTGGTATATATAAATAAATAAATAAATATACACCAACTAGTGCTCAATCAGTGGCTAGCTGGGCATTGAAAGAGGCCGGGAATTGGGATCGAATGATGAAAAGGAGATGGTGATGTGGGCTCGTCTTTCCATCCTTTGGATGGATTATATTCATTCAATATGAAGAAAGCAGCCAGCAAGCCCCAGTTTGAAGAACGTGATTCCCTCCACACCTATGTGCCTTTGAATCTAGCTACTAGCTGCTACTATACGTGCTATACGCAATTGGGGAATATAATATATAATATATATCATTATAAATAATTAATCATTCACGAGTTCATGGTAAGATATGATAAAAAGGACTTTGTTTGTTCCAATTTCGAAAGATGTTTGAGTCAATATAAACTTCAAAGGAAAAAAAAAATTGAAAGATAAAACGAGTTAATCTCTTGATCGGTTGATCTCAATCCAGCCGAAATATCATACTTATCTTTTTGTCATAGTAGAAATTTACTGTAATTACCCGTAAACAAAAGGAGGAGGAAGATCCTAACGTCTACCTGCGAAGTGCGAAGCAGGCGAAAACAATGATATTTCTCCCTCTCGGCCATGACTCCATGAGCCATGAATGATGTTCGTTTATTTTGAATTTGATGGATCAAAAGATTTAATTAAAAAAAGAAATTTGTGCCAACCACACGCCGATGTAGATGTGTATGGGCCCAACTCTAAAACCGGCCAAGGCCCACCACTGATCAATCCACTACGACTAATTCTCGTTTTATTCTTTCATTTGGTTTGTCGTTTCGTCTATTCCCATCGTCTTTACCTTCCCCAGCTGCCCCCTCTCTCGTTCCAAGGGGAGACTCTGGTCTGGATCCACATCTAGATATTTTTACAAACGCGCCCAAACTTGTATTAACTAATTATTGCTCACAGGTAGGTTTGATTCTACTTCTTTTTTCTTTTCGAAAGGAGGTTTGATTCCGATAAGCTTGTAAAAATCATACCACCAATATACTAAATTGATGACAGCCCATACCACTAACTAGGGAATATGCAGATCACACAATTAAACATTGTTTGTAAGTATCTAAATATCTGATAATCAGTATTAGCACAGCCTAACTACCGACACCACGAACAGCCGGGACTTGGATTTAAAAAAAAACGATATATGTTTATTTTTTAGATCAAATTTTATTGTCTCTTTGACAACCTAGCTCCACTTAATTTGGTCAAACATAATTAGTAGTTCTACTTTCTACTTGATTTCAAAGCTGAAAGAATAGTTCTACTTTCTCGTCATTTGGTTATATATTTTATTCAAAAGGAATGAAATCTAATTAAAAAATAAATTTATGTTTTTCTATTTTTGTTATCAATAATTAAGGATAAAATGAGTAATATATATACTGTGGCGTCTTCGGTGCACTCACTTTTTTGGGTGCATTCAGTGCACTCGCTTCATAACCGTCATTTTAAACATGCGATTTATGTCAAAATGATGTCAATCATCACTTATGGTGTGATGAACAATAACGCACATGAATTTCCACAAAGACCATTAAAGATTTATTTTAATTTGAAGGATTTAGAGTTTAGGGGTTTAGGGATAGAACTCAAAATTGGAGGTCTAGGGCTTAGGGTAATCCTCTAATTAGTTCTTATCATATGTTATATCATCATATTACACTAATTCTACAAATTAAAATTCAAAATCCGACACCTTAAGACTAGTTTTTGAGTTGGGTGCATTGAACACAGTCATTTTAGTGAGTGCACCGAAGTAGTCACCATATATATACATATATTTTTTTTTATGAATTGAGTAATATATTCTAAACAACATTAATAGACTAAAATAAGTTAGAGACTCGAATAAGAATTGTAAGAATATTTTTCAACACCATGAAAAATGGAGTCCATGTCATATGAAATCTACACCCCTTCCATGATACTAACTATTTCATATATAATCAAATGTGAGACTTTACTCGTTTCATCTCTCCACCATTGTTTCATAAATGATAATCCATCGTCATGAGCTGGTTGTTACACGTTACAACAACTTAGACGTATCATCCGCACTACATGTATCAGAGAAGGAGACGCTTATTAGTTATTAGATGGCCCATCGATTCAAGAAAACAGAGGGCGGTGTGCTGATCCTGGGCCTATCCAACTTCTTAATAGAAAAGCATAGTCACAATCCTAATGGGCCGGGCTGAAAAGAAACAAACACTTCGGCCCGTTACCCTACTCGCACAACTCTGTATACAACAGCAGCAGCAGGCCAGCTGGAAGTGTCCCTAACACGCGGCAAGGTCGTAAACAGGTGGCTCCAACAAAGCGACAAAACACGAAAAAGATCCCAAAACCGACTTTGTCTTCTAGTGGTCGCTCTGCCGCCACCGGTCCCAAACAAAACCCGCGTGCTCCTCACCCCCAGAATTTCCGCCAACCCTCCGCCCGCCGTTTGCTACAAAACCCATCTCCCCCTTCTCTCGCATTTCGTAATCGAAAACTCCAAAAAGAACATTAAAAAAAAAAAAAAAACGAAACGCTCGTCACAGAACATCGCAAGATGTGCCGAACAACAGATTTCGACGGATTCAAGCCCAGAAGCAGGAACCCTCTCAACATCAAAGCCTTCTTCTGCCGTTTCTCCGGCTTCCACCGCCGCACTTCCTTCCCGGACTCCCTCACTCTCCGCTTCCTCCCTCGGGTCAACGGCACCGAGCTCCAGATCGACGGATCCAAGATCCGACCCGACTCCAACGCCTTCCTCGAGCTCCACAGGCTCGTCGACGTCAAGGCGACATCCGGCGAGGCGGTCTACGGGTCGAGGGAGCCGGTCAAATCCACCGCCGGGGTCAGCTTCGAGGTCTACCTGCGGGACGACAGGGTCCTGGAAGGGATCTTCACCAAGGACGAGGAACACGAGTGGAACCTGGAGTGCAGGTGTCGGGTCGAGAATGCCGTCCTCGTTGGCTGCGCTGCGGCGGCGGCGGCGGATGTCTGCGTGGCGGTGGCGGATCGGATGGCGGCGCTGAGCGAGAGAGTGAAGTTGGTGGCCCCGCCGAGGAGGAAGAAGGGGAATTGTCGGAAGGTGCGGCTTGACAGGCTGGTCGTGATCCCCGAGGACGCGGAGGATGATGATGTGGATGATGAATTGGCGGCCGGTCCGTGTTGCTGCGACTGCGATGGTAGTGGTACGGATAGCGGATCTAGCGGTGGTGATTGGGAGGAAGTGAGTGGGCCGGGGTCGCCAGCTAGTGATGAGGAGGAGATGGACTTGGAGGGAGTTGGATGGGCCGTGGATGTTGGGCTTTGGGTCATGTGTTTGGGTGTGGGCTACTTGGTCTCTAAGGCCTCAACCAAGCGACTTAGGCGGATGAGGATACTCTGAATCTTGGATTCAAGGATCAGATTCATTTGTTCGTAATTGTAAATACCGGAATATACACTGACTAAACTTACTTACTAGTGAGTTGTAAGTTGTAACCTTGTTAGAGATACTCTTCGGTATTGTTTAAATCGTGTTTGTAGCTTTACTAATGAAGATGCACAGCCATTATTAGTGAGCTTGGAAGGAACTCGGTGTATACCAACGTGAAATCGTATCGAAGGTCAAATTCAGTTAGTTATGGACTTAGGGTGAATGCTCGTGGATCCTTTTTTGTTTTTTTAGAATTCACTGATGGGATTTCATTGAAATCAATGATCAATTGCCTCAAGGGCTACAACATCAGCTACCATTAAAGGCAAACAATCATTCGTAAAAAGAGTTTCATAAGAAATAGCAGTAAGATGAGCTAGGAGATGAGCAACGTTGTTAGCTTCTCTATAAGCAAAAGACCGTTCGCGAACATCCAACTCTTTCGACTCCTTCATAATGTCCGAGCAAATATTCCCCAACTCAGTTCTACAGATCTTGCCTTGTTTCAAGAGCTGGACAATTTTCCTGCGGTCAGATTCCACAACAACGGGTCCAAGCCCCCTCTCCTTCACCAATCTAATTCCATAGAGAACAACCATTCCTTCTGCAACATCCGAAGACCACTCTGACCTTGATTTTTCTGCCAACAGCGAATATTGCATTACCCTCCCAGTCTCTAAGGATGCACCCCAGACTCACTTCTCCTCTGCTACTCACCACTGCATCTATATTTAACTTGAAAACTCCCATAGAGGGTTTCTTTCACTTTTTGTCATTTCTTTGTCTAGGCCTTGATGATGCCTGATCTTTCCATTGTACTGCCAAAAAACAGTGGATAAACTCGGGGGAAAACCTGCCATTCTTCCAAGAACTTCTTATTGAACAAGAAGTTATTTCTATCCTTCTAGAAGAACCACAATAAAGAGCTCAGTTGTGTCATCTCCTTTGCTGGGTAGTTATTAACAACGTAGGAGAGCCATCGTTTACAAGTGAGGCCTTCAGTGATGCAGGGAAGGAGATATTGATCAAAAGCGTCGCCCAAGCACAAGCTACTTATGCTATGTCGGTCTTAAAACTGCTTGATGGGAGAAAGGATCTGAAAGAAGAATTCATTGGAAAAATAGGAGAAATTGTGCAAACAAAAGGTAAAGGGTGGAATGGGCTATAGAGACCTAAGAATTTTCAACAAGGCGATGTTGGCAAAGCAGCTATGGAATCTGCATACTAGGCCTGACACTCTTGTGGCTAGATTGATCAAAGCAAAATACCATCCACGAACATCTATTCTGGAAGCTAAGTTGGGGTGGCGGTAGGGGTGGCTATACCGTCCGGTCCGGTTAAATTGACCCAAATTGATCTGGTCCAGTCCGGTCTTTTTGAAAATATAAGGACCAAAGATGGGATTGGATACAGTCCGGTCTTGACCCGGTCTGGTCCCAATTCGGCCTTGATTTTATATTGAGTTTGTGGGGATTTGAGTGGCCTAAGGCCTGAAAGGGTGAGGAGTTGGTTAAGTTTTGTACTAAGTGCAAAGGTTTGTGACCGTTTATGCAAATTACCCTTAAGTTTTGGGTGTTGAGCTCTCTTATCCGGTCTTTATCAAGTTTTCGATCCGGTCCCGAACAGTTTTTTACCTTTAATCTAAGCCCAAAGATTGGATTGGATTGTTTACTATCCGGTCCTGGTCCGGGTTATACAGTCCGGTTTCGGGTAAAACCAAAAAACTCAGACCAAATAGCCAGCCCTAGGTGGCGACCTAGCTATATTTGGAGGAGTCTTCTGGGGGCTCAGGATCTGATTAAAGCAGGTTGCAGATGGAGAATTGGTTCTGGGTAGGAAGTAAGAATCTGGGGAGATGAATGGGTCCCTAATCTGGACAATTTTGAGGTTTTTTTTCTGCCTGTTCATGGATTGGGAAGCAAGAGTGTCGACTCTTATTGACCAGGGGACAAGAACTTGGAGGCACGATCTGCTTGAACTTATTTTCACACGTGATGAGAGGCAGGCTATTGAGGCGATTCCACTGGCTTCAACTGCAAACAAGGATGCGCTGTGCTGGACAGGGACTGAAGATGGGTAATATACAGTGAAATCATGGTACCTATTCGAGCAAAAAAGAATGGAAGAAGAGGCATCTGGCAAAACTGGGGATGATTTCAACTGGAAGAAGCTTCGGAAGATCAACATACCAGAAAAACTCAAAACTTTTTTTATGGAAGGCAACTCATGGATTCTTTTGGAAATTCCATGTAGTAAAATTATCTTTGCACGAGATTAAAGAGGCGTCTTAACCAGTTTTACTGTAAATGTAAGAAAAGATACCACAATTTTAGAACATCACTTTTATATGTACGACCATATTATAATATATTAAGATTGTTATGAAACTAGTGGAAATGTAAGCAACTATAAGAGAAGATTGGAGGAGGAAAGACACAAGAGAAGTGAGGGGAATAATTCTTCTTATTCATACACCATTTGTGATATAATAGTGTGCTCTATTTATAGGCACCATTTGGTAACCATTACATCAATGCATATGAATTAGAGATAATAATATAGGAATGGGAGTTACATGTAACTCCCAAGTGAGCATCTAATGTGGTAGGCCATTGGTCATCCAAATATAAATATTTACATAATACTCCCCCTTGGATGACCACTAGATTGCATTATTACGCTATCTCATGCTGCCTCATTAAAAACCTTACCAGGAAAACCCAGTGGGAAAAACCATGGTTAAGGGAAAAAGAGTGCAGCGCGTATATGCTCCCCCTCATGACCACATCAGCTCAGATCTTTGAGTCGTCGAACTCCAATTTCACGAACAAGCTTTACAAAGATTGTCGTTGGGAGTGGCTTGGTGAATAAATCTGCTAGATTCTCACTTGAACGAACTTTTTGAACAATTATTTCACCACTCTTTTGAAGATCATGAGTGAAAAAGAACTTGGGTGGAATATGTTTTGTTCTATCTCCTTTAATATATCCTTCCTTTAATTGAGCAATGCATGCTGCATTATCTTCATACATGATCGTCGGGATCATTTTTCCTAGAGATAGTCCACACGATTCTCTGATGTGTCGAATTATAGATCTTAACCAAACACATTCACGACTTGCCTCGTGAATTGCTAGGATTTCAGCATGATTGGATGATGTGGCTGTTATAGTTTGTTTTGTGGATCGCCACGAAATGGCTGTACCACCACAAGTGAACAAATATCCTGTCTGAGATCTACCATTGTGAGGATCTGAAAGATATCCTGCATCTGCATATCCCACTAAATCCATCTTCGATGCACTCGAATAGAACAAGCCCATATCCGTCGTTCCTCGAAGGTAACGGAGTAAATGTTTAACTCCATTCCAATGTCTTTTAGTGGGAGAAGAGCTATATCTTGCCAATATATTCACAGCAAACGATATATCGGGTCGTGTATGACTGGCTAGATACATTAATGCTCCTATCGCACTAAGATATGGCACTTCAGGGCCAAGCAGATCTTCATCACTTTCTCGAGGTCTAAATGGATCTCTTTTCACATCAAGTGATCTTACAACCATTGGATTACTCAACGGGTGTGATTTGTCCATATAAAATCTCTTAAGCACCTTTTCAACATATCCTTCTTGATGCACAAAAATACCATCCTTCAAATGTTCAATCTGTAATCCAAGACAAAACTTTGTTCTTCCTAAATCTTTCATTTCAAACTCTTTCTTCAAGCAATCAACTGCTTTTGGAAGCTCTTCGGGAGTTCCAATGATGTTTATGTCATCAACATAAACTGATATTATAACAAACTCACTACCCGATCTCTTTAGAAAAACACATGGACAAATAGGGTCATTCTTGTATCCTTCTTTCATCAAATATTCACTGAGACGATTGTACCACATTCGTCCAGATTGTTTCAATCCATACAAGGATTTGTTCAATTTGATAGAAAATTTTTCTCGAGAATGTGTTTTGTTTGCTTCTGGCAAAGTGAATCCTTCAGGGAGTTTTATATATATATATTATTCTCAAGTGATCCATACAAATAGGCTGTCACAACATCCATTAGACGCAGATCTAGTCCTTCTCGGACTGCTAGACTGATCAAGTATCGAAACGTAGTTGCATCCACCACAAGGGAGTATGTCTCCTCATAATCAATGCCAGGTCTCTGTGAGAATCCTTGTGCGACAAGACGTGCTTTATATCTCACGACTTCACCCTTTTCATTTCTTTTCCGCACAAAAACCCATTTGTATCCCACTGGCTTTACGTTTTCTGGTGTAAGGACTACCGGTCCAAAAACTTTTCGCTTTGAAAGCGAGTTTAACTCCGCCTCAATGGCCTCTTTCCACTTTGGCCAATCATCTCTTGATTTGCATTCATCAATAGATCTTGGTTCATGATCCTCATTTTCATTCATCACACTCAACGCTGCAGCGTAAGCAAAAACATCGTCGACGATTATTTTACTTCGGTTCCAACATTTTCCATCCAAGACATAATTGATTGAGATCTCTTCATTATCAAAACTCTCAGGTACCTGATGTTCTTCGGGAACTACAATCTTAGTTATGCTTGGGGACTCTTCTTGAGCTTTCATATCCTCGATTTGATCAACTTGATTCATAGCTCCTTTTCTTTTTCGGGGATTTTTATCCTTGGAACCTACTGGTCTACCACGCTTCATTCGTGGTTTAGATTCATTTGCAATTTCAGATTGTCCAACAGGGACATCAACTTTCACTGGAGCATTTACAGCTGGAATGTGTGACTTTGTCACTCTTTTCTGGTCAGTAAACGAATCCGGCAGTTGGTTTGCTAAACCTTGTAAATGAATTATCTTTTGAACTTCCAGTTCACATTGTCTAGTACGAGGATCAAGGTGAGATAATGATAATTCATTCCAACAAATATCTTTTCCCAGCTGTTTGTTCTCACCCCCTAATGTTGGAAAAACTGATTCGTCAAAATGACAATCAGCAAAACGAGCAGTGAATAAATCTCCCGTCAAGGGTTCTAAGTATTTTATGATTGACGGAGACTCATATCCAACATAAATTCCCAACCTCCTTTGAGGACCCATCTTAACACGCTGTGGTGGAGCAATAGGGATGTAGACGGCACACCCAAATATTTTTAGATGGGAAATATTAGGTTCCTGACCAAAAACCATTTGCAAGGGGGAAATTTCATGATAACTTGTTGGCCTTATGCGAATTAATGTTGCCGCATGCAATATAGCATGTCCCCAACAAGAAATTGGCAAGCTTGTTTTCATAAGCAATGGTCTTGCAATAAGTTGCAAACGCTTAATGAATGATTCTGCAAGGCCATTTTGTGTATGAACATGTGCTACAGGATGTTCAACATCAATCCCAGTGGACATACAATAGTCATTGAAAGTTTGTGAAGTAAATTCACCAGCATTATCTAGACGTATTTTCTTGATTGGAAAATCAGGAAAATGTGCTCGTAGTCGTATCAATTGGGCAAGTAATCTAGCAAACGCCAGGTTGCGAGTTGATAGTAAGCATACATGTGACCATCTAGTTGATGCATCAACTAAAACCATAAAATATCTAAATGGTCCACATGGTGGGTGAATTGGCCCGCATATATCACCCTGTATACGTTCTAAAAATGTGAGAGATTCACTCCTTACTTTCACAGGTGATGGCCGTATAATCAACTTGCCACGAGAACATGCAACACATGGTACATCTTTAAACTGATAAATTTTGTGACCTTTCATTGGATGTCCACATGTATTGGCAATGATTTTCCGCATCATAATCAATTCGGGATGGCCTAACCGCTCATGCCAAACTATAAAATTATCAAGATTTGTAAACTTCTGGTTTACCACGTGTTTCAATTGTACTAATAAACGTGTAGTACAACCCATAAGAAATAGCAGGCAATTTCTCCAATATGTATTTTTTATCGGAGACCATATTTGTTATCATAATATACTCTTTATTCTCTTCTTCCTTTGTCTCAATATGATATCCATTTCGGCGAATATCTTTGTAACTCAATAAATTTCTTTGAGACTTTGAAGAGTATAAGGCTTCATTGATATACAACTTGGTTCCTTCTGGTAACAATACACTAGCTCTTCCGGAGCCTTCAATTAGATTTGTACTTCCAGATATAGTACTAACATTTGCTTCTCGCATTTCAAGATGAGAAAAATATTTCTTATCCTTCAAGATTGTATGTGTCGATGCACTATTAATAAGACACACATCATGGTTTTTGATCTTGGTGCAAGCATGGGAATATTCATTCTTGAGCAGAACAAATATGGATTTAACCTTTTCAAAAGGAAGAGTCTCGTGCTGATAACGTGTTATAAAACTAATGGAAATGTAAGCAACTATAAGAGAAGATTGGAGGAGGAGAGACACAAGAGAAGTGAGGGGAATAATTCTTCTTATTCATACACCATTTGTGATACAATAGTGTGCTCTATTTATAGGCACCCTTTGGTAACCATTACATCAATGCATATGAATTAGAGATAATAATATAGGAATGGGAGTTACATGTAACTCCCAAGTGAGCATCTAATGTGGTAGGCCATTGGTCATCCAAATATAAATATTTACATAATAAAGATCCATTTTTAGGGTCACAAAAATAATTCAAGGTTTCAATAAAATAACAATTATAATAGAATAAAAAAAATCTAGTCAAGGTAAGCCAATGGGTATTAGTTTCGACAGCATTTTTGGATGATTAACTCAAGAAGACAAGAAATGAACAAGTGGGATTTAATCTTCTTTCGTAATGAATAAAATATATACAAACATGACATGAGGAGAGGTTTATCGGCTTATAAAAATTTCCTTACTTACACCCATATTTATATGTTTTCTTTCTGTGTATAAGTATATATGATTCTTTTTTTCATCAGATATTTGCAAATAATTCATGTTCTTATTTTTGTGATTGATTTCTTTTTTATTGCAAAAATGAGTTGAAATTCAACTTTTTAATAAAACGCATAAAATGAAAAGAATGTGTCCAACTTACCAGAATATTGTTCATTCTAAATGTCTTTTGGTTTGGGTGTATAATGATGAGTCTTTAAGAGGTCACACATCTATGCGATGATCCACACTAAACACATTTGACTTTTAAATTTTAGAAGTTTATTTATTTCATCACAAAATGTATTTATCGTTTAATATTGAATTATTGCTTATGAATCATGAATTCACTTACAATATCACAAGCGCCTTTCTAACCAGGATATTGTCCCTGCCCGAGCCCTACTCCATTTTACAACATCACAATCACCTTTCAAGTTTTTACCAAGGATTTAAATACCGTACCGTACTGGCGGTTCGACCTGAAAACCTCCTACCGAAAGTAAAACCGGTAAGTGGTATTTAGCGGTATAATCAATTGAACCATGGTTAAACCATAATTTTAGCATAAAATACCCTACCGCTGACTTTTCCGGTATGACCTCCGGTACGGTATTTCAATCCTTGGTTTTTACAAGCTCATCCATTTCATTCCAAAATGCATCTTGTCAAGTTCGGTTACCGATAATAATTTTGACCTGTTCGGAACAGGTCATACCCACCTTATAGGTAGGGGTACCTCAACTTGCCCTACTCTAACCCGTCTCATTCTCAATATGTTTTGTCAAAATTATATGCAAGTTTTCTCAAAATACTTATGATTGTGCTTCTATTACCTCATATTTTAAATACCATAAAGTTATAAAAAATGCGGAACTCCAATTCCTCAAATAATTTAACTACATTTATTATGTTATAATTTGTTTCTTGTTTTGTTAAATGACAAAATGAATATTTATAATGTACTCATATGGTTACCAGCCACGACCCTCTGTCTATGCTTAATTAACTGAGCTGTCATGGGGGTATCAAGATACCCGCACTGTCACTGACTTGCCCCATTGTCATTCATAATTAAGGTTGAAATGCTTCTTTATGAATCATCAAATCATAACATCTCAAACTTTCTTTTGGTGAAAATATAAAACATTTTGGGTCAACCTCTCACCATCGTTTTGCATTTAGGGTATATCATAATGACTTATAGAAAGATCACCGAGCCATCTTTACACTGCTTTACACCAAACACGTTTAATTTTATAGTTTTAGCAAAAACTCATCTATTCATTCCAAAATGTGTATTATTATCAGTTAATGTTGAATTGTTCCTTATTGATTGTGCATCTTTTTTTTAAAAAAAAATCGTACATCTTTACCGTACGTTGTCGACGAAAGATTTGACTAAGGTGTTACTTACAAAGAAACAACCTCAGAAAATAACCGAATAAAAGAAAAATAAAAGAAAGCCGTGACGTTTGGTACATCCACGTGTCGTAGTCCGAATACATAGCCCGGGCTCACCACGTCAGCACATCTCCCTCCTTCCCTGCCTCTGCCCTTTCTCTCCTCCCCGACTTCCCACCTCCCCGTCTCTCAACTCTCAAGTCCCTCTCTAATCTTACTATCATTTTATCATCCCCTTCCTTCCCATGGCGGTCAACGGATTGCCCTCTCAACGACTTTCCCTCTAATCACCTCGTTTCCTGCTAGCTTCCCGCCTCAAACAGAGTCAACTCCTTCTAGCATATCCCGGGGGCTTCAAATCCTGATTTCGAGCCACTCTTTCGCCGCTTCCTTTGTCCGGGGGCATGGTAGGGATGGGAGGTAGTCAGCGGACGTTCTCTGCCAATTCTAACGACTATAAGCTTCTCGAAGAGGTCGGTTATGGCGCCAGTGCTACCGTTTTCAGAGCGATCTATCTTCCGACCAACGAAGTCATTGCTGTCAAGTGCTTGGATCTCGATCGATGCAATAGCAATCTGGTTAGTAATTCCTACTGGCTTGATTCGTTTTGCTTTGATCCGAATCAACTTATTTGTAGGCATGGATCGTATTTGGTTGGCGAATTAGGAGCATTGGATTTCTCCTCTTGTTTGTTTAGCCTTTGACTTGATTTGACTGTTTGGATATTGGAAGACGCAATACTAGAAGGGACGAATTGAATTTGTGTTTTGGTTCGTGTAGAGTTGATAGTCTGATTAGACTCGAAACCTCGAAGGCACTTCTCAGACTTGTGGAATGGAGCGTTTTTCCTAAATTCTTAGTACTCTTTTAACCTGCCTAGATTGCTATTTTCAATGGTTTTATCATTTATGAGGTTCAAGTCAATTCTCACCTGGTGTTTGTTTTTCTGCTTGAATTATATGTGAGATGGGTAGAGATAGTATGATTCATTTTTCTGTAACTTGACTTGTTGATCAGCTCGCCAAACCTGAGCGAATCGATACATGAGATGAGAGCAGCAAGAGCATCGTAGCTTAATTCGACCACCAGTGGTGATGTTGTTATCTTGGTTATTGATAATGTGGTTTTGGCCTCTGAACCTGAAAAATTGTATTATCTTTGTTGTTTTTGGATCAAACACTACGGTTTTTGCCGCAGATGAAAAGTTTTAACTGTAACTAGAACTGGCTTCAGTCCCAAGTTGTCTATAACAAATTCACTGGAGCTGTTAACTTTTACTAACAAATACTGGTTGAACTTCCCGTCCGAAACAGGAAGATCTTACACTTTTTACTTTCCTTCTGTTATGGAATGCTAGAGAAGGAGAGGGGTTATGGATTGATGATTACCTCAGTCTGCTGACTGATTTTCTTTGATCCTAGCCACAATGTGTCTATCAATGATTCCCAGTTACTGAATTTGAACTCTTGATCAATGTAAAACCCCTTTTGTCTATATGTCAAAAAATGGTGCTGCAAATTTCCATTCATGCTCTCCGTTTGCTAATAGCCTGATTACTATATTTTATTTCCCTATTCTCTTAATTTACTTTCATTTTTACAATTTTCTTTTAGGATGACATACGGAGAGAAGCTCAGACCATGAGTCTGATAGACCATCCAAATGTTATTAAGGCTTTTTGTTCATTTGTCGTTGACCGGAATCTCTGGGTGATCATGCCCTTTATGGCCGAGGGTTCTTGTTTACACCTTATGAAGATAGCATATCCTGATGGCTTTGAAGAAGCTGCTATCGGTTCAATTCTGAAAGAAACTCTTAAGGCCTTAGAGTATCTACACCGTCAAGGGCACATTCATCGAGATGTCAAGGTCAATAAGTTCAAAAGTATTGTTGACTATCTGAATGGATAATTTTTCCTTCTTATGTTGCATCTTCTAGTTTATTATTGAATCATTCCCTTTATATCTGCTGTACTTTCAGGCTGGAAACATACTGTTGGATACCAATGGAGTAGTAAAACTTGCCGATTTTGGTGTGTCAGCATGCATGTTTGATACTGGTGACAGGCAACGGGCGAGAAATACTTTTGTGGGAACTCCTTGCTGGTAGGTCCGAAACTTTTGTGGGTGCATGTTCTCCTGTAACTCGACTGCTTAACCAATTTGTGTTCTTGCTTTTGTTATCATTTCAGGATGGCACCTGAAGTGCTACAGCCAGGAAGTGGATATAATTCAAAGTGAGTTTACTACCTTCTGAAATGCACCTTGTAAAGTTGATGTCATACTCCTGGCAGTTCTTCAGACATAATGAAATGATTATGCCTGAAGTTTCAAGAAAAGGAACATCTTTACTAGCTGTAGGATGCCTCGGTATCCTTCTCACGGGCAATCCTGCTAGATAATTGCTCCATCTTTCAGTGGTCAAATAAGAATACCTGGACCACCTTGGAAGATCTGAACATGCAAACTGATGTTAAGTTCTCATTTATGCAAACTCCTTAAAAAATACCGGGTTACTAATCTCAACATAATGTACACTCGCGGTGGAAACTATTAATTTCAAATCATGATGAAAACCATAAGTCAGTCAGGGTTGGTGAATGTAAAAACAACTGATATATGATTATCTGTTGGCTGTTCTCTTGCTCAGGGCTGATATATGGTCCTTTGGTATTACGGCCTTGGAGTTAGCTCATGGTCATGCACCTTTCTCAAAATACCCACCAATGAAGGTACTTCTCATTATGGTGACATGACAATATTGAGAGGCACAGCCTGATCTGGATGCCTTGTTTTCATTTTAACCAACAATCTTTCAAATTTTTTCTGCCTTGTGGTAGGTGCTTCTTATGACCATACAGAATGCCCCTCCAGGACTTGATTATGATCGGGATAAAAAGTTCTCCAAGGTACTGAAATCTTTCTGGCTAAATTAATTTCCAAGATTGTATTTACATGATGAATTTTCAGTGCACTGCTGCTTTAGATTTCCTTGATGGTGTTGGCAATTTTACATAACTCGTTCATATCTGAGGATTCTAATTGGAGGACTTCCAGTTGTCATCAGTCTTTTAAAGAAATGGTTGCTATGTGCCTGGTGAAAGATCAAACAAAGAGGCCGACTGCAGAGAAGCTAATGAAACACTCATTTTTCAAGCATGCAAAACCCCCGGAGCTATCTGTGAAGAAGTTATTTGCAGACTTGCCGCCACTTTGGAATCGTGTAAAAGCCCTTCAGGTGAATCATTGTACTTATGTAATTCTACCTTGGTACCTTATCCAACTCAGAAAGAGGCCTAATTAACGTTTCTAAAATGTCTCAGCTTAAGGATGCGGCACAACTAGCTCTGAAAAGAATGCCTTCAGGTGAACAAGAAGCTTTATCACAGGTACAAACTATTTCCGAATGCAGCTGTATCTGGTTTTTATGCTTGTTGGCTCTTTTATTTTAATGAAGCCATTTGTGAACCCTTCTTTTGCTGTTGCCTAAGGCTAATTTTGATTTTCCTTCTGTGGATTTTTTGATTCATGTGGATTATGGCAACCTTTTAGAGCCTCAAGTTCTTGACCCGAGGGTTTGAGGATATCATTCTCTTTCATTGGTCTCATTTGTTGATACTTAGGGAGATGTTAAATTGAAGGCTATTTTAGAGATGAAATAAATTGATTATATATATATATTTTTATCTTTTGGTGATGGCTTGACTTTTGCCCATCAGAGCGAGTACCAGCGAGGAGTTAGTGCCTGGCACTTCGATATTGAGGATTTGAAGGCTCAAGCATCAATGGTAATCTAATGCTCCATTTTGCTCTTTGTTTACTTAATGTGCTTTAAGAATTGTATTTCTTTGTTGATCTTTAGTATTTAATTCTGAACCAGTACTACCAATGTTCTGTTAGGTTAGAGACGATGATGATATGTTCGAGACTAAATATGAAGACGAAAGCTTGAAATCCGATGGAAGGGATAAGGTTGTCACTGTACATCAATAGCATCCACTGTTTTATGAACGTCTTATATAGCTGATTTTCCTCAGTTGTCATATTTGGCTTCTGTCATTGAGGCACCTTGTGCTGGATCCCAGATATATAGCTGATTTTCCTCAGTTGTTATATTTGGCTTCTGTCATTGAGGCACCTTGTGCTGGATCCCAGATATCGTGTTTGCTGCTTAATATGTTACCATCATCTTGTTTGCTATAATTAGGCTTTAACCAATGGCCAACCCCGCCTGGTGAAGCATTATTCGACTAGCGAGATTTCACAGCTGGTGTCTACAACTGAAGCATTGCGAGCTGAGAGCATGAACCAGAAGGGCAAGTCTCTGGAAAGTGATATAGTAGAAGTAGCCTACCAGGATAAACTTGGGGGCAGCAGAAATGGCTCTAGCCCTGACTCGAAAGCATCAACCTCAGAAAATGATGTGGTGCAGTCCAAGGCTAAACCAATCAGAAGTCGCCAAAATCATAGTGGGCCACTCATGCCTGGTAATGCATCCAGTCATTCATCCGAAAGGGGTCGGGTTTCAGAAAGGTTGGTCTGTTACATTGTTGAACTTGACCTTCAGGCACTTACATTAATGTGGTGCAACAACAACTTGAGATGATTTTTGATGAATAGTGATGCTTCCCCCTCTTCTCACTGATCAGTCCACGATCTTGCTAGCCATGTACCTTATACCTTAGCTTGGCCATCTTAGGACTTACAAATTGAGCTGGCTCTTGGTCCTGTAAATAATGTATGCCTTTTTTTTTATCTTTCGTGGAAATAAAATGGTGAAACCGTCTTGTCTGCGACTTTAAATATGGTATGCATCTCTCTATTTATAGTTTCAAACTTGACTTACTCGGAATCTTGCCTTTTGATGTAGGTTTGAGAGTGAAACTCAGCCTGCAAATGAAAAGGTCACGAGAAAAGCTCCTAGCTTTAGTGGTCCTTTGATGCTCCCAAACCGAGCTTCTGCAAATAGTTTGTCAGCTCCCATAAAGTCGTCTGGAGGTATGTTCTTGTTGAAGCATGTTGAAAAATACAATCTCTAAACTGATCTTTAACTTGCTTATTATTATGGGGTTCTAAAAAAATTATTACCATAATGATAGGATTTCGAGATTCTCTAGATGATAAGACTAAGGCTAATCTGGTACAAATCAAAGGGCGGTTCTCTGTGACATCAGAAAATTTGGACCTTGCAAAGGTATGTTTAAGTCTTAATTTATTTTTGTTCTTCAAATGGCTATCTCTAACTTAATCTTGTGCCATAGGATGTTCCTTTAAGTACAGTTCAACGTCGATCCTCCCAGGTGGGTTAGCAATCTCAATACTCTTATTTCAATTTGCCTTGACATACCTGGTGCAGTGTGAATCTCAGTTACTTTATTGTTGTTTGTACTATTTTTCAGACATCACCACTGAGAAAGTCTGCTAGTGTGGGTGATTGGATACACGAGGCCAAACCAATGGTTTGTATTTTTGCAAACCTGTGTGGGGCAGTTAATTGAACATCTGACTGACTGCTTTTCAGTCGTAAACTCATAATATCTACTGATTTTTTGTTTTGTTCAGCCTGTGGTCCAGTCACAAAAAGAGGTTAGTGGCGGCAGTAATTTACCTGCATCACAACTCATGACTCACCTCCAGAATCTTTTTCAGCAGAACTCAATGCAGCAGGTAAATGATAGGTCATCATGGATTATTCTTGAGACAGGGTCCTTTACTATTTAATTTCTTATTCTAGGTTGTTCAACATATGCATATATTATCAACCGTTAATTTTGATTGGACGTTTTCATGATGCCAGGATCTGATCTTCAATTTGTTGAATAGCTTGCAACCAGTAGAGGGCTCGGATGGTAAGTTGGTTGTTAATGTATCTATCTGCGGTCATCCTGTTTGATCAGCCACTAAATCAAGCTTTTTCCCCCTTCCAGCCGTGCAAAATGGCAAGTTGCCTCCATTGCCTCGAACTGCAGAGAATAATGGGACTGTAAGCATGCTTTTGTGATGTCCTTCATTGGTCATGTTTTCCCCTTGGAACCTCTGTTTTTTACACATAATTCTTCACCTTGGTAGTTACATGTGGTCTTATTGTAAGCTTTCATCTAGGCATGATTACCAGTCAACTTCTTAATTTTTGTTGTGAGGTGTGGGATATTTAGTTAAGTGTTCTGTCTGATTCTTGTACAGAATTGATTCGTTTTGGACGAAGAAAACTGGGAAAAAATAATTTTTGCTGATGAAACTTTTCCTACACTGATCTCAGCTTCATTTTCCTGCCATTCAGAAAGTCATGTAATAGAATATGAGTAACTTGACTGGTTTAATGCCTTCTTTTCTTTTCTATAGAATGACTCTGGACCCAATTCATTTCTGTTCGCATTATGTGTTAAAAAAAAACTTTGATGCATCATGTTATTGTAACTTATTTTGCATTTATACCCTGTGCGATTGATGCAAACAGGTTGATGCAGCTGTTTCTGAAAGAGAACGGTTATTGTTGCTAAAGATCTCCGACCTTCACTCTAGGTTTGATAATTTCGAAGAGCTCGCATTATCTGCTGTCTCGGTTCCCTATAGGAGTTTCTTAACTTTATGTTTGGGTTTTACAATCTCAGGATGTCCGGTTTGTCCGATGAACTGAATGCTGAAAAGCTGAAATACGAGCAAGTTAGTTCACCGAAAATCTTGCTCCTTTGACTTGACTTGACTTGACTTGACCGCAACAAGCGAATATGCTTTAATGAGTATCTGGGCGGTGTTTTTTTCCCCTCTTTCACAGTTGCAACGGCTGCTTAAATCGGATGGGAGGGAAGCAGTGCCAGAAAGCTGAAAAGCTTTGTTTGTACAGTGGAAACTTTGTAAATGCAGGGGAGAGCTGTAAATGATGCGTGCTGATAACAAAAAGCATTGGCCATTCATTTTCATCTAGACTGGATGGTGGTAAGCGGAAGGTAACTATGTCGAGCTACAGCGTGTACCATGAAGCCATTGATCGATCCAATGTAACATTTCATGATCTGGAATCAGAGCAGCACATTGTTCCAATCCAATCACCCAGAGGTGGCCAAATCTGCAGAAAAGTAGCAGCAACAGCAAACAGCTATATATTGGGTAGATCTGGATGCCATTCATTCAATTTTATGTTGTAATTTCGTGCGGGCAGTCGCCTCTTCTCATCTGTGGAAAATTAACAGTTCCACAGTCTGTTGAGCCTGTAGTTCTACCTAATGTTTATTTTAGATGTATGCATCAAAGCAGTTGATAATCCTCCTAGAGTGCACATAACATATGTATGGTACCGTCATATGACTAGCAATCGCCCAGTTGTTATTCCGAGCTTACTATTCTTTCGTGGTTTTGTATAGTTTCATGTCGTCTTATGCGGGATCTCTTGCACTCTACCTTTGTTTATTCTAGGGATGGCAATTTCGACCTGACCCGTTTTACCCGACCTGTTTGACCTGTTTTGGGGCGGGTCCGACCCGCCCCGTAGGCGTGGCGGGGCGGGCATGGGTAGGGATGGCAATGGGTCGGGTCGGGGGCGGATAGTGCATATCCGTTACCCTACCCAAAGTACTTCGGGTTTTACCCATACCCATACCCACATGTGAAACGGGTAGAAAATCAAAACCATGCCCATACCCATTCGGGTTTCGGGTATCCACGGTTATCCATGGATATTAATTCCTCTTCATAACTCCAACCAATATGTTAACATTCACACGTATTCTTATATTAAGTAAGAGAAAAAGTACGACAAGAATTCACTATAATAAAGAAAATTAACTAAAACAACACAATTTCATGAAAATGTTATATTTATATGCTAAATATAAAATATGTTAGAGAAAAATAATGATTATTTCTAGACAAATACATATGCATGTGTATAATCGGGCGGGTTCGGGTCGGATAGTGAGAAATCCATGCCCACCCATTACCCTCAATATTCGGGTTCGGGTTTTACCCGTACCCACTAAATGTCATTCGGGTTCGGGTTTTACCCTACCCGACTAGGCCGGATTCGGGCGGATATCCACGGTTACGGATATTTTTGCCATCCCTAGGCATGGGTAGTCTTATCGACCCGACCTGCCCTGACCCGCCCCATTCTCGACCCGTTCTTGTCTAAATTACATGTAATTTTAGTCAAATTACTTAGGATTTTCCTTTTATTGTATCATATTTTAGCTATAAGAAAGTTGTAAATTAGTGAAAACCTCAATTTCTCCAATAATTTAACTACAATTATCATAATATTGTTTGTTTTCTTAGTCTTATTATAAAAATAACGAATATTTCTAATGTTTTTAATATAAATTGGATACCCATTGGGTCGACCTGTCCCGACCTGCGACCCGTGATCAATTACCCGACCTGGGCCCGACCTGTCACGGGGCGGGTCTGGGTACCAAGAAACCCGCCCCGGACCTGCCCCATTGCCATTCCTGGTTTATTCCTATCTAGAACTAGGGCTGGCTATTTGGACCGGGACCGGATGAAAAACCGGAAACCGGACCGTATAACCCGGATCGAGACCGGACCGGGACCGGATAGTAAACAATCCAATCCAATCTTTGGGCTTAGATTTGAGGTAAAAAACCGGATAAAGACCGGATAAGAGAGCTCAACACCCAAAACTTAAGGGTAATTTGCATAAACGGTAACAAACCTTTGCACTTAGTACAAAACTTAACCAACTCCTCACCCTTTTAGGCCTTAGGCCACTCAAATTCCCACAATCTCAATATAAAATCAAGACCGAATTGGGATCGGACCGGGTCAAGACCGGACCGGATCAAGATCGGACTGTATCCAATCCAATCTTCGGTCCTTATATGTTCAAAAAAACTGGACTGGACCGGATCAATTTGGGCCAATTTAACCGGACCGGACCGTATAGCCACCCCTATCTAGAACCTGTAATGTACCATGACTGCACAAATGTTATATTTCTGGGTTTGGAATTTTACAGCTATTTGAGAATGTAATGTACACCTATAGAAGGGTACATTGTTCGTTTATTTCCGTCAATATGTACGTATCTTTAATTCCGTAGCTATTTATCTGTTTACAACTCGGGTTGGTATGACGTAAGACTAAGCCCTCTGCTTGTGCACAGAAAGCCCAAAAATCAAATACAGGCCCAATGGAATCCGTGTTCATCTACGATTTGGCCCACTTCCATACTCGGCACTCCAGACAACGAACTTTGTGCCGGACCAAGACGGAGTCGCCCGCTACCACTTCAGTGCATTTCTTTCCCCGAAAAGTACGAAGTTCGAAACTTTCGGGGCTGCTCAGAGATCAGACTCGCACCGAAAAACAACACTCTCAATCCACCTGCGTCAATGGTGGTCAGCCTTACCTTCAATCCCCTCCTTCCTCGTTCCTCAGCAACTTTACTCTCCTCTACTTTCACTCCGAATTTATTTTCCTTCTCTCATCCTTCATCGCGCAACCGCCGCTCGAAAGCACCCTCCGGCGTAATTCACCTAGCACCTCACTTTCCCCATTCTTTCTCATTTCCTTTTGCTTCCTCTGAATTTGATTATCATTGAGCTCTCTTGCTGGCTCGCAGTTGAAGCAGGGGTTCTCTAGGACCGCCGGAAGAGGAAGACGTGGAGTATTGATATGCCGGGCGGAGCTGCCTCAGGAGGCACCTTACGCGGCGGCTATCGGCGCCTGTATGCTGAGTTCGCTTCTCTTGCCCAGCCCTTATCCTCCTTCCGATCAGGAATCTGATTCCGGAATGGACACCACTGATACTCGCTTGACGGTTATGGGGATCATTAGTTTCGTTCCCTACTTCAATTGGCTGGTTCGTTTTAAGAAAAAGCAATTCGGTTCTAGTTTCCCCTTAATTTCTCGTTTCATATCATCAAATATTGCTCTTTACAATCTTTAGAGTTGGGTGTTTGCGTGGATTGACACTGGGAAACGCCGTTATGCAGTCTACGCCCTTGCCTACCTCGCTCCATATATCAGGTTTTCATTTCTCTTCGCTTTACCTGCTGCTTTTTGTCTATGTGAATGTTAAGCCAAAATGGTTGTAGAGTTTTTGTTTGAGAGGTTGCAGTGTTTTGCATAAATCTTGACAGGTCGAATCTGTCACTCTCACCGGAGGATTCCTGGCTGCCTATTGCTAGTATTTTTCTCGGCGTCATTCATGTTCAGGTACCGAAAACCGAATCAATGGCTACTCTATTAGTCTGTGTGATTTTGATCCTTCCACTGTTAGTTGGACGTTAGTAGGTGAAGATAAATTATGAGGAACTTAGACCAGCAAGCAAGTACCTTGATCCAACCGGCATTCGTATTCACAGTTTCTGGTGGTTGGTTTTCTTTGATCAGCTGGAAACAAGTATTAAGAATGGAGATATTCAAGGATTTCAATTGTTCAGTGAAGTTTCAAAGCTTCTTTCGTTCACAAAGGAAAAGAGAGAGGATGATATCGTGGATGGCGAGAGACTACCCAAGGTCTAGTACTGTGGCTGCTCTGAAGTTTCATGTTATCACATTGAAGATTCTCTTGCAATGCCATAATTATATAATCTTGGGTGCTGAACAATGATTGCAGGGTAGGAAAGGGCATGGAAACCTGCCAACTGATTTTGGTGGGAGGCGGGATACTGTAAAGAAGAAGAAGCCCTCTGAACATCATGATGACTCACACGGCGACTGGGACTAATTCAAGAACATGTTAAGACTTAAGAGTTGAGAATCAAACACTAACTTCTTATAACTGCAACGGTGCTCCTGATTTGTCTCTCTACACATTGATGGATAAATGTGTTTGAAACGACTAATTGGTTGATGGCAGATTGATTTTCTAGAACAAGAGAACTTGGTTTTCTCCATCTGTGGGTCTCATCAAAAGCTACCAGTTTCACAGAATGCTTGGAGCTTTGTGCTTACTCTGCCTTGTTTTCTGAAGGAGATGCTTTCAAAGGAAATGGACTTATAAGCCCTACCTTGAAGCAGTAATCCAGACTAACAGCAGCAAAGCCGAACACCAGCAGGCTCTGCGATACATATACTGCACCATCGATACCATGAGACAAGATGCTTCCTGGGTTGAGTTCCAATGGTGCTCCTCCAGAAAGCCTACCAAGCCCTGCGAACCCAGAATTCCATTTTCAACTCTATTGCTCAATTATTTTCTGCAGTCAGTAAACATTTAAATTGAGCAGAAAAGGTTGATCACCTTTCACGAAGCCAAATGCAGCAATGGCCCCTGTCTTGAGGTTGGAATCATCTAAATCTCTTCGCACTGCGTATCGGAAGGTTACTCCAAACAATGCACAGCTAAAGAAGGTTACTGCCAGTGGAAGCAACAGCTGCTCGTAACTAGTCACCTGTGCTAAAGAAACAGGGAGCCCAGCCAGTGTCCCAACAATTGCACATACTCTGATAGAACCTTTGATTAGGGTTCTATCGGGTCTGGTCGAGAAATTGGGATTTCGGGATTAATAACAGAATTAGGGATTTGAGAAGAGAACGATAGAGAATCGGCCTAGGCCTTTAGAGAGACTGGGAACGAGAATTGAGAGGATTGGGAGAATAGGGTTTAGGAAGACTTTTCTTAATATTCTTCTTGACTGCCCATGAATGAATGACCAATTACATATTTATAGCGAAAGACTAGAAAAACCTAATAGACTATCCTAATATGGCTCAAAGACTACTAACATATATAATAAAAGTCTAACAATAATCCTAAACTTAACCACCAAGTAATTATTTATTCTAATAATTATCTCTAATATGAATATGATAATTATAATAGAAACCCGTGGGAAGTAGGTTTCTATCATCCCCTCCCCCTTAACACCAACCTTGTTCTCAAGGTTGACCAACTTATCCCACTCCTCCACTCTTCTTGTTCCGGCCAGGTGTCGTCTCAACTGCTTCTTGCGCTTCCTTTTCTTCCAATCCGGTATGAGGACTCACATAGTCGATCTCGCGATTACTCTTGCAAACTGGTCAAGGAACATTGACTTCAAGGATCCACTCTTTGCTTCCTTGCCCAACAACTTTTCTTTCGTTGGCACCAAGATCCAGTAGCTTAAGGAATTTGAATGTGCTTTATAGCACAAGAACCTATCCTTAAGAACCAATTCATCAAGGCCTTCAAAAAGTTTTATTGAAGAAAGCCCATAAACTTGCCCTAATGCCTCTCTAATTACTTTTGGGCTCTCGTCTTCTAAAAGCCCACCTGCCAACTCATTAAATCCACCATTTTCTTCTTCCAAGTCCATGTTCTTCAAAAATTCCGAGCCAAATTCGTTCCATAAGACTCAGCCCATGAACAAGCTCTTTCTCGGCCTGTTTCTCCTCAACTCCCGGCCCATAGTCTGACCTTGACTCGGCCTGATTCCTCTTCTGCCCGGACTTGATCACTGATTCGGCTTCCTCCGGCTAGACCATTTCACACCCTGCGAACTCCTTCTCCCTCGTCAGGCCGCGCCCAAGACCTCTACGGCCCACTTCCATTGACCTCGGGGTCCTCTCGATACAAGACCCTGGGCCCAAGAAAGTTTCCATTTGTTGAGATGCTCGTCCAACCCTAGGCAACCAAGGGTTTGCGGAAGGGACATTCCCGCCGCCAGCACCCTCCTCCGTCTTCTTTCTCCTCGACGCGCCTCCCTCCGAATCCGCCTCCCTGACCTTCTTCGCTGTCGCTCCTACTTGCGAAACCGGCGGGGTTATCACGCGATTTGGATCCGCGTGAATTGACGGCGCAAGGGGAGTCGCCTTCGAAAGCTTGCCCCACACCATCGTCACCAACGGCGTCGTCGGCAATCCCCGAACTCCGTGACCAGGCGGCCAGTCTTCTCCGGCCTTCTGCTCCAGCTCCTCCTCCCCCGGCGGCGAACTCCTCCTCTCACAGCGAGGAAGTCGCCCCACTTCTGACTTCTCCTCCGGTATTTGCTCCTCGTCGATCGTCGTAGAGGCTGGAGCAGATGGCGGTGTCTGCGCGACTCGCGCTGTCGGGGAAGTCAACTGACGAGTCGGCTCCGCCTCTGCTTCATGTCGACCCTCCTCCTCCGCCGCATCTTCCTTCAGCGATTGCTTCAACTGGTCACACTTGGAATTCGGTTGCTCCTCCACATTGTCTCGTCGGTTGGCATTGGTGCAGGGCTTTGCTAGCACCAAATGGTTTCGCCAGATCGATTCTCCCCGACCCAGCGGAGACCCTCTTCCAAAGCCCTCGTCGTCGTTCATACCCTGCTCCTTCTTTCTGAACTTCCAGTTATCAATTGGAATCTTCAATAGGATTGGGGTTGTTCCGGGTTTTACCTCTTCCAATTTCAGCTTCAATGCATACTCTTCAACGCTTGACTCTTCCATCCCGACCGAGGGAATGGTGATCTTGGTAGCTGCATCGTCAGTGGCTAGCGATGCCGGTGGTGGCGTAATCGACTCCAAGATATCCTCTCTTGCTATGGTGGGAACGACAGAGATTGGTGGTGGACCCTCCGCGACGTTGGGTGGCGTGTTTGCACCTCCGTCCAGGTCGCTCTCCGACTCCCCCATGAATCCGGCAGTGGTGGTGGTGACAACCGCTATGGTTGAAGCGGCTGTTGTCTCCGACAGCGGTGGAGCCACATCCGTCTTCTTTGTTGGCAATTGTACCGTGGAGATTTCAGCCACATGTGGTGGCGTGGCAGTGGCAGCATGATCTTCTACTTCCTGGACGGAAGCGAGGGAAAGTCCGGCCGGGAGTTTTGCCGCCGGTGGTGGGGGTGGCTTGTCTCGCCGAGGCGAGGTGAAGAGCCGTTTACACCCCTCCGCCAACAGCCGCCACTCCTCTTCCCTCTTTTTAGCATCTTGTATGCTTTTCTCCAAAACGTCCATTATTTCCTCGCAACAAACTATCATGTTGTAGAGTTGTGATGAACTTAGAGTCGTGACCATAGCTCTGATACCAATTGATAGAACCTTTGATTAGGGTTCTATCGGGTCTGGTCGAGAAATTGGGATTTCGGGATTAATAACAGAATTAGGGATTTGAGAAGAGAACGATAGAGAATCGGCCTAGGCCTTTAGAGAGACTGGGAACGAGAATTGAGAGGATTGGGAGAATAGGGTTTAGGAAGACTTTTCTTAATATTCTTCTTGACTGCCCATGAATGAATGACCAATTACATATTTATAGCGAAAGACTAGAAAAACCTAATAGACTATCCTAATATGGCTCAAAGACTACTAACATATATAATAAAAGCCTAACAATAATCCTAAACTTAACCACCAAGTAATTATTTATTCTAATAATTATCTCTAATATGAATATGATAATTATAATAGAAACCCGTGGAAAGTAGGTTTCTATCATACTCCGGCTGCCTTTATGGACTCTATTCTCTCTTTATCTTTCTCACTTGCTTCATTCTGTGAACCACCTGACAGGGATCTCTCTGCTTCTTCTACCAAGGATTTTGCCGCGGAAATCTCTTGCAGACATTCTTCGATCTGCGACCCACAACAAAGAGGTTCAAACTTCGTTACACAAGTGCGGAAAAGAAACCTGCAAACGCAATCGAAAGAGCCGGAAGAAGACACGATCAGACCTCGGAAGCTCTGGTTTCAAGCTGGTTTACATACTCCCTAACTTGTTTAGCCCCAAGCTCCTGTCTTTCAATCTCTGCTAGCTCTCTTCTTGCGATTTCTACTCTCTCTGAAGCCTTCTCCAATTCATCCAGCAGCCCTTTGTTCTCTTCTTTCCCCAGTAGTTCCTCTACTTGCTTCCCCACCATCCCGCTGAGCGCATACTTCAAATTATCGCCGCCGCTGCATTTCGCTACGGCTGACCTGGAAGGAAGCGAAGAAGTAGCCTGAAAGAAGAGCGGCGATGAACCTGGCAATTTGTTGCATGACAATAGCAAAGTGGGTTTGCTTCTGACTGTCGTGGTTGTTCTTGCGATGACTTGCGATGACTGGTAGATAATACGATTGCAGTGCTTGCTTGGCTGTCATTTTTTCGCGGGAAGCAAGCAGAGTGGAATCAGATTGCTCGTGTGGGACTGATGACCCTGAAACCGAAACGTTTCTTCTCTTCTTAGGGGGGATAAAAGGAAAGAAAAACGGACTGAATGGGGAGAGAGAGGAAGGTTGTCAACTCGTGGGTCGACTCATTTTGACTCTGACTCGGTGAGAGAAACAGGCTGCACCCACTCGTCGGGTCGACCGCTACAAGGTACCGGGTTGGAGGTCAAATTGTATAAATTTTTTGTTTTGTTTTGCGAAATGTGTATATTTTTCAATTTTTCTTTTCGCCTAACTCAATTTTTGGAATTCTATGTTGAACATTTGAATATTGATGTTATATAAGTGTGTGAATTTTTACTATATGTTGAAGTTGGATGAGATTTGATATAATTTATTAGGATAAGTACAATATAATGATTCTTTACATATTTTAGAGCTAAACCAAACTAAAAGGATGATCCTTAACTCTTAACTCACTAACTCGACCGAATCGGTCCGACCCGCGTGTTCACAACTTTGGAGAGAGAGACTTTAATTAAAAAAGGTTTAATACATTTGTATAGCCATAACTTTCGCGGTTTTGACAATAATAGCCACTTTTTGAAAAATACACTAGAATAGCCATGCTTTTGAAACTAGGTTGACAACTTTAGCAATTTCTGTTACAAAGTTTAACGACGTTAGAAATGCCGTCAGTTAAATGGATGTTAATCTGATGTGGATGCCACCTAGACGACACATCAGCTCCAACTAGACTCGTTATGCCACGTAGATGCCACCTCTTATTTTGAAAAAAATATAATAAACTCCAAATAATTTCAAAAAATGAAGTATTATTTCAATAATTTTCTATTTCTATTTTTCTTTAATCCTTCCTTCTCGACGGGAGTCCCGACGACCTCGGCGTCGGCGGTGGCTGGACCCAATTCTGCAATTGCAAGCACAAAATCGACTGACAAAATTAGCTCTTTTAATTGTCTCTCATCTCCAACAAAGCGAACACCATATCAAGAACCTTCCTTACCTTGCCTAGATTAGCTTGTCCAATGACGAGAAAAATCCAAATGCCAAAATCCACCTCTGACGATAAGAATGCCCACTGAACTCATCACCAATAAATCCACCTCCGACGACTAATTCAACCCACTTCAAACAGCATAGAAACCCTACAATTTCGAATCTCACATTCTATCATGCAAGAAAGCAAAAATTGAAAAAGTATCGATTTTGACGCAGATTCGATAAGGGGTAGCGGCGGGTCGGAGGTCTACGACGATCTCATCAATTTCTCCGGTGAGCTCTGGAGTTCTCGGTGAAGGAGATTGGAAAAGGCGGTGCCAGATTTTGAGCATTGGCGGTGGTTGGGGTTTCACAATCGACGCTGCGGAGTGGCTCTCGTTCTCTCTGATCTGTTTCACTCTGAGCCGAATGACGAACAGAGGAGAATGGTGGATGAAGCGGCAATGACGATTGGACGGCTCAAGTGCACCAAGTGGGATCCCCGTCGGCCGACATCGTCTCCTTTGTCGAACGCGGCGTCGGCGACCTGACCGGCAACTCATCGCTCGAGTTAGTCGCGGACTGTCCGAGGAATCAGGTGCTGGTCACTCTCGGACTCTTCCTTCCCCTTCTTCCTTCTTTTCCCACTAGGGTTTCTGGGATTCAAATTAATTTGGGAGTTCAGATCTGAAGGAGGAAGAAGGAGGGGGATTTGGATTTTCTAATGAAACTTTGAGTGGGCAGCGGGACAATATGGATTGGAAAAAGGAAGACAATGCTTGATCCCGCTCCTTCTCGTTCTTCGAGTTACCCAATGACACCGGCGGAGAGGAACTTTCAATCCCGCTGCTACTCGTGCAAAGGAAACCCAAATTCTTCTTCAACCTCGTCTACAGAGCAAGTAAGCAGGTCTGGATCGATGATTGCTTGGCATCCACATGAAAATTGGGATTAAACAGAGAAATCAGAGGGAGGATGAAGGAAAAGAGGTGGAGGGAATGGTGGCGGAGCTTGGGTATGGAGATGGCGGTGCGAAGCTTCGTGAAAAGGGGGAAGATGATGACTCTTTATTTTTTTTATTTTTATTTATTTATTGTTTTCTAATTAATTGTAATATAAAGGATATTTTCACGTGGCAAAGCTTTTGAGAAAAAGTTGCCACCTCATAAAAAATCGTTAGTCCAGTCAGCGCCTATCTTAATGCCGTTAAAGTTATGGACGGAATGGCTATTCTAGTGTATTTTTCAAAAAGTGGCTATTATTGTCAAAACCGCGAAAATTATGGCTATACAAGTGTATTAAACCATTAAAAAAGGCGGCCTTTTCCCTTTTCTTTTAGCTTTCAATTTAGGGGAGCGAAGCGTATCGTCGGAGTTTTGGAGGGGCTATGTTGGCATTAACTTCAGGGTTTAAGCAGAAGCTCGTCTTCTTCTCCTCCTCTTCCAATTTCTTCAACGTCCCCAAAACCCTTTTTCGACCTCGACCTCGACCTCTCCAGTTCCTTGTCATGGCGACTCCGCCCAGGGTGTCTTCGCCGCCTTACTCTACTGCTGCTTCCCCTAACCACGCTCCTGTAAAGCGCGTCGGCACTCACAATGGAAGCTTTCACTGCGACGAGGCCCTCGGCTGCTTCATGATTCGCCTCACCAACAAGTTCGCCAACGCTGAAATCATCCGCACTCGCGACCCACAGGTTCTAATTATTAGTCCCATTCCTTCCTTTGCACCATTGAAATGCCCTTCCTAGAAGTTATAGGTGGCTTCTGAAGCTGGATTGTTATTTGTTAGTTCGCCTGTAGTTTCGTTAGGTTTCAAGTAGATGCAGAAATTCCTTGAATACGGGGCTGAATGGGGTTGTAAATTTTATGACTTGAGTATTTCCTATATTCTAGGAGGATCTGTAGGATAGCATAACTGAAGTTGAGAGAACATTTTTCTGAGTACCATCAGAACGGTTAAGATGGGGTGAATATGCTATTTGACTTGGTGGGTTGCTGGCTTCTAGAATGGAAGTTCTGATGGATGAACTGGTTCTGAATTTGTAGGTGTTGGAGACTCTTGATGCTGTGCTTGATGTTGGTGGTGTGTATGACCCGAGTCGTGATAGGTATGATCACCATCAGAAAGGATTTCAGGAGGTGTTTGGACATGGCTTTTCCACCAAACTCAGTAGTGCAGGACTTGTTTACAAGGTATGGACTGTATCCTGATCCTATTGTTTCTCCAATCGAGGAGGATTCTCAAGCACTTTTTCCTTTGAGCTGTTTTAACTGTTAGTCTGGTTTTGCTAAGCTTGATATTTCTTCCCCCATAGCATTTTGGAAAGGAGATTATAGCCAAGGAGCTACAAGTTGATGAAGATCACCCAGATGTTCTATGTTTGTTCCTCTCTGTTTACAAAAGCTTTATGGAGGTCCGTTCTCCAAAACACTTTTTTGAAGTCTCATTGCTTCTGATGCTTGTGCTTTGTTTCATTCATTCTTCATTGATGCAAGTACTGTTGTCCTTTCACTTGCAGGCAATTGATGCTGTTGACAATGGAATCAACCGGTATGACACAGACAAACCTCCTAGATATGTGAACAATACACACTTGTCTTCGAGAGTTGGGAGGCTAAACCTTGACTGGATTGATCCAGATCAATCCTCTGAGAAGGAGAACGAGGCTTTCCAAAGAGCAATGGCTCTGGCTGGCAGCGAGTTCTTAGAAGTGAGTTTCCGCTCATTCGATTTCACAAAATAACTTCTCAGTTCCTTTTTTCACTCAAGGTTCTTTGCCTTTGAGCAATGCCGAGTTTATGGGAATAAATCCTCTCCTGTTTTTCATATCGACCTAGGTTCTTATGAATGCTGCAACTCTTTGCTTTTGCAGAGAGTTCGTTTCCAGGCAAGGTCATGGTTACCTGCACGATCAGTAGTTCTGGGATGTCTTGCAGCCAGGTTTGACGTAGACCCTAGCGGAGAAATCATGGTTCTGAACAGATTTTGCCCTGTAAGTATCATCTATACTAGCGGACTGCTGAACTAACACTGAAAAAGATTAAACCTTTTATTAATTATCTTTTCCTGATCCAAAAGATGGGTTTGGTTTTGACAGTGGAAGCTTCACTTGTTTGAGCTTGAAGAGGAGATGAAGATTGAACCTTCAATCAAATATGTTCTCTATCAGGTAGTTTGTTGTTTTTTCTTCCCTTGCTCAAGCGTGCTCGTTGTTGGTGGGTTCAATCTCATTCTCTGGAACGGGTGTGGATTATGTACGGATATTCATTAACTGTAATGGGATACATCAGGATGAACGGAGCAAAAGCTGGCGAATTCAAGCTGTTGCAGTGTCTCCGGACAGCTTCGAGAACCGAAAACCTCTACCGGCTCAATGGCGGGGGCTGAGAGACGATGATCTTTCCAAGGAATGCGGAATCCCTGCTTGTGTGTTCGTCCACATGAGCGGCTTCATTGGAGGGAACCAAAGCTATGAAGGAGCCCTAGCCATGGCTAAAGCTGCCCTCAAGCTCTAACTTTGATATTAGCATTCATACAATCCTTCCATATTTTCCATTTCGAACGTTGATAAATCCTCCATTCCTTTCACTGTCAATCTGTCATCAACACTGCAAGGATTTCGTTTTTATTCTGAAAGCAGATTCAAATTTTCGCAACAACTTCGAGTTTGAATGAGCCAATTAAAGAAAAAACGAAAAAAGATATAAAAAGGAGAGGCTGCGTAACAAATTTGATCTGCTCTTGCTGGAAGCTGCAGCCCATCTTAAAAGCGCTGCTCTCATAGTCTCATTTGATTTCCAACCTCCACCACCGTCTCATCGCCCCGGAGAGAAGTGCGCTTTCACAGATTCTCCACCATGCGAGCTCTCAATCCATCTGCCCCATTCACCACCTTCCTCCCGTCAACCCTCAGCAGAGGTTCCAAGACCCAATCCCTGCTTTGCCTCTCCAAATCCAAATCCAAATCCACCGTCCACTTTGATTTCCTCGCCAGTTCCTCCGCCGCCCCATTCAAATCCCTAGCTCCTCTTAGATACTCTGTTCCTGCCTGCTCCTCCGAGGATCTCTCCTCTCCAGTCCACGATTCCTCCGCTGCATCTGTCGTCTCCAGTTCGGGTAAGTCTCTGAAGAATCGACTCCGAGATGGGGAGACTCTCTACGGGCTCTTCCTGCTCAGCTTCTCCCCTACCCTCGCTGAAATCGCCGGCCTCGCGGGCTACGATTTCGTGCTCGTCGACATGGAGCACGGCCCCGGCGGAATCACCGAGGCTCTCCACTGCATGCGAGCTCTGGCAGCCACTCGGACTCCGGCAATTCTGAGATTGCCGGAGACTTCTCCTGTCTGGGCCAAGAAGGCCCTGGATCTGGGTCCCCAGGGGATTATGTTCCCGATGATCGATTCCCCCAAACTGGCGAAGAAAGCAGTCTCGTACTGCCGCTTCCCGCCGGCGGGGATCCGGGGATCGGCCCACACGGTGGTGAGAGCTTCGGATTACGGGATCGACGAAGGGTATTTGAGTAATTACGAGGAGGAGCTGCTGATTATGTGCCAGATTGAGAGCGAGGAAGCGGTGAAGAAAGCCGATGAGATCGCTGCCGTGGATGGGGTTGACTGCATTCAGATGGGCCCACTGGACCTGAGCGCCAGCATGGGCTATTTGTGGGACCCGGGCCACAAGAAGGTCCGGCAGATGCTGCGGGCGGCGGAGAAGACGGTGTTGGAGTCCAACCCTACCGGCGGCGGCAAAGGAGGAGCATACCTGGCGGGGTTCTCGATGCCGTTCGATGGGCCGGTGGATATGAAGGCACGCGGCTACCAAATGGTCTCCGGCGCCGTTGACATTGGGCTGTTTCGGAACGCCGCCGTGGAAGACGTGAGGAGGTTCCGGATGAGCTTGACCCAGAGCTCCGATGAAGAAGACGACGACGGTAAAGACCCCGATGAAAAGTACTGGAGCGAGTGAGCCCAACTGAACCAGCCCAGGTCTCTTTCTGCAACAACAATTTGGTTTTTCTTTTTGTCTAATTTCTGCAAGTTCCATTGCCAAGAACATTCCAGCTACAAAAATCGTTTGTTCTGAACAGAGTTCTCTGCGAAATGCGTAGGGTTTTTGCTTCTTGGATTTTTTTCGTGTAGTATGTATGGATGGTCACATTGAGTGTGTTTATTCCTTTCTGTAGCAGACTCGTTTGAAGTTCAGTCTCTAATATGAGATTAGAGAAGATATGACACAAATGATGAGTTCAAGATTTATGTCAATCTTCATAATCCAGTTTAGAGTCATATTAATAACTTAAAAGAATATCAAAAGTTGATTCCTTAGCCTCGTCACTAGAAGCCGGATTGGAGCATGGAGATACTGGCAGCTGGACCAATCACACATTACACCCGGCAAATCCTCGGCTCGTCTAAACGTCAAGCTTATCCTTTTGCTTTTGCATTTGCATTCACCATTTCCCGAAGCAAAACTGAAACAATGGCGGCTCCTCGGCCAACTTTATATGCCGTGGTCATGTAGCAATTTACCCACCATCGAAATTCCAATCTCTTCTTCGAAATAAGGAAAACAATGTCGTCATCCTCGGCATTCACTGCGCTTATGAGATCAGACATAACCACGAGAACCGCCGCCGCTGCTGCAAGCGAAAACCCAATCAAAGCCCGCCTCCGAAGCGGCGAGACACTCTACGGCCTTTTCCTGACTACCTTCTCCCCAACGCTCGCCGAAATAGCAGGGCTCGCCGGCTACGACTTCGTCGTCATAGACATGGAGCACGGCCACGGAGGCATCTCCGAGGCTCTCCCTTGCCTCCACGCTCTTGCCGCCACCAACACCCCGGCCATCCTCCGGCTACCGGAGAATTCCGCCACATGGGCCAAGAAGGCCCTCGACTTGGGCCCGCAGGGCCTCATGTTCCCGCTGGTCCACGACCCAGAATCCGCCAAGAGAGCCGTGTCCTACTGCCGCTACCCGCCGGCGGGGACACGCGGCGCCGCGCACCCTGTGATCAGGGCCTCGAAATACGGTCTGGACGGCGACTACGTGGTGAACAGCGAGCGGGATCTGTTCATCATGTGCCAGGTGGAATCGGCGGAGGCGGTGAAGAAAGTCGGGGTGATCTCGGCGGTTGACGGGGTGGACTGCGTGATGATGGGCCCGCTGGACCTGAGCGCGGACATGGGCTACTTGACGGACCCGGCCCATCCTAAGGTGAAGGAGATGATGGCGGACGCGGAGGAGGCTGTGTTGGGCCGGATCAGGAGTAGAGGCTCGGGAGCGTACCTGGGCGGGTTTGCCGTAGGAAACGACGATGGGCTTGGGCCGGCGGAAATGCGGAGCAGGGGGTACCACATGGTGTGTGGGGCCGTGGATGTGGGTTTATTCAGGGACGGTGTTGTCCGGGATGTGAACAAGTTCAAGGAGGCGCATAAAATGAGCCAGTAAATTCGGAGATCAATAAATGCTCTGCAGTTTTCATTTTCAGTCCATGTTGTAGTGTAGTACACGCGCATTGGTGTCGGTGGGGCTTTTTTCTTTTTTGGTTTCACACCATTCCACTTGCTTTGCTTGCCAGTTTAATGCTGTTTAGTATTTGGTTCCGCGGGATGGGGTAGATGGGATCTGAAATCTCGGTATTTTGGTTTTGTTTCTCTGCTGGCGTTGATTGCATTTTTGTTGAAGATCATTTACTAACAAATACTAGTTAAACCGTTTGACTATACTTACCAGATTTGACCGGAAAGACTGTTTTGTAAGTGAAGTTATAGAGGACGGACGGCGAGTAGTAATGGGGAAGGAAAGCATACGTCCGGATCCGGAGATTTTTTTAGAAGATGGGATGCTAGAAAGAGGCTCCTGTCTAACACTTAAATAAAATGATTTTAGAGGACGTTTATAGTGTCATACATAGCTAAGAAATTAATGTCCGAATCAATTAAATCTATTACATGAAATCTTATATCCAAATACTATTGTATCACGCGATAGTGTCATGCGATTTGGATTTACAGTTTATCGGTGGATCATCGAAAATAAGTATTATAGTTCAAATAGTTTAATTTTAAATTTGTGATTATCTTGTTCAGATTTTACATAATTCTTCAGTATTTTAGTTGGCAATTATTTAAAAAGTTTATGAAAGCAAACAATTCGAGGCTTAATTATGCTTCTGTCGTGATTCATCATATATTAATTTTTAAAATGGTAAAATTTTACAAATTGGTGCTTGATTGTTGAATTCCGCTTATTAAAACTATTTATTTACGCCTGTGTTCAAGAAACATGATTGTTTAATTTGTTTTGATACATATTCCAGAAAACAATCAAGTAATACCACTACAAAGCAAAAGTCTATGAACCCCACGCAGAGAAAAAAGAGACAAAACAGCGAAGAAATCCAACAGCAGCGGGGCCCAAGGTCAAAACTGTCCATTTCAGTAAACTTTTTTTTTTTTTTTGGCATGAGCTGAGCGGGGTACGAGTTAAATCGTTGGCGAGTGGCCACACAGTGGGCAGCAGCAGAATAACTGAATAAGAGAAGTAGCTCTTCCTTCCTCTCATTTTTATTTAACCCCTTCCTTCCTCCCACCGTCTCTCACACTCTTCTTCCTCAACATCCCCTCCTCCCGATCTCCGATTTCGTCATCGGAGCGATGGAGATCTTCTACTTCCTCGTCTTCGGAGGCCTGGCCTCCATCGTCGCCGTGCTCGAATTCAGCAAAAGCAGCAAAGATCGCGTCAACACTTCCACTCCTTTCAATTCCTTCAAGAACAACTACCTTGTCGTCTACTCTCTCATGATGGGTACCGCATCTCTCTCCCTCTCTCGATCTCCTTACTTCAACATTATCCTCCCTCTCATTCCGTTTCTCGCTCCACGAATCGCTTTCGCAATGTGCTCGGCGTTCGATCTGTGTGTTTGCTCTTTGTAGTCCTGTTTAGTTTAGCTTTCCCTTGTAAGAGGCGAGCTAGCCTTGAGATCTGGATTTGCTGGACCAGCCTTGATTCTTCCATTTCTACCTGCTCTTAGTTTTGTTAAGGAATCCTGTGATTTGACGTATTTGAAGTGATATTAGAGTCTGATTTAAATTGACGTCGGTTTGTGGTGGTTGGAATTGAAATGTCACTCGATCCGTGTATTCTTCGACTGATGACTTGTTATTGATTTGGTGAAACTTTGAATCTGTGGCCGACAACAGCTGGAGATTGGTTGCAGGGTCCGTATGTCTACTACTTGTACAGTCAGTATGGTTATTCGAAGGGAGATATCGGCCAGCTCTTCATTGCTGGTTTTGGATCCTCCATGCTTTTCGGGACCATTGTTGGCTCTCTTGCAGACAAACAGTAAGATCCCATTACTCCTTTTGAATTACTTGTGCTTTTGGCTGCTTGATTTCGAATTGAATTGAATTCCCTTGTAGAGATAACAAACAGTACAAAAGATGAGGCCTGCTAACTTGTTTGCTACTCTGCATGATTCAGGGGCCGCAAGAGGGCGTGTGTCACTTACTGCATCACATACATCTTGAGTTGCATCACCAAGCATTCTCCTCAGTACAAGGTTTTAATGCTTGGTCGTATACTGGGAGGCATTGCTACTTCTCTGCTTTTCTCAGCCTTCGAGTCTTGGCTTGTTGCTGAACACTTTAAGGTGCTATAACACCCCTCTGCTTTTCAACTTTAATTTGTTTCTGTCATGGAGTACTTTCTCCTAGTGTGCTACATGCTTTGTACTTTCTACATTTGGAATTATTTTTGTCATGGGTATTGAGATCTTCTCGCTTTCATTTTGGCTGTTCAACCTTTCTCGTCCTTGGTGGTTTTGCGTTATTAATTTGAAATATTCCAAATACTGGTGTGGTGGCTATGTTTAATTAAGCTACAGCCTTGAATTGAAAACTTCTAGTGGGAGAAGAATGAGCGATTCTTTTTTAGTAAATTTAGGGGAAGTGATGGAGTACTGTCTACCTTAGGCAAAAGAGAACAGTGTTGTGTTGCACGAACCTAGAGGTCTCTTGAGATTAACTTGCTGATTGGATTCACCTCGTATATTTTTTATATGCTTCATTGTTCAGACTTCTTCTGATATTTGTTTGCCTGTTCTTACCTTTATCTTTCTTTGTTATCTGCAGAGAGGCTTTGATCAACAGTGGCTCTCTGTTACATTCTCCAAGGCCATATTTCTTGGCAATGGTTTAGTTGCTATTATATCTGGATTGTTTGGAAATGTACTAGTCGATACCCTGGCACTTGGGCCTGTTGCTCCATTTGATGCTGCTGCATGCTTTCTCGCAATTGGTATGGCTGTTATCATGTCTTCGTGGCCAGAAAATTATGGAGACCCTTCAGAAAACAAGGATTTAATGTCACAATTTAAAGCTGCTGCTGTAGCCATTGCTTCCGGTGAGATCATACTCTGACACAGAACAAATACTCCAATATGGTAGTGTCATTGCTAGGTGCCATATGGTTCAGAATTTGAGTCAATCCATTGTTATTTTTTGATAAATGATCTTTACTCTCGAAAAAGTTCTCCTTTTTTCCCCCTGCATTCATGCTTACTCTGTTATCCTGCGTGTGAATCAGATGAGAAGATTGCATTGTTGGGCGCTATCCAATCCCTATTTGAAGGTTCAATGTACACCTTTGTTTTCTTGTGGACTCCTGCTCTGAGCCCGAGCGGTGAGGAAATTCCTCATGGTTTCATTTTCGCAACGTTCATGCTCGCTTCAATGTTGGGAAGTTCCATTGCCTCCCGCCTGCTTGCTCGTTCGTCCCCAAAAGTTGAGAGTTACATGCAGATAGTGTTCTTAATCTCTGCAGCTGCCCTTATGCTTCCTGTGATAACAAGTGTATGTTGGTTATCTCTCTCTTTCTATTACTCTTCTGTTTCGTTGTAAAAATACAACTTGACAAGTGACTCTGGATTGTAAACAGTTCTTGGTGGCACCTTCTGGAGTTAAGGGTGGAGGAATCTCCTTTTCTGGGTGCATCCAGCTTATGGGATTCTGTGCATTTGAGGCCTGTGTCGGATTATTCTGGCCCTCAATCATGAAAATGAGATCCCAATACATCCCAGAGGAGGCTAGGAGCACCATCATGAATTTCTTCCGAATTCCTCTCAACATTTTCGTTTGTGTTGTGCTGTACAATGTGAGTTTCTTTCAACCTTCCTTTGTTATATTCTCAAATTTTATTGGTGTTCCTAGTTGGAATAATGATATACATCAATGCTTCCTGCTCCCACTTTTGAACTTTTTGTGTCTTCAAATGCGTGCAGGTTAATGCATTCCCGATCATTGTCATGTTTGGCATGTGCTCTATTTTCCTCTTTGTGGCTTCTCTTCTTCAACGTAGGCTGATGTTTATTGCCGAGCTGCAAAAACCAAGTAAGCTTATAGATTGGTTTACTTCCGCTTCTCTATCTTCTTGGGGGTTGTAAAATCTAGCATATCTACCGTCTTACATGAATGCTCACATTTGATCTCCAAGACATACATGCACTGTCATGTTGTGTGGAATGCGTGGGATTTCACACACAAAAGACTTCCATTCTGGATTAAAATTCTACATTACTGAATGTCAGTATTTGTAGCTTTTCTTAAGTGCAAGTCCTATTGACATGTGCTCAATTTGGTCTGTTTGATTGCAGAATCACAAGATTGGACAACAATGAGAGAGTTGGGTACAGAGGAAGAGCCTTTAAACGCTTGATTGGATACGTGGAAGTATTTTGAGATTCTTTTGAAATTGTAAGCAAGATTACTCATTAACACCACCCTCAAAAATCGATGCTGCTTGCTTGCTTGGTTAGCTGGTTTGCAAACTGGATCAATAAGAAAAGTACTGCTGGATTCAGTGCCACCACTCAGAAGAATTTTAAAGGTCCTCGGATGATGGTCAAGTGAAGAAAGTGGGTATGAGAACATAGAAGGCTTGTTAGAGTAATATTGAATGTTAGATGTTTGTTTATGTGCTGCAACAGCTACTGTATTACTAGAGTCTTTTCTCTTCTGCTGCTCAAGTATAGTAGAGGGAACAATCGAACGAACCGGGATTTGGTTTAACAGCCAATGTTATAGGCTTTTTGGACAACTATTCATCAGCGATTGATTATCGGCCTTAATTTTGTTTCGGGGTAAACATACTTTTAAAATGCCTTTAAGGCAAATCATGTCATTTGTTGCTGTATGTACTACTTCCACATTAGTGCTGTGCTACTCTTATACCCATAACATATTTGGTGTCATTTATCAAATTATCAATACATTTTTGCTGCACACTTCCAATCTTTGTTCCTTCTCTTCTATACACCATTGGCAAGGAGTATATCAAGCTTGAACTCGACACTTTGGAATTATGATTCTCAAATGACATGTTATGGTAGTAGCTCATTGGTAGACTTACCATCAAATAAGGGCTATATAATAGTTACAAATGCCAGAAATAGATTGTTTACTTAATCTCACATAGTAAACATTCTTTCTCAAAAGTCAAACATTACATATTCACAGGGATTTCAAGGAACAAGCTTACAGATCCATTGCATTTCTTTCTGCAACTGCACATGTGGTGGGCATAAATGGCATGTGCTCCTTCAGGTGGCGTTATTGCCTTTGCCACAAGAAATTGGAATCAATCAAACCCCCCAACTCTTGAAATGTGCAGAAGAAACATCCCACCTCCACCTCCACCTCCTAGTCCTTTCAACTTCCTTGCAACCTTGCAAGCATCTTCATTACACACACAAGCCCCATGTGCCCGTTCTTATCAAGCTTGCATTATTTATCTCTTCTTTTTGTTCCAACTTTAACCTTTCAAACACTTTAGGAATTTCCTCCTTTCAGCCACAGATCTCATTCCACCACAATGGAAGAACAGTTTTGGTTCAATCTCCACTGTCCATTGTTCTCAAGTCTTATTACCACTTCACATATCCACAGTGCTTAAGGTTTTCACTATTGACCATTGAAATTAGTCAATGACTATGTAGGCTTAAGATCCAAAACCAGTCAATGAGTAGGAGAGGGCATTCTTGTCAAACCACAACCAACATGAAATTTGTTCTTTTCTACTCCTCCAATCTGTCAACTGATACAATAATACCACAACCAATTAAACATATTCTAACAACTTCAACCCCACCATCCTATAGTGCTACACCACTGTTCCCCCCTCCCTTCTAATTAAATTTGAGAAACCCCTCCCAAGTTTCCACAGACAGGCAAGATCAAGCAAGATGGCCAATCTGAGAAGTCCCATGTTCATGGTTCTCTGTGCTTTCCAGCTTCTTGCCTTGCTTCAATCCCAAGTCTCCTGTTACACATTCAAGGTCGGAGATTTATCCTCTTGGGGCATTCCTTCTGAGACAAACCCCAAAATCTACTCTTATTGGTCCAAATACCACTCCGTAAGGATTGGAGATTCCCTCTGTAAGCTTCCCAGCACCCTCTGTTTTATTGATTCTCCTTCCAATCCCCTTCTCTCTGTTTCCAGCTCTCTCATTCTTTTCTCTCTTGTGCAGTGTTCTTGTACCCACCAAGCCAAGACTCAGTGATCCAAGTCACCCCACAAAATTTCGACTCCTGCAACCTGAAAGATCCAATCTTGCACATGAACAACGGCAACTCTTTGTTCAACATCACCGAGGAGGGAGACTTCTACTTCACGAGCGGGGAGGCAGGGCACTGTGAGAAGAGGCAGAAGCTTCACATAAAAGTTGGCAATGGTACTTCTTCTGCTTATGCTCCTAATTCCGGTCCCGGCGGTGCCTTGGCTGACACTGCTCCCTCTTCGCCAATCGCATTCGGCTCGATCCCAGTCGCTCTTGATGCATTCGAAGAAAAGCGGGCAGTGGGCACGAACCCAGTGGCCTAATCGAGGAAAAGTTGCAATCTTTAAGGAAGAAAGGAAATTTGAGAAGCAAAAACAAAAAGAAGAGACAACGTACAGCTTCCCCCCTGATGGCGGTGCTGGCGTGACATGCTCTTCCCTTCCCAGTTGCATTTATTAAATTAATTTCACAAATCACAACTGTGTATTCCGATTTGCCAGCTATTCCTCATCTTTGTGCCGACACCCTTCTGTCTGCAACTCTCTCTCTCTGCGATCCATCCCCTGTGGCTTTTTAATTTTCAAAGAAAAACATGTCGACCAAGTGGGGTCGATTTCCAGGTTATTTATTCCTGTTCAAACAGCTCTGATAGGTCATCGGGGCATGTTTTGAGATGCGACCAGAGGTTATAGTTTGTTTAATCAATCTCCCCGAAATGGACTTTTAGCAATGGAGGAGCATGAAGAAATACTGAGCCATGCTGTTTGTAGATCAATATGCGAGCAAGGTGAATGGTTAATTACTTAATTGGTTATGGTCGCCTTTGTGTCAGTGAGCTTCATGGATTGTTTAAGCCCATAAAAAAATGTGACAGTGAGCTTCATGGATTGTTTAAGCCCAAACAAAGAAAAGGCCATTAGTGGGCTTCCAACTATGTCCTTCAAATTCAATCAATATCTCCCACAAAAAGACACTCTTGTTATGCACCTCGTGATTAGGTTTTACAGATGGTCTAGTTAATTCCCACGTTAAGCATAACATCTTTTATTAAAAATCACTATACTCTTTCACGAGTTTCACTATGCAAAACTTTTTGATTACTTTACTATTCTAAACTTTTCAGTGCCATCATGGTGCTATTCATTATCAAATTCAATATGTTCTTGTTTTCATAGTCAATTTATCCAAAATTTCTTCAATCTTTTTTGGCTAATGTACTTGAGAGTAGTTTCTTGTCCAAATACGAAGGGTCGGAACTCTATTGAATTTATGTTGTTTCCTCATTTGATATCTGTAGGGTGCATGGCTCGGGTCCAGCCGCGCCAATAAGGCAGTCCGACGCCATCACAAAAGAACCACGCGCGTCAGCACCGTTGCGCCCAAGGTATGGAGCAACTCGCAGAAAGACCACATCGCGGATAGATCACATCCGCGGAAAAGGCCGTACTCGCGAATTGGGTTCCGTGAGACGGAACGCGCCACAAGAACCAAGGCGCCAAACAGCGTTGTTTTGCTCAACTCAAGCCGGATGAAGAAACCAGGAAACGACACTGTATTCTCTGAAGAGTGGTCACATCCTAGTCCTAGGTATAATCATGGGCTAAGTGTCTAGCCTTAGGTAGAGTCATGACCTAAGCGTCTGACAAGTCTAGTAGTCATGTCGCATTAAATACTCACCCACCACAATGTAGCCTATAAATACGGCATTTACTCTGGTGGGTGAGGGGATCGGATTTTTACTCTCTCAATCTGGAAGATAAACTCTCTCTCTCTCTCTCTCTAAAAATCTCCTCTCTCCCGATCATAGCTGTTTGTAACTTCATTTCGGCTGAAGGAAAGAGGATCCTATTGCTTACTTTCCTCATCCCCTCTTATCCGAGTCTCATTCTTAATCTCAATTGAACTCAAACAATTGGCACCTACCGTGGGGTGGGCGCGACTTACACGATCCTAGACTGGGCGGAGATATTTGGGCCAGATCCGGCGCCGCATGATAACCTTGTGCGTGGTCCTGATCACGTGTCTGACTAGGGACGGAAGGAGGTGACAGAGCTTGTGCGCGGGTTGGGTTTGATCAAAGTTATGAGTGTTTAATTTAATTTAAAACATGAACAAACGATTCATTTTTCAAATATTCTTGCCATTCTATGAACAAATGATATTCAAAGTAAAAAATGAAAAACAATTCAATATTTCAATGTTCCAATTATTCCGAATTCTACATGGGCTTTTAGTTGGCGCCAAATGTAGTTCATTGTCATTTGGACGGATCAATTACAAAATGAGACAATTTGGCCAATTGTCTCATTTTATAAAATGATAATTTAAATTGTGTCATTTCGAATTACATGTACCTTTCCCGGACAATTATAATTGACATGAAACGAGTCAATTTGACATATCCCAAACTAAATTGTTGCATTCAAATTTTATATGGTCTAAAATAACAATTTGGATCATTATTTCAATCTATAACAATTTGGATAAATTAAATTATCGTTAGAATTGCCAATCTAAACCAACCACAATTAAAACTTAAAGATTTTTGCAGAATTAGTTAGATATAAAAGCAATTTTTGGGTGCTGGTACCGGGAGGACCCTGCTGATTGGATGGAATAGTTCTGGTACCTCTTCCCTTCTATTTCTTCCGTCCTTGCTTTCTCTGGGAACCGTTTGTGTGACCTTCCCTTTCTCATCTTGTTTCCTGAACTTTGTATACACCCTGGTGTATTCTCTTGGTAATGCATCTTCACCATTATTAAAAAAAAAAAATCGGGACAACCAATATTCCAACTATTTACGTGTGAAGAACAATTAAAAGGATAGAAAAAGGAGAGAGAAAATACAAAAAAATTCGCCAACCCATACGAACAATTTTGCACACTACCATGTGCAAACAAATATGTGCCAATTCGTTCCTCTCACCCTTACTTACCAATAGAGGAAAAAAGATTAAAAAAAAAAAGAATCAACAACTTGTTCCTCACATCGTCCTTCAACCCAAAAGAGAAACATCCTTAAATAGAAACAGAGCAGCCTTTTGCAACAATACCTTGAGCGGTAGGGCAGCAAGCCAAGGGACAGCTATCGAGATCATTCCCCCACCAATCCAAGCTCACATTCTCCAACCCCAAGCACAGGTACAACAACACGCCCATAAACGCCAGCCCTGCATCCAATGAACCCGACAACACGTAGTTGTACCTCTGCCACATCTCCGGCCGGTACCTGAAAACCACGAACCCGGACAGAAACCCAGCCAGAATCCAGCTCGTGTAGTTAACCGCAGTGGCCGGCGGCATCAAGCCCGTCGCTCCAATCAGGACCGGGATGTTGACCAGCCTTATCCACTCCAGTCGAGGAAACGCCCTGGTGGCCAGCCAGACCAAAACAGGGGCGATTGCTCCTCCTAGGAAGAACCAGTTCACGGACGCGTAGGCTCCGAGGTCTCCAAAGATTCTTCGCGGACCGATCAAACCCCAGATGACGGATGCATCGTAGAAGACAGTGTCTCCGGGACACGTCCAGACCGCGTTGGAGGCCGTCCGTTCACAAATGTCCGGGATGGATTCCATCAGCCACCATGCCGTGGACAGGTAGGTAAAGCAGGCAATCAGGGTCCCCACGACCTAAACAGAATCAGTTGATCTCAATAACTCACTCGAATTATTACAAGAGATTCAGTTACGAATTATATACTAACCCTCACCTGTGCCATGAACATGGTTCTAGGCGGGATCTTCATGTAGTGGCCGAGCTTGAAATCTTGGAGGAAAGTGATGGCCTGTTTCGTACTTATGTAGCCATACACTTTGAAGCAAATATTGGCTACAGGGTACCCTGGGTACACATACCCGATTATGTACTCCGTGATTATGGCCAGTGTTGGAGTCTGTCAAATTCATTACCCAACAAAAGACAAACAGAATGAGCTAGAGTTAATTGATCGATTTAGACCTTCATTGCATTCTAATCCTCTACGCATGCAGGAACTAGAAATACTTGTGGGTGTGCCTTTCAGTCACCTGGTTTGTAATGGCGGTAATGATCCCAATGGGCAGAGTGAAAACAATGGCAATGGTACAGGCCAGCAGCACACCCCACCATGGCAGTTGAAGCTGCTCGTTGTAATACTCGCAGGCAAAAACGGTAGCCCCGACATTCGCCAACAGTATGCACCAAAACCACCACTCGGGAACTTGTTTGTATCTCCTCATCAACTTGGTGTGTATGTCCATCGACTTCTCCCCAAAACTCGCCCTACTCTGCTCCAATATCTCCCTGAAATTCATAGCGGAAAAATTAGATCAGATACATACAATTGTGATGTGACCTTTCATTGGGCCACTTGGAAAAAAGTGTGCGTTACCTCCCATGGAACATGGCAACATGTACAATTGTGGCTGTGAGGGCGGCAAACCCAACTCCATATGTCATGGTGAAAACCGAGCTGATGTAGAGGTTGCCTTGGCGATCGTAGGCGGCAAGGTCGAGGTGGAAGGAGGAGCCGATGATGGAAGAGATGTTGTATTCCTGACCGGTGGCGGTGAAGAGGCTGTCGGAGAAAATGGGGAAAGTCTTGGCTCGGTAGAAGTTGAACCAGTAGGTGATCGGAGTGAGGACGTACATGATAAACACGAATCCGGCTGCAACGTTGGCGGTGGCGAACCATGGGCTGGCGAGTGGGCTGCCAAGGTAGGATGAGATGGCGGACCAGTCCAATGCGACGGCTCCCAGTCCGAGCCCGTTGAGGCCCGATCCGAGCTGCTGGGCCAGGACGGATTGAGGGAAGATCCAGCAGACCCAGGACGTGGAAGTGAGCATTTGGAAGATGTAGCCAGGGAAGACGTAGTAGGCAAAGCTGCAGGTGAGAGCGATGAGGAAGAATTGATTTCGTGTTAGCCTGCCTCTGGACCGCTCTTCCTTCTCGTGTAGAGCCCTGTTGATAAGAAGAACAGAATGATCAGTTCAGTGGAGGTATTTGTCGATTGTGACCAATCATTTCAAAGCCCAGTGCGAGCCCAACTATTATCATCGCTCTACCTTGGATTATTAGTCGTACGCTCGGTCCATCACCATCAGCTTGGGCCCATTGGACCGGGTTGCGTTGCGGGGATGATGATGATAATTTCTTTATTCGGCTAGCTTACAGTTCGATCCAAAACTTGAGATAATGGGTGCAATCCGAAAAAGGATTCAAATGTAGGCAGTTTTTCGGGGTGGAACTTTTTTATCAGCTATACATAATTCATAAGTATAGATTTGACATCAGCCAAGGTGTTTAGAAATGATTGTTAACACTAAAATTTTCAACAGTAGGACAAGAACAAATGAGATTGGCCCATCCCATTATAGCCCATGGGCCAGGGCCATCATGGAAGGTAGGGGGACCTCTAAAAACTTAAAATGATACCTACTCGCTCACTCAGTCACTGTCTCATCTCCTATTCGCAATTTATTAAATTATTTACATCCCAAAAATTTCAAATACCAACAATTTTTCTGTCCTTGGAAACTTTTTTTCTTTTGATCTTTTGGAAAATATATTTGATTTTCAATATAGTAATTAAAATGTTGATTTATTGGATTTTATTTTTAGGATAGGAACCTTTTCAGTTTTTTTTTACAATGGTGATATAGTTTTAATTTTGTGATTAAGGTACTGTTAGTATATGGTATATGATTCACAATTGAACTTCTCCCAACAACTCGAGTTATTTCAACCAACCGGTTCTTGACATGGTATCAGAGCCTTCTGTGACCGTCTCCTGTTCGAATCCTAATAACCCCCCATCTGTTTTGTTAAGCACATGTTATCCGGACCTGTGTCTGTCTAGACTCCAAGTCTATCTAAGCGGCTTGAGTTTGAAGGGGGGTGTTAGTATATGGTATACGATTCACAATTGAACATCTCCCAACAACCCCCAACAACTCGAGTTATTGGGACCAACTGGTTCTTGATAGGTATTCATTTTAAAAAATTCGAATCTAAAACATTCAAATTCTATACTAGTGGTATTAGTACTGACCAATGAGTAGCCAAATCTCAACCATCAAATTTAAGTGAACCCATGAAATTTAGATATAAGGGTGGAGAATTAAAGACAATGTATTTTCCTTAGTTTTCTTATAATCTGCGCTTATCTTCTTCGTTCTAACTCGGTTTTTTTTTTTTTTTTTGCACAGATGGAACAAGTTCGTTGGGCTCTACAAAATGAGATCAGTTTTCAATATTTTTTGAGAATTTTTTTCATATCTCTCGTTACCAACTCCATACCATATGGTAAGTTCTTTGCTTTTAAGTCGTTTTTGAAAACGTTTGCTCAGCAAGAATGAGTTTATCATGATCCATATGGATTTAGAAATTTCTAGGTGAAAAAAATACATTACTAAAGTTATCATACTTTGCCACCCTGGTATGGGGGTGGTAACTTGTGGTAAACAATGATGAAAATCGTAAATGACAGTTAGTATACTCTACTATCGTGTATTTAACATTCCTACAGTCTTGGTATGCTCATACTATCAGGGTACGCTTTCTTATCATATTGTATACTTCTATTCAATATCATATGGTATTGAATTGTAAAAAATTACACAATTTTTTTTGTTCTAAAAATATATCAAAGTGTAATCATTTTAAAGAACACAATTAATCTGATTTATCTGTTCAAAAAAAATTAAATTCTGATTTAAAACGAGAGAGAAATCGTTCGTTAAAAATTGAAGAGAAACAAATAAAAGGTTTTCCATGAGAGATGCTGATGTGTACTGATTACTCATCATTACTCACTTTAAACATACCAAATTCACCAACCAAGTTGAAAAGACCAAACTCTGAATGCATGTATGGCCATTGGCCACCAAACTCTACCTCATCATCTCTGTACCTTCCCTTCTACCCTCCCTAGCCTCACCTACTTTCAACAACAAGATTTGAAAAATCGTACCCGCATCGATGGTACAAAAAAAAAAACCCCCTTCTATTAGAAGTTTAATCAGTAAGCTATTATTAACAATATGATACGATTAAACCACCATTTTGATATAAAATATTTTTTTGCTGACTTTTTCAATATAATCTCGGACACGATATTTCAGTAGTTACTCAATAGTCACCGGAATTCCAAGAGAAGGCGAAAAAGAGAGGGGAGGGAATCTGGGAATAGAAAGTGAATTTAAGAGGTACCAACCTGAACAAGGAGACCTGGACGAGATTGGCCGGCCACCACATCGCCGCCGGTTCAACCAGATACCGCCTGAATATCCCCGCCCACCCAAACCCTAGCACCTGCGTGGTGACGACAACAATGAGGGAGACGAAGAAGGTGAGGTTCTTCTTGTAAAACACCTTCACAACCGTAACGACGTGTATGGCGTACACGCTTCCTGCGCCCGAGTTGGCGAAGATGGTGATGAGCACGTGCTCCTTCACGTTGAACGGGCCCGGGTTGAGCGTGAACTCCCACCTCGACCCGCGGAAGAAGACCCGGTCCGTGATTCGGGCCGCCATGAGCTGGCCCAGCGGCACCACCGCGATCTGGGCCGAGATTGCCGTGACGGTCAGCGGCTCGGTCCGGTACCAAAAAAACTGGTTGAGAAACGACAGCACCACGCACGACAGCGTCCCCAGGACCCACATCCGGAAAGTTAGCACCGGTAGGGTCGGGTCGTCTGTTGTGGGCACCGTCATCGCCACCTGTTTCACCGGCGAGTTCTCCACTTCCTCTTCCTCTTCCTCTTCTTGGGCCTTGTGAGGTATTGAAGATTTAGGGTTTTTGGTTTCAATGAATCGAAAAGCTTAGCTGCTTCTCTCTTCTTCCTCTGTTTATATTGCAAATCTCAGAACACAGGACAAAATCACAGCTGTGTCCTTTACACAGTAAATTCGGAAAACAGTAAAAACAGAATAGGACAACGGCTAGAAACGGTAAAACGAAAATCTCCAGTCTCTGCGTTCCACGTGTTCCACTGCGCTCCATTCTCTTCAACGGTGTCGTTTCCATCATTTTGACGAAGAAGAAAACTCTTCTTCTGTTACCCCCCCACAAGCTGGTAGGCTGGGATTCTGGATACCAAGCTTGGAGAGAAGCTCTGTAAATGGACCTGGTGGCAATGCTTTCGTCAGGGTGTCTGCTAACTGATGATCTGAGCGCACATGGAGTAACTTGATCACATCTCCTTGCACCTTTTCTCGAACAATATGACAGTCCAGCTCTATGTGCTTGGTTCTTTCGTGGAAGGTTGCATTTTCTCCAATGTAAATGGCTGATTGATTGTCACAAAACAGTGAGACTGCCCTTTTGTGATCGACCTTGAAATCCTGCAACAAATACAAAAGCCATTGAACCTCACATGTAGTGTATGCCAATGCCCTATATTCTGCTTCACATGAGGAACGTGAGACTGTTGTCTGCTTCTTCGATTTCCAGGATATCAGTGAGTTGCCAAGGAACACACAGTAACCTGTCACAGATCTTCTCGTGTCTGGACAGGTGGCCCAATCTGAGTCACTGTAAGCCTTGAGGTGAAAATCTGATGCTGATGGAAAGAACAATCCACTTCCTGGTGACTTCTTCAGATACCTTATGATTCTGAGCACTGCCTTATGGTGTGTCATCCTAGGTGAGTGCATAAATTGACTCACCTGTTGAGTTGCGAAGCTGATGTCTGGTCTACTTGTGGTAAGGTAGATTAGCTTTCCCACAAGTTTCCTATACTCTGTAGCATCCACAAGCTCAGATGTGTCCTCAGCAGTGAGATGGACTTTGTAGTCCATAGGTGTGCTCACTGGCTTGCTGTCCAAAAGCCCTGCCTCATCTATGATCTCAAGAGCATATTTTCTTTGTGACATGTGTATTCCTTTCTTTCCTCTAGCCACCTCGATACCAAGAAAAAATTTTAAGACACCAAGGTCTTTGATGCTGAAAGTTTCATGAAGAAAACTCTTCATCCTGTTTATCTCTTCCAGATCATTCCCCCCCACAATTAAGTCATCGACATAAATGAGAATTGCGGTGAAGGAAGACTCTGTTACCTTGGTGAATAAGGAATGATCAACAATGCTTTGTGAGTAACCTTGAGAGTCTAAACAGGAAGACAGCTTCTCAAACCACTGGCGAGATGCTTGCTTTAGGCCATAAAGCGACTTGTGCAACCTGCAAACTGGATTTGGGATAGATGGATCAACAATCAGACCTTCAGGGATTGTCATATAAACCTCTTCATGAAGGTCTCCATGAAGAAACGCGTTGTTGATGTCTAATTGGTGCAGGTGCCAATTCCTGGCTGAAGCAACAGCAAGAAATAGCCTGACAGTTGTCATTTTCACAACTGGTGCGAAGGTGTCTTGATAGTCCACTCCTTCTTGTTGATTATACCCCTTGGCAACCACCCTAGCCTTCTGTCTTTCAATGTCTCCTGTGGACTTGTATTTGATGCGGTAAACCCATTTGTTTCCAATTGGAATCTTTCCTGGTGGTAAGCTGCAAACAGTCCAGGTCTTGTTGAGATCAAGAGCATGAAATTCTTGATTCATGGCATCATTCCATTCTGGATATTGAGATGCTTCTGCATAATTTGCTGGTTCTTTGCTGCAGGAAATGGACAGGGCAAATTTTGTGTGCTGGGCAGTGAACTTGTCATAGCAAACCATGGACAAGAGACTATGCTTCTTACCTGGTTCTGCTAATGCAGAACACGCACTTGCTGAAGGTGATTGGTTGTTGCAGCGAGCTAAGAGATAGCAATGGTAGTCCTGGAGACGAGAAGGTTGTTTGAGGTGTCTAGTGGGTCTATGATGGATGGCAGGTGAAGGCATTTGTGGAGTTGAGGGACTGGGGGACTGAGGTGATGGTGGTTCAGGTTGACTGACTGGTTGGGGAGATGGTGGTTCAGGTGGAGAAGGAGGTGTTAGGGATGTTGGTGGTGTGTAATCAGTGTCAAAAGAATCATATGCAGCTGGAGAAATGGATGATGATGATGGACCAGCATCTATGTTGGTGGTTGTAGAGGCAAAGGGGAACACTGATTCATGAAAAACAACATCTCTAGAGGTTAAAATGTCATGTGTGTCTAGATCATAGAGTTTGTAACCCTTGATCCCTTTTGTGAATCCTAAAAAGATGCATTTTCTAGATCTGGAAGTGAATTTGGTTCTGGTACTTGGTCTAGTGGAGGCATAACACAAGCATCCAAAAACCTTGAGGAAAGAAAAGTCTGGTTTTTGTTTGTGTAAGAGCTCATATGGTGTTTGATTCTGCAAAATGGTAGATGGTGTTCTATTGATGAGAAAAGTTGCATGTTTTACACAGTCTGACCAAAAATCAAGGGGAAGATGGGCTTGAAATTTCAGTGCTCTTGCTACTGCCAATATGTGTTGATGCTTGCGCTCAACCTTAGAGTTTTGTTGAGGAGTTTCAACACATGAAAACTCATGTATAATTCCTTTTTCTTGACAAAAAACAGGAATATTAAACTCAAGGCCTTGATCACTGCGGATCCTTTTGATTTTGGTAGAAAACTGTGTTTCAACATAGGAACAAAAAGAAAACAACTGGTTTCTGGCTTCTGCTTTGGATGAAAGTAAATGCAGCCAGGTCATACGACTGTAGTCATCTACAACTGTGAGAAAATACTTGAATCCATCATAAGAAGGCTGAGGGGTTGGTCCCCAAATGTCTACATGGATGAGTTGAAAAGGTTCTGTAGTATTTGAAACACTGTGAGGAAATGGCAAACGCCTTTGGCGAGCAAAAGAACAGACATCACAAGGTTCTGTATGATTGATTTCTATACTAGAGTCTAATCTCTTAAGGTAAGGAACACGAGACTTAGATATGTGTCCTAGCCTATAGTGCCAGAGATCAAACATACTTGCAGTACTAGAAGCTACTACTTTGGAGTGAGGAATGGTTTGGTGTCTATGCATCTTGTAGAGACCATTGGAAAGCTCAGCAGAACCAATCACCTTCATCAGAGTTGTGTCCTGAATAAAACAGAAACAGGAAAAGAAGGTTAGGCAAAGTGAGCTGCTCCTTGTCAAAGTACTCACAGAGATAAGATTGAAGTTGAATTCTGGCACCAACAACACATCATCAAGTATCATATCTGGTGAGAACTGAACTTTCCCAATGTGGGTTGCTGTGACTACATTCCCTGTGGGCAGAGAAATTTCTGCTCCTTGGATTGCTACACAGGAGCTGTATAAAGATATATCACATATCACATGATCCGTTGCTCCTGTGTCAAGGATCCAGACCTCTCCAGTTTTGCCATTCACATTTTGAGGGAGGATAGTGAAACTACACTTGCCTGTATTGTAACTCTTACTCATGAAGGCAGCTGCTGAATGAGGGGTTGTATGTGATTGACTGGTTGATGTGGAAGTTGAGGCAGATGCTGTATGCGACGAATTCCCTTGCTGAAGCATGTTGAGCAAATTTGTGTACTGCTGCTGTGTAATTCCCTCATGATTTCCAGCAGTGACAAGATTTGCCTGTCTTGATGTTGTTTGAAACTGACCTCCACCTCTTCCATTTCGTGGTGTCATTCCAGGCGGCCATCCATGCTTATGGTAGCAGGTATCCTCTGTGTGTCCCTGCATCTTACAGTATGTGCAATAGGGCCTTTTGTTTCCAAAGTTGGATCGACCTCTACCTCTGCCTCTATATGCTGCATTAGTGCTGCTGGGATACCATTCATTCTTGGATGCCTCCTCTGGCATTTTGAATCCAAGTGACTGTAGGGCCAGTGCAACACTCTCAACCATTTTGTTACCATCTTGACTACCATAGACTTGCCTTTCATGTTGAGCCATTCGGTAATATACCTGGTCCATTGTTGGTAATGGATCTGAGAACAAAACCTGTGACCTAGGTATAGCATAGTTTTCATTAAGACCTCTTAGGAACTGGATAATCAGATTCATGTTCTGATATCCCTTGATTGTTGCTATAGCTAGACATCCTGAGTGACTAGTGGGAGTGCAATTGCAATCTGGGACTGGCTGGTAGTTCTTAAGTTCTTCCCATAAAGTAATCAAATGGGTATGATACTCACTAAGGGTTCTGGTACCTTGCTTGAGGTTAGCGAGCTGTTCTTGTAACTCTGCTATTCTAACCAAATCACCTTGTGCATACCTTGACTTTAGGGTTTGCCAGACCTCTGCTGCTGTCTTGAGACTCCGAACACTTTTACTGATGAGTTCATCAACCGACTGGAGAATCCAGCTTTTCACCATGAAATTGCATTGAATCCATGGTCCGTGCAGTCTGTCTGTTGCTGCTGGTTCCGGAAGGCTTCCATCAACGAATCCTAACTTGTTCTTGGAGGCTAGGGCATCAATCATTGCCGCACTCCAGTCAGTGTAGGTGGTTGGTGTGAGCTTCTGTGAGACCAGTGAGTGTCCTGGCTGCTCTGAACCATGGAGGTAGTAGGGATCTGTGAGTGGATACGTCGTGATGTTGGCGACGGCTGCCGCAGCTGCATTGGATGCTTCTTGTGCGTCCGTCATTGTTGGGAAAGTTCTTGATCAAACACTGAATTTGAGAAAGAGAAGAAAACGAGAAACGAAAGGAGGAAGAAGAGGAAGGCGGCGGTGGGTGTTTGCGGGTTAGGTCTCAGAAGCCTAACCAGGCTCTGATACCATATTGAAGATTTAGGGTTTTTGGTTTCAATGAATCGAAAAGCTTAGCTGCTTCTCTCTTCTTCCTCTGTTTATATTGCAAATCTCAGAACACAGGACAAAATCACAGCTGTGTCCTTTACACAGTAAATTCGGAAAACAGTAAAAACAGAATAGGACAACGGCTAGAAACGGTAAAACGAAAATCTCCAGTCTCTGCGTTCCACGTGTTCCACTGCGCTCCATTCTCTTCAACGGTGTCGTTTCCATCATTTTGACGAAGAAGAAAACTCTTCTTCTGTTATGAGGCGACGAGGAGGATGCAGATGATGATTTTGAAGGAAGGTCTTCATCTCTCTCCGTTGACTTGGTTACTGCGGGAGATGAACAACAAAAAAGAATTGGTAATTAGAACGACAAGGAAAAACATATCCTGCTCTCGTGCTCACTTTGGGTTTGCACAGCGGCGCAAGGAGCAGATGATTCGTACGTAGAGGGGCTCTGATCTCATGAATGGAAGATTCTTCATCCATGGCTGCTGCTGTGAAATGTTACATTGATGATTGAACTAGCTAGTTGCATGTGAATTGTTGTGAATCATAATTGATGAGGACAACGAATTAAGGGGGGGAAGGTGGGATTCCTTTATGTTATGAGAACAAAACAAGGCAGGGAATGGGCAGATTTTTTCTTCCCGTTTTTGTTTTCTATACCTCTTTATTGAGGTGATGATGCACAAAATAAATATCTTTGGGAGGAGAAACGTGGCTGATTAGTTATGCTTGAAAATAATAGATTTTTCTTTCCTAGAAATAAAAATAATGCTTGATAGTTATTAATTTGATAGGAGTCAGGAGTGGGAGTTTACAATCCATATCTACGAATTTAATTCAATCAATCCATTAAAAATATCAAAATCAATCCATTTAAATTTATTTGATCTAAACAAAATTAGATTGGTAGATTTATGGATTAATACATGAATCTAAATAAAAAATTGTGATTTAGTACTTATACTTTTTAGTCAAATATTCACTTGCGACAACCTACTATTAGATTATCGGATTTTACTCCAGCTATGGTAAGAAACTGATTAAATATTTTATTTATTATAACCTCGTGTATTTTTGTTTGGCAAAATACACTTTAATGGACACAACTTTCACGTTTGTGACAAATATATCCACAACTTTTGAAATACACAAAATATATAGTCAGAAATTTGAATAGCAATAACAAATCTAACCATTGATATTACAAACTATAACGATATTAGTGGCGCCGTTAATTATTGTGACGGAATGTTGACTATTTACATGTGAAGAACAATTAAAAGGATAGAAAAAGCATAGAGAAAATACAAAGATTGGATCAACATTCGCCAACCCATTCGAACAATTTACACACTATCATGTGCAAACAAATATGTACCAATTCATTCCCCTGAACCTTTTGCAATAGAGGAAAAAAAGATAAAAGAATCAACAACTAGCTTCTTCCTCTCAACATCCTTCCTCCCAAAAGAAAAACATCCTTAACTAGAAACAGGGCACCCTCTCGCAACAATACCTTGAGCTGTAGGACAAGAAGCCAAGGGACAGCCATCAAGGTCATTCCCCCACCAATCCAAGCTCACATTCTCCAAACCCAAACACAGGTACAGCAACACTCCCATAAACGCCAGCCCCGCGTCCAGCGAACCCGACAGCACGTAGTTGTACCTCTGCCACATCTCCGGCCGGTACCTGAACACCACGAACCCGGACAAGAACCCCGCCAGAATCCAGCTCGTGTAGTTCACCGCTGTGGCCGGCGGCATCGAGCCCGTCGCACCAATCAAAACCGGCATGTTAATCAGCCTTATCCACTCCTGTCGGGGGAACGCCCTGGTGGCCAGCCAGACCAGAATTGGGGCAACCGCTCCTCCTAGGAAGAACCAGTTCACGGAGGCGTAGAATCCGAGGTCGCCGAAGATTCTGCGCGGACCGATCAAACCCCAGATGACGGATGCGTCGTAGAAGACAGTGTCTCCCGGACACGTCCATACCGTGTTGGAGGCAGTACGCTCGCAAATGTCGGGGATGGATTCCATCAGCCACCACGCCGTGGACAGGTAGGTGAAGCAGGCAATCAGGGTCCCGACGACCTAATTAACAAAACATATATGACAGAGGTTCAATTACGGATTATACACATGCTTAACAGAACATATGGGAATTATCAGAAATTGAATCGAAGATTCGATTATGGATCATATACTATTCACTAACACGCACCTGTGCCATGAACATGGTTCTAGGCGGGATCTTCATGTAGTGGCCGAGCTTGAAATCTTGGAGGAAAGTGATGGCCTGCGTCATGCTTATGTAGCCATAGACTTTGAAGCACATGTTGGCTACAGGGTACCCTGGGTACACATACCCGATTATGTACTCAGTGATTATGTTCAGTCCAGGAGTCTGTCAATTTCATTATCCAACAGAAGCAAGTTAATTAATTGGTTTAGACATTCATTGTAATCCTTTGTACAGGAATAAGAAATACTTGTGGGTGTGCCTTTCAGTCACCTGGTTTGTAATGGCGGTAATGATCCCAATGGGCAGAGTGAAAACAATGGCAATGGTACAAGCCAGCAGCACACCCCACCATGGCAACTGAAGCTGCTCGTTGTAATACTCGCAGGCAAAAACGGTAGCCCCGACATTCGCAAACAGTATGCACCAAAACCACCACTCTGGCACTTGCTTGTATTTGCTCATCAACTTGGTGTGTATATCCATCGACTTCTCCCCAAAACTCGCCCTACTCTGCTCCCATATCTCCCTGCAATCGCCAAAATCAACCTTTCAATTTCATAGGCGACTTTCCAATTCAAAAGAAAAATTATTTTACCTTCCATGGAACATGGCAACGTGGACAATTGTGGCGGTGAGGGCGGCGAACCCAACTCCATAAGTCATGGCGAAAAACGTGCTGAGATAAAGGTTGCCTTGGCTCTCGTAGGCGGCGAGGTCGAGGTGGAAGGAGGAGTCGATGATGGAGGAGATGTTGTACTCCTGCCCGGTGGCGGTGAAGAGGCTGTCGGAGAAGATGGGGAAAGTCTTGGCTCGGTAGAAGTTGAACCAGTAGGCGATCGGGGTGACGACGTACATGATGAACACGAACCCGGCGGCGACGTTGGCGGTGGCGAACCATGGGCTGGCCAGTGGGCTGCCGAGGTAGGATGAGATGGCGGACCAGTCGAATCCCACGGCTCCGAGCCCGAGCCCGTTGAGGCCCGATCCGAGCTGTTGGGCCAGGACGGATTGCGGGAAGATCCAGCAGACCCAGGACATGGAAGTGAGCATCTGGAAGATGTATCCCGGGAAGACGTAGTAGGCGAAGCTGCAGGTGAGTGCGATGAGGAAGAATTGGTTTCGTGTCAGGCCGCCTCTGGACCGTTCTTCCTTCTCGTGTAAGGCCCTAGCAATTATTTGAAAGCCCAGTCAGTGAGAGCCCAACCGTAATTAGAAAATTATCAATAGTTGATAGAGGGGAATGCGCTGAGTGAGCCTACGAGTAATAATCCAAGTTTGTCAGCATAATCAAGCAAAACTTCAGTACCCATCTGCTTGGGCCCATTGAGCCCGGTTTCCGTGGCGTCAATGATAACTATTTCGTTGGAAATGACTTTTAACACCAAAATTTTATAGAAAACTATTTTTTTTTTTTTGGCAAGAACAAATGAGAAAGGCCCATCCCATGATGGCCCATGGGCCAAGGCCATTATGAAAGGGAGAGGAGGGCGGGGACCCCTGTCATCATTCGCAATTTGTATTTTTTTAGTTTGGACAGCTGAAAACTGAAAAGGATATCCACTCACCCTCTCTTAACTCTTCTACGATTAATGGCCCCTCCATCCTCCAGCGTTACCGGAAAATTTATTTCCCCAAGAATTTCATATACACAAACACAACCGTTTTTCTCTCCTTGGGAACCAACTTTTTTGTAAAAAAATTTACTTTGGAAATGTATTTGATTCTCATTGTAGTAATTTAATTACTCAAGACGTCGATTTATTGAATTTTAATTTTTAAAAAAAAAATAGTGGTCTTTCACTCTCAGTTTTAAAAGTAAAGGGAAAAGGACAATCAGCTAGGTTCCTGTTTGCTAAAGTGAACAAACTGCTACTCTCCCGGGTAACGTAAGCTAAAAAGCTGACACAATAATAAGTAAATCAAAATTCATTAGCTGTCGCCAGTCGCATTCGAGTAAACATACCAAACCCCCAACTGAAAATACCAAACAGCCCTCTGAATGTATGGCCACCAAACCGTACCTCATCACCTGTCTACCCTAATCTCACCGTGTTTCATCCCCCAACAGTCTCCGTTGAATGATAGAATCCAAATGGAAGAAAAAGGAGGGAATCTGGGAGAAGGGAAGTGAATTTTAGGGGTACCAACCTGAACAAGGAGACCTGGACGAGATTGGCCGGCCACCACATCGCCGCCGGCTCCACGAGATACCGCCGGAATATCCCCGCCCAACCAAACCCCAGCACCTGCGTGGTGATGACGACAATGAGGGACACAAAAAAAGTGAGGTTCTTCTTGTAAAAAGCCTTCACCACGGTAACGATGTGTATGGCGTACACGCTACCGGCCCCCGAGTTGGCGAAGATGGTGATGAGCACGTGCTCCTTCACGTTGAATGGGCCCGGGTTGAGCGTGAACTCCCACCTCGACCCACGGAAGAAGACCCGGTCCGTGATTCGGGCCGCCATGAGCTGGCCCAGCGGCACCACCGCGATCTGGGCCGAGATGGCCGTGATTGTCAGCGGCTCGGTCCGGTACCAAAAAAACTGGTTCAGAAACGACAGCAAGACGCACGACAGCGTGCCCAGGACCCACATCCGGAAAGTTAGCACCGGTAGGGTCGGGTCGTCTGTTGTCGGGACCGTCATCGCCACCTGTTTCACCGGCGAGTTCTCCTCTTCAACTTCTTGGACCTTGTGAGGCGATGACGACGAGGCAGATGATGACGAGGAAGGAAGGTCTTCATCTCTCTCCGTTGACTTGGTTACTGCGGGAGATGGAACAGCAAAAAGGATTGGTAAATAGAACGAGAATGAAAAACATGAAGATCGGAAGGGGGAGATGGTTCGTACGGAGAGGGGCTCGGATCTCGTGGATGGAAGATTCTTCTTCCATGGCGGAATCTGTGCTCCGGTGGTGGATCTGAGGAGAATCTCTGGCTGCTGCTGCTATTGCTGTGAAATGTTACTTTGGAACTAGGTGGTTGCATGTGAATTGTGAATCATGATTGATGAGGACAAAGAAGATAGGGGGAAAAGTGGGATTCCTTTCTCTTATGGGAACCAAACAAAGCCGGGGAGGGAGAGGCAGATTTTTTTTTTCTTTCTGTTTTTCTTTTTCTATGCCTAATTATTAATGAGGTGGTGGCAGAAAATAAATGTATTTGGAAGGAGAAACGGGGTTGATTAATTATGGTTCGAGGGAAAATAAAAATAATGCTGGAAAAAATATATATATATAAGGTGAAAAATGATGAATTTGATAGGGGTGGGAGTTGTCGTTTTTCTCCATAGCTAGCTGGTGAGCTACCCCACGCGCCGGTTTGGAGGTTTGGGATAATTTGGAAAAGGGTTGGTTGTTGAACCATTTTTTTGTTATAATTTGTGAAAATGGTTAAATACTTAAATATCAAAACTAACCATAGAAGGCAATGTCTAAAGAAACAAATGCGTAAACAAATCAAACACTAACCCACATCAAACTCATTGCTAGCATGCACCAGAATTCATGGCATCCGTTTAACAGAACCTTTTACATAGGTTCCGTGTTTCGTCAACCATCTATCATCCTTATTCAAACATTCAATCTGAAAACTCCGATAGCGGTGGGAAAAAGGATCATTGAGAGAGAAATATCATTACATTAAAAAAAGTTAGAGAAATTACACTGTGAATAAGATTAGTGTGTTAGTGTAAAAGATGTGAGAGCAACATTGTTCGATTTTTAGATCTTTTATTAGATAAGGCAATCTAAACTGAGGAAAGATTGTGATGATGGATCATTTTAAAGTTGAGCCATCAATGTATAACTCTGTATCTCTAAGCTATTATGAGTTACCTTATTTTGACAAAAAGATCCCACAAATTTATCATGATAATAGATTAGTACGCTAAATGATGTCATAAAATTTTGAAAAGGGACTTGATAATTACAAAAATGAAACAAAAGATGTACAAAAATCAAAGAGAGTAAATTCTTAACTAGATAGGAGATATATTTAATAACTTGATGAATAATTTTGAACACAACATAAGTTCATATTCTTAATCTGTATAACTTAACTTTGAAAGAAAAAAAAACTAGTTGTTTCTCATCTTATCCGTACCAAGATATAACTTTAGAAGTTAGAACTCTTTGAGGATGTCATTTGGATTCATGGATAATCCACCAATCCACTTGGTCCAATCTATGAATCCATCAATCCATTTGATCCATGGATCCACCAATCCGCCAATTCAATCCAATTGCCATCTCTAAATCTAAGTCTTTGAATCCCCGTGGATCTCAGGGTGGAGAGAAGGAGAAGCTCAGGCAATTTTTTTGCTTGGTTGCAGACTTGTTGCTTCTATAAACAAAGCTTTCGGTTGGAGGTGATGATGTTACAATTAATTTTGGTTTGGAAAGGGGCTTCTCTTATCATCAGCAACTAGCTAGCTAACCGGTTTCATCCTGCTACTCAACTGAGGAGCCATGCCTGCCAGTCTTGTTACTTGCCTGACACTTGAGCATAAATGGAGAGTCGCATAGATTAGCTGTGCCTGTAATCTGCTGGGATTTGTTCCTCGTGTCTTGGTCACTTAGGTGAAGCTCGGGATTGCTGCGCTGAAGTACTGGGGCCTTGACAAACCGAGCCTTCACAAATCAATATTTTGGTCCATATTTTTAACAGTAGGGAAACGGGAAATGGGCAACAGACTTGGGCCAAGCCCAGTCCTTTTTTTCTAAAACGTACAGGTATAGCCTTCATTTTCCTTCTTTTATTCCATTCTCAAGGCCTTGTTCTGAAGCAAAACTTGGCTTTGGACGGGATGGGATTAGGTGCTAACCCTTATAGGGGATAGCACCGTGATAACTAGCAAAAAACGCTACTAAAAACAACGAAATCACTACTGATTATTATAAAATCAATACAACATCTAAGCTAAATCACTACTAACCCTTGGTTAGGACGGTGCTAACTCTTGTACAATTAGCACCGTAACTCCTCCCGCTTTGGACACTTCCCAGACCACTACACTAAACTGTGATCTAAACAGCTAGCCCACCTTCACGAGGCAGTTTAACCGGGAGGCGGGAGTTCTAAGCAGGCCACAACAGGTTATTTTGTCACATTGGGGAGCCCCTTTGATTCATGGCACAACAACAAATTCATCGACGAGGATGTATACAAACATCGTGGTAGGTTGAGGATTGGAACCAAAGACCTAATGATTGTTTCACTTGCGAGTACTCATATGATTTCTCTGATTTCGGTAGATAAACTATGATCACGAGACACTATCATAATCACGAGGAGGATGAAAGAAGTGAGTTTTAAACAAACATAGTTAATGAGAAGGAATTCAGTGGTGGTGATTGGTGAAGGCAAAAAGCAATGCTAGATTGAGAATCAATATCATAACTAAACTATCCATAAAATAAATATTGTAGGTCACTCTTCTTAATATGATGAAAACTTGATAGGTGGGGATTAGATTGATAGTCTAAAAAGCACATACAATCATACTTCCAATCCCCACATGGGTCCCAATATAATATTATCTTAACCATAAAGGACAAAATAAATAGTGATTCATAAATAAATAAAAAATAGCGTTCACACAGAACCCATTAATTTTTCATTTTCTGTCATTAATCAGTAGTTGAGTACTCATCACATGGCTAATTATCAAAACAAAAGATACTCTCAGACTCAATAATAATTTTAATATTGGTAATGAGGAAAATGTGGCGAAACTAGCTAGCGAAGCTTCCTCCAAGCAACCGGGAATCATGGAAGCTGAAAGCTCACCTATACATATATAAACTCGCCCATCAATCAAATCAACCCAGATCAGTCTAAATTAGATCGAAGAAAAAAAGCAAAAAAGCATCCATCCCATCCTCTTCAAAGAAATACAGAAAAATGTGTGCTCAGATTGAAACCCTCCTTCTCCTCTCCGATGATCCCTTATCTTCACTGGAATCCATTCTCAAACACCTCCTCGACGACGACAACGTAACTTTCCCACAGAGCTGGCTGCAGATAGTGTTATTGCCCCGTTTTATGAACTCTCGGCCGCTGATTGGAGCGATATAATTCCTGCCGGAGGCTAGTAATCATGTTAAAATGGTATATATCGGTTGAGAACACATTTGATAAATCACCGTCCTAAAATTGACAATCCCAATGAAGAAAAGAATTCTATAATTATATGTCATTCTTAAACCATCTCTAGTCATGTGTTGGTGCAAAAATTCCAAAAGTGGATTAAAATAGCTCCAAATCTACTTAACCACTTTCAAAATTTTCTTTACTTTCCATCACAAAGAAGATTCATCAATTTATCTTTGTGTTACATCAACTTCTTTTTACCTCTTGTCAGCTTCTCTATCAGGGGGTATCATGAAGTAAAAAGAGTTTTATTTTTTTGCGTTAGAGAAATGTATGACGGTTGATTTAAGAATGAAGCTGGACAGAGACCAAGATTGAGGGTTTGATTTATAGAAACACAAAAATATTCATTATGCAAGGATGTGAATGTGATCGAAGTTGCATGAACACTACATTACACAACTCATTCTAATTAAAATTGGATGAATAGTTGATATCTATACTCATTATGGTTAAAGTTGGATGAAGAATTGATGAAAAACTTAAGTTGGACGACTAATTGATGACACAACCCACTCTAAACAAATATGTTTTTTCGTCACTGATGTTGTCATGTTTAATAACAAAAGAATGTCCAAATTTTTAAAAAATACATCGAAATGTTAATCTTAATTAATTATTACTACCTATAAAAATGAAAAAATTATGTAACTAAAATGAAAAAATTTACTCTAAAATAGATTAAGACAAAATATATGAGAAGTACCATTGATGAAAACTTGAGGGGTGACACTTAGGGGTTGTTTGGAAGTTGTGATTCTTTAAATTGATGTATTGGGACAATTAGTGTATTATCATTTGATTGATTGAATCAATTGATGTATTAGGTAAATATCTTGTTTGGAGGTTTAGATTGTGTTTTTGTTCCAAAGGTAAAAAAGTTAATATTGAGTGATTGTGAAGAATCTCAACAAAAAATAGAGATTGTAAATCCCTCAATATTGAATGATTGTAGTGGGGCCTCCAAAAAGTAAATACATGTATTCTAGTTCTACATAAACCAAAAAAAACGACTTAATCTCACTAATTAATATAAATACATTAATTAAGACCACAAAATGATCCCCGACCATCTCCTCAAATCTCCACACGGGTACCAATTCTTTAACCATAAAGGACAACTAAAAGATGATTCATGAAAAAAAGTGGTTAAACAGAACGCCATTTTTCATTATAAATCAACAAAACATATTATATGCTTCACTTCATATCATTTCTGCCACTTGGCACTTTCATTGGCTCTCCCTATTTCATGGAAGGGCAATTTTGCCAATATTAAAAACACATGCGTTCTGTTCATATTTGGAGTTTTGGACCAAATAATGCCGACCTCTTTAAGAGAAGCCACTCTTGGAATATGAGATTCCTACCGCCGAAGGTTACTTTTGTTAACATACCATTATTCCAAACTACATGGCTACGTTAATTTAATAATTTTGCTAATGGCCATTTCATTATTCCAAACAAAACCTCGATTTCATTTCAAATTTGGTTCGGTCGAGTCAAGTCGCTTGGGAATTCGACGCAATTAAATTAACAGTTTTTATAGCATAATTATTTTAATTACTATCTGAAATGTGAATTGGAAGATGAAATTGCAATTTCATGCAATGGATTAGGGATGATAATTTTGCCCATACTTATAGATATTTTACTATCCAAATAGAGGGTAGATGGGTAGAGTTTGATGGGTTTGTACCCATATTTATGAACTTGGGTTGGAGTTTTAACACATAGATTTTGGTTTGTAGTTTGTACCCATGCCCAAATGCAAATTACAGTTTTTGGTAGCTAAGCTTAATAGATATGCATATTAGGTACCTAAATTTTATTTTTGTGCATATAAGTCCTCAAAATATCAATGGAAAATTACATTTTAGCACCTAAATTCTTTAGGTATTGCATTATGGTACCTAAACTTTTCAAATTTTACAAATAGGTCCAACTTTGTACGTGTAGTTGAAACACTCTCAAGAAAATGGATATCCATACCCAACCCAAATCATTTGAGATTATGGAAGCAATATTCATATCTTACCCAAAACACATATATACCTCATCCATACCCTAACCCATTAATCATTATCAATGGGTCTATTTGAGTTTGGCTATAATTATCATGGGTGGGTAATTGCTATCCCTAAAATGAATAACTGAGGCTAAAATAGAAAATCGAATGATAACAACGGAAGAAGACACAATATGAGAAGAAGATGAAAGTGATTGGCTATATTTTTGGGCAGACAGAATGTTAACTTATGTTGACAATAGGCAGTAATGAAAATGAATTTCATTTGGCCCTCCGTCATATCGAGGTCAACATTCCGTTCGATCCTATTCAAGCAAAAAAATAGTTTAATTGGGGTTGAATCGAATGTTGATCTTGGTATGTCCACCAATAGTTAACAAGATTGGGTTTTATCATGGCCACGATCAGCCAAAGTCTACTTGCAATCGAATATTTTTCTAATTGGGATTAACTTAATGTAATATAAACTAAATTGTGATTGGAGTTTTTTAATATTTAGGATTTAAGGGGTGTTTTAGGAGAGTTGATTTTTTTTTGGGTAGGATTTGAATTATTATTTTTCTTCGTAGATGTGTTTGTTGAGTGAAGGGAAACTAAAATGTACAAAAGAGTGAAAGAATATTTTTAGGACACATTTAGTAATTTTTAGGACGACGATAACAACCTCATAATAAAGGCCCTTAAAAAGAATTGGTTACCTTCATTAGATGTAAAATTGGCAAGGGTAACGTGGGACCTATTTGTATATTATTTATTCGAGTCAAATTGATTAATAAATTAAGAGTTCAATTACACCGGATTAGGAATGATAATGGGTTAGGCAAGAGCGGGTATCTGATAAGCATACCAACTACGTGGCATGTGAGTTCAAGGTCGGTTAATCAATCATGAAGCATGAGTCGGGGCACATTAACCCATATGGTTATGTAATTTAAGAAAAAATATTAAAAATATTGAGTTTCATTAAAAATTAGGTAGCAAACAATAATAAGATAACTATAGTCAAATTATTATAAGAACTTGGATATGAATTTACTCGATAAACTCAACATAGATGACATGTCAGCCTTTTTGAAACTAAAATCACACAAAAACATTTTTGTCCAATAGATTTAGACCTATAAATAAAATCCTCATGTCATAACTGGATGGAATGTTAAACTGAAAAAATTAGTGGTATATAACTATTCATGATCTATAACATAAAGCTTTGTTTTTATAACTGGACCGGATGAAGATGCAAAAGAGTGAGTGGTTTAGGATTCAGTGGTTAACATTTGATTGAATCGTTCATGATCTATAGCACATAAAACATGTATATTAGTGATACACTAATGTATAAAATGGATTTATCATTGACCAGAAAAAATTTTCAAATTCTTATTATTTATCAGCAAAATATCTAACGAAGTGTTCAAACCATCTAACAAAAGAAATCATAATTCTTTTAATTCATGTAAGAAATTAGGGCGGCAGTTGGTAGTCGATCACATAGAGCTGACAATGAGGTTGGGAAATGAGAAGATGAAGCATAAGTAAAATTAGTGATTATGTTTAAATGGTCTTAGTTTATATTTAAGTATTTTTTTTAATTATGGTTAAAATACCGAACCAATGGATCAATCAAAATGGGGTGGTTCATCTGGTTTTATGTTGAACAATGAAATTTTTTTTGATCCATAATTAAACGTCCAAGAAAGTGAATAAATCCTATTGTAACTGATTTGACGATTCTACTAACCCAACCATTGATTGGTCCGATTCTTATAACAATAAATTAAAACCGGAAAACATGCATACATATCATGAAGAACCAGTAATACCACCGGCCAACGGGCCGGTCACTAAACTAGTACGTTCTATAGTTAGTCAGTAACTCAGTACTCAATTCCCATCACATGGTGATACCTTTTTCTAGAGAAAAAAACATTTTATACAATAGGAAAAAAAGCCCTTCTTATATTATATTCCTTCTCAAAAGGCCTCGTACTAATAGGCTTGGTAGACACTATTATACAAGGATTCATTCCCTTGTATTTCCGATGTGGTACTTGGATTGTCCCATAACAAATGTGATTTACTCATCAATCTCGATATGTTTTGTCCTTTCATGAAAAGTTGAGTTCTCAATACTTAATCAGTAAAGTGTGTAACGAACGAACTATATCAATTTTATACATCTTTTCAAAATTTGAACAAGTATTGAAGTGAATAACTCAAGAAAGAAATAACAACAACGTCATAAATCCATGTTATATGATCCATCGACTATGGATTTCGATAATACGAGGAATCTTTGGTAAAAAAAAATTATGGATTTTGATAGTCTGACTACTCATTTACAACATAACAACTTTGCGTAATGAAATTCAGCGTTATACCAATACGCCGTCGTGTTGTATGTTGGGGTTGGATTGTGTTGGGTGGGTTTTGGCGTTTTGGGTGATGTGAAGGGCAAGGAGTGGTAATTTGAGGGATAAAGGCTGCCAAGTCCAAAGTTCCAACAGGGCAAGGGGCAGGCATACAGCAAAAGTGCAAAACCGCAACCTGTCTTCCTGATCAGTAACCTACCAAATTCCGATACAAAAACCACGCTCCTTCTTTCATCTCCCCAGCTACCTGCTACACAACCCTAATCACAATAATTGATTTCTTTCAAAAGATCATTCCCCTCCCCTTCGCAATCACCGCTCGATTGCTTCCCCCTTTCTTTATTGGTTAAAAGAGACCACGCGATTGATTAGCAAGAAGCTTAATTCGCAAACATTCCGAGGTTCTTTTTTTTGTTCTTCGGTTGAATTGGACTCGCAATCTCAAACGGTTACTACCCAATCCGTAAGTAGTTCGTTTGCTGCAGAAAGTTGTCATCTTTTCCCTTTTTCCAGCTTGCTTTGCCCTTGCCCTTGCCGATTCCCTGATCCTCCTGCTTTTCTGTTGAATTTCTATGCTATGGGGGTTGTCTCGTTTAAAAAAGGGTTCTGGATTGTTGATGTTAGATATGGGGAGTTGTTGATTTCGTTTCCTGTGTGTTGAGTAGGTGGCATCTCTTTGTTGCCTGAGAAGGAAGGAAGAGTCCGACAGGCGACAATAAAGGGCAAGTGATGTGTTAGTGTACAGCTTATCAGTTACTTATAGTCAAGTAAGCTTCCCTTTTCTGCATATGTCGAATGATCCGGTGGAATTTTCAGCAGCTACATGGGATTGATGGATGATGTTGCTTTTGTTGCATTTTCTTGTATGCTTTTATTGCACTTGGCCCTGAAACCCACCAGCAGAGCCAGAGTATATTAGGAGGTGTTGCTGCACCAAAAGAAACAAGAGCAATGGCGGAATTGGTTGGGCCAAGGTTGTACAGTTGCTGTAATTGCAGGAACCATGTTGCCCTTCACGATGATGTCATTTCCAAGGCTTTTCAGGTTGAATTTCCAATTCTCCCTCCTGATTTTGGTATGTTGAGAGGACAAATGCTTGAATCGCTGCAGATATATACGATGCTTGTGGTGGTTGAATGATGTTTACTTACTTATCAGGGAAGACATGGACGAGCATTTCTATTCTCGCACGCGATGAATGTTGGCATAGGGGCGAAGGAGGATAGGAACCTAATGACTGGTCTCCACACAGTTGCTGATGTCCACTGCAGCGACTGCCGAGAAGTGCTTGGCTGGAAATATGAACGAGCTTACGAAGAGACACAGAAGTACAAAGAAGGCAAGTTCATTCTTGAGAAGTCCAAAATCGTCAAGGAGAATTGGTAGCACTCCCCAATCCGGATAAATAAGTAAAAGAAACCAGCACATCATCATCTGTATTATATATATATAGCTTTGCTTTCTTCCTTGTGCTGCTGATATCAGCTAGTTATATTTGTTTGTTACTCTGTATGTGAATTGTGAAGAGAAATGGGGAGGAGGAGAAGGAACGAAAAGGAAAGGAAGCTCAACAATTGCAAATATAGGCTTCCTTCCTGTACCCTCCCATGAAATCAATGTGCAGTTATTTTCCCACCATGTTTTGTGCTGTGTGCCTCAGTAACCTCCTGAATGTTGACTGTCCTATTTCGGTTGCTGGTAAATGAATGGATTGGAATCAGATTTCATGTGTTTCCAACAGTACTACATTGCTAAAGAGGGGCAACTCTCCTGGAAACAGAAATGGCGCTTGCTCTCTGTCCGTACGACCTTCAGAGTGAAATCCTAAGTTTAAACGAGTGACTCGGAAGTGTTTGGTTTGGTAAGATCCCATGCTCTATAAAAGATTGTTTCTGGTAAAGGGAGTGTATTTGTTGGGAACTAGCCCCCTTGTTCTTCAAACAGTAGGCAACGGAGCATTTCAGCTGGTACTGCTCTGCTCACACTACTAGATACATCTTCCGGGCACATCATCTAATAAACTGTGAGCTGCTCCCAGTTCCCATTAACGATGATATTCTTACCCTGGCCAATCTCCTTTTCTTTGATAAAATTTTGGAATATGGGAGTAGAAGAAGAAAAACTAAAGCCAGAAAAGTTATTTTGATAGCAGCATCCAAAATGCGGATACGGGTCAATCCTCATCTCTTTTAGACCATCATGTCATTATGAATAAAATGCCAAATGGGACAATTATGCACAATTTCTTGTTTTGAAATATTTTCCCCTCATTGAATATCCCATCGAAATGTATCATTAGTGTACTAAAGATTAAAGAATGAACTTCTCATTGTACTAGTACTATTGCCATAAGAGTTCGATCTATTTACTTATGCGGCATGGATCATTGAAGATTTCGTGAAATCTAACAACTAAGAATTCGGATTAGATAGAAAGGTTTGTTGTAGACTCACTCAACTACTGATCTACATCGCTTAACCAACCTTCCCAACCTCCGGTTTTCTGCTTTTGGAACATGCGAAGAGGTGAAGAAGAAGAAATTGATTATTGAAGGAAGGCACTACTTGTATATATAGTATAGTTTCATTACAGATGAAGCCGTTGACTGACCTGTGATCATAAGACAATGAACTGGCTTGGCGGTTAGGTTGAAGTGATAATGCATGGTGCCGTATAGCAAACCCTTGCCCAGAAATGTTCAATTTCTCTGTCCGGCATTGCTTGATGTAATTTTGAATTACCGTTCAAGTAGCCATTTCTACTTATTGATCGACTGGTTCAAGTTGCCATACCCATGCGTACAAGGAAACCAGTTTACCGGAATAATTCTTTAAGAATAATCGAAAATAATCCAGTTATGTACACAGAAAAATATAACAGTAGAATTCAATGGTCAAGTAGAAACTCAACAAACGATGAAGTCCCACCCCAAAAGCCAAAAGGGGGAAACGGGAAAAAAATCCAACACAAATGAATTCCTTTGAGTTGCCCCCAGCCACAACTAAAACTCAATCACTGGAAGCAAACAAAGAATTGAGAACAAAAAGAATCAAAACCAAAACAAGATGGGAGACTAAAGGGGCAATCTACAACTAACACAAATCACATCACATAACAACAGCTACTTTTTTCTTGGCCATCCACTTCCTTTTCGCGTTATCCACTGCCTCCTCCCTCAACCTCGACAGTTCTTGAAAAAACATATTGTACTGCATATCAATAGCAGCCAGTTCCAGCTGCAGCTCATCACCTTCTTGCTGCTGCTTGTCTTCTTCTCCACGCGACAGAGAGCAGATGCTGGACAAGCAGCTCATATTATTATTATTATTATTATTATTCACAACAGAGTCTGAACTGATGATCACATCACTTGCATCCTGTCCCAGGCCATAGTAGTCAGGAGAAGAAGACAAAATCACGGTTTGCTGTTGGTTGTTGTCGATAACATCATCTGAGGAAGAAACTGTTGTGAGATAAAACTCGGTGCTAGAAATGTCAGAAACGATCGTTGTCGCCCGGGCCTCTTCTTGCTCTTTGGTAAACAGCAGCTGAGTATTGTTACTACCAAACAAACCATTCTGCTGCATAATTGCAGCACCGTGCAGCTTCATTATCAAGCTATCAATCATCTCAGCAATCACAGCAACATCTTCACTTGGCAATTCAAGTTGTTCAACCATCTCCTCTGCTATTGTGAGAGTAGTATCCGAATCCAGAAAATAGGAGAAGTGTATGTTCCTAGCCCTTCCTGTTCAAACAACCCATCAACACAGATTAGCATTACTGCATTATTATTAGGTATGATAGCGGGTTAAAGCAAAAGCGATAAACTAGCATCACCATTATAAATTATTTACTCACCACATGAATCGGCAATGCGGAGGGTCATTGAAATAGTATTCTCGTCGTTCTTCTCCCCTCTTAACCTGAATCCATTTGTCTCGGTGCACCTCTCAACTTCTAGAGGTGAGAGCTGCATTGCTTCGTTCATGCTTTCAATGCAAGAAGTTTTTGATGATGACTTCTTGCTATGAATATCTATTTCCATGGGAAACGATTCTGATGGAAGAAGTGAGTTGCCTTGCCTGAGCATCAGACTTGACAAATCCAGAGAATCAGAAGAAATAACTACTTCCTTTGGAGTGACTGTTGCTGCTAAAAATGGGTCTTTAAGGAGTTCAATGGCAGGCAGTCTTACAGATGCTGGGACTAAACACTTCTCTATGAACTCCTTAACTTGAGGGTTATCGACTTTAGCAAGGGAAGCTGGCTTTACACCCTGCAGAAGCAAAACTGATAATTTTACTACAGCAATATTAAAACTACTAACCATATATTAGAAATAACATAATGCTTCAGGAAATTAAACTAACGCTTACCGAAGAAACTTTCTTGTAAATCTGTGCTGGATTTCTGCATTCACAGTATGGGTATTCACAAGTAACCATCTCTAGCATGCACAAGCCAAAAGAATAGATGTCGACAAGTTCTGTGTACTCTTCGTCATAGAGCTCTGGGGCCATGAATTCAGGAGTACCTGCACAATAACAGAGGAATAAGTATAGTTCTAAGAGATGACCTGCACTCCACATTTTAATGTATTAAAAATTGCACAATGTTCCCATTATACAACAATTAAATAATAAAAAATTCTTGATAGGAAGAATATATAAGCATTTGATTGCAAACCTATCAAGAAATCACAGCAAAGCGCCATATCCCTATATCAGTTACTCAATGTCACAGTTCCGCATTAAGTAAGCAATCCAAGTTGTATTGTTTCCTAAGAAGAGAAGTAATACCTATAACACTTCGAGCAGTTGGCTGCTGCATGATAGTAGCTAATCCAAGGTCTCCAATTTTAACTTCCCCAGTGTTGCCATTGACAAACACATTGTCACATTTCAAATCACGATGTATGATAGGAGGGCTCTGACTGTGCAAATAGTGTAAACCTCTAAGTATCTGTCTGGCCCAGTTTTTTATAGCCTTCAATTCAACATGCTTATGCTTCTTGCGATACCTAAATCGTTTAAAAAAAAATCAGAAACAGTAAGAATATGCAGGAAAGTTTAACACAGACATAGACGCACAAAAACAGATGTGACAATCGTACTTACTGCCTCAAACTGCCAGAAGTGAGCAACTCCGTAATCATGTTGATAGTTCTATTCTTGTCATCTACCCAAGAGTGATAGGACTTGATGATGTTTTCATGCTTCAGTGACTTGAGCAGATGAACCTCCGAATATAACCTCTCCAACTGTTCCGGTGTCTGTAATGCATCTTCAATGTTCATTTGGTTCCAAGCAACTTCAATTCCGTCAGACTCATCAAATGCCTTATATCTGTCATAAGAAACTAAGAAATCAGTACATGGCTCTTTTGTATCAGGGAACATGAAAAGAAAGTAACAAATAGACAAACAAAGTGCTAAGCAGAGGGAACATACACAGTCTTGAATGCCCCTCTGCCCAAGATCTCATCATACTGGACATTAAGAAAAAAAAGGAAAATAAAATATCAGTATAATGATCAATAGAGAGAAAACCCTCATAAGGTACAAAATAAGCAAAACACCGCATCCACAAAGGATCAACATTCATCTACTCCTTCCCATCAAAAGGAATGACAGAGATAGCTTAGCTCGATCGAGAACCCCAGTTCAATGACAACAAACGAAACGAAACTATTCATAGAATATATTGAGCTGATCCCACATACTCGAACTACTCCAGACAATATCCCGTAATAACAATTTGATTAATCGCCTAGCAAATTAACAAGTCCAAATTCAGGTTGATTAGGGATCCAACAATGAGTAAATATATATATATTTTTTTTTTGGCAACACGATGATTTCATTCATGAAACAATTGTTGTACAAGCGAGCTCAGAAGAGTTCATACCCGAATGTAACGACCCGTTGGATCTTTTTCCACAACCAGGCCATCGTCACAAGAACCAGAATCTCCCATACTCGATTCAAGTACGAGACAGCACCCACCAAAAGAAGACGGGAGACAAGATGCACAAAGCAAAAAGGGACGAGAAGAAAAAAATAGCAAAGAAAATGGCAGAAAGAAGAAGAAGGGAGAAAGATGGAGAGGGATGGCCTCTATTAGAGAAGTTCGATAGCGGAGCAGGAAGAAGAGGAGGAGGCGATGGAGAAAGGAAGCGGGAGCTGATTACGGCTGTGTTCAGAGAATGCCTCACAAGCGACGGAGTACGAATCGAATGCCGACTGGAAGCGGAATCGACACCCGAAACCAAAAAGAATCATGATACTCGACCCCCGCAATTGGAATTGGGCGACGGAGATCGGCAGCTGCCTCTGATGAATCTGTTCCGACGCGGTTACACAAGCCCTAGACGCAGCCATAACGCTATCCACATCCTTTGAGGCAAGGAGAAGCTCCCTCTCTCTCTCTGTGTTTGTTGGTTGTTTGGCTCTGGAGGTTCGACTAAATCCAACTGTTAGAGAGAGCGGCAATCGAACGAGGAAAAGCTCAGAGAACCCGAAACCCTAAATTGAAAATTTCGGGGCTGGTGGAAAAAGGTAGGAAGAAAAGCGCGGCGGGCGTTGAGGAAAGGAGGGAGCGGTTAATTAGGAGCAGCCGGCGAAATTCGTTCCAATACGATAAGAGAGAAAATTAATAATTGGAATTATATGGGAAAGTCGTAGTTGCCAGTTGGAATGGAACACATCAACCTTTCCCACTGAGATAAAGCCAGCGGGGTTGTTGTCAACAAAATGTTTCCTTTCTTCTTTTGGGTAAGGTTTCTTTTTTCTCCTTAAATTCGGGTGGAAAAAAGCAAATCCGAGTCCGACCACTAAACGATTAACTGGCCCAAGCCCAAGTTAAACAAAAGCCCAACTGCCAACAGAGATCCAACGACACCTCAAATTTACCAACCATCTCTTATATACAGTTTCGAAACTTGAATTCAGTTCATATACATCTTTTCCTTTGACAATCATCATACACCATCAGATTTTAAGATTCACAGTTGGTGATTATAGTCACAATGCACACAGGTAAAATAAGATAACTCAAAATTAATTACCACAATTTCATCAGTATATTGTCGCCCCACCAGGATTTTGAGGATTGAATTGAAAAGAGGAAAGAAAAATAATTAGGGAAACACACTTCTTCTGGATCAATCAACAGAGATATGGCAGGCAGTCAGTGATTGATGGAAATCAATACTATCATCGTAGTACTTGCTCTTCTTCTTCTTCCTTTGAAGAGAAGCAAAGGAGTTGATGAGATGAGAGCTCAATCATCATCATCGCATCCTATAGTGCTGAGTTCTCGCAACAACACAGCGCTTGCCATTCAATGCATATTTGACCATGATGTCAACGTCTCTAGGATTCTTCTTATTTTGGGAAACTGTCATGCTTCCACTCAGCACTTCGCCTTCACATATTGTTAACACATCCTCCAAGTACAGCACTGTCTGTTTCCAATGTGTAGCCCTTGATCTTGGGCCTGCACGTATTACAGTTCATGTTCGCCAGTTAAATGAGAGCAATTGTGAGAAATGAAACTGGATTCAGTAGGGAAGGGTGAAGGATAAGCTGGTCACCTGTGGAAAATCCCATCAGTTTATGGCATTTGGTAAATGATACATCAAAGTAGGCAACCAATGCATGGATAAAATCGTTACGCTCTGCCACCAGCTTGAAGGGGGCAGTAAACGAACAATCACCAGAAGTCATCTTGGAGATGTCCATCGTCTGCAAATGAAATGAAGTGAATGAATAAGAGAAACACAAATCGTGACAGGGCAAGGAGGCACATTCAACAGGCAAGTACTTGTTCCAATAACAAGTACCTTGAGTAGTTGGGAGTTTGTAACAATTTGATTCTGCTCGCAGGTGTCAACTAAAGGTTCCATGATTGCTTGCCTCTTAATGCAGCTCATGTCAAAACCATAGACATTATTCCAAACTGCAGCACCGGCATTAAATAAGTCACATTCCAAGATAAAATAAATGCATTTGTTTAAAAAGAACAACACATGAATCGAACCCCTGAGTAGCAAGTGAGAGCAAGTAGATACCAAAATCATATTACAACAGAACAAAAAACTTCAGTAAACTAACATTCAATCTTATCATCTTTGTAGTCTGCATCCTCAATGGCTGTCAAAAAAAGGGAAGCTTTGTCGGGTAGCACAATACCATCGTTGACCTGAAGAAAATCAAGTGGAAATGAGATTAAACAGGAAATCATATCAAGGTTAATTTTGTACTGGTCCAAGTACAACTAAGCTAATGTGCAGTTCAAAATTCATATGACTCTCAATACAGATTCAGAATTGAGTTAAACTGAAATACCAACTCAAAAAGTCACGAAGTGCTCTCCTGTTCAGTCCTTCAATACAACAAATGACTGCCCAAGTGATAAGATGACTCTAACATGCACAATCAACTCTACAGAGCAGCAAAAACTGAATTCAACTTCATGATCTATTGCCACAGCTCTGACAGTGATAAAAGGGGCTTTCAACTATGACACATTGCACAATCTACTGCGGATTAGTAAGCAAATCAATATAAAGAGAAGACTTACAAGCCATTTATCACGTGCATACAAAACTGTATTCAACATGTTCTCAAACAAGAGAAAGTATCCCATCCATTCTGAAACTATTACATCCACTTTATTCACTGGGAGCTCTATTTCTTCAATCTTTCCCTTTAAAACCGTTACAACTGCAGCATCAGAAGAGTGCCAAAACATAATCGTTTCAGTAACAGGAGGGACATATTTATGTTTCCAATGCCTAAAAGAAAGAAAACAGCCTCACCATCCGACATGCCATTCGATTCAACAATTTCCTTCGCCATGTTAGCCATGCTCGAGCACTCAACCTACAAGTCCAAACATCAGCAGCAGAAGCATTTAGCTTTACTTGAGCACATACAAAAGAACAAACCTGCTAATTGCCCAAAATAAACAATTACATGAACAAGAAAGGCATACCGCATAAACATGGGCTGCTCCAGCTTTAGCACAGAACAAGGACAAAATTCCAGTCCCGGCACCAACATCAAGCACTACTTTATCCTTGAAGAGGAACTTATTCTGATAAATGACATTTTGGTATGTCTTGGTTCTTACAACGTCCTTCAGCATTTCCTGCAACAGACACAGTAGTTGACTATTGGAATATAGACTAGGACTACCAGTAAGCAAACCAACATTAAGCAAGCAAATCATATCAAAGCAGTCTACTCATAGCATTCAGCTCATTCATTCATGGAGTAGATAAGAGAACCACGAGGTAAACTGCTGATACAGAGTATCAATTCCTGAACACAGAACACCCCCAACTTAGTTTAGAAACGACAAAACAACTCAGAACCAACACTTACTTCGTGAATGCCTGCAGAAACACAAAAAGATAGAAACTTTATTAGCTACTGAAGAAGGGCAACAACCTAATGCAAGAAAATGCACAAAAAATGAAAAAAAGAGTTTAAAAAAGTTTACCAAAGTGGGAGTAAGAATCGAAGTAGTAATCGGCGCTGGTTTGGTCGTCGTCCCCGTGATTGGGCCCGGTAACAGTAGCGTCGGCCTCTGACATGGAGTCATCGTCCATAGCAATGGCTTTGTCGCTGGGAATAGTAGTAGAGACGTCGAGATTAGAACTGTCCATGGCCGGCTTGTCCTCTTCTGCGTCCTGGAACCGGATCTTTGAGCCCTGAGGCTGCTGGGATGCTGGGAAGCTCGCTGAAGTATTGATGTTCTTGTTGGCGTTGTTCTTTCGACGGCCCATATGTGTTTGGAAATTAGGGTTTAGGGTTTTAGGCTTTATCAGTAATGGAGGCGGGAGAAAACGGAGAGGCCGAGAGGAGAAATAAAGTAATGCCGAGGAAGAAAAGAGTCCTCTCAACATTGAGGGATTTTATATGGTGTCATGTTTTGAGGGCCGTTAAATAACCGGTGCGGCTGGAATTTATCTGTGATGGGATATTGTGTTAACAATGAGTTGTAGACTTGTAGTGTTTCTTGTAGTCATAATTTTTTTTAAAAATGACCATAATCGTAAAATCAATCACTATAATTGTGATTGTGTTGGAGTTGTAGTCTTATAACAGGAAGAAAAAAAAATTGCAAGCGCAAAAACAATAACTAGAACGATGATTGTACTACTGCAACTCATGATTAATATAATGTTCCTTTATGGTTAGCAAGGTAATCGATCCCAAAAATTCGTAGTTGAGAGGTCACTTTCTTCGTTAACACTAGTACAACTACAAAGAGTATATATTCTTCACATATTCTAATTAGGGATGACAATTTGAACTCGTCCCCCATGGTATTACCCGACTCGCAGTAGCGTGGACCGGTGCATGGGTTACTACTTCCAACATGCTCAGTCCCGCCCATTTTCTTCCATGTGTATTTGTATTTCTCATATTTGGACTTTTTTCAATAATACTTAAGATTCAAAAAGGCGCTAGGCATAAGGCAGGTGTTGAGACTTTGCCTAGCGCCTAGCTCGCCTAAGCGTAGACTAAGCGTGCCTAGGTGTTGGAAGAAAAAAACATATTCGCACTGCATGTTGAATGAAATAATAATCTACAACACTTCCTCCACTTCAGTTAAAATGATTAATAACTTACTCAACACTTAATGACAAAAACATAGCTCACGAATTCCTAGAATCATAGCTCAATAGCTCACAAAGTTCTTTAGCTATTGAAAATATTGATATAGAAAATTGATTTTGTAGTTGACGTTAATTTTCTTTTATAATATTGACTTCCTATCTTCATCTAGTTATGTTTAGGAAAGACTTATATGTTACTCCATTGACGTATTCCAGTATCTAATTAGGCGCAAAACCCCTAGGCGAGGCGTTTTACCATTGCCTTGCGCCTAGGCGTGCCTAAGCGTAAGGTTAAGCGTGCCTTTTTGAACCATTACTTCCATACAATGAAACTTTAAATAGATGTAAAATTGGATCTTTTAGTTATTTAGATGCAATTACTCATTATATTATCACTATTTTTATTCATGAAGTGTTTTCCTTTGTTTCGTCATAAAAGAATTAAAATTTTCAAATTATTTTCTGTAAATAACATGTGAGAATGGATGACTGATCTTGCCTCGTATCCACGCGGATATTACCCGACCTAACTCGTACTTGATGCATGTCAGATTAGGGTATTGACTATTGAGATATTCGTTTGCCCACCCATTTGCCATCCCTAACTCTGATGACCAACATTATTCAAGAAATCAAGTACTTTATCACTCATTTGCCATCCGTAACTCTTTTAACCGACATTATTCAGAAAATCAAGTACATTATCACGTGATATTTGGCTTGCTAAATAATGTCACCAAATATCGATAGTGTCGGGAAAAAAAACCATCAGTCTAACTTACTGCTTTCTCAACCTCTATATTGTGCTTTCTTATGGATCAATGAGCAAGCTAACGAAAAAAAGTTGATCCAACAGCATATTTACGCAGTAGTCCCATCCCTTTCAATGAAAATGTTCATATTTTCCTCCACGGACTCTAATGACCGACACACAAAAAACTCATCAGAATCGATATGTGATTTTCTTGCGCTATTTAATGGAGCAACTGGTCGGTCAGAGGCATCAACAAGCTCATTTTACCATTACTCTATCAATCATTCTTTATATCCGAAGAAGAAAATGAAACATATATTCCTCCTGATCAAATATCCCACAAAATTGTCTTGTCTAACCAAGTTTCCTGTTAAGATAAGAACACTAAACGTAACACAACTGAAGCACCTCGTCTCTTTTTATCATTTTATGTAGGGGATGGGATTCATCTTGTCAAAAGCTACAACCCAGAATTCCCTGTTAAACCATCTCCCTAGTTGAGCTCCACAAAAAGGCTGGCCTGTGGATGCAATCCTGCTTCTTTCAAGGTCAAGGATCGCTTTTCTTCCCCGTAAACAGTGCGTGGGAAATTGGACACAAGGCTATAATCTTCCACTTGTAAGCAACCCAAAGAATCCACAAAGTCGTAAAGAGACTGGATGGTTGTACTGCTGTGGAACCTCCTGTCTCTGCGTTCTCCAGTTGGAAACCGAACCAAAACCTAGTCATAGCAGAGGTTTCCAATGGAGTATTATTATCATTAGCAATCAGACATCACGCATCTTTCTTGCTTTGGTAAGGTTCTCACAAATGTTCAAAAATCAGGGGGGTGTTAGTTATTACCTGGGTAACATCAGCTCCTTTCTCAGGCTCGGCCCCAAGTGCTAAGGCTTTCTCTTCCCGCATTCTGGCTCGAGCAGCCTCTCTTTCTGCGGCCTCCTGTGCAGCTCTTTCACGGGCTTCCTCTTCCTCTTTGCGCTTCCTCTCTGCTTCAGCAGCTTCTCTTTCAACTCGTTCTTCTTCTTCTTTCCTCTGGCGTTCCCTAGCCTAAAGTGGAAAAGACGGAAAATCATCAAGAAGAAGCGAGACTACAAAAGGCAAATAAAACTTAGCAGCAGCCTTCTTTGCCTGTATAACTTATAAGACATGTGAAAAGGTAAACATACCTGATCGGCTTCAAGAGCAGCCCTATAAGCAGCATCTTGCTCCTCCCTCAATCGCGTGTTGCTTATTCTTTCCTCTGCTTCAATCCTTGCTGCAGTAAGAACCGGCGCACTTTCTTCAAGCACTCTCTGTAGTAGTGTAAGCATTTCTTCAGGTGATTTTGGGCCTTCAATCTGCAAATGAAGAAGAGGGAGAAGAAGAAGAAGAAGACACGGTAAGCGCGAATGAGTAGTTGCTGCATTGCACAAGAACAGTCTTTTCAATACTTGGACTCCATCAAAACAAGTTGATAACTATATCAACCTTGCACTATGAAATTCAACAGGATGAAACATTAACGTTCTTCACCCAATAGCAAGCCACTTGACTAAACTTATAATCACAAATACAACAGAAGCCTCAGTTTCTCCACATAGAAGCGGACACTACCAAGCCAAAACAAAAACAACTTTACGGACATTCATTGTTCTTCTAAGAGCAAACCTAGCTGAGATAATCCAAGCAAATCAAATAGCATATATGTAACCCAACAACACCTGCAAATCATTTTCTTAGATCCAAAACAAAATGATTTGATATACATATTGCCAGATCTACCAAGTCATCCCGTCTCCTAATGGGAACATACAGAGCTTTCTAATTGGCAAAAGAACCGATGTTTTCCACTGAATTCCCATTTACAGGATCGGAATGGATTGTTCCAAACCAAAAACTAATCCCATTGCACAGCAATTACCCCAAGTGACATAAGAACAAATAGTTGAATGCTGCACATGACAAAGGACATAGAACATAAGACTCTCAAATTTACCTGCTGAAGCAATGCTATCCTCTGATTAGTAGCAGGCATGACCACAGCACAAAACGGATATCTCGAAGCCTTCAAGCTATTGCTCATCTTAAACCCTTCACTAGCCCTAATACTTCCACCCCAGGCGACGAAGTTCTGGTTAATGAACTCAGAGAGAACCTCCGAACAGAGAGTTCTCTCGCAGAATCCGGGACTGTCAGAGTGGTCCGGAGAGTGCAAATAGACAAACAGCAGCTTGAACGAGTTCCTCGACCGCTGGAGAGCATCCATGAACCCCTCCGTCACAAAATTCGGCCCCCTAGAACCATATTCCCCCTCAAACGCTGCCACAAAATCCATAGCCTCCCTCGCCGACGCAGATACCGAGACCAATCGGGACGAAGACTCACCACCGTTCCGGCCTGCACTCGGTCCTATCCCAACCATTCCAAGCGAGTAAGACAAAATACCGCCGGCAACCCACAGACCAAGACCTACCGCACCGGAGGCTAACCCGAGTCCGCCAGAAATAACGGATATAGGTAAGGTAACGAGCTTCCATGCTAAACCAGGAGCCGCCGCGGCGACGGCACCAACTGCGGAATCGGAACGCTCCAGCACCTCGGGAGGAGCTGAATTAGACGATCCCGCGGGCGCAGTACCAGTGTCGGTGGCAGTTACAGCAGCAGTACCGGTCGATACGGAAGCCGCCCCAGCGCTTTCGTTACCGCCGGTGAAAGCGGAGATCGCGAGCTCCAGGTCCCATCCATGAGCCTGAAGGATCTCCGTGCACAAATCGAGATCTTCGAGGCCCGTGATCGCTTGGAAATACGCCAATTTATCGGCTACCTCGACCATTATCACTCTCTGTATCCAATCCAAACTGGCAACGAGAAGCAGGAGAGGAGACCACTCTGCTTCTTCCCTCCTTGTTACAGTTACTTTGCCGATTCTAATTCCTCCGCTACTTCTACTGGAATCTTCCCACAGCGGAGAAATGGGCGGCGGGCCGGTTTATGGTGACAAACTGACAATTCGTGTCCCTTCTGAATTCATTTTACAAGGGAGACGAAATCTCGCACTAGCCACGGGAGTTGGATTTAATTACGAAATGGCCACAGTCCTGGATCGGATATGACAGGATGTCGTTTTCCTTTCTTCTCCGTGTGTCGTCGCTTCGAGCGACGTCGTTTGGTACCGATTTAAAGACTAACACACGAATTTGTGTTCCCAATGAGATGGCCTCACAGCCGGACGGTGGGCCTTCAGAATAAAGAAACATATCTATTCTGTGCACAAAATTTTTGGTTGATTCATTCCACAGTGAATGAATTTACATGTCTTCCGTAATACAAAACAGAAGAGGACTGCAAGAAGCTCTCAGCATTATCTATTCAATCTCTTCAATCAAAACCTTTGCTCCGGTTCCTGTTTTGTCCATGGATTTCTTCACAATGTTCCGATCGCTCTTACAACAATCCAAGACAGAGGTATGCTCTGTTCTAACAATGGTAGCCAGAGAAGACCAGGCTTCATCAGGCTGATCGTTCGTCCAACACATGATGAAGTAGATTTTCCTCTCCGCAAGCTTCAGCTTAATCCTGGTCTCTGAACTGGAATTCAGACGTCTCTCTCCTTTCAGCTCCTTCTCCGCGGCTCGAACCAACCTCTCCAGATCGGCAAGCATGCATATTAGAGCACCGCGACCCAGCGAGAGCAGCTTGATCATGTCGTCAATGATGGACAGTCCAAATCGGGAACCCCCCATGTGCCTGTACTCTGGAGAGCAAGCTTGCTCCAAGCAATAAGACAGGGCTTCCATCACGTTTTCTGGCTGGGAGGCTTGGCCTAAAACTTGTGAGACACTCAATAGTACGGTTACTGATCCTATGGCATCCGAGTTCCAGTCCCCATTGTAGACCCGTAACGTGAAGCAGTAGGAATATATGATGTCTACCAGATGAATAGCCAAAAGCGGAGATGGCTCTTTAGCGATTAGCTTTGCAACTGGTGGCAGTGGGATTTGAGGGCCAGGAGGGATCTCAACGGACGACTCGTCTTGTGCAACATTGTCTTGAGGGGATGGTGATGGCAATGATGATGGTTCATGATCAGTATCAGCAATTGGTTGGACGAGTTGAGTTCCTTGCTTACTGAGAGAGATGGCTCTGGCTGAAGGCTTTAACCACCAAGGATCCCAAGGTTTGAAGAACTTGCTAAGCTCCCCGGATGCTAAAGCTCTGTCAAACCGTTTCTTCTCCTCGATAGAGAGATCATCTAGAGTAATTTGACCTCCTATAGCAGACAAAAAAGATGCACAAATTTTAGAAGGTTCGGAGGAACTAGAACATCAAATCCAGAATGTAATACACTTAGGGGTCGTTTGGAAGTTGTGATTTCAAATGGTGTATTGAGCTAATTCATGTATTTGTGAGATTAAGTCGTTTTTTTTAGGTTATATTGAACTAGAATACATGCATTCACTTTTTGGAGGCCCCACCACAATCACTCAAAATTGAGGGATTGTGAATCTCTACTTTTTGTTGAGATTGTTCACAATCACTCAAATTAACTTTTATGCCTTTACAACAAAAACACAATCTAAACCTCCAAACAAAGTATTTGTCTAATACATCAATTGATTCAATACATCAAATGATAATACACTAATTGACCCAATACATCAATTTGAAGAATCACAACTTCCAAACAACCCCTTAGCTTTGAAGCAAAGGATATGTAACATTACCAGAAACCATCTTCTCAATGGTCTGCTCGGACAGAAAAGAATCTGCGAGACATCAAAAGAAGACCCGGTAAGAACCCTTAAGGCTTAAACTGAATCTAACAAACTGGTCACCATGAACTACATGGAAAAGTGCAAATATCAGCTCCAATTTTCATTCCACGAACATGGTTTTATCCAAATTCACTTCCAGAAAGTCCTCCGTCAACATGCATTCTCAGTTTCATGAACCCTTCTAAGACCCCTTCAAGTACGATCACCTCATCCACAGATAAACTCGTGCTTGTGGCATACATGAAGAAGTTCACACTTAGCATAAAATTGGGCTTCAGCCTGTATATATGAGCAACTTCATCATCCAATTATTCCTATCCAGTACCAAAGTGATAAGAGAAAGATAAACCCTTGAAGTGAACGGAACCCAGTAAAGAACCGTAACTTACCTTCATCCTCATCCATAGACTCCATCTCTTCTTCCTGGGAATGAAATCGCTTCAATATATCCACCATTTTCCGCTTACTGTCATCGCCAGGTTTCAAATGCTTCAGCTCCTCAACTACGTTCTCCCTCATAAAGGATTCAGTGCACCGGACACTGTGCGACTGTTGACAGGAAGAAAAAAACCCCAGCAAGAGCATGAACAACTAGCTGATGCCGATGAAAACAAGAGAGATTCATGCTTTCAATTTGAAGCGGTAACTTACCTTGTAGCACCGGAGAGAACAGTATCGCGAATTGCATCGCGGACAAGTGTATTGCGAGAACTGCTTCTGGCATCTGCATACCGGCAACAACATAAAAGTAACTTCACGAGTGGTTACGAACAATTTTCGATACATATCAAGCTGGACACTGGCTGGAAGAGAAGGACGCACACATGGCAGATTGTGCGGCAAGGTGGATTTAGCGACGAGGCTCCTTCCTCCGAGGTAATGATCAGCGGCTCCTCCATCACTAAAGCCAATCCTTACGAGTATCAATCGTTTATCAGAACTTGCAGCTCTAAATCCCGGTTGTTCCCTTACTGATTGAATTGCAAAACCTCCATGGAAGGTTTCAGAACCCTAGAAAATTCCAGGAAGTTTTTGGAAGTTAAGAAGAGTCGACAATTTGGGCTTAATTTTTGGATCGATCGGCGTCCCACGGGCCTAAGGCCTGTATCACTTCAGCCCTACTTGTTTGACTTTCTGTTCTGACTTGTTATCAACTCCGAAAGGTTTCTATAAAAAAATAAAAAAAATAAAAAACTCCGAAAGGTAGAACAACCCTCGTCGATTTTCTTGGAGGCAGAATTGATAGCGAGGAAAGTTTATTACGTCGTAAGTAGTATCATCCGATCAGTGGTATGTTACATAAATCTCTACACACAAATTTACGAGCTAACTTCCCATCCTGAAGAAAATTCCAGAAGAAAACTCAGACCCTCTCGAGGACCTTCACTGTTTCCAACTCCGACGTCGATTTTCCACTGCTACTCCCACCGCCGACTTCGAATTCGCACATCTCCGCCAGCTCCTTCACAGTCCCAACCACGCTGTCAACCCTAGAAGAAATCTCAATCAGCAGAGAGGCAAATGTCGCCGCTGGAATCACTTCCATCAGAGGCACGACCCTTGCTGATTTCGCATCACCATCCGCCGATTCCGACTCCGATTCCGACTCCGACTCTGATTCGGATTCCTCATTCAGCGCGTCAGGAAGCGATTTCAGCGAATTATGGAGCTCCTGAACCGCGACGTTCATCTCCTTCGTCAGGAAGTCCACGGTGGGCGATCTCGTCGTTGTTTGGATGGTTTTGGCTAGCTCTCTTGTGATGATGGAGCAAGTCGAGCTCACTCTCTCGCAAGCTTCCCTCAGGTGCCTCTTAACTGCATCCGGAGCCTGGTTCTCTGAATTGATGCAGCCGTTGAGCGCCTCGATGCAATACGCGCAGCTTCGTAAGGCGGCTCCGACCTTCAGGTACTGCTTCCATGGGTGCTTGAAGCTGAATTGGCCGTGTGCTGGCTCCCATCGAGCGAAATTCGCCTGCAAGAAACAGGAAAGTTTAAAATCATCAGGTCAGTTCTTCTTCATCCATCAGCCAACCTATTGAATTTCGTGTTTGCTCAGATTTATTATACTTTCAGTCTTTGAATCAATTGGTAGTTTGGACACAACCATTTAAGTTACTAGGACGAACTAATGTGCTGAGATTAAGTGTATGTTCACTTACAAAAGACTCTTCAGAGGCTTTGGAGCCCAGCACACATCTATAACCAAGCGACTTGTTGCCAAGTTGTTTGTCAGGACCAGTTTCTTCCTCTTTCTGACCAAAATACAAGTCCATGGATCCTGAAAACATGTGCAGTTGGGGGTTGATCATGAGCCAAATGCATAGTCAAAACTCGATGTGCTAGATCCTTTCAGCAAATAGAAAGTAGTCAATGTGGGGTTACTTACCATCCAAGGAATTGGCGATCTTGTCCATGTTACGGATGATGAGGGTATGGAGCTCCTGGCCAGCCCAGATCGGACAGATGAACATGGTCACGATGATGACCAAGGAAGTTCCTATGATGATTGTGGCCATCCTTTGATGAGCCACATCAAACAGTTGCTCAACCCGGTATCCTGATACACTAACCATGCTGAAAGTGAGGATGAAGATCAGGCAGCCATAGTCGAACCTTGCTTTTATAGTTGGGATGAACCTGGAGAAAGTTGCTGCAGAGGCTGCATGCATACAGTTTCATGAGCTGATTAAGTTAGTGATCTGCGTCAAAGAAGGGAAAAAACTCAGAAAGATATTAGAACCAGTAATCGTGTGTTAATTACCTAACAAGAAGACTGCTAGACAACTAATGACGGGTTCAAATCTCCGTCCAGACTGGCTAGCAACCCAGTGGACTCCCAAGGCAAGAAATCCAGCTAAAGAAGTAGCAAATACTCTGTTCAGACTTTTGTAGATTGTTGCACCTGCAACAACAAACAGGCAAAAAAAGTAAGATTTTGTTCACTTCATGTATCCCAAATGATTAGAGTGTTGATTGCTTTTGTGTGCCAGGTACTTACCTACGGTGTTCTCGAAGACAACTACAACAGTCATAACAGCCCACATGGCATTGCCACCAACACCATCATACAGAGGTCTCATGTAGTAAAAGAGCGAGACAAGTGTAAGAGCCATTCCTGCTTTAATACCATGGACAAATTTCCTAGGGTCATCCACCCCTAACTTCCATGCTTTCAGGAAGAACCCCCTAATCCTGATAATAAACGCCATGAAGGATTCCTTTAGGGCTGCACATAGTTTCGAGGCAAAACAACTTGCCTTTGGGGCCAATGCCTTTGATGAACCATCTCCCACATTTATCCTCCACTCCATTATTCTTCTCCTCCTATCAGGTAAATATTGGTTTCTGGTGTTGGTATATGTGTGTTGAGATAACAACAAAGTTGTGTTTGAGGTTTTGGAGCCTTGGCAAGAATGTGGTAATTTGCCAAGGTAGTGTTAGTTCCATGCAAAGGAGGAGGGAAGGAAGGTGACTGGTGACCATTATTGTCTGCTGACTATTAACTCTATTTATATGTAGAAAGGAGGGTTTGATTGGCATCCCATAAACCCACTTTCTACACATGAATAGGCGCTGAAAATAAAATGAAAATAAAAAGAAAAATCTTCAATGGAACAGAAGCTCTAGATGGTCATTCCATCGTGCAATTTCTTTTTCCTTTTTGTTTTATATGGTAGGTAAAGTTGTGTGATGAGGATTGTGGACAAATTTCCAATTTCTTGTGCAGATTGTGTTGTTGCTGCTGAATGCTGATGATGATCTGATGAAATCAGCAGCCATACAGGTGACATATCATACCATCTAATCGTTCATTCATTTCTTGTTTCCGCGTGTTCGAGACTTTGTGATCGCATTGCACTACTTAATCTATCATGTTACGCCTTTTCTTTTTAGATTGTACGTCACACACGCTTGTATTGCACTGCAAATTTTAATCTTTTCCACCATACAACATCGAACAATTGCGCCAGTATGAAAATTTTAAGACAAAACTTGAGAGAATTAACAAGGGCTGCAGATGTTAATCTACCCCACTAATCAACTGTTTTCATGATTTTACCAACATGGCTCTGCAACATCAAACATAAGCTATAAGACTAAGAAGAGGTAGTAAGTCTTGGTATTTGGTATGCTGGTACTGTTTATGACTACTGAGTGGGAATGTGATCAGCTTCCTCTCTGATCTGTTCCCCCTCTGGATAAGAAAATTAGGGAAACCCACAATGCCTAGGACAAAGAAGAGGTTCTTAAGTATATTATAATATTACTGATATTTATGCAGAAGTTGATAATAATATGGAGGACCGCCTTCTTTATTTGGCAAATTGCCGCTGTGGTCCTCCCAAGAACATTTGGGAGCAAACCCTTCCTTCCTTACTTCCTCCCTCTGGTTTGTTGTAGTTTATCTTAGTTATCTCCCTCTTCCCTATACTATAAGGACACCTGCCCTCCATTTCCCCTGCTCTACACTAACTACAACTGCCTTCTTTTCCATACTTCTTAATTCCCAGAAGGCACCATTTCCCCCTTTTATCCCAATTGAGGCGACTGCATGTCCCTATTGGTTCAAGTAAACTAGCTGAAATTCCTGAACCGTTAACCACTGATCTTCACCAAAAGTTGTGAGAGTATTCTGGTATTATCATTCCCTAGTGGGTGAATTGGACAATTTCTCGCCATGCATGTTGTGGTTCTGCTGAAGCACCAATCCAGCTGGGTCTTCATAATATATAATCTGCAGATCTTGCACTTCCAAGTATATACTATTGTCTATTCCCTCCCACCACCAAATTAGGTCATGAATGGGACAATTAGGTTTTCATCACTAGAGAAAAGAAAATGTGATATGGGTTTTTTTAGGGATTAAAATGTTTTTATGAGGGGCTAGGGTTCAATTGGCTGGCTTTCTGTACTTAGTTTTTGACATTTGAGGTGAATGGATACAGCACTTATCTCCTGATGATGGAAACCCTTTTCCACAAAGTCCATTGATTTGAAAGGCACACTCAGCTATCACAAAAAAGTTGGCTCTTATTCCCTGTGCTTGTTTTATTCCTGAGGTATACCATCTCGTACCTTCAAACATAAACCAGAAACGAACAAAGCAGGTATACGCTGAGTGGAGTTTGACAATGTCCAGCCTTCCTGTGTGTCTAGAAACTTGTTTCCAAAGCTCAATTCCACAGTGTGTTAGGGACAGCACTCAACACCACACAACCTCTAGAAAGTGCTGCAGTTTGTTGTTAGAGGTTGCACATGAAGAGAAGAACATGTTACATATGTCAGATTACTAAGTAAGACATATCGGAAAACCATTATGTATAGCTTTTTCTGCAATGCAAGAAGAGTGAACACTTTCCCAATTCCCATGTAGGGTTTGGAGTCTTAATTCATTCGAATTAATTCTCATTGTATTCTAGTTTTACTAAAAAGAAACAAATTCTTGTGCCAAACGACACACATTTCATTTCTCAACTCTTATACAATTGCTCGTTTCATTCCCATCCTGTGTTCTTCTTACACGTCTACATCCAAGTCATCTCTTGCGATATGAATACCCCCAACTTGGTATTTCACCATCCATTTTATTGAAACTACAACCTTTGGTTGGTGAATAATGGTGGGGGCAAGAAGTAGATGTCATGGTGCATAATCTGTTATCCCTCCTAACAAAATCGATCACTTGCATAATACCTAACCTTTTGAGGTTTCACTAATTCCCCTAACATAATCTGGTTTAGTTTTTAAAATAAGGACACCAATCAGTTTCGGCTACCTAATTAGCCAGTTTTCAACGTAGAGAATCATTTAGTGCTCTGTGGTTTGTTCTTCCTTTCCCTCAGCTAGCATTTTAAACAATAAGAAAGACAAGTTACTTTAATCACATACTTTTGTTATCAGACGTTGCCATCTTGAAAACTAATCTTAAATAATGTCAGATCCGTAATGGTGATTTTGTGAAGGAAGTGGATGGTTAGTGTGTTTACACCATCAACCACTTGAAACCCTAAAAAATACTATAAAAATGATGGAAGTAAGAAAGAAAGGTGAGTTATCTTTGCATGACAAGGAAAATTAAAACGCGGTATCTAAATCATGCATGCTGGTTTGCGACGAGTGTCTTCTAGTATGTGGAAGGTTGGAATTGGATGGCGCAACGAGTTTGGTTTCAGGCGTTTATAATTTAAATTAAGTTGTCCATGTCAGCTAATTAAAGTCAGCGAAACCATTATATTGCAATTTGGTTCATTTGATTAGAAGAATTTTGAACGAGATCCTCATGTAAATGGACAAAGTAACTGTTATTTTCATGAATCTGAACTTTAATCGGCAAATTTGTTAAATGTCAAAGTTCAATGACCAATCGGATAGTTACTCCAAAGTTTAGAGACTATTTATATAATTGACACGGAAATTATGTATCAAACTCGTAAATTGCATAATGTCCTTTTAATAACACCAGTAAGATACAATTTTAACCAGTAACCACCATGGAACCTTGTAGTCACATGGCAAGTCGAAAGCTATCAGGACCGACAGTAAATTCCACTTCTCAAAACACCCTGTTATGGACTGATTAGGCACTGGTTACTATTTACTTAAGAAAACAGCAGTAGATGTTGAGAAACAACTACAAGTTACCTGTTATCCTATTACTATTACTGGTCTTTTCAGACTTGCAGTGAAGTGATTCTGTGTAGCAGAAGAGAGGGGGGACTAGGGTTAATGTTATGTTATATCCTAACTGTAATCAACAACCAAATATTCACAATTACTATCATTTGTCTACTTTCCATCTTACTTTTCTTTAACTTGCTCTATTCTAACTGATTACCACTTTAATCACAGCATTTAGCCTCAAAATCATGAATTGCTCAAGGTGTTACAACTACACCAGCAGTAGTAGTACTAGTACTATCATTGAGTTGTCTCAGCCATGCCAATGGGACAAGCCAGTGCCCCTGGTTGCTGGTAACTTCTCGATACAGCAACATTACTTGACAAGTTCTGGTCCATCCCACTACTAGCATTTTGGGGTAAAAGTGGGACAAGGGACCAAAGTACATCTGCCCTTGTCATGGATGAACTCGCCTCGATCACGAATCGTGCCCATATCTTATCATCTTGAGCTTCCATCACTCCTTTCAGTATGTTCAACCCAAATCCCCTCACTGCCTCAGCTATTTCAAGAAAGTATCCCTGGTCCTTGCACAGAATCTGGCAAATATAACAGAAACCATTAGTGGGTTCAAGTTCAACTTACTTTCAACCTCGGGACATGGAGAGTTCTTTTTTTTTTTTTTTATGCAGTAAAGAGTTTATGTCCGAGTCTAACCTCTACAAGCATTAGTCCAGGAGGAACTAGATCTTTAACTATGACAGGACAAACCACTGTTTCATCACCAACTTCCAATGCCCAGGTAGCACCACAACCACCTTCGCCTGTCGAAATCTGTACAATTGTTCAACCTTAACTGTCTCAGTAAATGACCATGTATGAAATGTTCTGAATTCTGAAGCAAGAAAGAATTGGACATAACTCAACACTTACTACCTTTGGCTTGTCGACTTGTTTAAGCTGGTCTGCATATTTTGCCACACTCTGCAAGAAACACATGTGTCTGATGGTTCTATCCAACAAATTGTCTATGCTATCCTGCCATGTCAACCAAACAAAGCATATGTCAATAGCTGCTTCTGTTAAAGTACAAGTAGTATTCTGCATTTTACAATTAGACTCATCTTTCCTTGCCCTAGAAGCTAGCTATTTTACTCTGTATAAGACTTCTGTGTCTGTGGTTCCAGTAATAGGACAACCATTTACTTTTTATCTTGAATCCCTAGTTTATTTTCTAACAGCTTCTCTTTCAAACATTTGTATGCTGACATTGCTGAAATCATACCAAGAGTCCAAGGCTGAAAAAAAGCACAATACCTTTTCAGCATTAGGAACTATGCCTCTCAACTCCTTGAGACGGTCTTGGATCTGCTGACGATCTTTTGGCCTTGGCCGCGTGCTCTCACCAGGCCTAGCCCTCTTCTTGACACCCACCTTTTTAGCAGGATCGTTGGGCTTCTTATCTTTTCCTGGAATACCTCCTCTGGTGTTGATGCTGCTGAAGCTGTCTTCAATCAATAGTGCAATTGGTGACTTTGCCTTGTCCAAACTGCTTGCGGACAGCATGCTTGTGCTGCTGCTTGCTGAACAAGAGACATTCCCCAAATGAAGTTGGTTTACGCTGAGTGATGATGAATTCTCCATTTTTCTTCTCTTGGTAGGTGGCAGTAGTCCTTCATCGATGATGCTGGATCTAGCACTAGCAAAGCTTGAACTCTTAAGGCCACCTAGAAGCTCTTCAAGTCCCAGTTCAGAGAATAAGCCCTTCTGCTTCGAGTTACCATTTAATGTTGGGTGGAACTTTGAGTCATCTTTGCTAGTACCTGGCTGAGTACCACTAACCAAATGTGCCATCGAATTCTCCCCATTACCAACTTGTCCATCAACGGACTTTAGATCCAGGATTTTGAACATATCGCTATGAGCAGCAATGGAGACCCCTGGTTTGCGTAGCTCACTGCAAATATCTTCAAGCAGGCCAGAGGCTGGTGCACGAAAGCTTACCGATTGTGAAAGATTTGCCTCAATTTGTGGATTTATAACATTGGTGTTATTGCTTTGTGAACAAGGAATCCACTCAAATGGGTCCTCCAACATGAAAAAGTTGGACAAATCATCCTGCTTGAACTCTTCAGGAAACTCACATAAAGTTTCCTGTTCCTCAAGCTTAATGACAGTCGAAAACTCATTCTTCATCACAGATCTCTCAGCATATGCTTGAGTCGACTTGTCCACATCCATCAACCCTCCTGTATTGTAACATGGAGCAAGTGTTGCATTGCCTTGCAAATTCCCATGGGACATTGGAGTACTTCCACTAGATGAAAGCATCCATGGAAAATTACAGACCTCGATCTCTGAAGCTAATTGTGACTCTAGTGAGGTCAAAATTGAACCTTCATTGCTCCATGTACTGTTGCAGTCCAGCTTGCCTCTCGACTCTGATGAAGCACGCTCACGGCTTGCATCCATAAATGAAGGAACAATCCTTTCTTGTTCAACACATGATGTTGGAACAGAAGACTGAGTGAAGTTTGATGAAGTACAACCAAATTCCACGAGCTCATCACAATTTCCACCATGGATGGGTGAGATGGTTCCAGAACAGAAGGAAGCAAACCAGTCACTGAGATCAGAAGAAGCAGCATCATAGGTCAAAGATGAAGCAGTGCTGGTGGTCATTGGAACGATACATTCAGCCTTCTCCATGTCACTGAACAATCTTTTGGTTTGATCCACAAACTCTTGCCTCTCAGAAATCTGCAACAAGAGTACACTGCTTGTTCATTCATCATCTGAGAAAGTTAAAGATCAGATTCTTCTTTTTGGCATCAATGTGAAATGCACAAACCTTATGCTTGGATCCAAGCTGTATGACGCCCTGCGAACCCAATGGGATCATGCAAATTGTCTGTAGACAAGAATTAATGACATTCATTAACATTAGAAAGCAGAACAAGACACAAGAACATTTTACACATGTAGTGTTTTTTTTCTTTTTTTCTGACAGGCACCTTCACTCCAGAAGAGATCAGTCTGGTGATCTCAGAATCACACCATCCACTATCATCAGCATCCCAGGAAATCCACTTGTGCTTCCCACAAAAGGCTGTCTCTCCAACCATTCTGCAGCAAACAAAGAAAAACATCATCATCCTGTTAAATACTGTTTTCTATGCCTGGATAAAGCAATTATGATAACAGCTGATTTCTTGAAATTTCCAAAATAAAACCAAGGACCAACACAGCCCTCAGTTTAATGATGGATCATGGAAGTAATTATTCTGGACATTGGCTTACCCTTCACCAACCATGTGGACCTGGGGAAGCAAATCCTCAACTACTGTCTTCATTTGCTCTTCATAAAAGGCATCTTCCAGTCTTAGCAACCTGGTAAGCATACAACAAAATAAGAAACAACAGCAAACCTTAGTTACTACTTACTCGGACATAATTGTCAGAATTATTGTTACTTGCTATTAAGCTTGATGCTGCTACAAGGTCAATGGCTGGAATATGCTTCAAATTGACAGAAGGGGACAAAGTTTTAAAAGAGAAAGGAGGGGAAAAGTAGGAAAGGAGAAAGGAATTTAGATCTTGGATATCATTTTAAGGATGAGAAAACTTTTGTTAACCCCTTCTTTAAGGAATATTCTTTATTGTTTTATTTAAAAAGGAAGCATGCTAGGCTTAAAATTGCTTAACCAAAAAGGTCAATACCCACCAAAACCATTTCAAGTGTTGTTTCTTCCACCTTTGGCTGCTCCAAGCGACAAATTAAATAGTAAGCAGGACAGATTAGGATTACAGACCAAAGAAGAAACAAAAGCTGTGATCTTTTTCAAGAACTGGGTTACCCATGAGAGTTTGTGCAAGCAAGCATGCCAAAACTGGAAGAAGGCAGAACAAGAAGCGAAGAAGAACTAACATGGAATTGCGGTGATCAAAGCGCCAGAGGAGTCCAAAAGACCAGCCATTGTTGCTGCAACAGAGTCCCCTGAGCTTCTCCTTGACAAAAGATTCCATTTTGCCACTACCCATTGTTCAGTCTTTAAGGAGCAAGACAAATAGAACACAAAAACAGCCCACCAAAGCCCTCTCTTTTCTTTTAAAGCCTGGCTTGGCTTTCAAAATCTCAGCAGCAGCACCACCACCACATCACCATCCACCCTCCCCACATTAAATAACCCAAACTACAACACAAATGATGACGAAGAAGAGCTGCCTCAGAGCCTCAGGTACCTCAGAATCATCAAAAGAGCAAAACACGGAGGGAGTGGGGAAAAAGAACAGAGATAGAAAGAAAGAGGGAAGGAAGGAAGGAGTTTCCTTGAAGAGAACGAAAGGAGAAAAAACAGAGTAGAGGGGGAGAGGAATTGGTTGGCCAGAAGTGGCAAAACAGAGGGCTGTCTTTTGATGCAACAGACTGGATGTTTTCCTCAGTGGTTATGGCGAGAGCAAAAGAAACTATTAATGAATGCGGAAAGTACTGGTCGGTGAGAGACTATAGAGACTAGAGAGAGACGGTGAGTGATGACTGATGAGGAAGAAGGACGGACAACTCCAAAAGCCAGAGGGTTAAATGGCTTCCTTCTCTTTATATATCTTTTTTCTTCTTCTTTTGCTGCTTCTTTAATATATCCACAAAGGAAAGAGGAGATGAAAGAAAAGCACAAGAGAAAGAAAATTGGAAAGAACAGAAGAGAGAGAGAGAGAGATGAATCGAATGAACTTTCTCTCTGGCTTTGGGTTTTGTCTCTCTCTGTTTTTTGCTTTCTTTTCTGCCTGGAATGAATTGGAGCGATGAAGAAATAATATTGAAGGAGGACGGGAACACTGAGATCTTCCCTTCTCAGCATTTACTACCGTTTTTTTTTTTTTTTGTATAAATAAATAAATCTCTTTTTGGTCGACCTGTTTCCCGGCGACCGGCCCCATCCTGATTCTCCTTTTCCTCTGTCTGTCTCCGGTTACTCTCTTGCTGGTTTCTTTCACCGCCCATTCTCTGTCATTCTCGTAGTAAAATCAATTTTAAAATATATCAAAATGGATATTATTTTGTAGATTATATCAATGCAGCTCATTTTTTAAAAAAAAATTGAAATTGAAAATTATTTTTCATAAAATATGATAAATACAAATTATCAAAAGATAAAAAGGAAAAATTTAACAATACAAATTAGTTATGTAAATAAGCACAGAATTATGTGAACGAAAGTAAAAAATAAGAGCGTTAAGAATTATAGCTCTTTAAATAAGAATTACTTATTTGGTTCCAACAAAATCTCTCCGTGACTCTATCGAATTATTTTGCAAATGACTGCTTTCCCCCAATAATTTGTAAATGTCTCGCTTTTCTTTGCTACTTTCCCATCATAATTTCACGTAATATCATGGATTACTCCATCTACTATCATTCATGATTCATTCCGAATTGACTCTCAATTAGTTTACTCCATATGTCACTCATTTTAGCTAGGATTTCATTCTCTTGCATAGAAAACTGCATAATTAATTGCAATTGCAATATTGATGTCGTAGCTTTCTGCATTTACTACTCTTTTATGTACATCAAAATTTAAATGTAATTAATACAAGATCCAAAAGATTGCCAATTTTTTTCTTCTCCTAGTTAAAATGTACAATGCAAAAGGATACTGACAAAGATTCCATTAGTTCATTTCCCTAAGAAAAAAAAAGGGAGAGAGAGTTTCACTTAGCTAAACTGAGAAATAAATAAAAAATGATAAATTGGATCAAGTAAAATTAAGGTTTTCGCACGCCATTAAATGGACAACTTAATTAGCAGAATATGACACATGATAAAAATTAAAATTTTAATACACCAAATATATAATCGATGGCAACTGAAGTCTCAAGATACTATTATAGATAGGCTAGTTTGTTTAGCTACTACACATATACTTTTTTTTTTTATAGAAAGCATTCCTTATTTCGATGCTCCGATTTCAACTGACCTACTCATCCAAACAATAGCTACATATACTTGCTTCCAAAGGGCACGTTAAATTTCCAAATGCAATCATCAAATCGTGAGAAACGACAGGCAAATACTTTGTACGTTGCTCATAACTATAATAAATTCCATCCAACTGAAGCGGCCGAGCCAATGGCGAGGCGTAAGACAGATACATGATCAAAGTGGTAGCTAAAATAGGTCACTAAAATCCCATCATCAGAAATTGTGTGGAAGATATGTATATACAATATTTTTTGCTTGCTGTGTAGGCGCCGGTTCAATATAGATATAGTATGCATATCTCATATCTTTCGAGGTGATCGAGTGAGGCTGTTTTGAAGTTATACATAGTAAATGATTTCTTTCCTTGTTGCCAGCCTTGCTTGTGATTTAAGCCTTCTCCATATATAAATACAGTTATGTTTATATCATTCCTTCTCCACCCACCATCAATGATATGTACGTAGTTGCATTGGCATATGGTTTTCTTCGAATATTTTGAGTCTCGGATTTGAAAAATGTAAGGGATCATATTGCGTTAGCACTAAGTTTTTACGTTTAGTTTCGAATCTTTCGTGAATCTCTTCTATCGTTAGTCTCAATAGTATGATAGTCTTGAGAATCATTCCCTCCTCACATTTCAGTTTATTTCAAAAGATGGACAAAAGCTTCCAAAGTTTATATTCTAGCCGAATAACAGCTGTGTTACAGAGATACAGTAGGGAGGGCAGATCTTAATTAAACTGTTCATAACTGTAGCGTACACTGATCATCTACTTCTAAAGACAGAAACAAAGAATATTTGTGACCTACTACTATGTTGTGTATTGTCCACTAGATATCGAGATGCAAATCTTAACGGTTAGTTGTATCAAAGTCATAAAAAGAGTCAATTTCTCTACACAATTTGTTCATGGAGTAACGAGAGATTTGATACATCTCTTAGAGAAGTTTAAATTCTCCTTGGTGTTCTCGAAGTGCCCCCACCCGCCTCCCCCCAACCAAAATATGCCAAGCATAAAAATCGATATTTGGACGTAGGGCTGGCTACTTGGTCTGAGTTTTTTGGTTTTACCTGAAACCGGACCGTATAACCCGGATTGGAGCCGAACCGGGACTGGATAACAAATAATCCCAATCCCATATTCGGGCTTAGATTTGAGGTAAAAAATCATTTGGGACCGGATCGAAAACCGGATAAAGACTGAATAAGAGAGCCCAATACCCAAAACTAACCAACTCCTCACCCTTTGAGGCCTCGGGCCACTCAAATGCCCATGAGCTCAATCTAAAATCAAGATTGAATTGAGATCAGGTCGGGTCAAGACCGGACCAGTTCAAGACTGGATTGTATCCAATCCAATCTTTGGTCCTTATATTTACGAAAAGACCGAACCGGTACCGAATCAATTCGGACCAATTTGACCGGACGATATATAGCTACCCTATTTGCACGCCTAGCTTTCCCTCCAATATCATATATCACCATCAAACTATACAGTTTGTGTCTCCCAACTCTCCATACCTAGCAATGTACCATCTCAACTTCTCTTATGCATATGGTTTTTGGCCTCTTTAGAATCAAAAGCTAACCAATGCAAAAAGGTTTTACCGTCCCGCTCACTTTAGATACGATGACAAGGTTTAAGATGAAGTGGGTGGTGCACTAAGTGTGATTGGGGAGGGATGGCAAGTGGTTTAAACTTTCAATTAGCATAGTAATAGACTAATAGTATAAGGATGATATTTTTTTTCGGGAGATTTACGATGATGATGACGATGGTGAGAAAGAGAAGTGCGCCGATAATTACTAGGTTAACTGGGGTTAATTAATTTGTGGCTATGGGTTGTTGTGGTCCATTGCAATTGGTCAAAAGAAATGTTCGCACAATCGATAACATCACCTGCACTAATTTTGATGGATATCAATATATACTAAGCAAAGCAATAAGCTAAGAGATAGGTAGGGCACTATAATGAACAAGCCACCCACCCTATCATTTCATAACACAGCGCACAAGGTAAGTTGTTTTTAGCATCAAAATTTGTGTTGTCACTCTCTGTGTTACCTATGTTCCTACCAACTCACATCACTCTTTCCAATATTTAGTACTTACTGGCCACCTAACCCTAGTAAATTCTGTTTGTTAACATGCTTAGTTATCGTAACCAAATTCTGTTGTTTTTTTATGATTTTTTTTATTTGTTTGTTTTGGGGTAAGAAATTGTTCCTCAAACTCTTTCCAATGTTGTCATGGAAAACAGAACCCAATACATACGAATACCAATTTCTCTGTATGTGATTTCACCGCTGGATACCTACCAAAACGCAGCTGGCATATATATAGTTTCTATTTCAATTTCTCTATATGAAAAGGGATTGATTAATTAAACATTTGTGCCAACCAAATGTATTTATTCGGAACCAATTATACATAAATTACGTGTTTCGATACCAAAATAGAATAAATGGAAATTATAAAAGCAATTAGTGTTTGGAGCTAATTAATTAGGTATATTGGAAATGCAGAAATCTAGTGATGTACTAGCTAGAAACCCTACGAGAGATGTATGGTTTGATGCCCATAGAGCATATAGGTATATGGCTGAATGATTAGTTTCTGTGTATGGATAAGCTGTTACCATTATGATGCACCAAAAACTAAAGTCGGGTTTGAACTGAAGCAGTAGTATACATAGCACTTGTGGCAATAATACTAGAGAGAGAGAGAGAGAGAGAGAGAGAGAGAGAGAGAGAGAGGTGTTAAGCTAAGAGACTGTTACCACCCGGCCATACCCTTTTTGCATGCGTTCTAATCATTTCCTCAGGTTCTCTCTCTCTCTCTCTTGTAATCTCTGTATTTTCATAATTTCAGTCCTTCCAAATTATAAAAATACGGGGCCTTGATGGCTAGCCAGTAAGCAAGTGATCAAACCCCAAACTCAAGCGAGACAAATAGCTTGCTAGCCAGTAACCATATAAAGACCAGCAAACAACAAGCAGGCCAAGGGGAAGGAACAGATCACTTCACTCTTTCCAGTTCCAGTTCATAAAACTGCCCACAATTTCATGTCTATTCTCTAGCCGTTGTTACCTGTGCAGCTGCCTGTGTACAGAAACACACAAAAAAGTGCAGGCTCCAGCAGTACTACTATCCTATCAATTCCATCGTTGATTTCATATGGTATGGTGGGTAGGGCATGTGCCCCACAAACTAAGGGTCCCAAAGGCTATAAAAAGTTGAGGGGGGGACAATGAATAATTCTTCATGATGCAGTGAAGGCCATATTCTGTGCTTCCCAGTAACATATTACGGGCCCCCATAATTTGTAACCTCTCGCATTATTCTTCCAAAATTTTAAAAGAGAAAATCCTTTGTCCTTTTTGTAGATTATGCACTCAGTATGAGAATATTGACTTACTAAACCCTAGCTAATAACCTTCCTTGCAAATGGGATTTCCCTCTCTTTTTTCCCCTCACTCTTTTTTGGAATTAGCTAGTGTGTATATTTTCTTTTGCCATATATGTGTAGCTTCTTATCCGGTCCATTTCGTTCAAAACCCTAGAGAAAGAGAGAGAGAGAGAGAGTAGCACAGTCCAGTTTCCACCAAATCCAGCTTCTGTCACACATTCAAAGTTTCTTCTGAAGTACTGGAACCCATTAAACATAGCTAGCTGCAGAGGGCACTTCAATGATGAAAGGGGTAAAAGCTGAGCATGATTAATTATTAAGAAACAAACTCCAAAACATGTTTTGATATCCTTAACATAAATATTATCATGTTGTCCAGTAAACGAGCATCAGATTGTTGTACTATGCGTTGTGAGAGATGGAAGGAAGGGTTGAATGAATCTAAACAAAGGGCCCGATGGATTTGGGTGCCCCACGACCAACTTTTGTTTGTGCTAGTGGGCTGGGGATGAAGAAGGTGGGTAGCTAGCTACTGTTTTTTTCTGAATTCCTTACTTACCAAAGAGAACGATGGATCAATTCATCGAGTACCATACTGAAAAGATAAAGATAAAGGGCAGAGGTAAAAAGGATGGCTAGCTATAAGCTAATTGCTAGCCAGAGAGAAAGAAAGAGTAGCACAAGTTATCTCAGAGATACGCAAAGTATGCCCCATTTTTTCCCAACTAAAGTAGCGGTAATGCTTTGTTAAGTCATCTAGGTCAACACATAATAAAGAATCATGAAAAAAAATTAATTATACCGTAATTATCATTACTTATCATAAAGCTGACAATTTCGATTTCACCCTATGACTTGACTTCATTTTTATCCCCCTTGAACTTCTATGCGCCTCGCTCATCCCGTCCTTTACGACCTAATTCTTGACTTGTTCAATCGAATTTCAACCACAACTCGCAACGGCGTCTTCATCCGACGACTTCATTTTCGACCAACCGCAAGGCTCGAGTGAGACCCCAGGAGGCCAACATCCGCTCCCATTCCTGAGTGGAGATTGAGCGATGTTGCGTGACACCCACATAGATGTGTCGTCAACCGGATGGCTTTGGGCGCAACTTGCGTTCGAAGACTCGATGGTTCACGAGATTCTGCAATTCACACCAAATATCGCATTTCGCTACGTTCTTCATCGATGCGAGAGCCGAGATATCCATTGCCGAGAGTCATTATAATAATTAGTTGATAGATAATCATGTCAAATGCACCGAGACTGGGCACGAGGCACGACATCGCTCGAGTATTCCTTGATACATTCCGCGTCAGGGTTTGTTAGTTTGTGAGGAAAAGAACGGCCACTAGGACCAGACATCCCTCTAGACGAGATCATCACTAAGAGGGGTCAGGAGCCACATCTCGCTGTAACCCCACCCATGTTCAACAAGGAGTTCGCTGGTAATTTTCTCTCTATACTTCAATTGTATTAAATTTTCTCTCTATTTACATACTAGTAATTAACACTTCTGCATGCAGTTCTGTCAAGCACTAAATTAGAGGCGCTTCTTCATAAATCTTCTGAATGCTGAAACAAAAAGAGAGGAAATATAAAGGAGAAGAAGAACACTTGTCATATATTTGTGTCGTAGTGTTTCTTATGTATGATTCTGTCTGCTCAGCTTGGCACACGCCTAATCATGGCCGTCCATACAAGCAAGTTGCAAGAGTCAACGGCCAAGGAAAAGTCTCCATCGCCCACTATAAACCCTAGCCACCTCCCTCCAATTCTGATCCGATAATGTTCGATTCCATCGACCTTGCCAAAGTGATAAGTGGGAAGCAGTAAATCTAAGTGTAAGATTTAGTTGGTTAACTTTGTCTTGATCATGATCCTCTTGCATGTAAATTAAAGGAGAACAAAGCCTGGCTTAACAGGCAAATAACCAATCATCAACCATGTTTCCTCATAATGCAAATATTTTACATATATGTTTGGGCCTACGTTGTTTCAAGATCCGTTTGATTAAGGTTAATTACAAGCTTTATTACGTACAACTTTGTTTTTTTTTTCCTTACTAATTAGATGTAGGGCTGGTTATTTGGTCCCGGACTGTTTGGTTTTACCCGAAACCGGACCGTATAACCCGGACCAGGACCGGACTGGGACCAGATAGCAAACAATCCAATCTCATATTCGGGCTTAGATTTGAGGTAAAAAAACCCGGATAAAGACCGGATAAGAGACCCCCAACACCTAAAATCAAGATCAAATTGGGACCGGACCGGGTCAAGACCGGACCAAATCAAGGCCGGACTGTATCCAATCCAATTTTTGTCCTTATATTTTCGAAAAGACCGGACTGAGACCGAATCAATTTGGTCCAATTTAACCGGACCGGACCGTATAGCCACCCTAATTAGATGTGGAAGCAAATGATGAAGAGACTTTTTTTTCAGTTTGGCCTTTCTGTAAAGCCATGTCCAAATGCCATGCCATGCACTATATGCAATATGCCCTCTTCTTCTCCACTCTTTTTCCACTACACTATTCATTGAAAGTTTTGACTTTGTAACGCAAAGGTGCTTTAAGACGAGCTCGAGCTCCTTTTTCTTCTTTGGCCTCGGGAAGAGAATAACCAATAATCATAGCTACAACAACAATAATGCAAATAGACATCGCATAATTTCTCATGTACAGAAAGAACATGAAGAAAGAAAGCAATCAAATTACAATCGGCCATTCTCTAAATTATCTTTTGCCGTTGGGAAGGTAATTATTATATATATGCTGTTAGTGGTCATTAGCTGAATACAAACGCAACAGGGTAAAGAAGAGCATTGACTTGTGCACAGAAAGAAAAACCGACCTCAACTCACTAGGCTAGCTAGGTAGCATCAATCGAATAAAAGGCTTGTAATTGTAATTATCAGAGCGTTAATTTGCAGAGATATTATGCCTTCTACGAGAAAGCATACACAGTAAAGATCATTACTACGACGTAAGTAATGGGGTTTCTTTTCTTAATTATGCAATTAATTATATGGGTTCTCTCTCATTAGTAAGTCAAGCAATAGGAATCGTAATCTTCACTGCAGATACTATCTCATGGATTAGAGATCGGCTACGTAATGTGTCAATATTTTCCTTGGACATATATATATGCACCCATCTTCAATTATTTCAAACGAGAGAATCCTATGACTATGACCCAAGTAAATCTCCTTTCACCTAACATTCTTGTTCTCTTTTATTTTTCTCATATTGTGATCATGTATGCAAGGGTCGTGTCCACTACCGGACTGGACCGAATCAAGATAGTCGCAGTTTAATAGTAAAGAAATTTGAGGATTAGAATTGGACAATAAGTTTGATTCTGTTAAAATATCGGTTTGATACTTTTTTAATATTTTGAAAATTTTGGACATCAACCAAGACTGTCCAATGAATTCTGAAGGTCCTATTTCATAATTGAGATGTGGTATAATTTTTTTTAAGTGTGAAATTAAATTGTCATAACATTAATATTTTAAAAGTAATATCTTGCTAGTAATTTTTTGAATAAAATTATTTATTAGCTCTTCGATTTTTATATTCTCCAAACGGTCACACATATTCGCAATCATCATTTTAACTAATCCATTAGATTTTTCTCGTGTAATTTTAGAAGAAAAGTAGGATTTTATCAAACAACGTACATGAAGAAATTGATCAGTGACTAGCCCCAATATTAATTGATATACTCAAGCTCGTCATCACGTAGATAACCAATTAATTATACAAACACAAATTCAGCCTATAATATATATTTTTTACTTAACTAACCGACCTATGATTGAAGACTTTAATATTCATATGCTCTGTTAGGTCTGGGATGGATTTCGTTCGTTATTACCTTATAAGTTAATTAATAAAACATTATTTTCATAAAACAAAATTTGGAGGCTTTGAGCTGGAGGACCTCCTAGCACACCTTATTGACCGGCCTTCTTAATTAGGATCAAGAACCAAACTATTATATTCTACATAGTCTGAGCCGGTCCAAATGTTTCTAATTTGTGTGAATTAATATACAGTTTGGTCATCAATCAATACCTAATGTAGTGATTAGAGATTATGTTCTCGAGAATCGGGCGTGCATGCAAATCACACACAAAAAACTCTATCTCGTTGTCCAAAACCCAAAATCCAATGTGGATAGGAAATCATAAAAAGGCAAATCGAAATGAAGCAAACGGTTTTGTCTCTATAGAGCAAAATTCTTTTAGTTTGAAAAGAGGGTGGCATAGCATTGGCATGCAGCTGGAGATGGGAATTGGCTTGGCATGCATATTTGGTGTAGGGATTCTTCAGGGGATAACATTAGTCTAATCAATTAATGCTAATTTGTGTCCAAATAAAGTGGAACATTTGAGCAAATCTCACGGGATCTTCTCTTCTCGGCCGAGATCACCATCGGAATTGATGCATGTCGATTCCAAAGAAAACAACAATCTATTCACTGGTGATAACTAATAAATCGACTATGATTTGATTTGTTTGGAGGGAGTTCATTGTGGGCAGCAACTGTAAAATCATAAATGTACGCTTGAATTGGGATATGTCAAGAAGTTGTGACAATTAAACAGATTTATTGTGTTGAACATGTATAGTATATATTATATATATTGATGAATTCAGTACATTATAAAATATAGTGTTTGGTATGTGTGGTTTTGTTTTCAATTTGTAAATAAAATGGGTTGAACAATTTTAACTCAACAATCTCTACAATCTCAATGTCAGTTTTTAATTGAGATTGTCTCATCATTCAATTTGAGTGACAACTTATGTCAAAACAAACAATGAATTCATGAATTATGAACGAACAAGAATCAAATTTGATGTATTCTAAATAATATATGTACGTATGATAATAATCTAAAAAAACAATCGCAATTCTCAAACTAATCTTTGGAAGAAGAGGAGAAAAAGTGGGGTTTTGAAGAAACGAAGTGGTAAAAGTGGCCCTATCATTTTCAAATAAAGAGTGGGGGGAAGCCTTTCCCCACAAGAGCTAGAAATGAGTAAACTGGAGGCAAAGGTAACAAAAGCAAGCAAAACCCTAAACAGGAAAATGGAGCCCCCCAATTGGACGGACGGACGGGCGCATTTAATTTCTTCCTTCATTTATTATGAAAAGTAGTATAGAAGAATAACTTACTTATGTTCACCATCAAAAATCCCCAAAACTATCTCATAAATGACACCAATGATGAAGCTCCATTGTACAGTTGTACAGCCACACCCATCGGGCCAAGAAGACCCACATCCTGCACCTAGACCCGACCCGACTCCTCCATCCCCAACGGCCTCAGTGAGCCAAGAACCCTTTTCCTCCTCACCCAAACGCAAACCCTAATCATGAATAGCCACGGTACGAGTACCTATATCAAATACCATAACTTAGTTCCTTGTTGAGCTTTGGTCGACACAAATACATTTAATTCGAAATATTCGTATCTTTAATTTGTGTTATCTATTATAATGATAAATGAATACATGGGTTGTTTAGATGGAAGGTATTGACTAAGTGACAATATCCCAAAACTCAAATCCGATAACGACATCAACGCATCAATAACCGTTATATCACACAACCGCAACTGAATTGACAGAAATGAAACCATAATGGGAAAACGAAGAAGAATGGAGAAAGGGGATGAGCTTGATGTTGGCCCATACGAGCATACAACACACACACATTCCCCTAACCAATCTCTTCTGGCCAATGCGCCAAGCTAGCTGCCTAGGTGGTGGCGCCTGCCAACCTATAAGCTGACTGCACCCGCTGCTGATGATGATGGAGAGATGGAAGTGTAACAGTGACCGAACCTTAAAAAAACAGAAGACGGACACGTGGCCGGTGATCTGCGGGTTGGGCGTCCGGCGGCCTGTGATCAGACGGCCGGCGGTTACTTTCAGGAAAGGGAGGGAGAGGGAGCACGGGAGCAGGGCAATAAGGACCGCAGTGCTGGTCACAAGGGGGACATGTGTCAGGCCCCGAATGAAGTGAAAAATTCTCCCCCTTTTACTTTTTACTTTTTTTTTTCTTTCTACAGTGAGCGGTGATGTGGGTCCCATTGAAGAGGAAGACAAATGATTCTTGAGCATTGATTGGTCGCCCAATCCGCCACGTCAGCAATCATGTCTGGAGGCGGAATCATTACCCTGTCTGTTCTGCATCTCCATCTGGGTGATGGGATTAGACGTAAGCATCTTTGTTTCTTTCTTTTACTTCTCCTTTCCCTGCCTGCTTTTTGTCCTTTTTGTTCTCTACACAGCTAGTTATTTATTACGGTGGTGAAAAATAGTATGAGTTTCCTACTCCTTGTAATTTTTGGTATTTAAATGGTTAGTTACCATAGTCACTATCTCAAAATATCTTCACCAAATTAATCAGATTAAACAACAAGCTAAACCCAAAAAAACTTTCAAAATAACTCTCTCACTACCTTTTTTTCAAATTTACGCTCTCACCTCTCTCATAGTTACTTTCATTTTCTCCTTCCCAAGGGTGGCCGCCGGCACCTTCTCGTGACCGGCGGTAACCCATTTTAATGCTTTTTCCTTTTCCCTGCTGCTTGCCTTTGCTTTGGGCATTTTTCATCGGATGTTTCCAGTCTTTTTCACTCCTTTCCAGCCGTTTTGGCCTTCCATTTCCTTTTCAAGTTGAGCTTGTCTCTTCGGTTCGTGTTCAAGGCTTGCTCATCGAGGGTTCTGGAGTTTGCTGCTTGGGAACCCCATTCTGGTTTGTGGGATGGTTCATTCCCAAGTTTGGTGGATTCATTTTGGTGAAGCCATTCTTTGCTTTCCCCTTCTGGCATCCCTTGGGTGGTCTCCCACTTGGGCGTTCATCGGATGGTTGAGGGCAGAGTCTTCTCTGGCTCGTTGCGGCAGCTGTTCGGTTTCTCCTTGAAGTCTGGTGGCTCAATCAGAATTTCAGCTCTCATGGACCCGATCTAGCTGTCTTGGCTCCCTCTGCCTTTTCAGCTCGGAGCATTCCGTTTCACGACCTTCTCCACCGCCATGTAATCTATTTTCTTAGATTCACTGTGTTGGATGTCTTTGAGCAATCCCCATAAGGCGGCATATGGTATTGCTTTGCTCAAGCCATGGATTTCGTTTTGATTGGACGAGCTGTCTCTGATCTTGGTGGTACTATGTTTTGTTTGGTTGCTAGAGGAACTATGGATTTTTTGTTTTTGGATCAAGTGTTCTGTGCCTTTTGGGTAGTTGGTCTCACGCTCTGCTTTGCTCTTCTTCGATGTATCTCTCAAGCACGGTGTGTTTTCAATCGTTTGCTCGGGGACACACTTTGCTGTTTTGATTTCTTTTGATCCATGTGTTCCGCTTTGTAGCCGATGATTCATAGTGCAATACAAGATTCTCCTTGTAAAAAAAAAAAAAAATTAATCAGATTAAAATTTAATTGATTAATCAGGTTATCATAACAATTCTCTTTTTAATGTACCATTGCACAATATATAATGAATGACGACAATACATATAACGAATGAAACATAACAATCAGGTCAAACCACTATGCAATATTAATATGCAATAATAACAAACTTACGGTTATCCATCATTAGCATTGTAAGCCGACAGAAGTTTTAATATGATTGTGGAAAATACAGCACGTATGATCGCACAGCTAATCAATCAATATTACTCGTGGTGAATTTAGTTTAGGTCAACCACATAATAAGCTTACGATTATCCATCATTAGCTGATAATTTTAACAAAAATAGAGCAAGCACCTCTGAGTACGTTACTTTGATGTGACCAAGAAAACCAGGAATTACTGCGTAACTGTGGAGTAGCTGTGACGATTGACAACCACTTGTGGAAGGCAAGGCACGCAGAAGAACTATTGGGCCCATTATGTGACTTGGGGAGGGAGTGATGGATATTGCTTCTTTACTACAGCTACCTCGTGCTTCCAGTCCAGTGCCTTTCTTCTATAAGGGACCACTAGGCTGGGCCATGAAACATACATGTCGATGGTCCAGCCCAACCATTTGATGGTTTTGTGTCCAACAAGCCTAGTTGGGGACCTCTAAGCCCATCGCCTGAGCCCTGAAGTATTATGAATACATCTGACTAAATCGATCCTAACTCTTCCGATAAAAAAAAAAAAAAACTAAATCGATCCTAACTCGGAAGTGAGAGACTTGGTAACCCCTTCCAGGGCCTCATGGGCCATGGCATATGGGCTTATGGCCCTCACGCATACGACTACACAAATTGTGAACTTCAAAGACAACTTCGAGACATGTTTTACAAATTTGTGATAGAATAGAAAGGTTAAAAAATGTCACTCCAAACGAAGAAAAGTTGGGAAAAGAAGATATAAGGGGAGAAGAGCTTTTAATTTGTCTATTTTACTGACAAAGTACTGTGATATTATGTTTAATGGAAGAGGTTCAAAATAACATCCTAATTCAATTGATAAATTGGAAAGTATGTATTGGATGACAATTTTGATCTAAATTCAAATAATCAAACATGTCTAGATCTGGTCCATACATATCGCCTATGTCATAACGTAACTTTGGGTGAGTGTACTTCTTCCATCTATCTGTCTCCATTCTCATTGTCCTTTTTACGTAAAATATAAAATTAACTTTGATGAAAAGGGAAATCACTTACAAAGTTATCATTATCTTTAACTGAACGCTAATGAGATGTTAAATTCCATCATTGACACGTCGTATTAGATAAATATATTTTGTATGTAAGTACTATCAAATGAAGCAAACGAGAAATTTATCAGAAATATTTGATAAAATTGGAACAAGATGATATGTGATTGTAAGCTATTCTCATAATGCATGGTGTATTTAATTTTGACTCGCAATATTTCATAGCGTACCAATCGTCCCATAAATATAATTATATATATATACTGCTGTATTTCTATTCCTTGTGTAGCCTAATAGCCTTGAATCATGAGTGTATAAAAGTCCCATTTAGGACAGGCCACAAATCACAATCTCCGAACCCAAAACGGGAAGGAAGTAAAGAGAAGCAGTCCCAGAATTTGACCGGGTCATCACATTTTATTTTAATTTTCGAAATTAATATCTTTATTTTCCTCCCGAATCTTTTTCCCCCATTGTGTGTGTCCCCGTCGGCATCGCCATACCTGATTTTCTTGGTTCATCACTTCGATGAAATAAAATTCATTAAAACAAAAGAGAAAGGGAAAAAGAAGGAAGCAGAACGAGAAGAGGAAAAACAAACAAAAAAAAGCTCTCTTCTTTGATCCCCAATTCTTCTTCGGTGCCCGTCCTATTATCCTCCTCGCTAACACACACCAGTAAGATGTATGTGAGAGCAGTTCCTCCGACGGATTTGAATCGGAACACGGAGTGGTTCACCTATCCAGGCGTCTGGACCACCTACATCATCATCCTCTTCACATCCTGGTTCATGGTTCTCTGCCTCCTGGGTTGCTCTGCCGGCACCGCTTGGACCGTCGTCCATCTCGCCCACTTTCTCGTTAGTTCCCTTCCTTATTCTTCTTGTTCCCCCTTTCTTCCTAGGTTAGTGATTAAGGATGAGGAGAGGTGGGTTGATTTCCTTGCCCCTGCTCGGATCTGATTGTTATTGCTCTAGATTTACTTGGTTAGGAGGAGACCTTTTGCTCCGTTTTGTGATTTCCTTGTTGAAGGAAAATTACGGTCCTTTTGCAGACCTTAGGTCTCAAATCTTGCAAGAGGGTTTATGTTTGCTGAAATTTGCTTGCAAGATCCGATTTTTAGGGCCAACTTGTTGTTGGTATGTTCAGGGTTTTATCTAGGGCTTTCATCCACTTTGCTTGTGGGAGTTTTTGATAAGGGGGAGCAATTGAATCTGAATCCTGAAGCACTGTTGGATAGTGGAAGCTTTTGATTCTCCTTTGTTTCCTCTTCTTGTCCCCTTCTCTGTTTCCTGACACTAGAAGAGATGGTTAAGCTCTTATTATGCTTTAGATTGCCTATTTGTGAATGCTTTGCTTCAAAACTTACAGGTCACCTACCACTTCTTTCACTGGAAGAAGGGGACTCCATTTGCTGACGATCAAGGTATCTATAATGGGTTGACTTGGTGGGAGCAAATTGAGAATGGGAAGCAACTCACACGCAATAGGAAGTTTCTGACCGTTGTGCCAGTTGTTCTGTGAGTAGTGTCTTTTACTTGCTTCATCTTTCCAAGTTCTTATCAATCGAACACAAATGAGTGCGGCTCAATTTAGTTTTCTTACCATCTCTCTGACTGGTGATAACTTGTTAGGTCTAAGACATGAAGTGGTGAGACATACTATTGTTTGTTGATTTCCCGAGTAACTGCATTGTTATATTGTCTTTGTTTGTGTGCCAATGTGTTTGTTGGTTATGAAGTACCCTCTGGTTTCTTCCCAATAATCCGAGAAAGCAACTGATTTGTCAAATGTCATCCTGGTTTTGAAGTCAGGTGTCGTAGATGTAATCTGTGTTCGTTCATAGCTGCATATCTCATCCCTAAACCATTTGTTCAGTCGGTCACTCTATGTGTGCACTAGATGATTATGTGTTTTGATTAGTCTTGCTTGAGACATTTGTTTTGTCAGAGAATTTGGAGAGAAACAACTTATTTTCTCCTTTGGCTGCTATTATCCTACTATCTTGATTAATCAATCCTCTGCCATTTTTTATTTGAAACTAGATTCCTTCTACCTTGTGAGCTGAGATTGAATTCCTAGCAAATTGTTAGTGTTCCCACTGGTCGTTGATTCACTTAATTTCCATGGAAATATGCGTTCCAGACGAAGCTTTTGGAATGAAGACATCATGATTCATTTTCGTGACTTTATTGCTTTGTATTGGTGGCTGATGGTCCGAACGGATTGTGCAGTAATGAATCCACATTGAACTGCTGTTCCTCAGAATCAAACACAAGAATGCGATCCTGTCCCTAACAAATTCTTGTTTCCTGCCTTCCATCTTTTGCAGGTATCTAATAGCATCGCACACAACAGACTACCAAAATCCAATGCTGTTCTTCAACACGCTGGCCGTCTTTGTTCTGGTAGTCGCCAAGTTCCCTCACATGCACAAAGTCCGCATATTCGGGATCAATGGGGATTTCTGACTGCGAACTTTGAGAAGGCGGTTGAAACATGGTTGGTTGTTCATCGTGGATCGCACCATTCTGTGGAATTCTCTCTTTAGTAAGTAGGTTGGTTGAACCATCATTTTGACAGCAGTTCAACGTAATTGGGGGGAATAGGCCCCCTGTACAGACACGAATCGAAAAGAAGGAAGGAAAAAAAAAAGTACTGGAAAGGGTAATGCCATTTTTATGCTCTTTTTTCTCTCTCGCTAGTATGGAAGTGAATATGTACTATACCCATCAAGCAGAACTGGATACGAAATCCTGGGGTAGAAAATGAAACATTCTGTTCTAGAGACTTGAACTCCATCTTCTCTGTATACCTTGTGGGTGATGATGCTAAGACTGTTTGATGTTTCGTTCACATGAACAGAGAATGTGGAGCACCATTGATGGCCTCCTGTCGGATTTCACTTATCAGAATAGAGTTGCTAGGATTAATGATTCTTTGTGAGTAGGATGTTACGACGGAACGGAGACTGATAGTAGTGGGGGAAAGTGGCGTGGCTTGGCGTGGTGTGAATGAATTATTCTGGGTAAATGACACATTTGGTCACTGAGATTATTAAATTGTGTCATGTTTAGTCACTAGAAAAAATTAATATCAATTTTGGTTACTCGAATTACCGAAACTGGTCAAATTTAGTCACTCTCCCGTGAGTTTCCGTCCAACTCCATTAATGTAGTTGGACGGAAACTTTTGGGAGAGTGACTAAATATGACATGTTTCAGTAACCCGAGTAACTAAATGTGACATTTTTCAATAATTCGAGTGACCGGAGTTGGACAGAGGCTACAGAAGAGTGACCACATGTGACCTGTTTCAGTAATTCGAGTGACCAAAATTGATATTAAAATTTTCTAGTGACTAAATATGACACGATTTAGTAATCTCAGTGACCAAATGTGTCATTTACCCGAATTATTCTTCTTCTCGTCTTTTTCCTTATACAGACACACAGTCCCCGAGGAGAATGTTTATGTGGGTCCCTTCTCCTTTACTGTCTCAAGTAAAGCGTCGGTCAGATCTTTCTTTCAACTAGCCATCACTAAACTATGATTATGAACATTAAATGAAAACAGAGAAACAAGAATCTGTTAGGTTATGGGCTGCTAAAAGATAAACAGTTAACCATTCTGATTACCACAAATTAATTGCTACCATAGTCCATGGAAAGAAATGAAGTAGTGGAGAGAGAGAGAGAGAGAGAGAGAGAGAGAGAGAGAGAGAGAGAGAGAGAGAGAGAGAGAGAGAGAGAGAGAATGGGGCACGTAATGATAAAAGGACAGGTACAAAGGCAAAATGTTACATATAAGTAACTGTTTTTAACCGTCTTCTACCTGGCCCTCTGCTCATTGCTCAACCTAGCAGCAAAGCAAAGCTGTTCTTCTTTAGCAGGACCAAATATGTCTGTGCATATGATGAATGCCTCTCTTTTTCCCCTTTTGCCCTTTAATTTGTTCAGTGATTTTTTTTTTGTTTTCTTCCTTCGGCTGGTTAAAGGTAAAAAAGTTACAGTACAAAATATACCCTATATTAAAGCATTAATCATGACATTTTGAGTTTGGTAATGGAGCTAATAGTTAATTATCTGCAAATTTTATCATATCTATTGAAATTTTGAGAACACCAGAAAAGTTAGAGTACAAAAATACCCTATATTAAAGCATTAATGATCATGCATTTATTTATTTATTGTTGTTGTTATTACCATCTGTGTGAGTGAGCTGCGGCGGCAGTACCAGTACGTATACAGTAGATAGACTGCATAGCCTTGTGTTTTCTTTATTTGTGCACTGATTATCATGAAGCCAGAAACAACAAAAATGGAACAAGAGCATACAACAAAAGCAAGAAGGAGACAACGACGACATACATTGAAATTTCCCAGCAGCAGCAGCAGCCCGATTTGAACCCAGAAATTCCAGGATTAGTATAATTATATGTAGCAATCTTACAATTCTATGGCAACCCATACTTAAAACAACTCACACTAATTAATTAATGTCTGACAAATCCCCCCACATGGCATCTTTACATTATCATAATTATCATAATTGTTATTTTCCTCCATTGATTAACCCTTCTGCTCCAACCCACCCATGCATTACCAGCTTTTTGTTCCTTGCATACACTATATTACTCTCTCTCTCTCTCTCTCTAAGCTTCAAGCTTCTTTTCCAGTGGTAGTTCACGAGCTCTTCTGACACGACCAAACCGAAAGCCGACCCTTCATTACCATGAGCATGAATTTAGATTGATATAACTTCTGCTCCATCCATCATCTTCTTCCTTCTTCTATATGATGATCCTTTAGAATGAAGCTAATTCCTAAAAACTTCAAAGCCTCATCATCACCATTAGATAGCTAGTTAGCTACATAGGAAGTAAGAGACTCCCCATAAATTACAAAAAAAAGCCTCAAACTTGGGATCAATCAAGGGCCAATCCAAACTCAAACTGATCCAGATCATCATCATATGCTAGAGAAAAGCAAAAGGAAAAATAAAAACCCCCCAATTGTATATTATATTATCCCGCCATGTCCTCCTATCTTCTGTTAGTAATAATATAAGAACAATGAAGGAATTCCCAACCAAAGTCATCATCACCACCACCCACCCACCTCAAAGCAAGAAATTTCAATACACAGAAAGTGGGGAATCTCTCTCCCTTTCCTCCCTGTTCATAAAGAAAAACTAGAAAGGCAAAGTAAAGTAAAGGGTAAGAAAAGGACTCAACTCATCAACGATGATTAACTCTTTATACTTTGTCTTGTAAATCCCGGGCTCTGATTAAGTAATAAAAGTTACCATGATCCACCCCCTAACATCCCAGTCCAGTACCCACTCGAATCTGCATGCTGATCTTTACCATCACCATTACTCACCATCTCCCCATTACTATCGTTCGTGGTAGTGTTGCTGCTCGGCACTTGCTTCAGATCTTCAAACGAAAACATGGGCCTCCCTCCACCACCACCACCACCTTCATGATTATGATGATGATAACCATCACCACTCTCATTATTATCACTGCTGATCCCAAGCCCAATCCCATCCAGTGAGAAACTCAAGCCGTTAGGCTTGAAATCCTGATGTTGCAGCACCGGGAAACTCAACCCAGATGTATTATAACCCCCACCACCATGATCAGCTGCAGCCTGATGATGATGGTGAACAAGCGACGATTGTGGTGGTGGTGGCATATGCATGAAGCTAGGATTGTTCAATATTCCTCCCCTGGCTGGTGAGATTCCAGTCAGCAGCTCCATAGCTGAAATCTGGCTCTTGTTCTCACCATCATGATGGTGATGATTCCCATTCTGATGAATCAATTCCGTGAAGCTCCGTGGGAAGGCCAAGTTCAGATCTTGACCCTCCTGATGAATCATCTTGTTACTAACATTAGGGTTTTGGGAACCTGCTGTAGTTGCAATACCATTACCAGCAGAGGAATTGGGAGTCAGGGCAGCAGCGGGAGTGGAAATCAAACCAGGGAGTTTCTTTGAAGAAGTGTTGGCTGGTGACGGGGAAAGTGAAGAAGAAGGTCTCTTGTTCTTCCTGGAGCCGCCTCCGACGGGGATGTTTCTGAGGGATCCGCCTTCAGTCCAGTACCTTCTGCAGGTCTTGCAGAAGTACCTGGGCTGTGTGAGGCTGTAGTTGTTGTAGTAGCAGAACTTGGTGTTGGTTGAGTTGCACCTTGGGCAGTTCAAAGCTTGCTCCTTTTGTGGCCTTGCTTTCCTCTCCAAGCTTCCACCTCCTCCTCCTCCTCCTTCTGATGAAGTTGGTGTTAACCCTCCTCCAGGCTTTTGAGGAGTAGCACCAACTACTATCTCTTCTAATGGCTTCACCACTATCTCCTGTGTAATTGGGGGGGAAGAAAGAGGAGTTATATTGGGTGAAGATAAAGCAGGTGGATGCTGCTACTGTTAATACACTTTGAGACTTGAGAGAGAGAGAGAGGAGCCTATATGTGAAGGATACAAATGGACAGAGAGAGAGCAGAGACAAACAAGTAAAAAACAACTTAAGCTATGCCCACTTTTTCTTCTCCTTTTGCCTTTTTCTTGCTCTTCTGCTTTCCTTCTTTTGTTGTTTCTCACTTTATCATCACAGAAGGGGGGGAAGAAAAGGATAGGGAGAAAGAAATATAAAGTGAGTGAGATACTTGAAGGGAGGAGAAGAAGCAGCAGGAAAAAAAGAGAGGAATTTTCTCTGGGGAAAAACATCGAACACCTGGTGAGTCGATCTGGGGAGATGGGGAATTATGTATATAGAGTTAGATGTACATGTAATCTCTACCTGTGGCCACTGGGCTGTATCCATGGAGGCAAATTCACCCTTCAGCAAAGGCTAGTAATTGTGAAGACGATCGATTATGAGAATTCAAAAGGAGATAGAACTCCGAATATGGAAAGCTGGAATTATTGAGCTGTGGGAACTGGGAAGCTGCAGCTCGCTCTCCGTTGATCTTCTCTCTTCTGGTGGTGGTGGTGGTGGTGGCTGGTTCAGAAGAAGAACATGGGGGGAAAGAGGGGGCTGGCTGAAAATGAAAAAGTAGAAATTTAAAAGGTTATGGGAAATAAAGTTTTGCAGTGGGGAAGGGAGGGTTCTGCTTTTGCTTTTGGTTTCTTTGAGCTGTGTAGTGGAAGTTTATGTGTGTGCACTGTGCAGTGTTTCTTGCTTTATGGGGTTGTGTTTCCATCTGAGAAAGAGAGAGAGTGAGTGGAAAGAAAGAGAGAGAGAGGGAGAGGTTCACATATAAAAAAAAAAAAATTGGCATCAAACTGACATATATTCCTCCCATTCCTCTTCTCTTCTTCTTCTGTTCCTTCCTAAATCCTAGATGAGAAGGGTTTTTTTTTCCTTTTTTCTTTTTAGAGTAATCATGTGTGGTGAGAATATTTGTCTTCAAATCAATATTTAATTTAGCGGCAAAATTTTTCAAACTTAGAACTCTCAAAGATAATTAGTTACAAAACACATAATCTATATCTTAAGTCTTTCCCAACAAAAAAGTTAAAAAAAAACTTAATTATACGCGCGATGAAGCAATGTGAATGAATTCACATATGAAAATACGAGTTTTGTACCCTCATGTTTTGAACTCTTCAATCGTACAAGTGAAGCTCCAAGTCCTCGTTGCAAACCTGACTGATAACATTAAGCTAATGACAAATTCTTAACATCATGAACTATAGTGAGATAGAAAAAATTAATGGTTTGTTGGAAGACACACACAACAAGCTCAATAATGTATATGATCTCCTTACATAATATAGTATAAATGGATTACACTATCATATGCAAGAAGCCGAATATAATAAATGCAATATTTTATACGATATTGTGAAAACTAAATTGGTACAGTCTTCAATTCGTATATAACAATTGTGCTGTGAGCAACCTAAACAGGGAGATGGCACGAGAAGCCAATCTCTTGTTGATGATTTGAAACATACTACTCATCTTTTCATGTCAGGATTAATGGCTAATTTTGAGGTATTATTGACTTGTGATAATTAACTAGTAAGTAATTAGCATAGGGATGTGCATGCATCCATTCAAGGGCGTGGGCTTGCTTTGCAATTGCAATGCTGACCAAATGAAGATGTGGACAAAGTCATCAGATCTCACTCTCCATAGTTTTTCTAGGTCAGCAGATCGTGCTCTTTAGTTTGGATTCTTGTTGTCTAAAGGAATTTTTTTTTTTAATTTGGCAGACTGCTACACATAAACTGCTCTATTCTAAGAATAAATTACATAAATCCCCTTTTTCAAACAATCAAATTTACATATAGCACCTCAGGCCCCTCAACCGTATAAAGTAAGGTCATTTCATAATTTAACCTGCAACTTATAGGACCCAATGTATCATAAGTGTTCACGGCAACTAGCTAGATCCACAATTTAATTATTTGCCTATTAATACCTGTACCAAACTCCCTAATTATGCCCACCACACCATGCATTGTCTTGACAAAAATATAAATAAACAAAACATCTTAATCCTACAAACTAATTGACCATATGTCATTATCGATCATCTAATTTCAATCTGATTAACATATTTATAGTCATGAGACTTAACTGATGCTTATATTTATCCTTACATTGCTAGATCATAATGTTTCACATTTCACGAATCACCCACTTGGCCGGATACGCGGATATGACATGAAAAAGTAATTAAAGAACTATGCAATAACATTTTTTTTGTCCTTACATGACCTAATTTGTATTCCTTGTTATGGGTTATCAACCTTTACATTATGCAATTCTTGGCATGGCAATGGGACATGCAAGGCACCGGCCATATATGAAAGATTTTACCAGTAATAGGCAACCCTAATTGATGATGGTAAAAAGTAAAGAGGCACAAATAGCCTGCGGGTGATCATGTTGGTGAAACTTTCTCCATTTTGGATATTGTCTCTGTTTTTTACTCTCTTTCCTTTTACCTCTCATTTCCAGAAAGAGAGAAATGGGTGGATGGAATATAATGTGATAACTCATTGCAAACCCCAAAATTTTCTTCCCATTAGACATCGACTTGAGGAAAGTGACTTCACTACACCAATTCTATGATAGTTAGTACTTGATTGTCCTTTCATTAATTAATCATGTAACAATTCATCCTAATTAGAGTTGGGTGTTGTTTAGTCTGGTCGAGAATCGAGGGAAAAAACAATGAAAAATAGATGAAAAATGAAGATTTTTTTTTGAACCTGAACTTATTAAAAGCTAATTGACTCTATTTGGTGTAGTGTATGACTAATTAAATTGTGGTAATTCTATCTGTGCCTCTTAGGTCTCGGTTTTGTTGACCAACAACGATAATTTGTATCGTTCAAATTTTGTTTATGTTAAATAAAACTAAATTGCTCATTGAAACTTGTAAGTTCCAAATTCCATAAGAAAATGAATGTGTGTCATGAACCTTATGATGATTTCTTACTGAATCACTATTGAGTCTAACAATAGACTCACTCAAATGGAAGCAAAAAATTATTTTTCCCTCTACTTGACCAAAATCTCCTTCAACAACCCTACATTCCGTTCCTTCATTTGAAAAAAAAAACCTTACAAGTCCACACCCCAATGAGAGAGTTCGATCTATTTGATTTGGTACAGTGTTAAATTGAAACTCATGTAAATTGACTAAACAAACATGCTAATAAGTTAAAGTGTCAATATGTTGTGAAGTAATAGTTTATGTATTATTGGGTAGTTTACGATAAATTAGCTAGTTAGGAAATCGGTATGGTCTACAAACTTGTATGTTTCTTTCTTCGATGTTGTAGTCAATCTTCTCATCGTCATTCTCTTTGATTCATCGCTTTCCGACGACGAAAGCTTATCACAATGATGCGGTTGGTGATGAAATCAAGTTGAAAAACTTGCAGTTTCTAGGTTTAATCAATTTACATGATTCGGTCACTAATCAATTTCTCGGTCTGATATATATGCTATACATAGCTAGCTAGTGGAGAAGCTATTAGTATTACTATACCTTCAGGCTTCAGCTGTTGAGCTAGCTAGCTGTATGGCAATGGACAGTCCCTAGCTCTCCCTAAATGGGTTTTCCTTCATGTTCACGAATAGTTCTTATACGTGGTCAAAAAGAGGAAGATAAAGGACACGTTAAGCCATTTGAAACTGAATGGGGCTACTGATGGCTCAGTGTGCGTGGCATATGGAAAGGAATAATCAAAATGAATAGAACCACACAGACACACATATTCACTAATTAAATCTATGCTTGTACTCAAAGCATGCATTCGATTCCGACGTTTATAATAAAGGCAGCCGTTGGCGATGATCAAGAACTCGTGCGTTGGTTACGTTGCAATATATAACGTTATCATCAACGCTCAAATGGAAGCAGGCACTAGGTCGGACGGTAGCTAGCTAGCTAAGCTGGCCAAAACCTCAAGATCCAGTAGTGGTTATGGACCAAACGTTCCCTATTAATTAATTAACCGTCCACATGCCATTATGCCAAGGGATTAAGATTCTCTTTGGAAACTCGTCAACATCAACATCAATATCGTCTCTTCCTCTTTGTCTCTGACCAGTCACCACCACGCCTCTACGTACGACGAGGCATAATGCGGGGAGTCACATCACGTCGTCGGTCCCTTGAGCTTCAATACTAGGGTTGAGTGAATGGTTGGCGATTGTTCATCACTCAACAATTTATATTCCAACACATGAACATCCATGTAAACTCATCTTTGCTCTTATGGTGTGGGTGTGGATCTATACATATATATATACTTGTTATAATAAATTGAGTTATTGAGATCGAATATTGTAAGGAAGTGGTTAAGTACCCATACATGGTCATCTCCAACAACTCGAGTTATTGAGATCAGTTGGGTTATGATATGATATCAGAGCTGGTTTGTCATTGAAGTCACATGTTCAAGTCCTCACGACCCCCAATATTAACCTTTATTTTCAAGAACATGGTATGACGAGCATGCATGTGCAAACTTCAAACCCATGAGTTGGCTTTCGTCGCGCGAGCATGACAAATACCATGAGGAGTGAGGGGCCATATATTTGAACCAACTATAACCACCACTACTACCACCATTATCTCATCAAGATACCTAATCATCATCATCATGACCCCCTTCTTCTTCCGCCATGGCCGGCCCTGTCATGAAGTAGTAGTTACTCCCTTGTTTCCTTGATGACCACTTTCATATGATTATGATGAGCTCATTTTAGACAGGTGGACAAAAAGTAGTGGCTTGCTTTGACTGAATCATGAATAATCTATCGATGCCATCAATATATATATATACATATGGATCGTGCCTACCGAAATGTTGCTTGAGAAAGCACAAGCATCTGTGTATGTATTACAGAGGGTTTGTTGGCTCCCTGGGGGTTTCCTGCTATCATTGCTGTCCTAGCTATAGCGCAGGCGAAATGATCAGCTGGTGTAATGGTAAATGCTTTCTTCGGACGGGTTCTTTATTTAATTATTACCATTTCTTTTTTTTAGTCTTGTGTTGGAGATAAAAAACCAAAAAAAGTGTCACTCTTTTTTTTTTTTTTTTTTGTCTTTTGTGTAGAAGATAGAGGGTATGTATGTAGTATAGGGTTGGAACTTGGGAGTTGGCGGCCGGTGAAGGGAAGCCGGCCGGTCAGATGTGCCACATTAATGTGCATGCATCTTCGCAAATAAATCAAATAAATACGAGACAACTTGTACACAGTGACAGACTTGTAGACTGCTCAACTGATGATTGTTTCTAACATATAATTGCATGTTTATCAAGGTTAGGGTTCAATATGAATGCCACCATTGATGAATGTGGAGGTAGCAGAGAGAAATTAATAATAATAATAATAATAATAATAATAATAATAATAATAATAATAATAATAATCCGATCGATCGACGACTTCCGCGTCCAGGGTTTATTATTATAGTGGCGCTGGTGCACTTCCTAGCTAGGCAGGCATCATTGCAGCAAAACAGGCGGTCGGCGTCTTCATCGTCCACCATTGGCCCCCACACCGCACTTCATCAATTTGAAACCGCCGATACTACGGAGCCGCGCACAACCGCGTACCGCGAATCACATTCGAAACCAAAAGTAATAATATATACGTCAATCTGAAACCGTTGAAAAATTTCAGTACGTTCAGTTCACTACGCTCGCCAATACACAATATATATTCAATAATAAATGGCACTCAATCCCTAGTTAGAAGGCACGTTTAGGATTAGGGCCTATGGGTAATTGTCAACGAGGAAACTAAACAATTACCTCATTCATTACTTTAATACGGCATAAGTTCTTTTAACCTTATTTAGAGGTTAAAAACGTGAGATGTTCAAACTCTTACTCTCTTCTTACTGGCTACCAAAACAAGAAACAGAGAGGACATACTCTCTCTTGTTCCTGGCCTTTATATTTTTAACCTACTGATGCAGACATATCAACTGTTTTGACGAAATGAAGTGAGGAAACTGAAGAATGCAGAGTAAAAAAACAAATAAAATACTAATTTACCATTTTGGTGGAGGAATTTATTAAGGGCTGCATATGCGAATATTGAATTGGTTGCTTGCAGGAGGTGGAAGGCCTGCAGGCAGCTGCTCTTGGCGGCCGGGGTCTTTTTGGGTAAGAATAGAATAGGTGTAACGGGCCCTTCTACAAAGGCCAAGCCCATACTAGGTAGGTAAGCACACTAAGGGCCTGCATCTAGTTTCGTTACCCAATAACTGCGGTTTCCATGGCCTCCATTGAATTGCTCGGCACCTCTTTGCAGTTCTGTTCTGCCCACTTTCGGGTTCTGGCTGGCTGGGCCTGGTCTCTCTTCATTGTTACGTTGACGATATCTGGGCCAGTAATGGGCCCAATAATACGATGTTAATAGTTATCCTTGCAATCTCCGTAAAATGCAAAAAATTAACTTGTTTCAATGACTTGAATTATTGGGAGAGGTTCATGTATGAATCTTAACAACTTTTTTACACCCTCTTTAAACGAAAGTTAATTCATGAACTCGAAGTTTGTACAGACCCATCATACTAGATGCTTTGAATCAACTACTAATATTGAAGTGCTCATAAAGACTTGAACATGTGACTTGATGATAAAATCATCTCTGATGTCGTATAAGAAATCAACTGATCTCATTAAACCGCTACTTAGATTGCGAAAACTCATGTATATGAGAGTTCTCTCTATAACCTAGTCCCTAGCTACATTCGAGAAATCCACATAAATCATCTGTCTCATACTCGCATTCACTTGATTTTACAAAAAAACCATTGCGAGGATGTTGATGGCCACATCTGCCGACACTACAGAATCAAAGCAAGACACCAACCCCAGTCAAATTAAGGACCCATTACCTATATGTGAAGTTAATACATAAACCCTAGTTAGCTAAAAGGTTTCTATAATAAACTAGCACGGGACTACGGTAGAGGCGAAGTGGATGGATGGAGGCCGGCGTGTTTTCCCGGTGGCCGGCCGGCGTTGTTTTGTTGTATTATGTGAGTTGCCAAGAAAAAGATCATCCGGTAGTTGGGGCATCGGGATGTCTCATCCATCACTTCATCAATCTCTGGTCCCTCAATCAATTCAATTCGTCATCACTAGTTATTTTCTTGCTTTGTTGGATTGTTCGTGGCTAGCTCGGTGGCCTTACTTACTTACAACCGCTAATTAATCAACTTGCAATTTGTCAAACTTTCCTACGTACGGTCGGCTGGCTGCTACAGTGTCTATTCTATAGTGGATGGCTCGTTGGCTGGCCTGGCTCCCCTTCCTTTAAAATAGATACGTATGACTACTTCTAACTTGCTCCTAATTCCCTTGGCCAACTGTGGTCCAAGTGGGTTCACTGCACTACTGGTCAGTCAAACATTCATCACTCGCAAAATTAACAGAGACATGTATGTACACTTGTTTATTTCGTTGACTCCAATATCTTTGATGGGATATGAGAGGCCTGCTGCTAACGCCTACTTAATTTGTTTGTATTTTTTTAAAAATTAATAAAATATTTCGCCATTTTATTCATGAAAATTAAAATGTTTCGTCAAAACATATCAAACATACTCGATACATCATTCAAAGGTTTAGGTTGTGATTTTAGAGAACTCATTAAGAAATATGTTGTAACAACATAACCCAAAATCCAAAAAAATTTCAATGTCTGAATAATATTTTCTTACTAATGGTGTAGCTAGAGATATTATCTATGGATTTGGAGTATTCTACGCACCAACTATAGACAGTAGACACAGCTCTTGAAAGTTGCAACCACTTTTAGATTAGATTGAGGCGAAGGACAAGGAAATGACCGGCTTAATTGGCAATGAGAAGATAAGTGACTAAGTGAAAGACGCGTCATTGCTTTTCTTAATGGTGAAACGAAATCCTCCTCCTGGTTTGTTGGGGGAGAAGAGATACATCATACACGTTGGTTGGTAGGTTTGATGAAAAATTGGCAAGACATAAACAAACCTAGCTTTTTCCCTTTGGCGGCGGCGGACAGGCAGGGAGTCGCCCATCTTTGACTGCTACAATTTATCGCTGTCTGCTTGCTCACCAAAGTCTCTCTACAACGTTGGTGCTCATCCGATTAAACCGTAGTTTGCACCTCACTTTTATTGTTTCCTTTTCTCTTTTAATACTCTTCTTCCTGATTGATGTTGGTTTATGAATCGGGTTATAGTATGTAATTAGCCCACTCATACACATAATTATGTCTTAGATATGCAATGGTTATATTTTCTTTGTTTAGACATGAAATAAGAAATAATGTAGAATAATCAGATTAATTATATTTCTACAAAATGATATTTACTTTGATATATTTTCAAGCAAAAGAAATTATTGATCAATACTTTTTACCAAAGTATATCATAAATTGAACATGTTTCTTCCGTGATTTTCTTAAAAAAATCAAGTTGAATGCATGAGATAAAGGGTAGCTGACGATGATACAATTGATCAAAAAATTCCCCCGCCCCCAAGATCAGACGCCATCAAACTTTTACTATCGTAGCATACTTAAAGAGCATTTTCTTCTTATATGCACAATTTCAAAGGGTTATTTGCTTATGAGATTTGGGTGATGTATTTGGCACACAAATTCAATGAATTTGTATGGATTTGATATCTTCTTAGTATATTGATTCTTCGATACCAACATCAATTTAGTACAGGCTGATAGTCGGTGCTAGGCTAAGCCGACGACATTCGATTGTGTAATTTATGGATTATTATGACCCTACACAAAGTTCATAATTGATTGTAGGTTTAGAAAATTAGTAAGTAAAATTTATTTGGAGTTAACCAATCGAAAATAGCAACAATCTGACCACATAAAGTAAACCCATTCAAAGCCGAACCACGCAAATCCAATCTCGTAAATTGCTTCGTGATTTAATTTGTCTAATGCAACATCTACCTTGAATTTGAAAGTTAGACTCCAACATTCTTCGACCGGATAAAACAGACTAAGAAAGAGTGGGTTTGAAGCGAAAAAGGGGAGTGATTGCCGCCGGCCACGGGCCACCGCACCTTTATCTTAGGCCACACGAGCAGCTAGCTTCAACCCTTTCGGCGTAGTATATATAGTATTGTGATTGTCAATGTTATACCACTGTTCCGGTGGAGAAACAGAGATTCCTCACTTCCACGTTTTCCAGATCAATTACTTTTCTAATTTGCGCTCTACTAATTAATATCATTTAACACCATTCAATAATATATTTGCTCAATGAAATTACAAATAAAAGATCATTTGTCAACAAACGCACTAACAAGCAAGAAACCAGATGGAAACAAAAATATGGAAAGAAAGAAACTTGTGTCGCTCTACTTCGATAACAATTCCCACTATGAGCTGCCGTCAACCTCTCCCGTCGTCTCTATTTCTCTTCTCTAGTCTACACTCTTCCCCCTCATTTAAGATTCACAATACCACATTCTCCATTTTGCTTCGTGTGGTAAGAGGTATTCATTCGGTTAGCGTGAGATGTAAGCACTCATCAAGAGTAGGGGGTGGGATATTGGTTCGATTTAGTTTAATCGAATCACGAAATTAGAAACCGGAAGTCGATAAAATATATTTGTTTACAAAGAGAACAGAAACTATCAGATCTCCTAATAGTTCAGGTAATGTTCCGTTTCAAGAAATTGAAATCGAAATCAAATGATTTTGAATTTTTTTTAATGTTTTCTTCTTTTTTTCAATTCTAACCCGAATGAGTTTCGGAGCAATGACAAATGATCAAACAAATATCTTTTTCAAGAACCAATTGTAAATTTTGATAAGATCTCAAACTATGAAATTTAGCCTTGAAACGCTTCATTAAGTATTCGTATTCGTGTCGGGTTGACTAATATATTTTGTGTCCGTGCTTGTGTCGTACCTTAACTGTATACTGTATACTGATGTGCTAGCCCATGGACAACCCGGTCCAGTGCTAGCATGCTAGGTACACCTCCAACCCATCCATGATCATCCACTCTCGGTGATTTGGACTTTTATGAACGGACTAATATCAAACCTTGTTCAACTTGACTACCCTAAAATTATGAGTGGTATTGCTGGATTGAATAACAAGTATGGTAAAAGTCTTGTACACTTAAAGTTAAATTAGCTTTAAAAATGGTCTCAATTAGTTTTTTTAATCCCCATTTAAAGATTCTGGGTAATGGTGAATACTAAATACGGTAAAAGATTCAAAGATCTAAATGGAAAAACATATTATTGTTGTAGTAACCTGCAGGAAAAAATGCAATCTAGTTAATCGTTTTTATTAAGCTCGAGCCACGGGGAAGGAAAGATCTACTTGTAAATAAGCACAAAATTCAGTAGTGGTAACCCCCCGGCAATATACTTTGCCTCCTCGGGTGGAAACTTCTTTCTTTCTTTGGGTGTGTCAATGGAGATGGGCGCGCGTTGATTTCTGCAATTTTGACCCAAAGAAACATTAATAAGATTCCAGTTCCACTGTTTCCCAGGTCTGCATTTTCCTCCCCCGCCCCTTCTTTTGTTTCTTTACTTGTCGTCGCTTCGTCTGTTTGGTTGGTTGGTCGCCGTCCCATGGATGGGTAACTGAATTCACCCCTTTTCTGTCCCTTTTTTAATTCTATTTCCGCTCCTTGTTTGCATCTTATCTTCGCAATCCAAGATCTGGGTTCCGTTTCTCGACTCTCAAAGCTCCCGACTTCGCATGTCAACGGCGGAACAACATCACTTGACCTGAATTCTTAAGGGTTCCTTCGGGGGAGTCGGAATTCCCCACTGTGGATGGAGAGTTGCAGTGCGGAGGAGGGATTCTTCGATACTAGGGAAGAGGTCTCTTCCGTCTCCGATTGGGCTTCCGATTCCGACGGCAACGGTGTTTCCCCCAATTCTCAGTTCGAGATTTGGGCTAAGAATATGGAGAGCGTAGAGGATCGGCGGCGGAGGTTCCTCGGATGGATGAATCCGAGTTTCGAGCGGGGTTCGGTGGAGGAATTGGAGAAGGAAAGTCTCGAGAAGATCGAATCGGAGATTGATAGAGTGATGGATGATAGCGGCGCAGTGTTGAGAACTTCTGGTTCTGATGAACGCGACTTCTGGTCTGACACTTTGTCACGGTCTACTTCCTGCCAGTCTGCTGAAGCTCGGGAATCGTTTGAAGATGGTGCTTCGGAGGTGGATTTCATGTACAAGATCAGGAACTTAGACGACGGGAGGGAGTTTGTCTTCGAAGAACTGGATCAAGCTGGAATCTTTAGCAGATTGCGGGAAGTGGGATCGGATCGTTCTCTTAGCTTTGAAGAGTTCCAGAGAAGTATAGGATGGTCACCTTTGATTCAGCGGCTTCTTCGTCGATATGCAGATGAGGCAAGAACCATGACGGAAACTAGGAAGAAACCTAAGAGGGGTTGGCTGAGGAATTTTAGATCATCACCAGCTCACATTGCCGATAAGATCAATGGTAATGAGCCATCTGGAGAGAACAAGTCGCAAAGAGTTAAGGTTCATTCTCACAGGAAGAAGACCAAGGAGTTGTCTTCACTGTATGCAGGTCAGGAATTTCTGGCTCATAAGGGGTCTATTCTGACTATGAAGTTCAGTCCAGATGGGCAGTACTTAGCTAGTGGTGGAGAGGATGGTATTGTAAGGGTGTGGAAGGTCATTGAGGATGATCGATTTAACCGGCTTAATGTTCTTCCGGGCAGTGATCCTTCATGTCTTCGCTTCGCAATAGACCATCAATCGAATATAACTTCTTTGGATGTAGATGCAATTGCAAAGAACGATGGCCAAACGAAGAGACATATTTCTTCGGACTTGACTTGTGTTGTTTTGCCCCCAAAGGTGTTTAGAGTTCTTGAGAAGCCTCTTCATGAATTCCGGGGTCACAGTGGTGAGGTTTTGGATCTCTCCTGGTCGAAGCAGAGGGTAAATATCTTCCATAAGTTACATTTTCAAAGACAAACTGTTTTCAATTATCAATTTTACACTTGTTAATGATGCTTTGCTTTCTTCAGTTGCTTCTATCTTCATCAGATGATAATACCGTACGCATGTGGCAAGTGGGATGTGACAAATGCCTGAGAGTTTTTCATCATAACAACTATGGTATATATGCTGGTTAGATTGATTGATTTCATTTCCATAATTGGTTAGCTCAGTTCTTTTGTCACATTTATCAACCTGTTCTTGGGGGGTTGATTGCAGTGACTTGTGTCCATTTCAATCCTGCGGATGAAGACTATTTCATTAGCGGTTCAATAGATGGGAAAGTCCGAATCTGGGAAGTGTCTCGATGTCAAGTCATTGATTACACGGATGTCAAAGAGATAGTCACTGCTATAGCTTATCGTCCTTGTGGGAAGGTTGGCAGAATATCTTAACTTTCAGCTTTGAGGAGGAAGAAATTCCTTGGAAAGGTTGAATTCTGAAGGGTATTTCTTTACATGAAAATTTGCAGGGAGCTATTGTGGGCACTATGAGTGGAAATTGCCTCTTCTATGAGATCAGAGGTGCTTATCTATTCCTCACCACCAGGAATAACTGAATCATTTGGCATATGATGAAAGAATTAATTCATTCTTTAAGCTTACGGACGGTATTATTGTCTTTGATGAATGTAGATAATAAGATGAGACAGGATACTGAAATATGTTTGCAAGGGAAAACCAAATTGCCTGGCAAGAGAATAACTGGCTTTGAGGTAGTTAAATTGCTATAACCTTCCTCTCTGTACTCTTGGAGTTCAATTTTGATATGGTGTGGTAACATTGAAGCTTTCTTTCCAGTTTTCTCCAAGTGACCCGAGCAAAGTAATTGTCACATCTGCTGATTCTCTCGTGCGAGTTCTCTGCAGCTCAGATGTCATCTGCAAATTTAGGGGTTAGTTATTCATTCTGCTTCCACCAATATCTTCCTTGGTTTTTACACCATATAGGCTCCATTAATTCAACTAGTTGGCACCAGGTAGTACCTGATCAAGTTGACCTATCCAGTGAATCAAACTGAGCCACGTACGTTCCTTTCCTACATATTAACTTTCCTCTGTTCTCTTTCTTCTTCAGTGTCCAGCCTTCGGGTTGCAGCGAACCAGATGCACGCCACTTTCACCTCAGATGGAAAGCACGTCGTCTCTACAAGCGATGATTCCAACATCTACATTTGGAACTATGATAAACAGGAAAAGAAGTCATCTTCTCGAGCTAGGCATATCCATTCCTACGAGAGCTTCATCTCCCAAAATGCTTCAGTCACAATACCTTGGCGTGGGGTTGAAACTGCGCCAGGCACGATCTTATCTCCACCGCCACCCATTGGAGACGTCGTGCATGAAACTAGCAGCAGCAAAAGCATGATATCTTCACCAGATTGTTTCTCGCTGACTCGTGGGTTTTTGTTAGATTCGTTGATCAGGGGATCTGCCACCTGGCCCGAGGAGAAGCTTCCTGACACGAGACCCGTGTCAGTTTCATCAACACCAAAGTTGAAACCGGAGTTCAAGTTTCTGAAGAACGCATGCCAGAGTATGTTCAATTCTCACATGTGGGGCCTGGTGATTGTTACTGCAGGCTGGGATGGGAGGATTCGAACTTACCTCAATTACGGGTTGCCCCTGCGTGTTTGACTGAAGAAAACGTGTGAAGGAAGCAACAGTATTTAACTAAGTTTTGATTCATTCCTGTACCTATATAGATAAGACTGTCCTCTTCTTTTATGGGGCAGTGTATACAAATAGAGAAAGAAGAAGAAAAAGGAAAAAAAAGCTGCTTAGGTTTACGCATTGTGGACCTGAGTGAAGATTTACAAAGGTTGTACAATTGTTTGAGGAGTCGGCCCATTGAAAGGCAGGCTGCAAATTTGTAGCATCTCAATGTAATCTGCAAAAACCCAAGTGCACTGGATTCACAGTGTTTTTGGTATTGAAACTGTGTATAAAGAAACAAGTTCATATGATTCTTTCATTGGTTCTGTACTGATAGCCATATGGAGGTTTTCGGCTGGTCTGTTGTGATTCTCTGAAATGACTGCTCCGTACAGCTGTAATCCGGTCCCAATAAGGATTTCTAACGGTTCAACTTTCTGATTTCCCCCTCTATGGCCTCTACTAATTGCAGCCACGATAAAATAGGTAGAGGTGGGGGACTGGGGCCAACTGAGCCTGCAACTTGGGTACACCACCATTTGCTTCTGCTCCCAAAATGTTTGTTGCTTTTCTTTCAATGATCGGAGTCCCCACGTACGGTTCAAATCATACATTCTTTTCTATCCCGATTTCAATCAATCTTAGAAAGGTTAAATTAGATAGAAGAACCCTTTTATCTCATGGTAGGCACCCACGGCACAATGCATTTGGATGACTAAATTTGAGAAAATATTTGTTTGATTACTTGAAACTTTTATCATCCACGTTAGAGGTGGTACGATCACTTAATCTGAATTGATAAGAATTTTACATTGTCTTAGGCTATCATGTGTGGTGGTAGAAGGTTGATTTGTAGATAAATTACTCATTCTCACTTGATCGTTATAGTTGATCACATCCATTCTGCGTTTCCGCTTGTGACAACCATCTGACAGCTTATCGGCTTCCTCGTGAAAGATGGAAAGTACATCTCTTACATGTTTATAGAAGAGGACCCTAATTATTGATTTCCCGTATAGAGTATGATTAATTTTTGGATCTAAACATTCGCATTATTAACATAGCTCTCGCATACTAATGATTATCAGGGAATTGATACTCATGATATACTAAACATTTACATGTTAGAATGTATTGTTAAATCGACAATGCAATAAACTAAAGAACGCATAGATTTATGAGGTTCACTAATACAATGTGTGTTAGCTATGTCTACGGGCATGGTGGAGCATTTTCGCTATACTTGAGGAGATACAGATTACAGATATTGAGAATATACATGTAGTATCTTCTCCATAAGGCCAAACATAATCCCACCTAGAAAAAAAAAAGTTACTAGTCATAGCAACAAATCTCCACCTTGACTCGAACTCGCTCTCAAACTACCAGATGTATTCAGACTCTCTTCCTGAATGCCCCTAAGGATATAAAAAAACTCAAAACATTCAGTCAGCTCAAACACTTTTCAGAACTTGCCATGTGAAATTTGGTTTATGAACATATCAACCAGCTCCTCGTGACATAGCAACATTAACTACCCTCTTTCTGAACCGCACTAAAAAAGAAGACAAAAGCATGAGACTGCGTACTTTGTGAAGAAAGAAACGGTTAGCCCATCAGACATCTTTGTTGGTTATTGTACTATTTCCACTTGCAGCAGAGGATCTCGTAGATTTGGGAGCTGTCCTTTGGAGGAAAAAGCTTTTCCTTACTGTCACATGAATGAACTTCTTATGTTCACGACATAAGGTCCAGGATTCGTCACATCCATCATTTCCAATTAGTTTTCTTTTCTCAAAACCAGATATTTTTTGTTTGTCTACTTACTGCTGCTAGTGCTGGTGGAAGCTTTGGTCCACCGTAAGTCCATCATTATCTGTAATTGTTCATCAAATAACCGGGACCAGCTACATGAATCTTCATAGAATGTGAAATTGTCGAATTTGTGATGGAAACAAATCATTGTGCACTTCATTTGATTAGACATTTTATTTTTAAAATGAGATATTGAACTGATTTTCACCTTAAAAATAATGAAATTGATAAAGATGAAGATCTTAGAATTCTAGTGAATGTTGTTCGAATTCCATACCCTCATTGATTCAATCATGCTATCATGGTTCGAGATTATGTTTAACCTACCAAATGAAAATGGTTCCTTAGATTATCTGCTATTGTAGTTTTCTAGAGGTCTAATGATCCACTCTTATAATCAATAGAATGTTAATAAAAACGTAGTTCTTACTGACATTCTGGGATGCAACAAAAGACAGGCCATCTCGAAATTATGATACATACATTCTTTCTTGTTACAGAGCTTTAGATAGATAGTAGTTAACTGATTGGAGCCATTTCTCAGAAGGGCCAGAGATCACCCCATAGAGATTTGCGGCCTTGGTGATGCAATGTCGGGTTCTTGCTCTTGGTCACGACTATGCGTTCATATGAACCCTCTGTGCTTTCCTCGTTCACTGATCTGCAAACATCCAGAGTAACATGCTTGCCTCTTCGAACCGGCGAGAATATAATCCTTCCCCAACCTCCCCCTAGGTCTGCCTCACTTGTTTCTGCGGGTTCTGTTTTTACCATCTCCTCTTCTTCCTGCCCTTCTTCTTCATCATCTTCAATGTTGTCAGTTTCCATAAAATCAGAGTCATAGTTACTGCGGTCTGCTTCTTCGTTTTCCGCATCGTCATCCTCTTCTTCATATTCATTTTGCTCCACATATTCATCTGTGAACGTCATATGCATGATTAGAGTTCATCAGGAAAACTTATGCAGCTATGAAAGTTGTCCAGACGCATATGTAAATACCAACCATCTTCAATTTCCACAACTTCTGCTGGACTCCTGTTTGCCCTCTGCTCTTTCAGAGTTTCTAATTTTACACCAGAAAGGGGCCAAGTTTCCCTGTGTTGACAGAAATGCAACGCCCGTTTGTTTCATTAATACAGGAACATTTTTTTTTACTGACTACTGGATGGACAAGAAACACAATATTTTGCAGAATGGTAGAGAAAGGCTACAGAACGATACTAACCGAGGTCTCTGTCCTCGTCTAAACACAACAAAAGAAAACTTCTCATCCTCGAAACCACGTAACGGTCCACCACCCTTTGAACTCTGCCAATTCGATTATATAGAAAACAGTAGCCATCAGATGGTAATTCCATTACATCAACCCTTTCTTTCAATGGCAAAAAAGGACCTTGAACTGAATCCAACCCTACACCCTGAATTACTTGAACAAACATCTAGCTAGGATTGGCTGTGAAACTAATCGAATTCGTGTATCTTCTACTAATAAATGAGATCAAACCTTGTATGCCCGCTGTGATGTTGTTCTTTGCAGGCGCTGAACAAAATGACAGTATTTTCCAGATTTCACCAAAGGACATTGTCCTTCATGGGAACACTGCATTCATAATATGCCCAATAAGTAAAAAGTACTTCCACTCAACTGCTTAGCGTAACTTTAAAGAGAAGTAAACACTATGAAATAAAGGACTGGTACTCACAGGGGCCACTATGAAAACACCACTTTTTATGGGCACCAAGTCGGTGCAAGTCTCACTTCTTTTCTTTAGAGATTTGCGGAGTTTCTGTATGTTGCACAAAATGAGCTATCATGACAGGTTCAAACCAATGTGATATCATACAGCCAATGAAATCCACTTACCCTTTTCTCCATCCATAGTATGTGAGATCGCATCTGAGATATGATGTTAGATCCATGTGGTGTGCCTGGTTCAATTAAAACCTGGTTCAAATTTAAGTTTCAGAAAAATAAAACAAATCCAACATGAAGGAAAAAAACACAAGGAATAAACCAAACAACCCCACAAATTGTAAGGTTATGAAGGAATGAAAACATACCAAGACATCTCGGGTAAGATCCCAAAGTTGGCGCACTGTAGTAATTCGATCTTTCATCGATGGTATCTCACCAAGCACATATGACTTCATGCAAGAAGAAAATTCAAGATTAGCATAAAAAACTTATATTAACTCCACATGGTTATGTATACAAGCAGAAGAAACTACAAAGGAGAATACGACTTACAGCAATCACTAGGTCATGCTCTCTCTCAGTCTTCTTGAGATTTTTACTTAACGCCTGAATGCTATCGTAGCCATGAATAAGTGGCAAATCCTTCAATCCTGCCATCGCCCAAAGTAGAGATAGGCAATGTTATAAGTTCATCAGATCATCGTCAGCTTCCAACGTACTATCAAATCGAAAATTTCAGGTAAAGAACATCATCTCCACTAGTTAGTAAACCTTGTATAAGGCTTCGCCCTGCACGCTGCATTGATTGAGATGGTTCCACTAAATTTACCTTCTTGATTGACTTTGGCCACACTTCTCTCATAGCCCTTCAACAACAACAACAACAACAGAAACATAGTGTTGGGAAACCATGCATTCGAAGCTACGCACAAAGTCAACTAACAACATGAATGGAAGATTTTCCCTCACCAGAAAGCTGAACCAGTCCCTGCACCGAAATCCAACACCTTCGCCGGAGAAAAATCCGGCAACCTTTTCCCTACCTAATTAACATTTCAATTTCAAATCAATCAATAAACTTGTTCAACTCCACCATCCAAAAACCCACACTCAGAACATTTCATGCGAAGTTAGCAGATGGTATTTATCCTATACCTCGTTGAGAACGCGGTAGCAGGCAGAGAAAACGGCGGGCATTCGAGAAGCTACATAAGCGACGGTCTCACTGTCCGAGTACGTGAGCCCAATATCTCCATAAGCGCTCCTGATTTTCCATCTTTGAGAGCTCTCCATCGACTTGAAGGGGTCCTCGACCAGCTCCTTGGAAGTGTTGGCGGAAAGCATTGAGTTAGCATCTTTGATTTGGTTGAAGGATTGAGACAGCCTCAGCACTTTCTTCTTCATGTGCGGCTCCTCCAGCTCCTTGAGGTACCTTTTGATTGCGCGGCGGAGGCGAACGGAAACGACGAGGCATCCCTCCGATTGTTTCGCGGCAGAGCGGAGTGTTTCCGGTGTGAAGACCCGTTTGGTTGTTTCGGAAAGAAGGTTCGCCATTGTTGCCGGAGAATTGGGGGCAGAAGCTATGCTCACTTCCTTTCTCGGAGGTTTTAGGAAGGCATTCGTCTAGTAGGGTTTTAGGCTCGGGTCGAAACAAAAGCCCACACAAAGTATTGGGCTGGACATTTTAATTGATTGGGCTTTGTTGACAATATGGACCGCATATGAACTGAAAACAAACGACAGCCCAATAACTTCAATTTTCCTTTTTTTTTGTTTGACAAGAATATCCTAACTTTCAAATTGGGATGAAAGCCAAAGACGTCATCAGTCTCAAATAGAGGAAACAAATGGAATAGTGCGATAATAATTTTGATTTGAGTCGTTTTATCTAATTTATTTGACTTGTTAATGACGACACCATTAGTAAGTTTTCATTATGATATATAGATGTTTACTGGTTTATATTATGGTGTCAGAGCTGGTTTGATCAAGTGATCTAGTGTTCGAATCTTTACAGTTTTCAATATTAACTGTTGATTAAAACACAATGTATGGTAGGTCTAGGCAAGCGTCAAGCTTGTGAGTTGACTTTCGTATAAAAAAGTACAAAGAAGAAAGAACTCAAATTAGATCCGTACATTGACTTCTATCAAAAACTTGAGTTATTGTACCAATTACCAAGGATAAAGTGAAAAAGAAAAGGAAAATCAACCACCACGTGGTGCCAAAACCGGCCCCCATGTTCTTATTACCCCCCACTACTGCGTCAACTATATCTTCCTCTCCTCATCATCATCATATTGTTCTCTCTCAAATTTGTTTGATAGACATGCAATTACAGGCATCCTAGCTCTAATGAATTAGCAAGGTTGTCAACCCGCGTGTTGAACCGGATCCGGTCGAGTTAGTGGGTCAAGGGTTAATTATATCACATCTTATAGAACATATGAGTTATAACATATAATATTACACCAAAATAACATATCGTACTTAGATCCAACATATAGTGAAAATTCACACACTTATATAACATAAATATTCAAATGTTCAACTTAGTATTCCAAAGATTGAGTTAGGCGAAAAGAAAAATTGGAAAATAGGCGCATTTCGCAAACTAAAGAAAAAAATGACACAATTTGACCCTCCAACCCGGTACCTAATAGCGATCGGCCCGGCAGGTGCGTGCGACCCGTTTTTCTCACCGAGTCAGAGTCAAATTGGGTCTACCCGTGTGTCAACCCGCGGGTTGACAACCTTGTCAATTAGTGTTAGGGTATGATTAGTTAGTTAGCGCATAGTGATCAACGTCCAACCGTGCACAATTATATTCTGGGTGGTGTGGTGGGTGCTTGCTGGTACGTGCCATTTTTCTAACCGGGGATCATGCATTATATCGTATCATCATATGGCTGATCATATGATCAATCAAAGGCGCCCAATATATTAACAAAATTGCAGCGAGGGAGGGAGAAGGATTAGTACTAGTAATTTATGTTTCCTCTTCCCCCTGGCCCCTTTCCAAGCACCTTCATTCATTAATCCCCGATTATCAAACCCACAACCCACATGATATAACTAATTGCATGACATAATCAAACTCACTCCATAATCATTGTACAATAACAACAACCCCATACACAATTAACCACTTTATATAGGTTTGTTTTATTATATGTTGTAATCAACCCCCCCCCCCCTTATTAACATACAATACGAGCTACGGGACCATACATACTTCATTCAACTCTCTCTAATTCATTACGGTAAATACATTGATTATCAGAACTATAACAAACTTAAACTACATTAAGCACCACTTTCTTCTTTACCAAAACTCTGTCTATATATTTATCACTAACATCCTTAACTAAGCTGTGTACAAATTTTGAAGTCTCTCTCTCTCTTTCTCGATCTATATATCTATGGTACTTGTATCTATATATAAATATGGAGGGTCCTACATAGTACTCCTAGTTATCTCCTTAATCATTATTGCTGATTATGGATCACTCCTTTAACTTTGCGCTTTTTTCACCTTTTTCCTTTTTATGGGCTGGGGGAATGGAAGCTGGGGTCGTCTCGTCGTCAGGTGGTTGCTAGCGAATAGTCTAAGGCAAAAAAGAAGGGTAAGTGGGGGCATGACATTTTCAAAAGAGCTCTCTGCTTTCTTTTTTTCTAGTTTGGGTGATGAGTAGTAGTAGGAGGAGGAGATGAAGCAGAAGAGACCATGATTTCAGAGGCGGACCATAGGCGAGCTGCCTCGCTTGCGCTGGATCCCAACTTGGACGCTGTTGCTTCGTTGCAATCCGCAAAGTACTTCCCCGACACCTTCCCCACCCTTATATTTGTTGCAAGGTAACAAGTTGTCGCGGCTGCCTGAGGGATGCTTTTCAAGAGCTTGGAAGCCAGGAAGAAGGCCGCGTCCGTCACGAACCCTTCCCTCTCCCTCGTCAGCCTCGTCCTCACGATTCCTGGGTGCACACAGTTCGCCGTCACGTTCGCCTTCATTTCCTGCACGCCAAAAAATCCATCCATTCATACACACAGACAAAACATCCGTAAATATGGGTTCAGGGATAATGTTTCAAGCTGATAACTATAGTTTAAGTGCACATCCAAACAAACATCTTCTCCACGCAGAAGATTCTACTGCACGTTTGATTTGCTTAAATTAATAGTGATCAGGCAGAAATCAATGGATGAGAGAGGGAGACCTTGAGCCTATGGGCAAGCTGTTTGGTGTGGAGGACGTTAGCAAGCTTGGAGAGAGCATATGCACGTGTAGCATCGTAATTAGGGCTGCACATTCAAACAAAATCAACAAGGGGGAAAAAGGTCAAACTCAGATGCATTTCCCTGTACATGATATAGTCCTCATATCCACATGGCGATGATAATAATTATTATTATCATCAGTAATCAGTCAATTAAGTAATCGGGATCCGGTCTCAGGCAGGATTATAAGGTAATTAACTAGCAGCTCCACGAATCAAAGAAGAGATTTGGTATGGGCATCGTATCTAACCATTTCTGTCGAGAAATTTCTGCCAGATACTGCAGCATGTCGCCGGCGAACCAGCCATGAATAGCCGACGACACGTTCACGATTCTCCCCTGGATCCCCGTTTCTCTCGCCGTTTCGGTCAACTTCCCCACCAACAGATTCGTCAGCAGAAAATGGCCTGGAAGAACCCCACCCCCAAAATAAATTAATTTTCATATTAAAAACAGTAATCCTCATTAGCAATGGAATCGGAGCTAATTTTATGACATAATAGTGATTTTTTTTCTCTCACCTAGGTAATTAGTGGCAAAGGTCATCTCTATCCCGTCTTCCGAGATCGCATGCTGGTGGGCGAATTTTCCGGCGTTATTTCTAACGGAAAGAGAGGGGAAATAACAAACAAACAAACAAACAGAATTTTTCTCAGCAACTAAACAGGGAAGAGGTAAACGGAAGGGGAAAAGAAAAGCAAAAACGACACCGTTAGGCGAGCTGGGGGGAGGTTTTCTGTGTGTTACGTACATGAGGAGATTGAGAGGCAAATCGAGTGACTCGAACTCAGTGACGAAGCTTCTGACGGAACGGAGCGAGCTTAGATCCAGAGCCATCACGATTACCGTCGCATCGGGGCACTCCGATAAGATACGCGCCTTCGTATCCTCCGCCGCCTTCATATTCCTCACCGGCATCACCACCCTCGCCCCTCGCTTCGCCAGCACCCTCGCCGTCTCCGCTCCTATCCCGGACGTCGCTCCTGCGGAATTTCCGACAAATCAACAAAAAAACCGTCAGTCGATCGACTATTATAACTAATACAAACTCATCACCGTCAGATCTCCGTTAGTGAATCGACGAAATTACAAAAAAAAAAACTCACCGGTGATGATGGCGGTGAGGGAGCGCAGATCGCCGGAGTTCTCAGTGACTCCCTCGGCGGTGGATTTTGAGCCATAGCCGCTAGCTCCGTGCGCGCCGATCAAGTACTTGACCGCTTCCAGCATTTTTGCCTCTCCGGGAGAAACGGAAAACAAAAAACCTCACGCCTAATTTGAAATTCTCTTTTACTGTTTCCTTTTAACGAGATAAGGAAAACAAAATTAGCAGAGAGAGAGAGAGAGAGAGAGAGAGAGAGAGAGGATGAGTGAGAAAAGTCGTTCGGCTTTAATCGTTTGTGGCAGTGTTTGCAGTTGCAGGGTCGGCTGCCGGAGGGACAGGGAAAAGAAAGAGAGGGAAAGGAAAGGCGAAGTGTGGCGGTTTTCTGTCAGAGCTCGTTTAGCCAAACGGCAGAGACGCCGCTTTACATTTACTGCGAGAGAGAAGGGAAGGTGGTTTGGGTTATTTACTTTTGTGGGGGAAAGGAGAGGGGCGGGCGAGAGTGGAGGAAGGCGAGTGGGAATGGTGGATTTTTATAGTGGGAGTTTGGTAGGGGAGGAAAGGAGAATCAACTGAATGTGAAGTGAATTAGAGAAACCAGGGAGAGGGTATTGTATTGTGTATTTGTCTTGGAATGGTGATGGTCATGGTGATGATGATTATAAAAAAATCTACTGATTTTGTTTTCAAGTTCTTCTTTGTGGGGATTTTAATTGATTAATTAAGGGTGCATTTGGTGTTAATTTTTTAATTGTGGTGATGATGCATGATTGGGGTCAAGCCAATTAGCTTTGTTGTTTTGCTTAGATGGCCGTGGTCCTAATCAACTAGCAATTATTACCCAAATCAATTATTATTAGTATTCTATGTATGGTTTCATTTTCAGATTTCCTTGCTTGTTTTATAATTGGCAACATATCTACGTATTATGAATTTTCCATTTTCCTAAACAATACATTGCTCTGAATGATTTATCCAAATGACCTTATAAAGACATACGCCCAATATGTGAGATTTTGCTACTATATTGATCGGGTATACCGGATCTGTCTTAATTGCTAGATACATGCAGAGATTGTTGTATTGCACCAACATATTAAAAATTTGGAAAACGATATAAGGCAATAAAAGTATAGAAAGCTCCCATAATTAATTTGGTAAATATGCATTATGTTGTAACATTTGTTTTTAATTTTGCTGTGAACGATTCAACGTATTTTAGCGGATAGAATGTATTAAATTATGACAATGATATTTAAGGGAGATATGTTTTTGGCAAGATTTAAGGGGGATTTTATATTAATCTTTCTTGTCCATTTTGCATTGTAAATTTGTGGGGGATTATGATGTAACATTTTCCCCTCATTATATTTATTGGAGGTTTAATATGATTTCCCCGTGTTTAATTTTCTAACTTTTAGTTCATAAAAAATAATTATAACTTTAGTACATTTACATCCTTCCTTTTGTTTTCATTTAAAAAGGTTACATTGCATGGCATAAATACGTATAAGATGCTTTTATAACTTAATGTCTTTTAGAAAACACAGTGTTAATACAATTTCAACTTGAAGACCGTCCAAAGGATAAAGGTTTAAAGGTTTTAGGTTGAAATTTGGAGCTTGAAGTAATCAGAATTCTCACTAACAACCTTGGAAGTTGAGGTATCTTCCTTGACCTCCTATATCTATGTGACAGAGTGAATCATTTATAAAATCACTACTGTCAATCACACAAATACGTCGAGATGCTTACAACTAGTGTCATTTACCCCTATCAAATGGGTAATTAACTTTTATATGCCTTTAGTTAAGAGCAGTTTTATCTAGTAGAAGGGTGGCTGAGTTGTAGTTAGTGTGAGCTAAGTGAACTATCACCTAGCTGCATTGAGTTGAATCCAACTAGATGGATGTTAGCCCCTTTAAGTTAAATCATAATTTAATTTAGCCTCTCGCTTGAGATAAGTAAATTAGCTTCCTCATGGATCTTTCTTACTATGAAAAAAACTTCATTTCTCTTTAGCTCCTTTTATGATATATGATGTCGTATGAGATAACACATATTGATATTAGTCATTGAATTTGATCATTCATATTATCCCATCTCGTCTTAGGTGGGTTAATTCGAATATATCATAATATATATATTACTCGAGTGTAAGTTATTTTCAAAACCTACTATGTTTTTGTTGAAATAGTATTGTTTTCGTTACAAATGCATGTAACGAAGTGAAAATACAGCTTTAACCAGCTTTCATGGCATGGGTGTGGAGCGACACATCATCGGGAGTAGGTATGATTGGAGGTCCGGTGTGTGTTTTCTTTCCCTCCCGGAGGCAATTAGGGGATGCGGCGCAGTCGAAATTCTGAATTGACTTTGTCGTTGGGAAAATGCTCCTCCGTTGGAGACCAATGGCTGACTTGCATTTAACGCTTTGCGTTTTCAAATATTGTTCTGTCTGTGTCTAGTGTCTAGGAATAAGAGTATCCTTTCCTCTTTTCTTAATTAGCTGCTGTTTGCTTCCCTCTCCCAACTACCCAGTAATCCCTTATTTTTTTCCCCTGTTATCTTTTTGCTAGTCAATGAATAATGACTTCTAGAAAGAGCTATTGAAATGGACCGTGGTTTCAGCAAGAGCTTAAAACTTTTTAAATTAGAGGAGCAAGTCCAACTGTGGAAATGGACGATGGGTTCGGGCAGGAAGTAGTCGGGTCGGTGGTTAGTTAGGGGTTGGTCGGAGCAGTCGGCGATTAGTTTACAGCTCAAAGCGCCGTAACAGGTGATTAGTTAATTAGTTAATTTAAACAAAGGAGAAATATAAAAAAGTGAATGTGGTTAAAATGGAGGAGAGTATTAAGTGGATGCGGTAGGAACGCACGTGAGGGTGAGGAAGGGCAGTTGGTCAAACTCTCAATCCTACGGCCTCGACGTGCGGGGAAATGGGAATGGCCTCGGTCCTCGTTCTTCTTTACCTGGTCAATCCCATCCATCATTAATTCCTCCTCTTCGCATTTCAAATTAATGCTCCATTATTAAACAAACTGAACACTTGATATTATAATAATAATAATGTTATGCATGATGTATGGATTATATCTAACAGTCTAAACTCATCAGTAATATGACTATGACCACGAAAATATGTACTGGAGATTAGATTACATTAATTCATGCAGATTTTTTCAGCCAGTCTTGAGAAAAGTGTTTCTGCTTGTGGACTTCAGTAGGAACGAGGATATTGAGTAAATTCCTATGGTTAAGTTACGTTGTCCAAAAATTTGGAGTTGGCAAATGTAATTGGATTCTTGATTGAAATATGTGGATGAAATTGTATGGTTTGAGAATTCGATGATTGAATTTTTGTGTGGATTTTGAGAGTTGGATTTATGAATTTAAGTTGTATTTAATTTATTGATCATTTTGATAGCTTTATTGAGATACTCTTTTGATAATAAAAATCATACTAAAAATATATCGAGTTTAGGAAGTAAATTATATTTTTATAGAGTTTCATTAGCTCTTCCATTAATTCACCAAATCATTAAAGTGTTATTTGCCATCACCATTCAAAACTTATTTATTTGACCCGGAAAAAGCTCTGCCTACATGCAATATTTTGGATCATGTGGTTAAAAAGAGTTCTTATCATATTGCGAGGTGCAAATGAACGATCTAATTCGTATGACAAACAATATTGTTATGTTATTTGTTCCAAGGAAATTCAACAAAGGAGCAAATCGGATGGCAAAAGCAGCAGTGGAAGGGACACTTGTGAATAAATAGATTGCTAATTGCTATCAGGCTCATCCTGTATTGCAATATTTGATGAAATGAACAGAAGCTTTCGTTCACAACAAAAAAGAGAGGTGCTGATGCAGCATGACAAAGAGTGTATCAATTGTACCATAGGCACTTGGGGTCATCATAAAAAAAAAACCATGGGCAAGTAGTGGATATGGTAGTGCTGGGACCATTTTCTGTTCTTCAGCGATAGTTGCGGAAGCTAAAGCCTTGTTGACTGATGTGAGAATGGCAGCCTCCTTTCACGGTCCTGCTTCAATCTTCTCGGACTGCAAAGTGCTTGCCGATATTATTCAGGATCCGCAAAAAAGTTGGCCCCTAGCAAGTTAGAGCATGGATTCAGAGGATTCGCTTTCTCCTTCAGACGCATTTATCGGATTGAGTATCTTCTTCACACCAAGATATACTATCAAATGGATCTCTCCCTCAAGAAGTGCATATTGGGTGGCTAAGGAAGCGGCAAATGGATCTCTCCCTCAAGAATGGATCCAAGTGGTTGGCATTTTAAATCCAATCTTGTAACTCTGTTTTGCTTGTACTCCCATAGTTGATTTGAATGGAAATTATCTATACATTTTTCTGATAAAAAGGAAACCCTAGCTAGATCACGATCGCGTATAGAAAGAAAAGAACAGTACTACTGCGCATATGACTCTATGGATTTGATACCCTACATGCATGCCCATTTCCTTTTATCATGGACATGAACAACTCTCTTCCACACAAAAGGGACGAAGCCGCCCCACGGCCACGAGTGCTACCCGAAGGAAGCTATGGCTCCTCTGTTCACACGGGAATTCAATTATTCTATATATATATATATTTTATTATTATTAATATGCATCACAAGTTCACAACTACTGTTATCAATAATCAGTTTATCTATCATATAATCATTTCATATTAGCTAGCTAGAAACGTAATCAAAGTACAGCTATGTACATTCATATTTGTGTTTGATCAGATGCATCATATGCACGTATACATGTCTTTTCCCACTTTTTTTTTTTGTTATCGTCAATGTACATATAGTACAGAGAGGGCCAGCAGCAAATAGCACATGCCAACGACAATGACCTATCCTTAAAATTTGTTTAGATCATATGACTAATTAATATACAGCCAGACCAACAATATTGTTATTGTACTCTATCTTCAAGCAATCAAATAAAAATTATTCTACCTTTTATTATATTGTATCATATATTTGTCATCCAATAATATATATCGTTCTCGTTCAAATACGCTTAACTTCAAAAATTATTGTAGTGGTGATTCCAACGTGGGTGTATGTATGACGTGCAAGTAAACTTCTATCCCTTTAAGTGTGTATATATATAAACTTGAGTACGTAGCTAGGTGACAGTTTTCCCCCTTAATTTTTATCTAATCTGAATGCTGTGAAAATCAAAGTTTGAAATGCATTTTTTTGTGGGAGTATGAAATGCATATTGAACAAGGATTCTATTTTTCCACAACACACCTTCTATTTTGATATCGATCGATCCTTCTTCTATTTTGTTTTCTAGCTTTTCCTGATAATAATTGCTTTTCTTGGAGGAAACTAAATTAATGTCAACTTATCGTGGATATGTATTGCAAATAATTAGAAGATGCCCACATGCACTGAAAACTAACCGTCCATTATTGATAAGCAAGCACACTTCTGTCTCCTGCTGACATATTCTCACCCTGTTCTGTATATATACGTATGGTTTCAGTTATGCCATTGTCTTTGGTTATGGGAGTTAATTCGAATCTTTTCCTTCTTCTTAATTTTTATTATTATCATTTTGGTTATTAAGGTCTTCTTTTGAAGATTATGGGAGAAGGGTCAAAGTTGCGAATCCACCAACTCATTTATGCATGTTCATTGTTCAGTACTTCCCCCTCCATTTTCATATTTTGGGCGGTGTCGATGTTCACGTGGTGGTTTTGATTAAATCGCGATTAGGTCATAATTAATAGTTTGAATTGGTTTGAAAACTGATGATTGTGCACACAATGGCTACTTAATTAGCTAGGGAAAAAAAGGGATTTGAGGGATCCGGCTGGCTGGTTGCCTTTTCATTTGATGGTCAACATTTACACGCAGAATTGAAAGGTGAGCTCCAATGTTCTCTCCGTTTTATGCATAATTTTAAGGGTTAATTAAAGATAATTTCCATTTGATAGGTCAACATTTTGCTCGTACCTACAAATGCATGTTATAAAAATGTCAATTAACTTATCATACACGTTTAATCCAATCCACTAATCCAATACAATTCATCTATTAAGAAATCCAACAAATACAATTCATTTAATTTAAATCCATCCGATTGGTGGATTCACGGATTGGATGCATAAATTATTAACAATTACAACTTGATACCTATATATATTTTATATTTGGTAAATTGATACCTAAATTGTAATATTTTAAATGAAATTATTCTTCAAAAAGTACAATGTGGTACCTAATTTTTTATTGTTGACATTTTACTACCTAAAATTTTCAAAATGATCATAATGTCCATGACTTAGTTGTCACTTGTATCCATAAATTTATTCCACATATCTATTTAATCAAATTCATAAATCTGTCAATTAATGAATCACATCCAACCAATATAATTTTGACCAATACTAGCAAAACTGGCCGGTGTAACTACAGTTATTTTTTATATGCGTCGATGATCCATAACTTCGGGATACAACCCACTTACAGTCAGATAAGGTTGAGTAATGTATTAAGCAATCAAATTATATGGTTGTAGTATCCCATACATGCATTATTGTTTACTAATGATCTTCCAACTTGATCTTAAATATAGTTAATCACGAAGAGAAGAGAAGGGTGTTTCATGTTTGGAGTTAAATATACATACATCATGATCATAAAGCAATGAAAATCTTGACACGTATAAACAACATCGGTTTAAGAGTAGAGTTAATCAATGATTAAGGTGAGTAAGATTGGAAGGATCTTATCAACAATGATAAAGAATACTCCCTCTTCTGTTTACTTGGCCAAAAAGCTGATATGATTTCGATTTGTTTGGTACATATGGACAACGGACCATCCAGTTAAGACATTGGATTTTGCTTCTCAATTGGATTAATTAGTTAATACGAATTGCCTTTTGATTATACTATACATACTTAATAAGCTACCGGCTAGCTTTTCTTTACCATTTTTCTTTACCTTTTGCTCCATTTCTCTACCATTTTTCTAGTGGAAAATCTGCCTATAAGTTTGGTACTGTTGACTAGTGGAAAAGCACTTAGGAAGGAGCCAATCCCATTTTTGCTTAAGAGTCTAAGACTATATATAGTCTAGTGGTGGCATTGGCCATATGTTCATTACTTAATTCCCCACTAACTCATTGCCCTAATTATTCTAAACCATATATATTATATGTATGTTGCAACTTCCAATATGGTTGTATTTTTTATGTTCTCAATATGAAATATTTTTGTATTAAAATTGACTGAGGGAGCTTTTTTTTTATATTGATTTTGGTATTTTAGATTAATTAATTGAGGCCACTCCTCAATCATTGCCACTTTGCCGATCTCCTTTTCTCTCAACAATGAGAGCAAGTGCCACCTTCGAATCTCTAGCAAGCTCACATCCTTTCCCACTCCATACCCCAAAAATTAGGGCTACAAGTTCCAAAATTAGTCACTAACATTGTATTCTTTAGGGAGTATCCATCATACCGGCTTAGTTTTATTTGGTGCATGCTACATGCCCATGTTTTGAAATAATGATGATTTTGACGGTTCGCTTCGATCCAAAATAATCTCAATCTTCAGCCTTAATAACGAATATGAAAAATATTTGAATTTACAATAAAATTATTTACATTTTGCTTGTATTTGAAATAATTAATTATGAAAGATGCTTGGTACAGCTTCATAATTCATATAATGATTATTGCAAAGACAAAAAAATTTAGTAAGTACGTATGAATTAGTTATAATTGTAGGCTATATGATCATATCAAACAAATGAACATGCTCTATAATCGTTTTGTACATGATTCTCTATTTCTTTTTGTGATAATCTATTCATTTATTGTTGTTCCATTAGGGACTAATTAATCATATATACTTGCAAACCCTTTGGTGGATTGTATGTAGTATATCTCTTTTTGTAGCTGAAAGCCGGAAAGTGATTTGCGATGTGGCAGTACTATAGCACATTGCTTAGCAAATAACAATTAGGGTTCCTTAATTATAGGACAAGATTGGAGACTGCATGCGCTTAACCAAATTCAACCAATTTTTAATAAGAAAAGCGATTAGTACTGAATGATGGTATATTAAGGCTCAAGCTCCCTGCCAGGTTTTTTGTTGTTGTTGTGTGATGGAGGTTTCAAAATGAAGATACATTTTTCTTGTATGAAGTATCTGATCCAGGGCTGTGTGAAGATAAGTGCGGCTTGTAAGTTGTCTAAAGCGTTCAAAGAAATACCATTGTTTGTCATGCAAAATTATTTAAGTGATGATTTTGTGTCATTCTAAAGTTAGGATGACGATTTTGTTTGCCGCTCAAAGTTAAGTGACCAGTACTATCCAAAAATACCGGAATCTAATTCATATTGTGAATTAGAGATTCTCTTCTAAACTGATTATATGGATTAACACTGACGCAAACGTTAGTAGTGGAATAAGTGTTCAGAATTATGCCACATTAACCAATGAGAAAGCTCGTATATTGCCACAAAATTAGGCTTTATAAACTACTGAAGCTCGATTAATTAATTATTACCACAAGTGCTCTCTCTGATCCTAATTTGGAGGATCTATCAAATGGCCATAAGGAAAAAAGTAAGATCTTTCAATTGACCCACCACCATAAACCCACCAACTATTTTATACATCTTTTTAATCAATGTATTTTATTCAGTATGAAGTATTATATACATTATAATAAATAAATACAGTGAACTTCCAAAACTATAAATGATTAAAATTCCTTCTGTCTAGATAGAAAAAAGCTACTCACATAAAAATAAAAATAAAATAGATAAGATAGATAAATGGGGAAGGGGGATAAGTCCGTAGAATACCACAAAAGGGAGTGGGAGAATGACTAGCTAGCTTCGACGTTTGTGTTAATGCTTTATGAGATGATGATTAATTAATTACTAATCTCGTTTTTGGTTTGGGATGTTGACAGAAAATTGATTTGACAGGGAGACAGGGACCACGCCATTAGCCAAGGATCACTATGCTTAATCATTGATTAAGTGATAACAACCATTGTGATTATTACTTATTAGTGGGTTGGCTAGAAAATATTCAATGGTATCACTATCGTTTCCATCACATCAAACTGGCCCAATCTTCTTTGTATTGGTGGATAAATAGCCCACTTCAGAACGGCCCGCTAGCGGCCCACCAGTCCACTCCATCTCAACTTAATTTGCAGATCCCAATTCAATCATCCTACCTCTACTCCTCTAGGCCCAATTCTATATACCGAACACTAGAAATTTGACAATCTACCCATTTTGTAGAAATCGAAAGAACCATTATTTCTTGAGTTGCAAATTCCAAATACCTAATCCCGAAATTAAGCAAGCAGCTCTGCACCAGTAAGCAGGCGGGGAGTCGGCACTGCAATTAACGCCCTCTTCTTCTTGATCAGCAGCGCAAACTCGTCGGCAAAATCAACAACTCCTCCTTCCCCGTCGGCAAGCTTCCACTCGAAACAATGCAAGAACGAAGCCAACACATACTTCATCATCCTCTCCGCCAAATTAACTCCCGCACAGCTCCTCCGACCCGACCCGAATGGAATGTACCGGAAACTACTGCTCCCGCCGCCCATGAAATCAAACGGCGGCGGCCTCCCGTCCCCACCGTCCAGAAACCGCTCCGGTCGGAACTCCGACGGCTCGTCCCAGAACTGAGGGTCCCTGTGGATGGCCCAGCCGTTGTCGACGACTTCCGTCCCTTGGGGGACGGTGAATCCGCCGACGGTACAGGTTTGGTTCGCCGTCCGGGTGACAAGGGCGAGGTGTAATCGACACGTCTCTTTTATGACGGCGTCCAGGTATTTGAGGTTTCTAAGATGGTGGTCCTCAACTAGGCTGTCGAGTCCCACCATTTCGTCTAGCTCTCGCTTCACTGATTTCATTGCCTTGTCGCTGTTAAGTAGCTCTGACATTGCCCACTCGATCATTCTCGATATGTTTTCGTTCCCAGCAACGGCGATATCCTGCCAAAATGCACACAAAACATTCATATATTAACTGTTAGGTAATCGAATTTCGCTAGAGAAACTAACCGATCTCAATAATACCAATTGTTTGACAGAAGATTAACTATTAACCATCTAAATTTAATAACTCGAGTCGTTGAGAGAAAACGTTATTTACGGATCGTCAATCACTCTTACAGTACGGTACCTGGAGCAGGGCTTTGAAATGGGCCATGGAAGCCAAGGACGAGGCAGTAGGGCTGGCTATTTGGACCGGGACCGGATGAAAAACCGGAAACCGGACCGGATAACCCGGACCGAGACCGGACCGAGACCGGATAGTAAACAATCCAATCCAATCTTTGGGCTTAGATTTGAGTTAAAAAACCGGATAAAGACCGGATAAGAGAGCTCAACACCCAAAACTTAAGGGTAATTTGCATAAACGGTCACAAACCTTTGCACTTAATATAAAACTTAACCAACTCCTCACCCTTTTAGGCCTTAGGCCACTCAAATTCCCACAATCTCAATATAAAATCAAGACCAAATTGGGACCGGACCGGGTCAAGACCGGACCGGATCAAGACCGGACTGTATCCAATCCAATCTTCGGTCCTTATATTTTCAAAAAAACCGGACTGGACCAGATCAATTTGGGCCAATTTAACCGGACCGGACCGTATAGCCACCCCTACGAGGCAGCACCAGAATCCAGCAGAACCTGCAACAAATCCTTCTTCTTGTTATTAACCCTATCCCCTTCCTTCTTCTCCCCACCACCGCCAAATCTCTTCTCAATCGCCGCGCTCACAATCCGATCAAACCGTCGAGCCACCTCTTTCCCTTCCCTCTCAATCCCCTGCAGATCAAACCTCGCCAGCACCGGGAAAATATCCGAAACGTTCGGCTTCCCCAAGAGCCGCAACATTCGGTTACCCACTTCCCGAGTCTCCTCGTAATCAACATCTCCGCCCCAAACCATCCCCAGAGTCGCATTCCAAACCACCTCTTGCGCCAATTCGAACACGCCGACCGGCTTCCCGACTTCCAACTCGCTTAACGACTCGACGACTTCTCTTCTCCTCAGTTCGTAGCACCCGTCCAGGCCGGCCTTGCTGAGGGCTTTGCCGACCGCGGCCTTCCGCATCGAGGCCCAATCCGGGCCCATCGGGATGCAGGCCAGGTCCAGCCCGCCGTACGTGCAGACTCGGACCACGAGCGGGACGTCGCGGCTGGAGAAGACGGATTCGTTGTCGCGGAGGTAGGGATGGCAATTTTGCCCATACCCATGGGTATTTTACTATCCAACCCAATTGGGTTGGGTATGGATTCCAAATAAATGGTAGATGGGTAGAGTTTGATGGATTTGTACCCATACCCATTTACTTGGGTTGGGTTGGGTTTTTAACACATGGATTTGGATTTGTACTAGGGGTGGGCATTCGGTCGGTTCGGTTTGAACCGAACCGAATAGGCCATTACCGAATCCCCGAACTATATCAGGAAGCAAACCGATCCCGAACCGAAATATATTTCGGTTCGGTTCATCCGAACCGAAATATATCTCGGTTCGGTTCGGTTTTAACACCAAACCCGAAGTTCCCCACTTAATCACTTACCCCTACCTCTTCTCCCCCATTTTTCATTTCTGCGCCTCATATCTCTCTCTCTCTCTTCTCTCTTCTCTCTCTTTTCTCTGTCAATCGCTCTCCCTATCTCCCAGACTTCCCCAACTCGACAGACGACAATCATCTCATCTCCCCAAGACCCCAACTCCCCGATTCCCCAATCTCGTCTCGTCGTCGCATCCCGTCGTCCGTCGCCTCAATTCCCCAATCTCCCGAAACTCGACGAGAATTAGATCTCGAAGATCGGGAGGGTCGAGAACCAGAATAGGTGGTCGCCTCGTCGGAACTTCAATCTCCTGTCAGTCTACAACTCTGTAATCCTCAAGGCCTCAACGAGTTTCGCCGCATGCAACGGATCTTCCCCGCCATCGTCGTTGGTGGCACCGCCTGCATGTGTTTGTCGATGAACTGCTGAAGGGGAGGCAGGTCGGAGATGTTCACTCAGGTCGCCACTGGATTTGATGAAGTGAAGTCGTAGCTACAGGCTGCAGCCGTCCGAGAGCGAGGTGGTGAAGCGAAGTCGGCGGTCAGAGAGGAGGCAAGTTGGAGAGGGTTGTTGGCTCTTGGAGTTAGGGTTTTGATTGAGCTAAATGAGTTGGGTTTTGTTTGGGCTTAGAGAGTTAGGCTGTGGGTTTCATTTGGGCTTAGAGAGTTGGGGAAATAGGAATATTTTTGGGCTTATGTAATGTATTTCGGTTTTTCGGTCGGAAATTCGGAATCTCGGTTCGGTTGAAAGAACCCTGGTTTCCGAACTATCCAGATTTCGATTCCGAATTCCGAACCGAACAGTAGTATTTCGGTTTCGGTTCGGTTTAGATCGGTTTCGGTCCGGTTCGGTTCGGGTTTACCGAACCGGATGCCCACCCCTAATTTGTACCCATGCCCAAAGGAAAATTACAGTTTGGTACCTAAACTTAATAGATATGAAGATTTAGTACCTAAATTTAATTTTTTTTGCATATAAGTCCTCAAAATATTGATGGAAAATTACGTTTTGGTACCTAAATTTTTTTGGTCTTACATTTTGGTACCTAAACTTTTCAAGTTTTACAAATAGGTCCAATTTTTGTGTGTGTAGTTAAAACACCCTCAAGTAAATGGATATCCATATCCAACCCATACCCATTTACATTATGAAAGCAATATCCATACCTAACCCAAACCCATTTAGAAACCCCCAAACCCATATACACTTCATCCAAACCCTACCCATACTAAATGGATCTATTTGGATTTGGGTAAAATTACCCATGGGTGGGTAATTGCCATCCCTACGCGGAGGACTTGTTTGGCTAGATCCGGCGAGCTGACGACGATGTAGAGTTTGGTGCCCACACGGAATTTGAAGATGGGGCCGTATTCGGCGGCGAGGGCGGTGAATTTCCGGTGGATTGGGGTTCGGTCGAGGAACATTGGGATGGAACCGAGAACAGGGGCGCCGCGAGGTCCCGGCGGCAGAGGTGGTTGTTTGTTGTTGTTGTTGGATCTTTTGGCCGTCAGATAGTAGCAGATTCCGGCGGAAATGGTGATTGCTGCTATGGATGTGGTGGTTAAAAAGGGGGAGAGATGGTGGAGCGGAGTGGTCAGGAAGGCGGCGGCGGCGGCCATTGGGGCTGTTTTGGGAGGAATGATGAAAAGGCAGAGTACCATATGAATTGGGAAGGCGGGCGGGAAGTGAGTTGACGGATAGTCGGATTGGGAATTTAAATTGTGAGAAATGTTCGGAATGGATCGCCGGAATTGCAATTTTTTTCTTGGTCCAGGGGTTGTTTGATCTCTCGGTCATAACGTGTGTTGTGGCAAATGACGGCTTTGTTTGGACAGGTTGGTTACGACGTGAAATGTAATTTCAGTGATTGATCATGACAACCTACCTAGTACCAGTAACATTTTAATTAGGGTGAAACCAGAAATTGAGATAGGGGAGGGAGTTATGGAGCTCGTTAATCGTCAAGAAATGTCCTTAACAAAAAGTTAGATGATATGTCCAATTAATGAATTCACTTATAGATTGAGAAACTCCGACCTTGTTTCAACTTCTACCACCAATACTAGAATCTCCAACCTTGTTCCAACTTCCACTATAGATCAAATCAACGATTTCATTTCATTCACCAATCGATAGTCACAATCGTCGACACTTACTCTTTCATCATGCATTTGTCAAATGGATTCAGGAATTTCCCTATAAAATTTCCAATCTCTACAAAATTTGCTCATCCATCCATAAGAATAGAGATGTTGATCGCTTGGACACCATAACCTCCCCCAATAGGTTTCTCCCAACTTCAATGGCTCCGTCCATCCTGATTTGGGTCACGCGACTATGGGTGGCCTAACTAGAGATCATTCTAGAAGTTGTCTAGCAACCTCGACATTTGCTCCATCACCAGAGCTGAGTCGAGAGAGTTGCAGGGTGCTTCAACTTGCTTGGGACTTTGGTTTTGGTCCTATCCATGTCCAGTTGGATCCCAAATGCGCAGTTTAGCTTCTAATGTCGGATGCAAGCGACCACCGCCATATAACCATCATCCAATGCTTTTGTGAGCTGTTATCTCGTAACTGGGAAGTCTCTGTTAGTCATATTTTTTGAGAATGTAATATATGTGCGGACTTTATAGCTAGTCAAAGTCATATGTTACCTTTGGGGGTTTCATGGGTTTTCTACAATTGATCATGAACTTGCCTACTGGATTTTGTACGATGATAGATGATTTTTGAACATGATTGGTATGAATGATGGGAAGGATGCTTTGCATCCATTTCTATATAATTGTTTTTTTAAACGGGGAGAATTTAAATGATCTAATCTACAACTAAAGTACTTGCAAATCAACATATGAAAATTAAAGGATTATAATGAGTTTCTGTCTATCTTGGTATTTGAAACAGATACAAGGATACATAAAAGAACAATTTTTGGCGTCGAAAATACAACAGTACAACATTTTTATTCATATAACTTTTATCACGTAAAAGAACCATGATGGAGGAAAGTATCCCCACTTAAATACGGAATAAATAACAATAAGGACCTATTGTAAACAATACAACATTTGTAAAGTTCCAATGAAGATCCTGATGACAAGCTCGCAATTCCTGAGTCTTTTTCTTCGAGTTAGTAATTCTGATATCAGCAGCCCAACTTCCTGTCTTGAGGCCACCCAAACTCCTCCAGAAATGCCAGTACAACTCCATTTGTCCATCCAAAGCCCGTCTGCAGCCATATAATACAGCCAAAAAAAAAAAACAAACAAAAACAAACAAAAATCAATACACAGAAAATAACACTGGCAAGTGGCAACACCAGGGTGCGAAAAGAACAGAGCTATTTTATGTATACAATACATATACATAACACGAATAGAAGACGTTACTATTAGCACCCAGCCGTTTGCAGTTTACCTGAGGAACGTATTCTCCACCACCACCGAACTCTCCACAAGCTTCCACGTCCAGCTTCTCATGCATTGCCCCAGTGTTGTTGTACACAATATAGTTGCTGTTGATCCATCTCACTGCTATCTCCTCTGCCAATGCCTTGGCTTTGCTTGACCCTGATCTAGCCAGGCCTTCCACGACCACGTGCTGCAGTGGTGCCCATCCATTTGGAAAGTCCCTGTGGGAATTGGGTTGACAGCTTTGTTATTAACTTTACTCCCAAACAAGCACCAACTGATCAATCAAAGCCAGAGTAGGGTTTGATAACTGATGCTTTCATTCACTGACCGAGTTACCATTGTTGTCCTGAGTTTGTTAGGGAAGTGGCGATTCCAGTAGCACGAATAAGGCCTGAGCTTTTGAAGCTTTTCAGGACACGCTCCACCAAAACTTTGTCTGGGTTCGTTAATGCAACAAAGGAAAGTTATCAGAAATATGTACTTTCAGAGTACAAAATGGGGAAGAGTAACAATAACTGCAATTTTTTTGGGATGACTGACCTGAATGGAACTGATCAATCCATAATGGGACAAAGTTAGAGGCAAATGCATTCTGGTTTTGGTGGTTTCCTTTCTGTGTCTTGGAACGTGCATAAAGTTAGAGGCAAATCCATAACTGAACAATAACTGCAATTTTTCTGTGGTTTCCTTTCTGAACGTGCATAAAGAAAATACAGTTGGGAAAAGGAAGAATCTCCTGAAACTTATTTTATTTGTGATAATTTTGCAAACCAAGTCCAGCATGTTTGTACCTTGTGCGCGGATCCATGATTAAGCCAGTAGTCGAACCACTGTCCTTTCTTCGCATTCCAGAAAACAGATTTTATAGCCTGGATTCTTGCTTCAGAGGCCTTCGTAAATCTTCTAGCCACGGTTCGGTTCGCAGTGGCTTTTGCCAGGAATGCAATGTCAAGCTCCAACTGGTGCGATCAGGGAAAGAAAGATCTTGTCATATTGTGTGCTTTAATCAGCCAATGAAAATAGATTCAGCTTTCAAATCCTATTCTATAATGTTAACCTTTAGCAGGTAAGTGTTCAAATCAACAGGTAAAATGGATGTTGTAGACAGTGTGGTGAAGTCCGAAGTATTCCTGCCACAAACAAAACAATATTTATGCCCGTTAATATTAGTATCAATCACATAAAAACGAATAGGAAATTTCAAACTAGAATTAACCTCACCTCATCCATCTTGTACTGAAATCCCAACCTGACTCGGCAGTTGATGCCACTTCCCTGTAAAAGTCCTGCTTCTCACAAGAATCTGAGATGTTGGCAGCAGAATCCCTGTCCTGAGAGAAGGAAACACCCACTAAATCCTAGGAACTTCGGATATGAAAAGCATAGCAGAGTGGAAAGGGGTAACACTAACAATTGTAGCAGATTCAGGCCTAGGTTTGTTCCACTTTGCATAATAACGGCTTAAGCTGTGCTTGGCAGCTTGGCCATCCTGGACTGTGATTTTGTGCTCACCTATCATAATGAAGAATTAATTTATATAACTTCATATTATAGTTAAAATCACACCTTCAGAATGTAAAAAGAAATATTAAAAGATCAAACCTCACAAAGACACATTACCTGAAGTCCAAAACTCATGCTCTTTGATTAGTGCAGGCAGCGCCTTCCTAGCAAACTTAACGTCACCAGTCCTATTATATATCTCATAGACCATTGCACTGAGAAGGGGAGGCTGACTGCACAAGGGGATTCTCTGTTAACTTTTAAGTGACTCCAAATCCCTAAGTAGTTGAAAGAAGATGATTACCTTCTGTTAGTGTAATAGGATCTTGCACCATTCAGGACATGGCCGTATGTATCCAATAGGTAAATCAGATTTGTCACTATGGATTTGGCAGTGTCATACATTTTGCTTGCAAGCAGACCCCTGGACCGAGAAAAATAAATGTTCTATGTCATTATCCATTCCACATGCTCAAGAATGTGTCCCCAAAATAGCAATTAGATCCCTCTTCCACGAGGTTCTGAAAGATGCTGTAAATCAATCCTTTATTTGACATTCATTAGACTTCTTTTTGTTCATTTGTTTATTCTGGCTGAAACTCTAGATAGAAGTAACAGAGACTATAAACTGAGAGAAAATGAATAAAATTCTTCACGGAAACCCCAAGTTGTGAAATTTAGTTCATCGTACTATCTTAATTCTTACATAAAGAGATAACAGAATAGAAGCTAACCTGATGACCCAGTAAGAATCCCAATAATACACCTCCCTGAAACGCGAGCCAGGAATGACCACCGGCTCCGGCAAGGGAAGCAAAGTGTGCAAGTCAGGGGATTCCCGGACCTCATCAGACACCTTCCTGCTCAAATTCCTCCACAAGGAATGAACTTCCAGCGCCCAAGCCCTGACCTTGGCATTCTTCACCTTTGGCAAGAACCCCTCAGGCTCCGCCACAAAATCCACCGGCTGATGCAGAACTAAACCATTCCCAGCACTCTCCAAGTACCCAGCCACAAACCTCTGAAACTCCTGGACCGAAACACTCCCATCCCTTCTCCTGGGCAAATCGTCGAACACCTTCTGGGTGTGAGACAGATTGAACCTGAGGGACACGTCGACGTAGAATTTGGGGTCGAAGTTCCGCCCACCGAGAGTTTGCAGCGCCGTCTCCTGAACTCTTACCAGAAAGGAGAGCAGGGGAGTGATGGGCACTACGGGTCCCTGATGGCCGCCGCACGAGGAGGACGATTCAGCGGCGGATATCGGAAGCCAGAACAGTGAAGGGAGGAGAAGTAGGAAGAGGAAATGAAGGTGATGGTTGGCCATGGTGATGGTGAAGATGAGGGTGGAAGCTGGTCTGTGTATGGAGATGGGGTTGACGACATCGCGTAGACTTCGGGGAAGGAAGGGCGATGGCTTTATAAAGGGAAGAGAAATTTGGAGGGAGAATCCAACGAACTAACCAAAGACAAGAAAAAAGCAGGCCGGCTACTGTTCTCTAATTTTGGATTCCGTTTTTTCGCCTGCGCTCAGACTTTTTTAGATTGATAATTGATTAATCTGCCGGGCGGAAGAAATGCCGTACGCCGTCGGCAATACGTATGGCCTCTCTAGAACCTAGAAAGCGAGCAGAAAGAAAAAAAATAGAAGACGACATTTGGCGGCTAAACTAAACAGCCTAAACCTAGCCTTTTTTTTTTTTTTTCAAAGATATTCCCATGGGGAACAAATAGATACGAATTGGAAGCCTTTTCAGACAACCCAAATAAACCAAAAAGAGGAAGGGACGACGATCGACAAATAGCCGAATCATCGATAAGAGAGCCTTTTTAGCCACGCAATGGGCAACTCTTTAATACCTATACGGCATAGGCAGTATCCAAAATTCTTAACCTGTAAAGGTAAGAATCAAGGAACTAACCATGCTGAAACCGAAGCAGAGAAGCAAATCTTTGCCGTTCTGGCAGAAAGAGTCACCCTTGTAAGCCTCCACAGATGAGGTTACAGCTTGATCAAAGCTCCGTGCCTCCACCTAGGCAAGCTACCTGCAAAACAATGAACACAAAAATAGTCCCGGCCCAATAGGCCCAAGTGCCACTAGTGACACCTCATCAGCAGCTGCAATTCGATAGTCAAACTCCATCAAAAGCCCAGGCATGAAGAAGGTCATTGCACCTGCAAAACAACAAACACAAAAATAGACCCAGCCCAATAGGCCTATGAGAGTGGCCCAAGTGCTCGAATACGTATTGGTTCCCGGCGAAACCCGGGAAAGCCAAAACCTGGCGTCCCGCTGGAATGGGATAGTGGCAAAGCCACGTGTCTTCAACCCTGCTGCTTCTGGATGAACAAGTTTCGGAGAGTTATCGACTCCACCGCCATGAGGAAGAATGGTTATCCATCCACCGCCCCACCGCCACCGACACAGACTGCCCAGAGAGCCAGAAGGGAGAAGAAACGTCACGGCCGGAATTGCCGATCTCCGCCAACCCCCATCACCCTAGGATCGCCGCCTCCTTTTTTTCTCCTCGCCTGCAAAACAGAGGTCACCCGCCACTTTTGTGTACACAAATCTCGCCATCATTATCCACTCGGCCGCCTTGAAGAAGAGTCCTGATCCATCCACCGCCACTCCGCCAGGGAAGTCTGACGAGAGAACCACGGACAGCCGGATCTGTCGGTCTGCCCAAACCACCGCTACCTTCTTCCTTGTGCGCCTGCAAAACAGAGGTACACAAAAACAGAGCAGTAGCCAACGAATCGAGAAAAATTAACAGAGAGGGCACAACCAATTCAAGAACAACAACAAGAAGCGATTCGTTGTGGTTGGTGAGTTCACCGGAGAAGGCAGAAAGCAAGAGGTTGAATTGGAAAATCACCGATGGCCAATCCTTTCTTGTTCATCTATCTAATTCGAACCCAAATTGAAGCAACAAAGAGGGGAAATGACAAGAATTGAGCACAAACGCTGTCTCTATCTCATTCTTTTCCCATGGTTTTTTCCCCAAAAAAAAAAAACTCATCATCTGCCATAGCTGCAGAATAGTCCGTCCGCCATCTCCATCACAGTGTGCTTTACCAATCCTTCTTTGCTTCCCCCGCTCGCAACGCCACTGCACGACACAATTCGAAGCTTTGAGTTCGAATACACCCGGTTCTTAAGATGTAAGAAAACTGCCTAAACCTAGCCCTTGTTCCAACAATTCACTAGTTTTGGATTTTTTTTTTTTGTATAATACATTAATTTTTTCAGAGACAATAATTTTTTTTGGTTAAAGGAATGACGTCAAGCGTCTAACTCATTGAAGTAAATATCCAACGATCATGAACAATGCCCATTACATCGTGCAACAACCATCTACCAAGGTCAGGGTCGCACACATTGAATCGATGTGTGCCAAAATTAACAAAGTGACCCCTATTTGCCAGAAAATCGACAGCAAAATTAGCTTCCCTATACACATGGCTAATTCGCGCCTCCCAATCTCTGTTGAAGAGAACAAACAACTGTCTACCTAAGATGCCATGGCGATGATCATCATCACAGCACTTCCTGGCAACGTCGATGGCTGCAGTAGAGTCCATGTTGAGCTGGATACGATGCTTTGGTTTTTAAATGAACCTTTATGGCATAAATTGAACATGTACGTTCAATGCTATAGTACAAATTTTTCTTGGACGTATATCAAGATTTTCCAAAATTTTCATATTTTAGTTGTTGCTACTAATTTTCTTAAATCCAAGTAATGTTTTTTATTCGTTTATTTCAAGTAGGAAGAGAACTACTATTACAGGAAAAAACTGAAACCCAACATTTCCAACCTTGAACCTACATTGGCTTCCATTGCTCACATATAACTACATAATCTTGATCATAACACAGAACATTCCAAAACACTTCCATAACTTACATATAACTACACCAAGCAACCCAATCATAACCGGAAAAGCTGAGACAGACGAATCAACAGCCGATCTTCCTGTCACGAGGCCAACCGAACTCCTCCAGGAAAGCCAACACAACTCCATTTGACCATCCAAAACCAGTCTGCCAAAAACCGAACACAACCACCACAAAACCCTTTAAACATAAAAGCATGCCCCAACAAAACTAACTAGCAAATAGATCCTCAAATCCCAACATGGTCAGCTGATAGACTGTGAATTACCTGAGAAACATACTCTCCGCCGCCGCCGAATTCGCCGCAGGCTCGCACGTCCAGCTTCTCGTGCATGGCCCCTGTCTTCTTGTACACAGCGTAGTTGCTGTTAATCCATCTCACTGCTATCTCTTCTGCCAATTCCTTGGCCTTCTCCGACCCTGATCGCACCAGTCCTTCCACTATCTGGTGCTGCAGTGGCGGCCACCCGTTTGGGAAATCCCTGCAATTAAATAGAGAAAGAACGATTAGCTATAGCAGTCAAGCAAGCCAAAGGGGTAATTATGGTCTGGCTAAGATTTTAGTACTACCATTGCTGTCCAGAGTTTGTTAGGGAAGTTGCAATCCCGGCAGCAAGCACGAGGCCAGAACTCTCAAGACTTGCCGTGACTTGCTCTGCCAAAGCTGTGTCTGCACACATTCGGTTTAGGCACATTGTTATTTGATTGAACAGACTGTGAATCATAGTGTTGCAAAATCAGACTGTGAATTGCTGGATAATCGAGCCACGAAACCTGAATGGAACAGGTCGATCCACAGCGGGGCGTAGTTGGAAGCAAATGCATTCTGGTTTTGGTTGGCAATTTGACATATGTGAGGTTGACATTCCTGTCAGCATCAAAGCCAGGGAAACAAAATAATAAGCAAATAATAATATGATGAAGAAGCTTTAAGAAGTCGGGTTTAAATACGAGACCTTTCTCCTATGGGAGAGAATTACAGCTAAAACCAGTACCTTGGAGGAGGATCCATCATCATTAAGCCAGTAATCAAACCACTGCCCCTTCTCAGCATTCCAGAACACAGATTCTATAGCCTTCTTTCTTATTTGAGATGCTTCTGAGAAGCTTTTTGCAACAGTTTCTTCTCCGGTAACGTTTGCCAGGAGTGCAATGTCAAGTTCCAACTGGCCAAAATCAAGCACATCATTTGCTGCAGTTCATAGTAATCTCTAAGACTCCCATTCCATTCACATACATACCTTGAGCAAATAAGTATTCAAATCCACAGGCAAAATGGATGTGGTGGACAGTGTTGTATAGTCTGAGATATCCCTACTCACAAACACCAAAGCAAGTTCTTATCATCATGCAGGACTATGTTTCTAAAGGATTAGTTCAAAAGAAGCTTTTCTCTTTGTAGAAAGTTCAACAGAACTTTATTATTATACCTCATCCATCTAGTACTGAAATCCCACCCAGACTCAGCAGTTGAAGCCACTTCCCTGTAAAATAGCTGCTTTCCAGGGCCATTATCAGAGATCTTGGCAGCAGCTTTCTTATCCTGAGAGGCAGAAAGGAAACATTTACATGCCATGCACTCCTAATAACTCAACAGTAATGTTTAAAATGATGAATTAGCTGAGTTAAAGAGGGGAAGTACTAATTAGTACTCACAATAGTGCCAGATTCAGGCCTAGGCTTGTTCCACATAGCAAAATACCTGCTTAAGCTGTACTTGGCACCTTGAGCATCATGAACTGTGACTATATGTTTACCTGCCAATCACGATTCCAACATCCTCAAAAAGGAGCCTTCTCCAAAAGGTATTTTCAAGTTCATACAAACCATTAGGTGCTACAGATCATACCGGTAGTCCAAAACTTGTGCTCTTTGATCAGCGCCGGTAGTGATTTCCTGGCGAATTCCAGATCCCCTGTCCTGTTGTATATCTCAGAGACCATTGCACTGAGAAGTGGAGGCTCACTACAAAAGATAGAAGTAGTCTAGCAGATAAGAAGCAATCAACACAGCAGTTAAGTTGCCAGAGAGAGAGAGAGAGAGAGGTCATTAAGTACCTTCTGTTGGTGTAATAGGCCCTTGCACCATTCAGAACATGGCCATATGTGTCTAAAAGGTATATGAGATTGGTGACTATGGATTTGGCAGTCTCATACATCTTGCTCACCATCAGTCCCCTGAACCAATCATTTAAGTTTCTCTTGGTTAAAATCATGAGAGGATTTACCGGATGCCCCCGAAGGGACAATCATGAGAGGATTTACATATCACAAGGATAAGTTATCCAGCAATTTCCAGCAACATGGACTAAGACATACCTCTCTTCTCTCTATTCCTTTTACCCATCGTTCAGATAAATTTCTTCCCAAATTTTTTGTGAAATCGTCATCCCGATTAATCATACTTGTTCAATTATGTATTTGAAATCAAATCAATACGATTTTATCGTCATTTTACCACTAATTCTTGTGTTGTTACCTTATTACAATTAGACCAAGGGGCTCATATGTTTTTGATTTAGAGCTCTGGGAATATTTATATTTTTCCAGAAAAATTAATTCGATAATAATATAATATTGCAAAGAAAATCAATACTAGGATTTTTTCCCCTGCATAAAAATATTTTCTGAAAATTTCATTAAACCGAGTCTCCCAAAAAGAAGGCAAAAGAAAAGGACAACACGCACCAAGTCTAAACTGTGGAAACGGCGATGAAAAAGCTTGAAAATCCATCACTGATTCCCGACCAACTAACCTGATTGCCCAGTAAGAATCCCAGTAGTAAACCTCCAAGAACCGGGAACCAGGAATCAGCATTGGCTCCGGCAAGGGAAGCAGAGTGTGCCTTTCAGGATGCTCCCCAACTCCATCGGACACCTTCCTGATCAGAATCTTCCACAAGGAGTGAACTTCCAGCGCCCACGCCCTCACCTCCGGATTCTCCACTTTGGGCAAGAACCCATCAGGCTCAGCCACAAAATCCACCGGCTCGTGCGCCACGAGGTCACTCCCCGCCGGCTCCAAGTACTCCGTCACGAACTTCTCGAAATCTTCCACCGGTACGGCAACACTCCCATTGGGACGACTCCTCTTGGGCAATTCATCGAACGCCTTCTGGGCGGAAGACAGATCGGACTTGAGAGACACATCGATGTAGTATTTCGCGTCGAACCCTTTCTTCCCCAGGGTCTGGAGCGCCGTTTCTTGAAGTCGCTCCAGGAAGGCCAGGAGTGGCGTTGTGGGGACGACTGTGGCGTCAACGACGTCGTTGTCGCCGGTGGATGGTGGAGAATGTTTGTGTGTGGGCTCTTCCATGGATGAATAATATGGTACTACTGTACTAGCAAGTGCACACAAGGAATGGTGGTTGTGAATTCGTGGGTTCTTCCAATTATAGCATGCAGCTTCTTTGTAAAGAAAGGAAAAAAGGAGCTTTTGAAAAGAGTGTTAAGTGGGGTTGTTAGTGGGATAAACTAGTTTATGATGCCATGGTTGAGTAGATGATAGTGGATTATGGTACTGTGACTAGACATGGGATTTGTTTAAGCAAAGATAAAGAACAGTGCTGCCATTAATGATTAAACTAATTCCTTTTGTAATCAGATTGTTGTAAGATTAAGTTTGGATCAATGCGTGATTAGGTTGATCACGATGATATACACTTCGTGACAAATTGCAGAAAAGGCATTCAGATTTCCTTTTGATATTTTCTGTACCATCATGATACAACGATGATAGTGTATTCACCATAAGGCCTATTATATTAGCAGCCGAAGTTCTTGTCGTGAGGCCATCCAAACTCCTCCAGTAATGCCAGTACAACACCATTCGACCACCCGAATCCCGTCTTCTCACCCACGCACAAAAGAACAACGACAAAGACACAAGAATAAGAGTTCAGGTTAGCTTCTCCTTTTTCTTCTTCTTTGCTCCCAAATGGATACTGGTTATTTGCAAGTTCGAAACGCATCCATTCGATTTGAAACGGAAAGGATCAGAGGAGCTACAAGAGATATGTGAAGCCATACCTGAGGGACGTATTCACCACCGCCGCCGAAATCTCCACAAGCTTCCACGTCGAGCTTCTCGTGCATGGAGCTGGTCTTGTTGTACGCGCCATAGTTGCTGTTGATCCATCTCGTTGCTATCTCTTCAGCGAATGACCTGGCCTTGTGTGACCCTGATCGACCCAAGCCTTCCGAAATCATATGCTGCAATGGTGCCCATCCATTTGGAAAGTCCCTGCATTTGAAATTGTTCATGACAATAACAACAACCAAAAAACAAATACAACATGATGCATCAGGATCAACTCGCTGCGCAAGACGCAGAATAGGTTCCAGAATAATGGAAGTAAGAGACTGTGTTTTAGCTGTACCATTGTTGCCCTGACTTCTCTGAGGAAGTGGCTATGCCTGCAGCACGAACCAGGCCTGAACCTTCTAGACTCTGTGTCACTTGCTCCACGAATGTTGTGTCTGCAAACATCAAATCCATCCAGCACAAACCCAGAACGTGCAAATTCAGTTTGCTGCTAATGACAAACGACTCCCTATCTTAATTCCACCTTAACTTATGAAATTGCAGCACAATGAACAACTTTTCTCTAAAGTTTACATACTTAAATGACAGCAGAGAGAACAAAGTTGGACAAATTGCCTGGCAAATGATTGAGAGATGATTCATTCACAAACCTGAATGGAACAGATCAATCCACAAGGGGACGAAATTGGAAGCAAATGCATGCTGGTTTTGGTTTGAGCCTTTCCACGTGTGAGGATGACTCGAATCATCATCGTCGTCATCATAAAGCCGGTAGTCAAACCACTGTCCCTTCTCGGCATTCCAAAACACACATCTTATAGCTTCTTGTCTTGCTTCAGAGAGCTTGGAGAAACTCTTAGCAATAGTTTCCTCTCCCGTGGCACGCGCCAAGCTTGTGATGTCAAGTTCCACCTGCATGAATAGACATATCAATTTTTTGTTTTCATCAGATTGTGTGAATCAATGACATAACTGAAGGCTGAACATACGAAAGAATGAAGATCATTACCTTCAGCAAGTACACATTTAGATCAACAGGCAAGATAGATGTCGTAGACATTGTAGTGAAGTCTGAGTTATTTCTGGCACAAATAAAAACCAGAAGAACCCCTCGCTTAGTATGAAACAGGATCAATGAACACTTTCACAACCAAAACTAGAACTGAACTTACCCCATCCATCTGGTACTGAAATCCCAACCTGTCTCAGCTGCTGAAGCAACTTCTCTATAGAATTGCTGCTTCTTGGAAGCACCGGAAATATTGGCAGCAGACTCCTTATCCTGAGAGAGGGATAAATGGTTTAAGCACTACATTCTCCAATGAACTGAACATAGCTATGGACTGCATAAAATCCGAGGCATATTGTCTCTCACAAAGATTGCAGATTCAGGCCTAGGTTCATTCCACATTGCAAAATACCGGCTTAAGCTGTGGTTGGTATTTTTAGCATCAAGGACAGCGACATTATGTTCCCCTGTAAACCATCCAATACGTTTAGAAAAAACGTTGTCAAAAGAAGCTGCATTTAGTATTATGAGTTATGACCATTTAAAAGAGAACAAGATAGGGGCAAAACATCAGCCAGTAATACCAGAAGTCCAAAACTTATGCTCCTTGATCAATGCAGGAAGTGCCTTCTGAGCAAATTCAACGTCTCCTGTTCTGTTGTATATCTCATATACCATTGAACTGAGAAGGGGAGGCTGACTGTACAGAAGGAACACACTTATTAGTACATTTCAAGCTAGCCAACTGCCAACAACAATAAACTCGTACGCAATGAAGCAGGAACATTGCAACGAGAGTATTACCTTCTATTGGTGTAATAGGCCCTTGCGCCATTCAGGACATGGCCATAGGTATCCAGCAGGTATATCAGGTTAATCACAATTGATTTGGCAGTATCGTACATTTTGCTTGCAAGCAAACCCCTGCCCATAATAAGAGCAATCACAATTTAAACCGCAAAGAGCTCAGAGCCAGAAGACTAAACCATAAAAGAGAAGAAAACTATAGATAACAAGATCAAAGCACGTCATTTTGATGGCAAACCTACTATTTTTCATATTGTACCACCGCAATTTGAGTTATAACAATCTGAATAAAAGGACAATTGTGCTCCAGCTGGTAACTAACCTGATAACCCAGTAAGAATCCCAGTAGTAAACCTCCCTGAACCGTGAACCTGGAATTATCACCGGTTCCGGCAGGGGAAGCAAAGTGTGGAGTTCCGGGTATTTGTGAACATGATCAGACACTTTCCTGCTGAGATTCTTCCACAAGGAATGAACTTCCAGCGCCCAAACCCTGACCTTGGGATTCAACACCATGGGCAAGAACCCATCAGGCTCCGCAACAAAATCCACTGGCTCATGCGCCACAAGATCACTCCCAGCATCATCAAATTGCTCTGCCACAAACCTGCGAAACTCCTGAACCGGGACAACCCCATCGGCCTTCCTTGGCAATCCATCAAACACCTTCTGGGTGTGAGATAGATTGAACTTGAGAGACACATCAACGAACCATTTAGGGTCGAACCCTTTCTCCCCGCCAAGAGTCTGGAACGCGGTTTCTTGAACTCGTACGAGGAATTCCACCAGGGGCGTGGTGGGTATCACAGTCCCGCTCTGAAGAACGCCCATTGTAGAAGCTCGTGATGAGAGCAGCAAGGAACTGGACAGCAGAAGAAACGTCAGTAAAATGATGCTTCTGGCCATCTCTGCGACAGGATTGCTGGACTGTTTGGCATTTGGTAAGAGCGACGAGAGCTGGTTATATAATAAGGAGAATGAGAATGCCGGCAATGGGTTGGTTCCTGCGAATTGATTTATTCGTCAGTTTGCTTCTTTGCTTGATCTGTTTCAATCGGTGAAGTCGACGATAAGTTTTAGGTGGGAAAGAATTGGGAAGTTGTGTTTGTGGGTTTGGACCATTGGGAATCTTCAATCCGGCCAAAGCCATGATGGGATTTGTACAAGGGATGGAATTTGAAGGAGGGAAAGGAAGGAAAGAAGGAATACGCCGCAGAAGAAAGGGAAAGAGTTTTCCCTTTTCCTCTTGAACTTGAAGACTGAAGTCCAAGCTTCTCCCATTTGTCTGACGTTTTGATGCTCCAAAATATCAAATCAAGCATCCACCCACTTTCTTTTTATAAAAGACCTGTGGGCTTCATTCGATAGTTAAACAGACTGAGCCTGTGAGGGAGCCGGGAGGTGGATAAAACGTGCTAACAAATGGGCCATTGAATTCTGAACTCATGGGGCAAATGCAAATCATCATAACACCATCGATTCACTCGAAATCTCTTCATTCTAATTCAAAATATCATGAATAAAATCACCCCAAACATCAACTTCAATATTGTCACTTTTGTATCTCTTCAATCTTCAAATCAATAGGAGATAGGCCGGTTCAACCAACACCGGAGCTACCTTCACGATTGGCGACCTCCACACCAACAACCAGATTCTGATACTACTTGTTGAGATATGCACTCAATTAATACAATATTTTTTGCTTTGAATCAAGATGCTTCATACTAAAAGCTCAATAGGCACTTATATACAAATATTATTTCCCTTGTATTTACGATGTGATTATTGAATTGTCCCATAACATCCACTATTACGCAAGCATAATTATACAAATTGGTAGCCCAAGTTTTTTCGTCAATAACCAATAAATAGATTAATCTAAATGCAAATATCACCCAACCCACCCATTATTCATCCTTAATCAAACTCCTCGTAAACTTGTTGCACTATTATACAAAGCAAATCCTCTGTTTGGCGCTAACTGGTTACTGACTACAACGTCGAGGTATAAACCAACAGTGAAATCTATAACTCCCAAGTCCTAACTATTCAGAGCTCAAGTACTCTTCATCTTCTGGCTCAGAAGCATGCCTCCTTGCAAGTTTACAACAACATGCTTCATCTTTACGGAAGCACCAAAAGAGGAAGCAAAGAGAAAAAGGAAGGTTGATGTTTGAGGTCGGTAGAGTTTTCATCATCAGCAGCCCAACTTCCTGTCATGAGGCCACCCAAACTCCTCCAAAAATGCCAACACCACTCCGTTTGACCACCCAAAACCCGTCTTCACACATAGAACAAAGACACAACAAATAAACTTCAAGTTAGCCTAATATTTCTTCTCCCATGGAGTGAACAAATATTTGAGATAGATAAGATCACAAGGATGAAGACATGAACGCGTAAGACCTTACTTGAGGGATAACAGATTCGCCACCACCACCGAATTGTCCACAAGTTTCCACGTCCATCTTTTCGTGCATTTTACCTGTCTTCTTGTACGCAGCGTAGTTGCTGTTGATCCATCTCACTGTTATCTCTTCCGCTAATGACTTGGCCTTGTGTGACCCTGACCTCACCAGGCCTTCCACTATCATATGCTGCAATGGCGCCCATCCATTTGGAAAGTCCCTGCAGTTGTTCATTCAGGAGGCAAGACACGTAAGTCGTAACAAAAGGGAACAGATTCATCAGGAATCCAGCTCGCAGCAAAAGACCCCAAATGTGTTTCAGAATAATAAGTCTGTGTTGGACAGTACCATTGTTGTCCTGAATTTTCTAAGGAAGTGGCTATGCCTGCAGTACGAACGAGACCAGAAGTTTCTAGACTCTGCATCACTTGCTCCACCAGCGTGGTGTCTGCAAACATCAAGTTCATCTTTCTACTTAAAAGCAGCATGCAGAGCTAAATCCAACGGAAGGGTTAGGAACTGATTGAAGACATACACAAACCTGAATGGAACAGATCAATCCACAAGGGGATGAAGTTGGAGGCGAATGCATTCTGGTTTTGCTGTGAACCTTTCCATGCGTGAGAATGACTGGATCCATCGTTATTATCATGAAGTCGATAATCAAACCACTGCCCCTTCTGCGGATTCCAGAACACACATCTTATAGCTTCTTCCCTTGCTTTAGAGAGCTTAGAGAAGATCTCGGCGACAGTGTCTTCTCCCGTGGTATGCGCTAAGTTTATGATATCAAGTTCCAACTGCAAGAACAGATGTGAATCAATGACCAAAAACCTAGGACCCAAAGTGTTAAAATGAAGAATAGTTTGTAAATAACCAAACGTCATTTCCACGTCACATGTGTTTTATAATCCTAGTATATATATGCTAGTACTGGCTTCCAACATTGTGTTAGTTTCTGAAATTGAGTTCCCATAATAAAAACTACAAAAAGTCCCTCCGTCGACATAGGCACACTTGTTGAGCCACACAAATCTTGTTTCGTGCTTGTTCGTTTATTCCTTCTACAGAAGAAGAACAGACACATAAATCTACATGATCTTTTTCATCACATACCTTCAGCAAGTAAACATTTAGATCCACAGGCAAGATAGATGTTGTTGACATTGTAGTGAAGTCCGAGGCATTCCTGCCAGAAGCCAAAACTAAAACCTCACGTTCAGAACGAATCTGGAACAACGATTGCTTCCACAGCCAAAATCGGTAGTGAACATACCTCATCCATCTTGAACTGAAATCCCATCCTGACTCAGCCGCTGAAGCAACTTCTCTATAGAATTGCTGCTTCTCTGAAGCATTAGATATATTGGCAGCAGAGTCCTTATCCTGAGAGATGAAGAAATGAGCTAACACCCTCCAAGGAACTCAACATTGCAATGGATTAAATGAAATAAAAGGGATATTATTGCTCACAAAGATTGCAGATTCAGGCCGAGGTTTGTTCCACATTGCATAATACCGGCTTAAGCTATGCTTGCCAGCTTTAGCATCATGGACATTGACATTATGTTCCCCTATCAACATAGAAACCATAAGGAACTTGGTTACAGAAGAATGGAGTAAACCTTTCTGACCATTTAAAATCACAAGAGAACCATAAAGGGGCAAAAGCATCAAACAGAAATACCAGAAGTCCAAAACCTATGCTCCTTGATCAGTGCAGGAAGTGCCTTCTCAGCAAACTCAGTGTCGTGTGTTCTCTTGTATATCTCATACACCATTGAGCTAAGAAGGGGAGGCTGACTGTTTATAATACATCTATACGTTAGTAGACATCTAAAGCTGACAGAAAACAATGAATTCCAGGGCAATCAAACAGGATTATTGCAGTTCAAAAGGACTACTACCTTCTGTTAGTGTAATAGACCCTTGCACCATTCAGGACATGGCCATATGTATCCAGTAAGTATAACAGATTAGTGACGATCGATTTGGCAGTCTCATACATCTTGCTTGCCAGCAGACCTCTGACATCAGAAGTGTATTCCGCAAGTTAATTCACTCAAAAGATAACTAGATGAACAAACCCTAGAAAGAACCAAAATACTTATAGATACTTGGAAGTTTTTATTCTTGAAACTGGGGGTTCAAAGCTTGTAAGAGCAACGAGAAAACATGGATAGGGAGGGCAGCCCATTCTGTAATCAAGACCCAATATATTGCTTGACAGTTTGAAAACTCACTCTTTAATAAGGCTAACTAACCTGATGACCCAGTAAGAATCCCAATAGTAGAGCTCCCGGTATCCTGAACCTGGGACGATCGACGGTTCCGGCAGGGGAAGCAGAGTGTGGAGTTCAGGGTGTTTGTGGACCTCATCCGATTCTTTCCTGCTCAGATTCTTCCACAAGGAGTGAACTTCCAGTGCCCAAGCCCTGACCTTCTGGTTCTTCACCTTAGGCAAGAACCCATCAGGCTCCGCCACAAAATCCACCGGCTCATGCAACAGAAGATCACTCCCAGCATCGTCAAAGTACTGTGCCACAAACTTCCGAAACTCCTGAACCGGGACACCCCCATTTGCCCTCCTTGGCAATCCATCAAACACCTTCTGGGTGTGTGACAGATTGAACTTGAGAGACATATCAATGTAGGATTTAAAATCGAACCCCCTCTCCCCGCCAAGAACCTGAAAAGCGGTTTCTTGAACTCGTTCGAGGAATGCCAGAAGGGGCGTAGTGGGGACCACGGGCCCTCTCTGAGGAACCTCCATTCCCGACGATACATAAGCTTGTGATGAGAACAGAAACGTCAGTAAGACGACGATGACTAAGCTGGAGTCCATGCTGGTGAAGCAATTGCAGGGCTGGCGTTGCCGTTTGGGATGACGAATTATTGCTGGTCATAGTAACAATTTGACCGGGGCCGGCAATCGGTTCCTAAGATTTGATAAGTTGTCACTTTGCCTGTTCTGTTTTGATCAGTGAAGTCGACGGGAAGTTTGGGTTTCTTAGTTACGTGAGAAGAATTGGCTTGTTGTGTTTGTGAGGTTCTGCTATGGGGAATCTGCAAATCGGCAAAATCCATGGCGGATGGGTGGAAATTTCTGTTGAGCCGGCGAGTAGTGGAGGAAGGAATTCGCGCCATTACAAAAGGTGACCTCTTTTCCCTATTTTCTGTACACTGCCACAACTGAAGCGAAATTTGGGCTTATGGTCCAGGCGATTCCCTAAGGACCACATGCTTTCGTTGGGCCTGGTTATATTAGTCTCGCTGGGCGCTGGTTGTTTGGGTAGTGTCACACGGATGTGCTTGAACATGACTGTGACCATGAAATTATGTTCGCATTTCAAAATTGAATTTCAGAATCCAATTATGACGTATTTCGTAAAATGTAGATTCCATATGATGCATCATAGATTCCATAAAACGCTTACGTGGATTTGTAGTATATAATGAATCAAACTCATGCAACATTCCTCTACTAGAACTCGCAATAAATCAATTGAAGTTAATAATCCAATTATGTTATATTTCGTAATTCAAAGATTCCATAAAAACACGTACGTGGATTTGAAGTATAGTAAACCAAACTCGTGACATATTTCTCTACTAGAACTCGCAATAAATCGAGAGTTAAGAGGAATGATACTGCGATTTTTTCATATGTTGCCCACAACTCACGAAATTCAATCATATGTCCTACAAGTGTACAACTACTTCCAAAACATGAACAATAAATTCACGGAAATTGGGTGGCTCCTTCAAAACTCGAGTCCATTTCTACTTTCAAAAGAAACCAAGAAAACAACTTCACAAGTTAGCTGGAACAGTCAAGTGCAGCACCATGACACCACCTTCCTTACCTAATTCGAACGCCCATATCATAAGGCAGCAACGAGCACACAACAGAGGGAAAACCCAGAATCAATTTCGAGCAGGGGATGGAGAAACAAGCTCCTCAGAGTAGGTTCTTCCTTTTTCTCTACAATTTCCCAGAACTCAGTCCACACTATACTGGAAAAAGGAGCACTGGCTTCAGAAATTGGAACGACGGACGACGAACACTCATCACCGGAGCAGTTATATTCCCATTCTTCAGGCCAAACCATTGCCATTGCCGTGCCAAAAAAGAGAACAGCATAAAGAAGACCAAGAAGAAAAGCAAGAACACTGGAACAGGGAAGGGAGGCAACAGACAAGGCCGTACCCAGGAGCAGTACGGACCACATGGCCACATCCTTCAAAGTTCAATCGGTCTTTCCTACGAATGTCCCGAGTCAAGCAATAAAGACATTAGTAGACAGCAATTGACACGAGGAGGTTTCCTTGTGGTTCAGTTTCGTTCTAGGGTTTAGGGTGAGAATCCGCCCAAAACGAACCCATGTGAAGGTCACATGACATCCACGTTACCCAGCTAAGGGCGTTAAGTTACCCCCTCTTTTTCCTCTTGGCCGTACAATCCCCAAAACCCAAAATCAACAACCACCTTTCTTCTGTTCCAACTCCTCTCTTCCTCTCATCAAACCATAATGGAAACCCTAAATCCAGGGGAACCCTTTAGAGAGGTTTCTCGGTTAACTAGTTGCCCGTTTCAGCTTATTCTTACTCCTTCCAATTCCTCCCATAACTCCCCTTCTTCACTTCAGTCCATATCCCTCCAACCCCATCATTAAATGGGTGGTTTCTGTACCTCAAAGAGGCCTCCACCAATCTACTAGTACTACTACATCACGTGCACATAACAAAAATCCTTATTCCTCACCTCTGCATGCATTCTCTCCGTTGACATTGACTACTTAACAAGGCAAAGTTGGATTTTACCTCTGCTTGCAATCTCACAGGTCTGGTTACCGCCCGGAGAAACACCATTGTCATCGATTGGGCAGCTTCGTCCCCCTCAGTTAAGTGCAACAGCCATCGCCTATATTTTGCTCTTTGGTCCGCTGCACCAGCTACTTTTGCCATTCAGGACACATGAACAAAAAGCACTCAAATGCAAACCAAACCATGGCAAGGAACAAAACACAGATAGTGTTAGGTCATAGGGGCAGGATTCATTAATAGTGGGAAACAGAGCACACTAGTAACTGCTCCAGGTCAAATGCCAGCTGAGAAAAGGAGTTAAAAACAGGAGGAGCATTTCCCCAAAATCGCAGAGGAGGTAAAAATGGTTTTCAACTACCCTTCTCTTTCTCTCACACACACACAATAACTGGCAAAATCTGAAAAAGAAGTATGGAAACGAGAACTGGAGGGACAAATAATAATAATAATGAAAAAAACCCCACTAATTAATGTGTCCACCAAGCCAATGTGATCCATGTGTCGCTTATCCAACAAACCCTGGACCCAAAATACACCAGTTTGGGTAGTAAAGCAAAGCTAAATTAACCTGGAAACCTGGATGTTACAGAAACACAGAAAAAGGCCACTTCACTTTTTTGACTGCCACAAAAAAAAAAACAATAAAAGGCTCAGCAGGTTTATGTACTGACTTGAACAGAATTGAAATTTATATAAAACCCAGCGGCCAGCACTAAGCCAGTAACTCCAACAAAAGATTCCTAAAACAACACCACCACTTCCAAAGGGAAGGAGCCCCTATAAAAGGAGAAGCAAGGTGAAGGAGAATAAGGGGTTGCACCAGCAAAACAAACAAGAAGAAGCAGAGATAGAAAGAGTCAAGACATTCATGGAATTATCAACTAGCCAAAGGAGAAAGTTAGCTTCTTCCTCGCAAAGACAAGACAAAAGTCAGCAAAGGGATGGTGGTGGTGGTGGGGTCGTGAAGCAAGCAAAGGGAAGGTTTTACATCATTCGTCGTTGCATTGTGATGCTGCTTTGTTGGAAGGAGCATGAAGATAAGTGAGGGAAAATGGTAAACTATGTGTACAGCAGTTCTACACCAATCTTACTTACTCAAGCCATGTGTATGTCTTTTGTCAATCTACAAAGGTAATAGTAATAGCACCCAACAGGGGTTCAAGAGAGTCGGATAGGGAAAACTTGTAGTCAGATGTGGAAAGAGCAATGAAATACAAGCAAAACCAAAATCGATTTTGTGCTCCTATCTTCCTACTTTCCTTTTACCAGAAAGGTATGCCATTCCCAGGAAAACAATCTGCGCAAGAATATCAAAGATGAGTCTAGCTAATAGTTATCATTAACATAACTTGGCATCTAACAGAAATGTAAGCCAAGACGATGAGACATTATGAGTTATGAAAGTATTCATATCCCATAATGCTATCCTTCATCCTTTCAAACCCAAACTCCAAATTTTCCCCAGGATGAAAACTATACTGCCTGGGGCAGGCAAGGTCAGATTAATTCAAAGACTCGAGGCGGAAGGAGGAGAAACTTTATGAAACCATAAGAATTCAAACCAAGATACAAGTTGCAAGACATTAATGCTCCATTCCAAATCCAACTCACTGTCACAGATGCTCTAGTCCTTTTCACCCTTGATAAGATGGAAAAAAGTTCCTTGAGCAATACCCAACACTTTGACCACATCCCCCCCAATATGGACTGAAATCTACATGTCAGCATATCCATAACAGATTATCACTGACAGCCTAGCCAGCACTAAATGGTAGGGGGATATCAAGTGTTCACACCGCGGATGCTAATAAGCTGTGCTAGTTTCGATCATCAAATATGCTTTGTTGTTTTGATAACTCATCATGATGCCTATGAAGTACTTGGTCATAATTCAACCACATAAATAGAGTAAACAGCATCAACAAAGATGACGCAGCTCCCCAAGCAGGATAATGGAACAGCAATGCATTGACAGCGCAGTACAGAAAAGGTGGAACACATTCGACATACTTGGCAAGGATACTTAAAGCGTTGGAAGAAAGTATATTCCTCCTAAACAATCCACTAGATACAAAGAAAGGAACAATCTTTAAGGCAATTTGTTCATATTTCACTCTTGAAATGTAACAACAATACACACAATAAAGAACCTCAAGCGCCCAAATGTTAGGAACTGGATTCAAATACAATACAAAAAAAGAAAGAAAAATCAAGCAATCACAACAACGGGTGGCTTTCCGATTGAACATCAAAAATCGAAAATCATCCAAAGTACAGGCTGGGAGAGAGAACAGGGAACAACCAATTGAAAACGGATTGGTTTAGAAGGGGATAAATTGCAAGATGTACCGAGGTCAGCTCCGGCCGGTAGGGAGAGAATCAATCATCAAACCGGGAGCTCATCGACGGTGTCGCGAGAGGCGGTTGAGAATAGTCTGAGAGGGCGGACGTCGCCCTCATCGTCATCATCATCGTGATCGGCTGTTTGGATATTGACGCAGGAAAAGCGCTCCAGAGAGGAGAAGAAGGCGGAGGTCACATACGTGCTAACCCAACTGGCCATCTGGTTTATGCCATCCACGGAAGCGATGCTCGCGTTGTTGTTGGCTTCGTTGTTTTCCATGGATGGGTCGAAGGAATTCAAGGATCAATTGAGGAATTGGAAGATTGCTGGGGGTGGGAATTTGGAAACCCTAGTCGCCAGAGAGGAAGGAAGAACAACGTGGAGGGAGCAAACGTGGACGCCAAAATTGGGGAAAAGGGGTTTTAGTTGGGACGTCCGCAAATTTGGTGAGGTACTAAATAAATCCCTCCTCTTCGGTCACTAGTTCTAAAGATAATATATATAGCTGATTATTTGTTAATTTCGAATTCAAATTCTCACCTCCTTTAGCCAATATAAAACTTCTCGCGACTATTATGATTGGTTTCAAAATTACCTATTTATCAATCTATTTGTAAATAAGTTAATCATCATAGATTCAACTATCTAAGTTTGATTACAATTTTGTTAGTTCTTAGTGATATTCGATATCCATATGCAATCCATGGTAAATTGGCTATTTAATTTTCTGGCGTGGTTGAATAAGGTCGACCCATATGAATATGTATTTTAATAGAGAAACCCTCAAGTTTTGATTCAGGTGTTCCGGTCCTATACTTCATGGAAAGGAACGAATTTGTGGATTCACCATCTTTATAATCCATATGAAGTGGGAATTAGTTATCCGACTATTCCATCGAATAAGTAGCTAAAACTTTCGGGATTTTCTAAATTTAGAATAAGTAAGAATACATACAGTTTAATATAGAATCTAAATTCAACAAGAATAACATACCCTATAGACTACTTAAACAGTTAAACAATCTACTCGAACCCAAAACATAATTACTTAAACACAAGCATATTCAACAATTTCATTCTTACCTTCTAACAGGAGGTTAAGGGAATAGATATGAGGACTTTTGTGGGATGGGTAGGAAAGTTCCAAAACTTCTATTGATGGGGGAAGAGGAAATGAGAGTGGATAGAAATGTGGGTGGTAGGGGACATTATTTAATCGGTGCATATTGTACATCAATCGCTTTAAGGCTAAGCAATCTAACTTTTATTGTTGTAAACTGATACGATCAACACATGAATCGCTCAAGGCTAAGGGAATCAGACCTTCGACCAGTCTACCCAAAGTGATGGCACCTAACTTTAGCTCGGAGTGATGTCGGGTTGAAAGGAACCGACCGAGTAGAAATTTGATCGCTTCAACTCAAAAGCTATTCATGTTGATTGCTTTTGTCAAACGCGATAAAAGGTTGATCACTTATGTGTAAAGTGATGAAATTAAAAATCGTGTTTCCCTACCACAGCGAAAACATTGATCGTTGTACTCTCATTGATTTCAGATAGATCACTTCTCCTAACAGAGATCAAATGTCAAGCAATCTGTGATCGCTTTCCTCTCCAGCGACGAACAACGTGCGAATCAAGCCCAAACATATATAGATTGGTAAGTTCTATAAAAACTATTATATTTTGAAATTTTTTGTTAACAACTATACTACTTCCGGGGGGAGAGGGAGAGGAATCCAATTATAGGAGATAATAATAAAAGTATGGAGACTATTAGCACCATGATTCAGAGCAACTATTTCCCAGCTTCAAGCCACAGCAACGAATGATAGATTGTTTCAATCTTTCTCATTCGTACTCATAAATTCAATTCGCTTCAAGGTAAGACGTTGGGATTGTCTGTTTAGAACTCTAGAGTCTAGAAACTAGTAACGTGCTCGGGAAAACTCAATAAAATTGTGCAGACTGGAGACTGCAGAGCAACGGGATCTCTTGCATTGGGCTCAGGAAAAGGCCCAAATGTTTCGGTACTCTCTTCTCTCGTGTGCATTATCACGTCTATCTCGAATTTATTTCAGTTTGTATTGGCTTTCCAACTCCAAAAAATTTAATGCACTCATGTAGACTGAATTTATCACTAATTATAAATTATTCAATCTATCTCGCAAAAGAGATCATAAATTTGCTTATCAAAATCAAATTAGTAATTACAGTAACAATCCATAGTGGACCACATAAACTGACAAGGAGATTCGGAAACGAAAAACGAGAAGCATAGATAAAATTAATAATTAAGGTTGAATGATTTTAGTTTACGTTAAAATATTCATTTATGATATATTTCTAATTTTTTTTGGATAATTTATACAACCATTTTACAACATCTATACCAATATGATATTTTATGTACCACCATTTATATAATTTGTGCTGCCATATTCTTTTTTATAAGATGAGTGTTCTTTTGTAGATCATAATTGATCTAATTTTTCTTTCTTCAAAATTAAAAAGAATCGATAAATGATTAGTTCGAATTTTATGAGAAGTCATTACGGAGTGACAGTATAACCTGATTCGTGGGATATTGGATTATTATATGTAGTTGTTATACGACTTAATCTTTCAGAAAATAAACTATCCATTCTCTTTTTTTCAACAAATTTATTAATTAAGCACATGGATGAGAAAATATGAATTTTATTAATCACAAACACTTTTATCACCGAACGCCATGTTACAAGTCATACCATTCTCTTGAACCCTTCCCTCGTCAAAGTACATGCAGTTCTGGTCCAAGAAAGCCTGAGCCTCGCCGAGGCAGGCCGGGCACGAGGCCGAGGTCGGGTCGGGGCAGGCAGCCCGAGCCCACAACAAGCTGTTCACGTTGATGCACGTCGAGAACTCGCCGGGATGGGAGTTGTGGACGTTGACCACGTTGACCAGGATCCCTTTCCTCGCCTGGCCCAACGGGCTCGATGGGTCCACCGGAATCACGCCGCAGGAGTGGTCTGGGAACGAGTACGCGTCCGTCGACGACGCCGACGTCGCAACCGCCGCGTCACTGCTGATGATGCAGAGACCAACTACGGCGACGATCAGCCAAGCGAGAGCAGCCATTTTCTTGAAAAGGGTATTGGTTTATGTTATGTTGGTGTGTTTGAGTACTGGAATTGTTAGTGATGGAATGAATATGTTTGGGGAGAACTAGAGGGACCACTTTGGCCTTTTTATAGGCCATAGTGCACCAACCATTGTTGTTGCATTAATTATATTGGATTTGGATTTGTTTGTGTTATAAATTAGTTGCCATAATTGATAGAGCTGATTAATTGGCATAAGATACTATTGAATTTCTTGTTTATGTGTTATTACTTATTAGTGTTTTTCCATAAACAAATTGGTAACTTATTGGTATTAATTACTTACCTTTTTTATATAAAAGGAGAAAAGAAAAGGGGTTATAGATATAAACACACTCTTTTATTATGCATTTTTATCGAACATGCTCTTTTAGTTCTTTTTACATCAACCATACTTTTGTATTAAAAAAAAATATCAAACATGTCTCTTTTTGTTAAGGTTTTCATCCCGACACCGTCAACCACGATCAAACTGTGGTTCTCACCTCCTGCCTTGAACAAAATATGAAATGTACTACAGTTGGTGACAGAGAGATCTATTTTCTTGAATTTGACGATTTTCCCACATATATGTCAGATTATCCATGATGCATAAGTGTATTAATCAAATATTATAACTTTTTATCCAAACCCTTCTTATAACTTTTTAAATTAGTAGTCAGATCTTTCAAAATTCAAAGTATTAGTAAACATTACTCTCTGTTAACAGTTTTGTTAGTAATGCTGACTCGCCAACATGATATTGAGTTGGAAGAGATACATTGAGGTCAAAATTTCAGTATTTTAAATAAGAAAAGAGTTACAAAACTATCCACGGTACCATTCAAATAGCTAATATTTTGATGTGTTAAAAAGATTTGGTAATACTTTATATCACGAAATATTTGGATAACAATTTTAAAATTTTGAAAGTTTAGTCTAATAAATTTTATTTACTATTTACTCTAATTATAGAATTTTTTTGAAAAGTCCCCTGCTTTTCATTAATAAGCAAACTACTAACCATCCCAAACAACAATAATATCCCAATCCCATGGAATGTTCCAGTGGGCCAGATAGTGGGCCACTATGTTTGCCTCGATGGACAAAAGCCCACCCGAGGCCGTCCCTCCCCATCCCATTCTCCTCAACCCTCGAAACTCGAAACCACCGTCTATTGAATTCCGTCACAGACCCCGTCTCCGTCCGTCCTATAAGCCCCTTTTCAATCTCTCTCAGCAATCACCGGCAAGAGTCCCTGGTTCGTCACCTCCTCAATTCCCCTCGAAATTGCTCTTGCTTCGTTTTGCTCGAGGTAGTCCTGAACCCAGCAGGTAGCCCTTTGCAGTAATTATAGAAATAATAAAACTACTTTGCGAGAAAAAATGCAGTAGAAGAGAATCACAGAGGAAAAAGAAATTGCAGGAGAAGAGAGCTGGGAGACAAGCGGTTCAAAGTTGCTGACCATCAAATTGGATATTTCGTCAGATAACCCGTCCAAGAGTGTTGGACCGCGTCCAGGACCCGCTGCTGAGTTGGCCCCCCCTAAACCACGCCACCGGCAGAGCTAAATATTCTCCAAAAAAAGCTTTCGCTTTTCCAATTCTCTTTCCTCTCAAAAACTTTTCCGCAGAATCCACAGTTTCCCCAATCGGCGGTTCTTGCGTCCTTCGCTTCGCTTGAAAACCTCTCCCTAATTCCGGCGGAGATGAGGCTTTTGAAGTTAGCCACCTGCAATTTGAACCAATGGGCGATGGACTTCAACTGCAACTTGAAGCACATAAAGGAGTCGATTACCAGAGCTAAACAAGCGGGTGCCGTCATTCGACTCGGCCCCGAGCTCGAGGTCACCGGCTACGGCTGCGAAGATCACTTTCTCGAGCTCGATACCGTCACCCACTCGTGAGTCAAGCTTGCCCCCTTTACCGTTTCAATTTCATTATGGGTTGTTCCAATTTAGTGAAAGTTTCGGTCTTTCCTGAAGATGGGAATGTTTGAAGGAGATTCTGGTCGGAGATTGGACCGACGGAATATTGTGCAGTATAGGCATGCCCGTGCTCAAAGGCTCCGAGCGGTATAACTGTCAAATTCTGTGCATGAACCGAAAGATTCTGATGATCCGCCCGAAAATGTGGCTTGCAAACGACGGAAACTACAGGGAGCTCCGGTGGTTCACTGCCTGGAAGCAAAGGGATCAACTGCATGACTTTGTGCTCCCACCAGACGTTGCAGAGGCCATTTCTCAGAGTTCGGTGCCATTTGGATATGGGTTCATTCAATTTCAAGACACGTAAGAATTTCCTTCTCTTTTTTTTGCATAGTGATTGAAGAATTAGTTACTTTAGTTTGCCAACAAATGATATGGTTCCTAGTAAGATTGCCATATCATTAATTCTACGTGGTTGTTAGAGCTGTTGCTGCTGAAGTTTGCGAGGAGCTTTTTACACCGGTTAGACCTCATGACGAGCTCGCACTTAATGGGGTTGAGGTGTTTATGAATGCAAGTGGAAGTCACCACCAACTGAGAAAGCTTGATATCCGTCTTGAGGCTTTTATGGGTGCTACTACTCGTGGAGGAGTGTATATGTATAGTAATCACCAAGGATGTGATGGTGGCCGCCTTTATTATGGTGCTTTTAACATTCCTTAGTTGCTCTGATCCTTAAGCCCGATTGACTAAGTTTACTGGTCGAAAAGTTCTTAACTAATGAACTATATGCCACAGATGGATGCTCTTCCATTGTTGTAAATGGAGAAGTTCTCGCCCAAGGCTCACAGTTTTCCTTGAAAGATGTTGAGCTTGTGGTTGCTCAAGTGGATCTTGATGCTGTAAGAGAACTTCCGGCCCTAGTCAAATAATATAGCCCTTCTGAAAATTTATGCTCTACTGTATGAGTCTAAACTCTCTCACAAAGGTTTTCTTAGCATTCAGAACCTGACATGTTTTCTTTCAGCAGATTTCTTTGTCGAGGGCTTTGCTACTATAAAATGGTTTTGTTTCTTGATCGCAGGTGGCTAGCCTAAGAGGATCCACTAGTAGTTTCCAAGAACAAGCTAGCTGTAAAACCAGTGTGCCTTCTGTAGCAGCACCTTACAGTCTGTGTCAGCCATTTAACCTGAAAATGACTCTTTCTAGCCCCATGAAGGTATAGTTCAAAGCATAGCTATAGAGTCAATCATACTTCACTTGTACGGTATTTTAGATCTGGCTTGTGCTTTGACTATTGCAATGTTAATGAAATTTCACCTCTTTCCAGTCCTCTTTTGTATGTTAACCGACTTTAATTGTGCTCTATGTTTTCCAGATCAACTATCACTGTCCTGAGGAGGAAATAGCTTTTGGACCTGGTTGCTGGTTATGGGACTATTTGAGAAGAAGTGGAGCTTCTGGATATTTGCTTCCTCTGTCTGGTGGTGCAGATAGTTCCTCAGTAGCTGCCATAGTTGGTTGCATGTGTCAACTTGTTGTAAAAGGTCAATTTGGTGCAGTCAATATAGATTTTATGATATTATGAACCCAGAACAGGTATACTTAACCTTCATGCCTGCTTTCTTATTGGTTTCAGAGATTGCGAATGGAGACGAGCAAGTCAAAGCTGATGCAATACGCATTGGACATTACACTGATGGCCAGTTTCCCACAGACAGCAAAGAATTTGCAAAGCGTATCTTTTATACTGTGTATATGGGAACTGAAAATAGGTTGGTGTCATGGTCATTCAGTTTGTGATTATTTCATGCTAATTGAACAGTATTCCTTGCCTCCTTGGTATCTTCACTTCCAGAAAATTACCTGATTTTGTGGTCTTTTGTCATGACTGAGTTGTTTTTTCTGCAGTTCTGATGCGACAAGAACCCGGGCAAAGGTTCTTGCGGATGAGATAGGTTCATGGCATCTCAATGTTTCAATAGATGGTGTTGTATCTGCATTCCTTTCCTTGTTCCAAACTCTTACAGGGAAACGACCATGCTATAAGGTAAAGTGGCAAGTAGGAACCCAGTCTCACTGGCTTTACAAAAAGAGTAGAAACCCATCATATCTTTGAGGAATATCTTGTTCCCTTAACGGTTGACTGAGTTGTGTGTTTGACTCAAATGAGCATTGTGTCATTTATTCTGTAATTTTGAAGCTTGGTTTCATTTCACAGGTGGATGGGGGTTCTAACATTGAGAACCTAGGCCTCCAGAATATCCAAGCTAGAATAAGAATGGTTCTAGCATTCATGTTAGCCTCACTCCTGCCATGGGTTCACAATAAACCGGGATTCTATCTTGTTTTGGGTAGCTCCAATGTCGATGAAGGGTTGCGAGGCTATTTAACCAAGGTACTGGGACAAAAAGAAGACTAAGCTATAATATAAACTTGATATTTAGCAATTTGTCTATTTGCTTCTACATTCTGAAGCTATCTTCGTAATAGATATAATGAAAATACGAGATATCTGCCTTCTTTTACTATTTTCTTCACTGTTTATAGCTAGAACATATTGTGTTAAGAACTGTTTTAGTTGAATGGAACCTTTTCAGATCAAATGTACTTCTGCGATTCCTGGTTTCTTCTTACACTAATTATTACGTAAGTGCATCTTCTGCAGTATGATTGCAGCTCAGCAGATATAAATCCAATTGGAAGCATAAGCAAGATGGATCTTAGGTCATTTCTAAAGTGGGCTGCCACACATCTTGGTTATTCATCCTTGTCCGAAATCGAAGCAGCTCCACCAACAGCAGAACTTGAGCCGATACGCTCAAATTACAGCCAGGTATTCTCTCCTATTACTCTCCAGTTCTCTCCCCTGTTACAGTCACCTTCCTCCATGATTTTGCCCTAATGCGTGTACCTTCCCTGAGAATAGCTTGATGAAGTGGACATGGGAATGACATACGAGGAGCTCTCGGTATATGGCAGACTGCGAAAGATATACCGGCTTGGTCCAGTGTCAATGTTCAAGGCATGCTTTCTTTTTAAAAATTCTCTGTCAGGAAATTAAGCCATTTCCATACCATACTCTTCTTGAAGTCTCTCTGTGGTGATGTTGCAGAATCTTTGCTTCAGATGGGGATCAACATTAACCCCATCAGAAGTGGCTGAAAAGGTGAAGCACTTCTTCAAGTACTATTCAATCAACCGTCACAAGATGACGGTCTTGACCCCATCATACCATGCTGAGGTACGTCATTGTCTTCATTTTCTTCGGAGTTTATGAGAAAATCCAGTTTTTATCTGATCATGGGACATGTTTGGGCCTTTTTGCAGAGTTATTCACCTGAGGACAACAGGTTCGACCTCCGCCAGTTTCTGTACAACGTACGGTGGGCTTATCAGTTCCAGAAGATCGACGAGCTCGTCAAGGAGGTGAAGGGCGACAAAGTTGCTTTTCCAGAAGGGAGCCAGGAAGGGAAGTCTGGAGGGATGGGAGTTGTTGCTGCTGGCGCTGGAGATCCCAAAGCCGGGTTGTAGTAGGGGAGGCAGCCAAGCCATTTATCTCCCTTTCTGTTAGTGTAAGCTAGTAGTAGTATTGTCGAAATCCGCATTTGTCTTTCATTACATTCTTTAATGTCGCCCGTTGGAAAGTTCTGCAACTGCCGTAACTATAGGCGTGCTTTGGGTTAAAGCCATTGTAATTTTTTGTTTTGCATCACAATATGTAGAAAAATGCTCTTTCCTGGTCGCATCACAATAAATGCACTTTCGCCTCGTTAGTCATTTAGCTGTTTGCCACTTGCCAGTCATTAGCTTTCTCGCAGAAAATTCAGTTCACCTCTGCATTTAGCTGTTTGCCAGTCATTAGCTTTCTCGCAGAAAATGTAGAACCGGTGCTGGACTTCCATGTCGATTCCTCTCGGGCTATGTATCATCTTCTCGGACTCCATTAACACTGGTTACTTTTGGAAGTTTCTTTAGCTTTTGCTCTTTTGCGCAATTTCTGAACCTCTTCCTATCAGTCTTTTGACAGCTCCAGGCCGAATGGAAAGACAAGATTCAGGAGGGAAATTAAAATTACTCATTATGAGCAACATTCTACTAATCTAAACAGCAGGCTATATAATTAAACAAAAACAGACACTTAATCAAGGTACTACCAAAATCCGTTACGATTAGCTTCAACTGAACTAAACAAAAAAGGATTATGTTTACCACTTTGAATGTATTGACGGAACCAAAGAAAAAGTGAAGAAAAACAGGCTACGAGAGACCGGGGAAAAGGAGAAAATCCTCTCACGCTATAATCCATATCTCCTTCCCCTAGCTCTCTCTCACGCTACTCCTACATTGTTTTTTCCTTCCGGCCCTCAAACATCAAGCATTTTCACCGTTCTCCCAAGCAGTAGACTACGCCGTCGTTTATCTCCAAAAAAAGAGAGGAAGCCAAAATGAGGAAATTACAGCTCATCGTGCGAATCCTCGTCTTCCTCATCTCCAGAAGCACCTGCGCCACCTGGGGCGCCACCGGACCGCTGGTACACGGCGGTGATGATCGGGTTGCAGACGGCCTCCACTTCCTTCAGTTTCTCTTCGTAGTCCTCCTTCTCGGCGGTCTGGTTGTCGTCCAACCACTCCAGGGCCTCCTTGGTGGCGGCCTCGATCTTCTCCTTCTCGTCGCCTTCCAGCTTGTCAGCAAGCTTGTCGGCGTCGTTGATCTGGTTCTTCATGTTGTAGACGTATGTCTCCAAGCTGTTGCGGGCGTCGATTCTCTCCTTCACCTTCTTGTCCTCCTCGGCAAACTCCTCGGCCTCGCGAACCATCCGGTCGATCTCTTCCTGGCTCAGGCGACCCTTGTCGTTGGTGATCGTGATCTTTTCCGCCTTTCCGGTGCCCTTGTCTTCGGCCTTCACGTTCAGGATACCGTTGGCATCGACCTCGAATGTCACCTCGATTTGTGGGGTGCCCCTGTTATAACGTGAATAGGACATGCATCAGCATTCAGCACAATGTAAACTAGTAGAACGAGAAGGAGAAAAGGGAACACACAATTGATGGAGGTCAGAAAGAATACAAACCTGGGAGCTGGAGGGATTCCGGTGAGATCGAATTTACCGAGCTGCCTACAGTCCTTGGTGAGACTCCTTTCACCTTCAAAGACCTGAATGGAGACGGTGGTCTGCTGATCCTGGTATGTAGTGAAAACCTGAGACTTCTTGGTGGGGATAACGGTGTTCCTCGGAATCAACTTGGTCATCACTCCACCCACGGTCTCAATACCCAATGTGAGGGGTGCAACATCCAGAAGAAGGATGTCTGTCAGAAAACAAAAAGAACACATTAATTCCAGCTTCTCAGATTACACTGTTCATAAGGAGGCCGATATCCAATTGTCAGAGAAAGGTTACCTTTGGTTTCGTCGCCACCTTCTCCGCTAAGGATTCCACCCTGGACGGCGGCACCATAGGCAACAGCCTCATCAGGGTTGACACCCTTGTTGGGCTCTTTACCGTTGAAGTAATCCTTGAGGAGCTGTTGAACTTTGGGGATTCTGGTACTTCCACCAACAAGGACGATTTCATCAATCTGGTTCTTCTCCAAGCCAGCATCGTCCATGGCCTTCTTCACTGGTCCCATGGTCTTCCTGAACAGATCGTTGTTCAATTCCTCAAAGCGAGCTCTGGTGAGTGGTTCGGAGAAGTCCACACCATCAAAAAGTGATTCAATTTCCACACGGACTTGGTGCTGGCTGCTGAGAGCTCTCTTGGCACGCTCGGCTTCCCTCCTGAGCTTTCCGAGAGCTCTGTTGTCCTTGCTGATGTCCTTTCCGTGCTTCTTCTTGATCAACTTGATGAAGTAATCCATGATTCTATGATCGAAGTCTTCACCTCCCAAATGGGTGTCACCGTTTGTGGAAAGAACCTCAAACACACCGTTATCAATGGTCAAGATACTGACATCGAAGGTACCACCACCAAGATCAAAGACCAAGATGTTCTTCTCACCACCCTTCTTGTCCAAACCATAGGCGATGGCAGCAGCAGTTGGCTCGTTGATGATCCTAGCCACATTAAGCCCAGCGATAACACCAGCATCCTTGGTAGCCTGTCTCTGGGCATCATTGAAGTAGGCTGCATTTGCAAGACAGATAAAGGACTGGTCAGTGCTATGAAAACACAACGAAAAATACTTCTCGAATGCAAAAGTACAAATACTCTACTGCAATAGTTTGATTGAGTTACTAACCGGGAACAGTGACAACGGCATCCTTGATTTTCTTTCCGAGGAAAGCCTCTGCTGTTTCCTTCATCTTAACCAAAATCATAGCGCTGATCTCTTCAGGACTGAAGACCTTGGTCTCCCCATCCTTGATCTTCACTTGGATATAAGGCTTCCCGTCCTTGTTCACAATCTTGTATGGGACAAGCTTCATGTCCCTCTGGACCTCTTTGTCCTCAAACCTTTTGTTCCAAGAATCAAACCCACCACAATTAGACATCGGCAGCCAAAGAGCTTTAAAATAAGAAAATTTATCAGAAAGCAAGGTTAGAGGAATTACTTTCTTCCGATAAGCCTCTTGACGTCAAAGATGGTCCTTTCAGGGTTCACAGCTGCCTGATTCTTTGCAGCCTCACCGATCAATCTCTCACCATCAGTGAACCCAACCCACGATGGAGTAATACGGTTTCCTTGATCATTGGCTATAATTTCAACGTGACCATTCTTATACACACCGACACAGGAGTAGGTTGTTCCAAGATCTATCCCAATGACAGTTCCTAGCTTGGTGGCTTCCTCTTTCGCAATAGAAATTGCAAATAGACAGCCTGCAAAGCATAATTCTCAAGAGATCAATAGGATTCTAGAAATTTCCCAATATCCTAACGTTACTGCACAAATCATAGCATCAGCTGATTAGGAGCACATTCACATTGCATAGAAAGAACACACTGCTCCAGGCAACCACATACATTCTTCATAGAAGAATCAATCGAAATTTCATCAAACAGACTTAAACTTTTTCTTCAGCCTTTCTAGAACAGACCATGCATCAGCAGATCGTCATTTCAACACCAGGCGAGAAAGCAAAAGAGTGCAATGAAATCAAAATCGATCTACATTCAGAACAGCACATTACACCATATGCAATCTTTCTCCACGCAGCGTTTGAGCTCAGGCTACATAATTTCGCAATCTATACGTGCAAGGAAACTCTCCTAAATCCATCAAAGCCAAATTCAAAATCACGGATAGATCTGACAGCAAGCAACGCCATTCACCAACTGAAACGAAACCTAAGCTAGATCTACATCATTTGAGTTCAATATCCAGTATAAACTAACACGAAATGAACAAGAAATACTACGAAAACGGATCAACTAAAGATCCGGCTATCTGGAATGAGAAAGAACGTTCTAGTCTACTCACCGAACAAGAGAACCGCCGAGACGACGAGACCGCGTGCTCTTTGAGAGCCAGCCATGGTGAGCGAGCAACTCTTTCTTCGTCAATCCCCCGGAGTTTCCTCAACTGCAACTATGCTCGGCAAATCAACAACGGAAAGAAGCAAACCCCCGCAGAGGCGAAGAGCTGATGGAAGAGTGACGTGCTCTGTTTTTCAAACGGCCTTCAGATTTGTGTTCGATGATACACACACTTTAAGCGCGCGTGGGGAAATAGTGGCTTTTATAGAGTCTTCAACATAACCATTCGCCATTTCTTCGATCTTTCATTTTGTTGATGAACTGAGAGAGAACATGTCACTGATGGTGACGTGGACCAATGAGGTTGCGATGTCTGATCCGCTCGGCCAATGAGAAAGGAGCTCGTGGTGGGTGTCTCGTGGCCGTCTGTTATTGGGTGTTTCGACGTGGCCTTCTCGGGGTTTCGTACTTTCGTTTCCCCGAACTTGACGCTTGCTAAAGGGTCCCACCCACGCGGCAACGCTCTTTTTCCTCCGGAGACCAAGCCAACAGACCCAGGCCTAGGCTTCCTGGTTCAGGCCCGTTATATTGTATTCTATTAAAAAATATTTGGGCATGTAACTGTTGATACTGGACATGGACATGAGGTGTTGGGCCAAAGCCCAATCAAATGCCCCACTGAAAACAGCTATAATTTACTTTTGAGGTTAACGCGCCGGGCCGGCATTATGAAACTAATAGATATTTTCAATCTGGGCCGATCAATATGGCTATGGTTTCTATGGGGTAGTTGTAAAGATTTTCATTACGTGGCTGGATCCTAAAACTATTAGCTCACTAATTGAGGGCTCTTGTGTTGAATTCGTGGGATGTAAAATACATCGATAAATGGCTGTTTGACTTTAAAACTTTCATATGAGCTGTAGTAGACAAAATGAAAGCAAGAATGTCGGTTTGAGTAACGCGAACATAAAGAATAATTCGATGTCATGATCCAATAGCGTAGAATATCGTCATCATCTCACAAAAATATTAACTTCTACTCGCAACGTTTTTGTTTTATTTTCACGTTGCATTCTTCGCTCGAAGGGAACGTAATCGGTACGACAAAAAAAAATCATGCCAAGAGAAAGAAAAAAAGATGTGGAAATTAAACAAGCTTAGGTGGGAAGAACAGTGCATCAGGCAGCAATTAGTCAATGAAAATGATCAACCAACTGAAATTAATTAGCATCAAACAGCAGCTTCTATACATACAGCTCAACAGAATATGAATAATGAAGACGGATTTGCTTCTTAATCAATTCATTGTCTTCCTTTTTTTTCTCTCTCTCCTTCTCCCAACTCTTATTTGCATGCAATCAGAGAGTAGACGTAATCAAGTTCCAGCTCTACAATTAGTATAAGTAATCGGCCAGCTTAGTTGTCATTCCAAGTTGCGACCTGATGATGATCAGATACGTATATAAATTATATTACAATTTGTACTTAATTATTATCTGCAACTAGCGGCATGATCGATTAGGTAGGGGAAAAGGAAAGTGAAGGGAAAGAGGAGAATTGATCATGGCGTCATTCCCCAATCCCACCAGGAGGTGACTTGTGAACAAAGTCATTAATCTCAATAATGACAACTGTTGAGCCCTCTCTCCAAATCCAATTATCTATTCAAAGTTTCTGCATGGGGGGTTGAAAATAGGTTTTAATTAATTTGGTTTACCTGCCTTTAATTAAACAGCGGTAGAAGATAATAAAGATGTTTAACATTGTATCGAAAAAATTAACACTGGTAGTTCTTTCTACCTTTCAACATTCCCTCACCCAATGGTCTTAGTCTACCAGTTCATGTATGAAAGGACATTTCTTGAAGATGAGGGAGGTTGGAGGTTAGCATCCTTTAAAATCGATTTGTCACGGTTCCTGTTGCGGAACGAATTAAAATGTTTAGAGAACTAATAGGTACATCCACTCTAAATTTGAGTGAGGTAAAATCTTTGTAATTATGAGCCTCCCTTCATTCATGTTCCGAGTTCATATCATTTAACTTGATTTCTGACTGCACCTAATTAAAATGCCGATCGTGGTATATATTTTGCTCAACTGAAAAATGAAGAAGAGGTGGATGATCAACTTAAGAGAAGGTGCGGTTCAGCCATTTGAATATTGGATTCGCACCACCATGCAAACAGAAATACACTGCAGTTCGTCCCAACAGATTAAAGTTGACTTATGGAGAGAGGCTTCACATCACATCCTAATGAACTATGCCTCTCCACGATTGAAAATGAAAGGTGAACATGCAAGTTTGTCCACTCCATTCACATCATTGTTTTTTTTTTTTTTTTTTAGAATTGAATTGGATTTCTGACTTATCTAACCGTCCAATTTGGTTCGCATTGAAGGGTTCATCGGTTTTCGCAATTAATAGTGCAGTGAATGGAAGGCTGTGCCAAATGCCAATGCATATCTATCATTATATTCATGCATGCTAGCTGCTGATGCCTGATAGAGATTTTTCGTTTCACTACTTAATTAACTTTCCGCCATAACTCTACACTGCAATTAGAGAATATAATAGTCCAACCTAGGCAACAGAGAAAATTGAATTGAGTGTGCTTAATAATTTCCCAATCCCAATGTATAAGCACAAAATTAAACGCACCTGGCTAGCTAGCTAGCTAGTCAAACCTGCTTTGATTAATTTTCCTAAATTTTCCAAAAAACGGAAGGAAACACACCAAACCAGGGGCTTGAATGTCGGCAATAAAAAAAAAAAATTATAGTGCAGAAGACAGAAGTTGACTTTTGCAGTTGCAGCTGCACCATATTTATTGCCTCCATTTCCATCGTTCCTCCTCCCAATATCTACTACTCAATAAAAACTCCACCATTCCCTTCAAAGCAACAAAGAAGAAGTTTGAAATGGCTGCTCCTACTCACTCAAAGCTCATCATCATCGTCTTCCTGCTGCAACTCATCAGTACCAATCCCGCCATCTCCATGGCTGCTGCTGCTGCTGATCATCTGGCAAACCCACAAGTGAGTTATCAGGTCAGGATCTGGATTCTGATGTTATACCTTAGAACGAGCTTAGATATATAAGACCAAATAATTTGTAATCCAACGAGAAAGGATCAACAATGTAATTTTGCAGATGAGGAAGCTGCTGCAGATGGATCTGGTGTTGGACTACGAGAAAGATCCAGGAGCAAATACGAAGCACTTGCCAGGTCCCAAGCCGCCCACCAAACCTGGAGTCGGTGGCTGAAACTTCATTTTTATAGTACACTCTCACAAGTTTCAACCAGCTGTTATATGGTTTGATTAATATAGATGTACAATACTATCTACTTACTTCAGCAATAAAAAATAAAAGGACAGAAATGTCTTCAGGTTTAATTGGAGTTTTGGAGATTTTTTGGTGAAGAGTTTTGGAGATTTCTTCTTGTTCTTCTTCTTCTTGTATCAGTACGTCACACTTTTAATACTCGAAATTTGAACACATGTAGTGGCCACTCCGGCACCTTCATATACGCATAAAAAAGTTTAATATGAATGAAAGAAAAATCTTGTGAGAGGGTTCCTCAAACAAAAAGGCCTTTCTAAATATGTAAATATTAACTAATACTGTAGATAGGGCTGAAAATTTGCATGGACCGTTCTTGATCTGTCTGACCCGTTCTTAAAGGATCAGGATGTATAACCGACGCGTCACGTCCCTGTCTCCTTCTTGATCCTATCTGACCCTCAAGGGTTGGGACGGATCAGGACGGGCCGGGTCGGTGGGTCGACGCTAATCAACACACTGTTTTTTACAAATTACGTTTTGGTACCCAATTTTTTTTTACAATTTAGTAACTAATTTTTTTTTACAAATAAGTCCATAAATTTTGATGGTAAAATTACATGTTGGTACCCATTTTTTTTTATTTTTACAAGCTAGTACCTAAACTTTTAAAACTTTACAAAAATGTCCAATGTGGTGTGAGATATTTGTTGTTGCTAAGAGTCACAGGGTCACACGTGACCTATCCCTAAGTTGTCCCTACCCGTCCCGACCCTTACAGGGTCAACAAATGACCCGTCCCTAATCTGTCTCTGTCTCTGTAGACAAACTGATCCATCCCGACCCTTAGGGACAGGACGAGTTAGTGGGTCCTCCGAGTCAAACTTTCACCCCTACCTATAGCCGTGTTTTGAATGAGTAAATTGAAAGACATGAGATTTCAGTTTAAATTTTCATAAATGTGGGAACCAGTTACTAAACACTAGAATGAGAAAGATAGGGAATAGTGCGCATTTCCAGCTCTCCATAAACGTGATATTTTTAACACAAATCTTAATTATCACATACCAATAATCAAATTACTTTTGGGAAAGCCAGACGATTTTTAAATTAAATGATGCATATGATGGATTTAAACCAAAACTAGGTGATTTTATTATTATTTGGGAAATGTTTCTCTACTACATGTTTCCATATAAGATGTTACATATATTTCCTTTTATTCACATATGAAAATAAGTTATTGTATTGTGACTCATAATTGCACATTATATTTGACCTAATTTGTGGCTAACAACATGAAATATTAAAGAATACTTCATACTTGTGAGCTTTTATTTATTGATTATTTCTTAATCCCTCTATTTTCCTCTGGTAGTTGCTTTCCCTCAAATAGAAAATTGTTGAAGTACAACGACGAGTTATGCAATTAGAATGTTAGTACACAATAACAGTAGTCAATACTTAATAGCATCGTCCGAGGCTACTAACCCACTAGAATTTCCCTTTCCAAAACACAGTAATTAACTACTAAGTACCTCTCTTAAAAACAAAGATACCAAATGTTGCCATTTGGCCCATTTTGCCCTCACACCTTACCCAACAGTTGGAAAACAGAGCAAGCAAAGCAAAAGGAATCCGAATCTCTCTCCTCTTTCCCCCTGCTTCGCCCTCTCTTCTCCCACTTCTTCATTCCAAGACCTCAACTTTTGCATTTCCTCTTCTTCAGATCCCAAATTTCCTTCCTCCATTTCAACAATGGCAGTCGCTCTCTAAAACCCATTTCTTTCCGGAAACAGTTGCTCTGTTTGTTCGGCGGCTCCTCTGCTCCACAAATTTCCTCTAAGCTCCGCCGTCGCCATGCCGGGACTCGCCTCAGTCAAAACCCCACCGGGCACTCCGCAGCTCACCCTCTCCGTCCCCAGTCCCCAACCCGCCGGAGCCTCATCTCTGACCCGACCCGAATCCTCCCCTGTCCCACGAACCCCCAACAAAAAACACCCATCCCCTTCTCCTTCCCGATCCAAGCTCTCACCGGCCCGCTCCGCCAAAAAACCCGCCCCGTCGGACTCCCCCAACCCGCTGCTTCAGGCCGATGCCTCCCTCGACAACCCGGATCTCGGCCCGTTCCTCCTGAAGCTTGCCAGGGACACGATTGCTTCAGGGGAAGGGCCTTCCAAGGCCCTGGAGTACGCAATCCGGGCGTCCAAGTCGTTCGAGAGATGCGCCGTCGAAGGCGAGCCGAGCCTGGACTTGGTCATGAGCTTGCACGTTCTGGGCGCGATTTATTGCAGCTTGGGGAAGTTCGAGGAGGCGGTGCCGGTGCTGGAGAGAGCGATCACTGTGCCGGAATTGAGCCGGGGTACGGATCACGCTCTGGCGGCTTTCTCTGGGTATATGCAGCTGGGGGATACTTATTCCATGATTGGGCAGGTGGATAAGTCGATCCATTGCTACGAGGAAGGGTTGAAGATCCAGATCGAGTCATTGGGAGACACTGATCCCCGAGTTGGAGAGACTTGCAGGTAACAGAAAAAAATCCGGGGAGGAAGTAAAGTTATTTGAAGCTTAATTCTTTTGGGTCGTTTTAAATCTCTGCTGTTTTTGCCTGCCGGATTAGGAAACGTTATAGTTTCGTTAAGCATTAATGAAGTTTGACATTTTCGTGATCTTACAGAAGTTTCCTTTATTTTCTTTTGGATTTTTTCGTTTGTTCTTTTGTTGAGGGTATCTGCATATATTTTGTTGAAGAGCTGATTGGTGGAAGTAGTGCTAGTTTAGACTGAGATTTCAAGAAATTGGACCATGGCGTAATTAAGGAAGTGATTTGAGCTTCTGAGTCCATTCTAGGTTGAATTAATGTCGATGTTATCTATGAGTATTTGCATTTGTGAAAGGCAAGGGTGAATAGAGTAGAGTTCAGCTTGAGGAGCTGGATTTGGGGTTTCCCATTGTATGATTATGAGGGAAAAGTTCTCATCTTTGCATTAATAATTCTCTTTTGGTGGAATTCCGGTGCTACATTGTCTGTTCTTGCTATGATCTCTGGGGTAATTTCCTCTTTAGGTAATGTATGTAATTTTTGTAGTTAATTTCACTAAATTGGAGCTTTCATTTTGGAGTAATTTGATCTTTCAGGTACTTATCTGAAGCGCACGTTCAAGCCATGAACTTCGAGAAAGCGGAGGAACTGAGCAAGAAAACACTTGAAATCCATCGTGCACACAGCGAGCCAGCTTCGATCGAGGAAGCAGCCGATCGGAGACTGATGGCACTCATCCATGAGGCCAAGGGAGACTACGAGGCGGCGCTTGAACACCTGGTCCTCGCCAGCATGGCAATGATTGCGAATGGACAAGACAACGAGGTTGCCGCCATCGACATCAGCATCGGCAACATCTACATGTCCCTGTGTCGATTTGACGAGGCAGTGTTCTCATACCAGAAGGCTCTCACAGTATTCAAGTCGTCTAAAGGCGACAACCACCCATCGGTAGCCTCAGTGTTCGTGCGCCTTGCTGACTTGTACCACAGGACTGGAAAACTCCGAGAGTCCAAATCTTACTGCGAGAATGCTCTCAGGATATATGCAAAACCTGTTCCTGGGACCACAGGGGAAGAGATCGCCTCTGGTTTGACCGAGATCTCGGCTATTTATGAGTCTGTGGATGAACCCGAGGAGGCCTTGAAGCTTCTGCAGAAGGCGATGAATTTGTTGGTGGATAAACCAGGGCAGCAGAATACTATTGCAGGTATTGAAGCAAGAATGGGGGTGATGTTTTACATGCTTGGTAGGTATGAAGATGCAAGGGCATCTTTCGAGGGGGCAGTGAGTAAGCTTAGGGCAAGTGGGGAGAGGAAGTCTGCTTTCTTTGGGATTGTGCTGAACCAGATGGGGTTGGCGTCTGTTCAGCTGTTCAAGATCGATGAAGCTGCTGAGCTGTTTGAAGAAGCTAGGGCGATATTGGAGCAGGAGTGCGGTCCTTGTCACCAGGACACTCTCGGCGTGTATAGCAATCTTGCTGCAACTTACGATGCTATGGGAAGGTAATTAGCCTGGCCAAGTTTTTTGTCTTTTTTGGTTGAGAAACTCATCTGCTCATTCACTGATTACCCATGTAAAACATATTTGTCTGGGAAATGCAGGGTGGAAGATGCCATTGAGATCTTGGAATACGTTCTTAAACTGAGAGAAGAAAAGCTTGGTATTGCTAACCCTGATTTCGAAGACGAGAAGAACAGGCTAGCGGAGCTTCTGAAGGAAGCAGGCAGGGCTAGGAACAAGAAGGCCAAGTCCCTGGAAAACTTGATAGATCCCAGCTCGAAGAGGACTACCACGAAGAAAGAATCATCGACGAAGAAATGGGGATTCAGGATTTGAGTGGCATGTTTTCTGTTCTGTGCATCTTTCACACCTCCCTCCCACCAGCAAATGCTTTCCTCTTATTTATCTACTAAATCTTTTTTCACATAGGGAGGAAAAATCATTTGTATAGTTTGTAATATGGGTGAGCCTTTTTTCCCTTCTTTTTTCCCACTGCAATCTGCTTTGTTCTGGTGTTTGGTACTTCAGTTGGTTGGTTTTGTTAATTTGGTTTCACTATTCACTGGTTTGTGCCTGCCTGTGGCGGGACTTTCACTTGTGTGTTCACTTCCCCAGTAAAAAAGGAATGTTTGATTTGGTGAAGTAAATGTTTGGTACTGCTTCTCGTGTTCACTAGTTATTGCATTGTATCAATCAGTTGCAGCGTTGGGTAGTTTGACAACAAAACGGATCAGGTCAGTTCTTCATCTTATATTGAGAGACGTTTTAATTGATTAAAATTCCGAATGCAAAAAATTGGAAATCGATCGATGAGAGCTAAGCGCCTGATTCTGCGGCGAACTCACATATTGTTGGGCCGGTGGATCATATATTTAGATGCCTTTTACACCCCAGAAGTCGGTTGAACAAAAGTATTATTATTTATTTTAAATTATTTAAGTAATAGTTCCTTTACCCTATGCATTCTTTACTTCTTAAATAAATGTTGTCGAAAGCTGTCGTTGGGATTGTTACTCGAAAATGAACTCACAGTCACAGTGGCTTTATACCGGGGATGCGAGTAAGTTTAGAATATCACATATTTTTAATAAAAAATATTATTTAAATTAATTGGATTTTGGAGTGTGATATCATATTTCATTTTTAATTAGTGAGCAATAAGGTTGGTTTAATTATCTAGATTATTATAAACCTTAAATCCTAAGATGGTGCATGATTTCATCGAATCTTACCTGTCAATTATTGTTTCTAATTAAATTAATCTTCATGTATAATATTTAGAGAATCAGAATCTAGAATTTTAATTTATAACAGTTAAGATAGAAAATATCATGTTTCAAATTTCGATCAATTCAAATATCGTATTTTTACTCAGTGTATGCGATACATACCTATAGAATCACATATTGATCACTTCACCGCATCCGAACAAACAACAATCATGCAAACCAAAAAGAAGAGAGGCGGAGCAACACGTTTTTGGTTTGGATTTTTATAAAAGAGAATTAAATTCTAGGATTAACTTGCACACACTAATCATCCAACTGCTAGCTAGCAGAGCTGCTTCACTTCCCATCATCTTCTATAAATTACACTCAATCGTTCATTAAACAGCCACTCCATCGGCCGGCGCTTCCCGGCCACCTAGCTATCTCATTCTTCCCTCTCCCAACTATCAATATACATCATGTATGTGTAAATTCATTCATCCCCTTGTGATTTTTTTATCTCCCTTCATGGGTATCTCTACTCGTTAATTTTTTTTTTCTCTCTTCCAATTTGATTTCCAGTTCAAAGACACGGATTTGATCGAGCAGTTATAGAGCCGCATTTTGAATTTAAGAACCCTAATCTTGATTTCTGATTTTCCATCCAAAGACGCAGGTTTGATCAAATTGATATTCAACAGTTTGATAATGTCTCCGGATACTATAAGGAATGTCATTGGGGTCATTGGTACGTACGAATTGTGAATATGATCCTAATTAATTTGAACGAGAGTTATTATATGTTTATCACGTTTATCCTTAGTAACTTAATTTTCATGCAGGAAATGTCATCTCCTTTGGCTTGTTTCTATCGCCGTTGTACGTGATTAGCATTGTTCTCCAACCTCTCCCCTTGTTTTTTAATCAAGCTCCCTCCTCCTCGATCCCTCTCCTTCATGAAATTAAATATATGTTAATTTGTGAAGAATTTAACTCTTCAAATATATTTTCATCCACTATTTTAATTTAGTTAATTTAATAAGCGCCTAATATATAATTACCAAAGATAATAAGCACTTCAATCGATAAGTCGTCGGACCGGTTCATAACTCCTTGAAAACTAGCCATATCAGTTGATATTTTAGGAGTTTAATAGAGGTCGCTTATGATTCTCATGGGTTGGTTCGGCTCCACTAATTAGCTGGACTTCGGTTGTTCTTTATTAAAATTTTAGATGATCTATAAAAGACCGGAATATGTAGTGTTATTGCACAATGAATGAAATTTTGTAGAGATCGAGTTTGATGAAAGTATCCGTTTTGTTGAGAGGAAAAAAAAAATCAGAATCCTTTCAACATTTCATAAAAAAATTGTATAAATGTCAAAATGGTGCGACCATTTTAGATAAATTACGTCATAATTAATATGACCGGAAACATTTCGTACCCTTTTTTTTCACATAAATAGTAAAACTTAATGTTGTGCTTTAGGCCGACGTTCATACAAATATGGAAGAAACGTTCGGTGGAGCAGTTCAGACCCGACCCGTACTTGGCGACGGCTGTGAACTGCATGTCGTGGGTGGTTTACGGGCTGCCCGTGGTTAAACCGAATTCCCTCCTGGTCCTGACCACCAACGGGGTCGGCGCCTTCATCTCCTTCATCTACATAGCCATCTTCGTCCTCTACTCCGACAACAAGAAACGGGTCAAGATCTTGACCATCCTCGTCGTCGAGATTTGCTTCATCGTTCTCCTCCTCCTCCTGGTCGTGTTCCTCGTACCCGCCGTCTCCCAACGAATCTTGATCGTCGGAGTTGTGTCTCTTGTGCTGTGTGTCATCAACTACGGCGCTCCTTTGTCTGTCTTGGTACGTATTATATAAAATTCATAACCCACAAGTTGTCAATCAAGAATCAATGTGGCAAAGTTGTTGATAAAGGTTCAATAATAAATCTTTTACCATTTATTAATGAGGAATTTTACAATGTTCTAAGGAATCGGTGCTTTAATTATTGCATTTATGGTACAACTTGAAGTTGTATTTTTCATGTTATGGTACAACTTTAAATTGTACCTATACTTTTTTATAAAATTTCTTTATGGTACAAACCGAAGTTGTACTTTTATGTTATGGTACAACTACATCATAAATGTCAAATTCCCTTATGGTACAACTTGAAGTTGTACCACAACATAAATGTCAAATTTCCTTATGATACAACTTCAAGTTATACATTTAACGTTAAGGTACAACTTTAAGTTGTACTTTAAAGCATAGTAGAAGTGCTCATTACTAACACGTCTTTTAATTTCAAGCGAAAACCAGTTTGTATGAGTTTGAAGTTTGCACATGTCCGACATGTACGTACTTAACAAATGAGGGTTACCAGGATTCGAACAAAAGACATCTTGATCATACCATGTCAAGAACTAATTGGTCGGTATAATAACGGATCTTAATTATAACACTTACTCACAGCTCATTGTTTCAAATGCATAATTTTTTTTCCACACAACTATGTAAACAATTTCATATGGGTGAACAGAAAATGGTGATTGAGACGAGGAGCGTGGAGTACATGCCGTTTTACCTGTCCTTGGCCTGCTTTGCCAATGGTGCTATTTGGACTGCTTATGCTCTCATCCGCATCGACCTCTTCCTAGCGGTATTTATGACAATTAGCAGCTAGTTTTTAGTTTTTACCATGTATTATATATATTTTGTACATGTAATTAGTGTATATTTGGTGTATTCAATTTGGGGTTCTGCAATCGATCGGAGAACAGATTCCGAACGGGAGCGGCGCATTGCTGGGATTGGTGCAGCTAATCGTGTATGTCACTTTCTACAAGTCTACACAGAAGCAAATAGCAGAGGTCGATCTGCTGGAGGTTGCTGTGGATAGAGATTGTGCAGCTAAGACAACGAACAAGGTTGCGAATAGCCATGCAGCTCTGAGTTCCCAAAAAACAATATACATGCGGTCTGGGTCGAGGAGGGAACCCAAGCTAGTGGTAGATGATCAGTCCTCGGGCTGAGGAATACGTACTCGTTTTATAGTTAATGCGGAGAAGATTCGACTCTAAAATACTACGTTTCGTTATTTCCTACTTTATATGTCGCTATTATTATTATTTTTCCCCCCGAATTTTATTTGGGCTAATTTCATGTGAGCTCTATCGCTTAAAGATTCAGGATATGAGAGTGTCTTCCATGTCATATGTTCATAAATTACAATTTGGAAATTTTGCATGTAATATAATTACAATTTTGTCCGAATTTTGAAAGAAATGGATAAATTTTGACCCGGAATTTAGGTTGACCGTGTTAATATAATTAACTGGAATGGGTACGGAGAGAGGGTTCCATGCATTCATTGGATTTTTGTGGGCGTTAATCAATTTCATTTTTCACTTATTATTTGGTTTCATTTAATTAAGCAAGTAAAAAGGATAGATTGGGATAAGTTAAGGGTCCTTTTCTGTGATCTTCTTTGAAAAAATCGAGCAGCTAGCCTTCTAATTAAGCATCACTTCCACGAAGTAGTTTTCAATAACAATATATGAAAAAATTAAAAACAGAATGGGCGAGTTCATGCACCTCTTCCCTCTTTCAATTTCGTCGAGGAGGAATCATCCATCCGGGGGTGGAAATGGAATGATTAGATTCATAAAAGGCTACTTACAATCACAAGGGAGCTATATATGCATACATACCTTGACTACTTTTGAATTATTGTAATAGTCATTTAATTTTTTACCTATCGTTAAACCGATCTGTTTGTTGTAGCGAATATTAACCGACCCACGATAATATGTGACCAGAAATGGATATTGTTTCCGACCCGGCTCGCCCCATCCATTCCCGTTCTCTACCCTTTCCATAATGATTTGCAATTTTTTTGCCCAAATGTTCACGGGTTGGGTTGGTCTAGCTACATGATCCTTTTAAGCCCATTTAACTATGCCACTTTGTTAGCACACTTAAATATTTTTATTTTTATATGGCTAAATTACACGTTTGGTCACTCAAATTATACAAATCTTTCACGTTTGCCACCCGAATTACTTTTCCTTCCTATTCGCCACTAACTTTACGAATCGTTTCACGTTGGTCACCGGCCGTTACACTCCGTTAAGTTTGTCCTACATGGCAGTCAACTATAAAGTTCGACCGTTAACTAGATGACGTGGAAATTAAAAAAATAAAATAAAAAATAAAATTTTCTTTCCACCTCATCATTGCACTTATTTTGTCTATATAATTTATCATATTAATATTTAATAAAATTTAATAAATTAAAAAAATGGATCCCTCTTTTCTCCTCTCGTTCATTCGTCTGTTGACCGGAAAAGCTCGCCGTCCTCTTCCTTCTCAACTCTCCCTCGGTCGCCTTCGATGGCGAAACCTTCCGTCTCTAATGCCAGCGCTCCGGCCACCGGCCACTCACCTGGAAAATCAACCGTCGCTCCGGTGAAGCTCGAATCCGTTTCAGAATCACCGCCGCAGTGCCAATTGCAACCTCCGAACCCTCATGTCAAATCCGAGCAGGTCGAATTGAATGGCCTCCCAATTGTTACGTTACCACCGCAGCAACCCGAGCAGCCCACCAGGTCCCGGGTCTTGGAATCAGTACAAGGATTGTGCAATCTATCTTCCGCCATTCGAGAATTCAAGAGCAGGTTCGACGAATTGGAGAAGCACCTCGAATTGATCCGGACTGCGATCGAGAGTCGCGAGCAGCAGCCACATGGTCAACTTGACGGCGATGGCGCTGCTCCGGCGAGTTCCGAGTTACTGCATCTCTGCGAGACGATGTGCGGCAAAAGTCTCCGAAAGTATATCATCACTCGCCTGGACTACGTCTAGGAGCTTCGCGAACAGGTTCCACCGGCTGGTGTTGGATTGCATTGGGAGGTTCTATCTCCAAGGAAGCAAAGCTTACGCGAAAAACTCTCCAATGGTTTCAGGGAGAGAAGCCTGCGTTCTGGCTCTGGAATTGTTCCTGTTGATGGGTGAGGGCGAAGTTCAACTAGAGGAACGCGTGAGACAAGAGGCTGCTCAGGCTGCTATGAATTGGAGAAAGAGGCTTGTAATTGAAGGTGGTGTTCGCCAAGCTAGTGAAATCGACGCCAAGGGTTTGCTGCTGTTCGTTGCGGGTTACGGAATTCCCAAACTCTTCAGGAATGGGGAACTGCGCTGTTCGTTGCTGGTTGTGGCGGCGGCGAGGAGTGGGGAACTGCGCTGGTTGCGGCGGCAGCGAGGAGTGGAGCGCGACGCTCGACGGTTTATAGTCCCTCTTTAATCCGATGTTCGCTTGGCGCTGATTGTTTCATTTATTAGATTTGCCCCTTTTTTAATTTATTAAATTTTATTAAAAATTAATATGATAAATTATATAGACAAAATAAGTGCAATGATGAGGTGGAAAGAAAATTTATTTTTTATTTATTTTTTTAATTTCCACGTCATCTAGTTAACGGTCAAACTTTATAGTTGACTGCCACGTAGGACAAACTTAACGGAGTGTAACGGCCGGTGACCAACCGTGTAACGATTCGTAAAGTTAGTGGTGAATAAGAAAGAAAAGTAATTCGGGTGGCAAACGTGAAAGATTTGTACAATTTGAGTGACCAAACATGTAATTTAGCCATTTTTATATATTACCTCTAGTTTATATTTGTAGCTCCGTCGATGGCTGCCTGTCTCTCTTCTCGGAGACAACGAGCTAGTCCTAGTCCGCGGGTGCTTCATCTCATCCGATTAAGAGAAGTTTTAATTAATTAAAATTCCAAGGATCAAGAATATAAGGAGTCTAACATAGCAAAACAGCTAAACTACTCCTTTAGCCCGAAATAACCCGGACCCCTATTATTCGAGATCCAGTTAGCCAATTGCATAAACTACTAAATATTTGGCCGGCAGGTCATATATTTAGAATTTTTTTTTTTAAACTCACCACTATGTCAAACGACTCACATGTGATTTTGTGTTTGATTCGGAAAAAAAAAACTCATTCAAAATTCGATTTGTCTATTAATGAGTTGCGCGAGGTTGAATTAAGCCTTATTCAACTAGCTAGTGATGTTCCCGAGCAAACTCGTTTCGGTAGCTCATTAAGTTCAGCTCCTGAGTTGTGGCTCATTTTGAGCGTGTGAGCTGATTTTATATACTTATTAACATTAAATAATATGATATGAACTAGCTAAAAAATTTATGGATTGAATATGATAAATTAGAGTAGCGAGCCTCTTAAATACCTGGGTTTCCCGCTAGGAGCTAAACCAAACGACCCTAGGATCTGGGACTCCCTTCTAAGTAAGTTCCATAATAAACTGAATGGTTGGGGAAGTAAGCTCTTGTCTTCCGGTGCGAGACTGGTGCTTTGTAAAGCAGTTCTCTCGAGTATGCCGACATATTTGTTCTCATTGTTCAAGGCCCCAGCGTCGATAATCAAGGATATGGAGAAGGTCCAAAAGAGGTTTCTGTGGAATGTTTCAGTGGAGAATAAGAAAATGGCGTTAGTGGATTGGGAAAGTTGTAAGGGAGAGAAGAAGAAGGGCGGTCTCGGTATCCATGATCTAAAGGCTTTCAACGACGCGATGCTTTCGAAATGGCTGTGGAGATATGCTGTGGAAAGAGATAGTTGGTGGAGGCAGTTAATCGCAATCAAATACCAACATCCTGTTTCGGTTTGGCAGACAGAGAGAGTGAAACATGGGTTTTCTCAATCGGTATGGGCAAACATTTCAAAAGAGTATGACTGGTTCTGGAACTTCGCCACTGTGGAGCCTGGTAATGGATCGTCGATTTCTTTCTGGCATGACTGCTGGATTCCGAGGATGATTTTGTCCAAGTCGTTCCCCCGTGTTGCTGCCGCTGCCACCGACCCCGAAGCAATGATATCCGATGTTGTATCCCTTAACAACTCTGATCAGGTGAGTTGGTGTCTTCCTTTGAGATTCAATTTAAGGGGGAGTGCCGAGAGAGAGAGAATGGAATTAATGGAATATCTGGATAACATTAGTCTTACTAATAATCTTTACAGCCCATGTAGAGTTGTTTGCAGTGCTGACCCTAATGGCAGGTTTTCGGTGAGAGGCCTTTACAAGAATATTGTGGAAGACAGGTTTCAAAGAAATCAAACATTCCCTCACAAGCAAATCTGGAAGTCAATCATCCCAAGCAAAATTTGTTTTTTCTTGTGGCTGGTGTACCAAAACAGAATTCTTACTGTTGACAACCTGAAGAAAAGAGGATGGTCGATGGCAAACAGATGTAGCCTCTGCCGCAGCGAAGAGGAGACGGTTGCTCATCTGCTCAAGGATTGCGATTTCGTCAAGGAGGTTTGGCAAGTTATAAATCGACACAAGAATATCATGAATCTGCAAGGAAGTGATATCCCATCAATCATCAAGCATCACACAATCAGTAAACTGGATAGCGTGGAAGATTGGTTCAAGAACTGTATACTACATTCAGTTTGGTGGCTTGTGTGGAAGGAAAGAAACTCAAGGGTGTTCGAAGGCAAGGATTCGACAACATACATTGTAGCAAAAAGAGCTGCTAGAAATGTAATGGAATGGATTGCAGCACACGGAAAGATCGATAACAATCAGGGAGAGAGCTGGTTCAGAGAATTGATGGATAGGAACTGATTTTGAAGGTGATCCTGGCAAATTTGGTGGGCAGTTCAGAACGAGATTGGATCTGGGTTTGTTCTTGAGTATGTTGATCCTGGAGTTCCTCGTTCCCGTTGCTATTGGGGATCGGTTCTTTGTTTTGAGACTGTTCTGAGATTTCAGTTAAGTACGCTTTCGTCCCTTGTTCTGGGACTTTCGGGGCAGGGGCGGTTCGGCCCGCCTTCCTCCTTTTGGTTTTCTTTTCTTCTTCCCCGCTTCTGGTTTTTCTCTGTTGGGTTCAATTCTGTTGACCCTTCTCTGTACAGGACCATGACTTTTTTGATTTCCCTTTTCTGGTTATAAATCCCATCATCATTATCAAAAAAAAAAAAAATGAACATTTACTATCATTCTTTCATTTCCATCGCTATATTAATTATATGCATCATATATGGTATACAAATACTAGAGTCTAATTTTTTAAATTATTTTTTGAGTTTATGTTAGAGATTCAACTATTTAAAATCGTAAATAAGGTGAGCTCATAACATTATTAACAATTTAACCTCGAGTCGCAATCGAGCCGATCGAGTTTGAGCAAAGATTTTAGTTAATGAACTGAGTTCGACCTCCACTTATTCTCTTAACAACTTAGTCTAATTTAAGTAGGTCAAAACATTATATTTATTTCTTAAGCAATAGTTCCTTATGCATGATTGTTAATTACATCGATGTTGTCGAATGCTGCCATTCAGCCATTGGCATTCCCCCTTGAGAAATTAACTTATCGAATAGGTCTTTCCCTGAAACATATAAACTCACTTATATAATTAGTCGCTAAACCGGAACAATAATCGCCCAAAAAAAAGGAAGAGAGGCGGAGCAACACGTTTTTTTGTTTGGATGGGCGACTCAAGATTAAATAAATAAGATTAATTTGCAGGCCAACTGCAAGGTAGCAGAGCTGCTTCAGAGTTCTCATTATCTATAAATTACAGTTTAGCTTTTAATTAAACAAACTCACACCACCCCACTCCATCCTGCCTCTCTTCCTAGCTACCTCACTCATCTATCCCCTTTGATTATTTATTTCTCCGTCGTTAATTTTTCTCTGTTCGATTTCTAGTTCAAAGACACTGATTTGATCGAGTAATTGTAGCGTTGGCTAATTTTCTAAAAAATTTAATACCATAACCGTTACAAGAGCATTACACAGCCTGATAATGTCTCCGGATACTATAAGGAATGTCATTGGTATCATTGGTGCGTTGAGCATAATTAATTACATTCGGTTCAATAATTATGTTTTATTGCATCTCGTAACTTAATTAACTAATGCATGATTTGTATGTTTGCAGGAAACGTCATCTCCTTCGGCTTGTTTCTATCTCCATTGTAAGTGATTAGCCTTGTTCTCCATCCTCGTTATCCTACTTTTTTTTAATCAAGTTAAATGTAATTTTCATAAACAATTAATTAAACGTAAAATGTTGTGCTTTAGGCCGACGTTCGTCCAAATATGCAAGAAACGTTCGGTGGAGCAGTTCAAACCCGACCCGTACTTGACATCGGCGGTGAACTGCATGGCGTGGGTGGTTTACGGGCTGCCCATGATCAACCCGAACGGGCTCCTGGTCCTGACCACCAACGGGGTCGGCACCTTCATCTCCTTCATCTACATAGCCATCTTCGTCCTCTACTCCTCCGACAACAAGAAGCGGGTCAAGATCTTGACCATCCTCGTCGTCGAGATTTGCTTCATCGTTCTTCTCCTCCTCCTGGTCGTCTTCCTGGTTCCCACCGTCTCCAAACGAACCTTGATCGTCGGAGTTGTCGCCGTCGTGCTCTGCGTCATCAACTACGGCGCTCCTCTGTCTGTCTTGGTACGTATTATACAATCATAACCTCCCTTCAAAATCTACGTTGAAAAAGAAAGTGAAGAAGGAGAAGACGGTCGAAAAAAGGAACTTCTTTCCTTGGAGGGTATGTTTGGTTTGGTCGATCTATTAATTAATTTGTGTGTGTTTTGGGTTGGACAGAAAATGGTGATTGAGACGAGGAGCGTGGAGTACATGCCGTTTTTCCTGTCCTTGGCTTGCTTTGCCAATGGTGCGATTTGGACGGCTTATGCTCTCATCCGCATTGAAATCTTCCTCGTGGTACGTACGATTAATTGGTTTCAATAATTCGAAATGTTTGAAGAGGTCAATAATAAATCTTATATCATATATTAATGTCACTTTCGTGGACTTGAAATTTGAACATACATAAGACAAAATGTTCAGACAAATTGAGTCATCCAAATCACGAACAAGGGATTGGTCTAGTGGTAATACCACTAGCCATGAACCTGGAGGTCCCAGGTTCGAGTCCCTTCAATAGTACCTAATGACAAAAAATAACCTATATCACCCTTATCTAAAAAAAAATTGAGTCATCCAAATTTTGAACAAAAGCGCTCAGTCACACAGAACGTACGCTCTGATACCGTATCAATAACGAGTTGGTCCCGACAGTACCTCGAATGATTAGTTAGGGCATGTTTATGTTTTAGATTCCATAACTAGTTTTTTTGAATTTTTGGCTATCCAATCGGAGAACAGATTCCAAACGGGAGTGGCGCGTTGCTGGGACTGGTGCAGCTGATTCTGTATGCCACTTTCTACAAGTCCACGCAGAGGCAGATAGCAGAGAGACAAGCAGCTGAAGGGAAGGGCGCAGAGGTCGATCTGTCGGAGGTTGTCGTGGACAGAGATTCTGCAGCTAAGAAAACGAACAAGGTTCCCAACAGCCATGGCAGAGCGTAAAGTACTCTTAGAGACCACTGACGAAGTTTAATTAATTCAGTGATGATCATCAGCAGCATGCAAAATGGTGCTAGCTCTTTGAGTTTCAAATAAACGGCGGAGGGATCGCAGCTAGTGATAGATAGTCGTCAGGGTGACCAATAAAAGTACGAAGAGAGATTTTTTTGGAAAAACTCATTCATTTGTGACCGTCACGTCTGAGAGTGATGGACATTACGGAATGAACTGTAAGATCCAAATATGTACCTTGTTCATCACGGTACAGAATCCTTGTAGTACTACTATAGTAATTAGTAAGGTTTGCCCTATGCGCTCCTTGTAATACTTAATAGTTTTATAATGATATTTTCCTAATTTAAAATTTTCATATTGGTCTAATGTTTAGATACTATTTGAATCAATGAATTCAATTTAGAAATCCACTAATATAATTTATTTAATCTAATCCATGAATCTACCAATCCATCAATTCATGAATCGATCCATTTAAAAAAATCTAGCATTGGCAAGTTTCTGTATAAGTAATTATTGAGCATATATGAGAGTTTTGAAATATATGTTGTTATTTCAATTTTAAAATATTTGAGTCGGGTTATCTTGTCATACTATCGCTTGAATAGTTGAATTTGGTACTTGGTAGCATGGAGGATGTGAGGAAGTGAGTTATTCGTTTGTGGGAGATGACGAAGTTTCAAGTTGCGCCACCAGCCCAGATCTGGTTGGGCCCGGCGCCAAAAAGCCCAGTAAAAGAAATCTAAGTTATCTTCCATGGGCCATGTGTGTACATTAACTCCGTCTATTAGCTATGGATATTTGTTATTTACGGACTTCACTGAGTTTATTGATATTTATTATATACGTAATGAAAATCAATATCCAGCTACGTAAATCATAGAGGGTCAACTTATTACCATGTAACATATTGATTAAGTACGTAAAAATAATTATTGTTTCATCAGGTAAAAACTGTGGAATGAAATTAAAAATGATATTATTCAAATTTGATTTTACCCATAGAAAATGGGTTTGGAAAATCACAAAATTTGAGAATTTTTTAACCATCCCAACTTGTAAGGAAGTGGTTAAGCACCATACACGGGCCTGTATAAGATCCAACATAACCTTCTCCCAAAACTCGAGTTATTGAGACCAACTGGTTTATGACACAACTCGATTAATAACAAACGCGAATCAACTATATATATTTTCTTCTGGTCTATTAAGATATTATATCATACATAAATTAAAATCACCTAGGTTTCACCAACTCAAGAGGTGGCATGTAACTTAACGAGAGAAATGCTTCACAGTAATAGCCTATGGGAAAAATCGACATACCATTTAATTTCTTTCTTTGCCATGAATGTATCATCTCCCATATTGTACGTAGCTTTAGGCATCACGATTGTCGTCCATTTTCCATATCTATAAACAACAACGCACATTTGAAAGCTCCCTCACGGGGCAAAAAGAACCGGTTTGGGTTAGCAGCCTAAGCTTTGATGACTTAATCGTTTCGTATATGTAAGTTTCAGTTCGCAATGCTACATCTTAATCACGACATTGATGTATGAGGAAAGGTGGTGGACGAGAGGTAGGGTGCCTGTGCGCCATTCGATCGAAATCTGATTCCTTCCTCAGCTCCTTAATTTGGGAATTGCACGACCGAGAATCTGTTCATCATGTGCCGCGTTTGGTTGAAGTTTGGCCGTTTGATTTTCGGCACCATTGTATATCTAATTTATGCATGCATCTCTCTTTTTTGCTTCTTATAATAATGATGATGCTGGCTGAGCCCTTTGTGCCAAAGATAAGTTGGTATAAGAAAAAGAAAAAAATCAACACATCGGAGATCGAACGTTGAAGATTGGATCATACATAGCTCATTTACATATCTAATCAAACAAACGCTCATTCCGATAATTAAGCGGGATTGTGCATCAAGCGCTTAATATTAGGTGGTAGTAGTATATATTAAATCAAATAACATGTTGCATGCCCAAGTTAATTAGACTGAACAAATTGTTAGGATCATTAAAGAATGAAACAAAACATTTACCTTCATCAAAATCCTAATCGTCTCGATTTTGTACCCCCCATCCCCAAACTCTAATTTTGCGCTAATCTACCCAAATTCTCCTCAATTAATATGTTCTAAATTTCTAACCTCGTTGCACGACCCATTTTCTGCAACACACACTATATAACATTGCAGAGATATACTAAGGTTTTTCTTTGTGGGAAGATAGATTTTTAATTATCAATTCGTTGACGATATTTGCTTTATTAGCGGGGTTTGGTAATTGCAAATGATCATGTGGGTTGCTTTTAGAGACCGAAATCGGATCATCATCATAGTCGTTTTGGAAGCGGACAAGAGGGCTTTACGAGAAAGAGGCAACAACGTATGGGATTTTGTCAGAACATAGAGGTGGGGAGGCTTGGCCTTTTAAAGGAAAGACGTGAATCGGGACACGAAAGGGATCTCTCTCGCATCTATATGATTAATGATGATCTCATCTCCTTTGCAAACTTTGCTGGAAGTGCTTCCTACAACACCATGGCCAACAAAAAGGGCACCTCGTCCCTTTTCACTGCTAGGGCTTGATAGTAGTATATGTGTTTTTAGCTTGATTTTGTTTTCTTTCCACCTCTACTCGCTGTAGCTGAATTCTAGCTTTTCCGGCGGCCATGCTAATTAATCATCATTAGTTAAAAGGAACTAATATCAAGCCCAATTTCCCGGCGGCCATCCTTTTCTCCGGCGAGGAAAAAGGTGGGAGTTAGGAAGGAAGACGGCTGCCAGTTATTCTTGAGAAATGAGAATGATATCTGGTTATCTGGCTGGCTCAAATTTAGTTGACAATTTGACGTAAAGCACTAGACGCATGATTTAATTTTCTCTTTTTTTTTTACTTTAATTCACATCCCATACTGTATGATCCACCAGACCAGTAAATGTAATAATTAATCATCTAGCTAAGCTAATCATCATCACCCTTTTTACGACTCGACCCTCTGCTTCATCAAAACAAGTAAAAAAGAAGCAACTTCACTTCACCCCCAACAAATTGTAATTTTTTATTTTTTTTACCGTGTTACTGTGTGGAGGATAAACTGTGTGATGGGCGGTGCGGGCGGCCGGCGGGTACGTATTAATTCAACACCCCATTTTCGGCCGAATAAGGGCAAGGGGTGGGCAGGTGAAAATCTGACACCACCCCCCAAAATTAGATTTGGCCTTTGAAAAAATAAAAATCCGGATAAGCTTCAACTGCATGCTTTCCGCAATTGGTCATTCATTCCTTTTCGCAGCTGCTCATGTAGTAGATTAATTAATTTAAGCCAGTAGTAAGAATTAAATGAAAGAAACCAGATATAGCTAGGGTTTTGGGGGGTCTTGAACATAGTGCCACGGCCACCTCTCCAATGGCGCCAATTAGGGCTTCTTTTCTTATCTATATCATCCATTGAATCCCAACGCAGATTCCTACCTACCTAAGAGAAAACCACAAGTTGGTCCTGCTCTGCAGCAGCAAACGTTTGGTTTTGGTGCTAATTAGTGGTAAATGATGGCCAATTTTAGAAATCACAAAATATCCATGTACCTACAGAAACCGCCTGGGTTTGAAATGGTAGAACCAACGTATCTTCCTCTTCCACCGACTAATTATTTGATTCCACATATACCCAAGTTGTCACAGTAAAAAAAAAAAAACTGCTGGTAAACTATCTGAGTATTTGAAATCCAAACTAGCCAGAATTGGAAAGTGTCGGTTTTGTTAAGTGAAGCAATTGGCAAATGGGACTGCCCTGATTAGAATTCCCAGCAATTTGACTAGCAATCTGGATTATGGTTCTCTCTCTGCCAACTATCCCGTGTAAATTGTAACAAAGACATATATATCATTAACTCTTGAGCCTGAAGTCGGTGGTATTATCTTCTCATCAAGTGGATAAATCACATTATTATATTATTGAAAAATGGGGTTTAATTAAGAGGAGATTATCTTCTACAAACTAAAATTTTTCAGCTCATCAATATTGTTGATGATCGTCACTCTAACTTTACACTGACAGATATCGTTTTATAGGTTCTTCGATATCAATGGAAAGATAATTCCGAACATGTCTACAAAAATGCTCCGAGTTTTCGCACACACAAAAAAAATGCTCCGAGTTTTTCACATTCTTGATGAATATTCTCAGTTTAAAAGCCAGATATGAAGCATTAAGTAAAAGGATCCAACAAGCTGAAACGGAAAAACTGCTTTCAGTCACAGCATTAAATCCCCTGCTTCACCTCCATTTGACACAACATACGACATGCAAAATTCTCCACAAAAGAGAAAAATGGAAGAAGAAAAAAAAGGAAGAAGAAGGACCCAAATTTCCATTTTGCCACTACACGTTTCTCCTGTTCACTTGCCAAATAAATTGCCTCCCCTCTATTTATACACCCTTCTCTTCCAATCCCCCTCCCAAACCCTCAGAACTGAAATCCTCCCCCAAAAACAAAAACAAAGTCAAAATCCCAATTCTTCCTTACTTCAAATTCCTCAAACAGTACTCCTAAAATCATCGTCACCATGTCTCTCGATACTGCCAGGACCGCCGTTGGCATCATCGGTAACAACTAACAACAATTTAAACTTTTTCCCGATGTCGTTTTAGTAATTTCACTCACCGTTTTTTTCTTTTGTCTCCAGGGAACGTCATCTCACTCTGCTTGTTCCTCTCGCCGGTGTAAGTCCGCCGAAAAACATGCAATTCGGCCACCGAACTTAACATGTATTGCCGGTTTGGCCCCCTAACTTCGAGAAATTAAATTATTTTTTTCTCATGCAGGCCAACATTCGTCCAAATATGGAAGAAGAAGTCGGTGGAGCAGTTCAAACCCGACCCGTACCTGGCGACCCTGCTCAACTGCATGGCGTGGGTGGTGTACGGCCTCCCCGTGGTCCACCCGAACAGCACCCTCGTCCTCACCATCAACGGCGGCGGCACCGTCATCCAGCTCGTCTACATCGCCGTCTACCTCACCTACTCCGACCGCAAGAGGCGCGTCAAGGTCCTCTCCCTCGTCCTCCTCGAGGTCGCCTTCGTCGTCCTCCTCCTCGTCCTCGTCGTCTCCCTCGTCCACGAGCTCCACAAGCGCGCCGCCATCGTCGGCGTCCTCTGCGTCGTCTTCTGCACCATGATCTACGTCGCCCCTCTCTCCGTCATGGTATAACTTTTTCTTTACTGTAGTAATTTTAGAACGACGAATAACAATTTTCTTTTTTGAGATTCTTAATTATAATGACCTTTTTGGGCACCGGTCAAAAGAAGTGGTTGCTAAAACACGCTTTTCCTGTGACAGAAAATGGTGATAAAGACGAGGAGCGTGGAGTACATGCCGTTTTACCTGTCCCTGGCGTCATTAGGGAACGGTGCTTGCTGGACTGCTTATGCATTAATCCGGATCGACTTGTTCATCATTGTAATTAATTAAATTAATTAATTAATCACCTCCGAAATTTTTTTTTTACTGATGGGTGAAATTTCTTGTTTTTAACCTGTACATGCATGGGGTTTTTTACTTTTTACTGTGCAGATTCCGAACGGGATAGGGGTGGTGCTGGCGATGGTGCAGCTGATCCTGTACGGCGCGTTCTACAAATCGACGCAGAGGCAGATTGCGGAGAGGAAGGCCGGGGAGAAGGGTAGAGAGGTAAATTTGGCGCAGGTGGTCGTGGACAGAGAAGAAGACGGAGCTGGCAAGAAGAAGGCAGGCAATGGTGGGGCTATGTGATGAAGCTGTTGAACCTGGTAGCTAGCTAGGGCTAGAGATGGATTATGATCAGTTAATGGAGTTTGGAGTGTTGTTTATTAATTACTGAACCGTATCATGGCATATTATAAGAACATAAAAACGGCTCTGCTCTGGGAATTAAGGAAACAGATTTAAGTCCTCAATTAATGGAGCTAGCTAGCTGGCTGGGTGGGTGGCAGTAGTGGATGGACCAGCTTCTATAATCTGTGTTTGTGTTAATTGGAATTTGTTTTGTTCAGAATGGGAAGTTAATTATTGGGAAAGTGAAGGGAAAGGATTCATTTCCAGTGGTCCAGAATGGGGGTTTCTTTCTTTGGGCGCGCGGTTCATTGTTTCTTTAATTAGCTGCAATTCAATTGTGTTTCTGAGACTGAGGAACACGTGGGATTGAGGATGTTGGTTGGGTTGATGAGTTAAGGTAATTATTATGGCTGTCAAAGGTTATTCACTGTGCTGATGTTCATTGAGTAGAGGGGAATAGGGATGGCAAAAATAATTCATTGGTATCCAATTGAATTCGAAAGAGAAAATTTATTTTATTGATATTTTTTTGGATGGATTTTTTTCCAAACCCGATAAAAAAGGGCAATGTAATTTTGATATTTCAAGACCCATTATACTTTAACAATTCGTTTATCCATATTTCTAAACCATTATAATTATCTTTTACATTTCAAATCTTGTTCATTTTCTCTCAGTTTTACAAAAAATGTGACAAAGAAACTTCATATTGCATTAACATTCGAAGAAAATTTTAAATTTATAAAAGTTTAGGTTCGTTCTTTTTCGGTAAACCTAGGCCCATATGAGCTCGATCGTATGGGTCAGGGAGATGAATCGCTAAAATACAACATCGATCGGATCTTTCGCTGAAAAAGATCGCTCGAAACTTTTTGTTTGTTAAGCCCATGACTCACTTCATTGTTTAAAGAGACTCATATTTTTTTCACCAGTAGTGAAAGTGAACGAATGAATACTGCCAGACAAGACATACCACTTATTTTGAAAATATTTATCACGAAACTTAACGAATGATAGAAATCAACGAATCAATGCTCTCATGTCATCATCAACATTTCTGTACATCTAACACTTCATCTCGGTTAGTTCCATCGATCAAACCATCACTTAGTCCATTTTTTTGTTAAAAGAACTAACAGATGGAATCAAAAGTTCATTTCTAAAAGGCTCTTGTCAAGATCAATTGACCCTAAGCAAAATGTAAGTATCTAAAGCTTTCAAACTTTTATCCCTCCATTTCCACTGAAAAAGGCTTGTGCTGATCAAGTGTTGACAAAAAGGTATCACACCTTTCTCTGCAACCTTCGTCCCAGTGGTATTGGATCTGATTCCTGATGTGACTCGGCTTTCACAGCAAACTGAAGCACCAAGCACAAAAGCATCTAACAACCTGGCCAAGAAGGACGTCAACCTCTCTAGTCTGTACGTTAGTTATCACAATATCATGGACAACAAAACAGGTGAAATGTCGAAATGAGTGCTGAGATCTCTCTATTACATGAAGAACTCTTACAGCAGCATTTCTTTCCTTTGAAATCCTAAGGGTAAACAAACAAACATAACTTAACTTTTCTGCTACTCTGAAAAATACCTGGCTATCAATATCATATATCGCATATACACACAGCAATACTTCTTAAACTAGCCATCATCATCGCAACCCCCCACCTGTGCTTTCACAGGAGCTCCCAAAGTTGGCACTCACATCGTGAATCGATAACCTGATCATATTACACCTGGAAGATGACCTGGTAATATCGATGCATTCTTGAAGGTCGGCATCACAGACGATCAGTACCCATTCGTTGTCATCATCCAGATACTTGATGTCGAAAACCCCAATATCCAACTTCAACCTCTTCCCGACTTCCTCCTTCAGCTCCATGAGCCCACAACCGGCTGATATCCTGAACCTTATTATGTCTTCCTTGTACATCGCCTTTATGATCACTTTCTTAGCTTCTCCCCTGATTAATGCAGGATCATCCAGCAACACTGGTTGATTATTGGCAGCTGCTGTTTGGGCTGTTGTTGGAGGATTAGTCCCACTGGACTCTGGAAGCCGGTCTTCGATTATGGCTAAGGGGGAGCAAAGGTTTTGCAAGTCCTTGGAACTTCCAGCATCTTCTATTAGCATCTCTCCAAATGGTTCATCTTCAGCTTCTGTTGTCGTCGCCACCAGAGCATCTGGGATTGAGTATGCTGCTGACAGCTTCATGTCTAGAAATGGCAAGCCAAGTGGGGATCCCCCAGCAGGTTTTGGGGAATGTTCATCAGGGTCCTTGGCAGGGGGGCCACTTTCGCCGTTTGCTGGGCTGCCTTGACATGAACCATGAGAAGTAGAATTGCCAGCGCTGTCTTCTCTCGAAGCATTTCCCGATTTCAGACCTTGGGGCAGCTCTGGTGAACCCACGCTTGCAGTTTGATCTTCGACTCCATTTCCTCCTGCTGTCTCAAAGTTGGGTGGTGATCCATTACTCTTCCTATGAATTAGTTCACCAGATTTGGATCCATTATTGATATCACAAGAGGGCCAGGAGATGGAACTAACTGCCACAGGAAGTGGCGATGTTGTGAGAGGAGTCAAATCGAATGCTCCATCTGCAACTTGGACGGATTCAATTACCCTCTTGAGCTTGGTGAGCGATCTGTTCACCTTGTTGATCTTGCGAGATGGCCACCGAGAGATCCCGTGTTGCCTGCAGATACGCTTCATTGTGGTAGGGCAAACTGCAACAAGAGGTAAAGGAAATAATTGTTTTAGAAACATCAGTACATCACTCTACTAAATAAACAATATGCCATCTCATATGAACTATTATTTTCATTACTGAAGATGAAACATATCTCGTCAACTCAACCACACTCATTTCTGTTTTCACTTCTAGTAAAGCTTAAAAAGAAGTCGCTTAATTTTCAGGAGACTGAAGATCGTACAGACAATGCTATACAAACAATAGTTTCTTCAAAGAATTGAACCACATTTGACATTACGTACCACCAAGGCTCTTTGCAGCATCTTTAAGACTGCCAGCAAAGTGTTGCTGAAGAACCTCTAGACTGATAGATTTTTCAGTTTTGCCTCGCTTCTTCTTCAATGGAATCTTGGGCCCATTTTCAAGAGGAGGAAGACAATTGTTTACTTCTAACCCATTATCCATAGCATTCAGTTCCAAACTCGGCTGACGTTTCAATGAAGTGTATTGCAGCTGTTGCTGCACAACCTCCATTTCCTTTGGCAATGCATCATCATCAGCATCCGGTGAAGAAGCCCGTGTGGCAGAACGTGGGACACGAATGCATTCGAGACTGTACTCAAGTTTCCCAGTCTCAGAAGCTTCAATAATCTCAACAAATACTTCCTCTTCATCTCCGAACTCCATCCCAGATGCAACCCGAAAACTCTGGAAATGCTGCTTCATTGTAGCAAGCAATAATCCCAATAGTTTCTTCTGTTCGAACCCCTCGGCATTTCCAGGAGGGAGGAAGAACTCAAGAACATAATCATCATCACCCGTGTGGCTGCTCTTCAAGCAGATTGCAAAGCAGCCACTTAATCCAAACATTCGAGCATAATGCACTAACGGGTACTGTGTCTTGCATATGTTCCGAATGTCCCTACAGAAGCAAGCATTGTGAGACAGGAAAGCCCTGCCCGCAACACCCTGGCCAGTCTGTAAGTGATGTTCGCGGCAGGCTTCTCGGAAGCCCCAAACTTGTGCATCAACAATGTAGGAGGCTAGATCGGTTGTAGACATACAGACTTGGCCATTGCAGCTGCCATCGAAGCTGGTGCAGCTCTTCTTCACTCCTCCGCCATGGGCTAAAACATTGCGGTGCATGCATGGGACCCAAGTTTGAGCCAAGGGTAAGTTATGGGTTTCACATACAACTGTCAATATCTCGAGAATCTCGGCCAGTGCGTTCTGCCTGCCTTCGTTGCATATCTGGTTTCAAAGCAGAGTACCAAGCAGAGAATCTGTGAGAAGAAAGCGGGAAGAAAAGGATATGAAAGGAGGACACACGAAAGACAGGTTCTTCGAATGGGTGCGATGGAGAGAGAGCGATATTTACAACTACACGCAACTAAACAATATTTCGTTTTGGATGACACTTCCGGTATACTTGAGTGTAACTGGAATTGCACATGAAATCTCAAATATAATTGTATAATGTGATCTCCGATACGTTGATTAGTATGATGTATCTGAAATGCATTGTAGAAAAGTGGGTTTCACGTATCATCCTTCATTTTTCAGTCACCATTTCATGTACAAATGCACTGAAGTAAACACCAGGTTTGTAATTATACCTTCTATAATGGCATGCCAGATAATATTCATTTACAGATATAGCGAACCAAACAAACCCAGAAATAGCATCATATTTGACAAACAAATAATATCCAGCCTTGCAGTTGCAGCTATATTACCTGTGGGCTTGGATGGTCCATTATTTGTGAACTCTTAAGATCAACAGCCTGCAGAACAACTGAACTTATGTGACTAAGGAACCCTGATGAGTTTTGAGAATCAAACCTTACAACAAACTAAAAAGAAGATATAAAAACAGAAGGCTAACCTCAAGCGCCTTGCAGACTTTATCAACTTCAGGGCCATAATTAATCTTCTGGGAAGTCATCACAAGTTCAACCACACCAACACATGACTTGCCAGAAGTTTCAAAGACAGGCAAAGCCAAAGTTCCTTGAACGTTATAGTGCAAGGCATGACCTAGCCTAGAATACTCTTTCCTAGAGTAATACTGAACATTTGGAGTCCATTCAGGCAACTTTTGCTGGAAAACACGGCCAGGGAGACCCAACTCTCCATCAGTTTCGCCATCCACAGAGAAAGTGTAGAGAAGAGAGACCATCCTGTACTGATTAAGCCCGTTGCAGTGAGGATCCAGAACGAATGGTTGCTCTGAAGTTGTCAGAACAAATCGGCCTTGGTTTTTCACAGGCGCCCAAACTTGAGCTAGGATATGTTGCTCGGTTGACTCTTTCAAATATCTCAAAGCTCGAGTCATCCGCTCTTTTATTAGGCAGTGGCCATCTGGGCTTTCGATTGGCATCGATCCCCACCGCGGAGAAGGAGGAATCTTCTTTCCTTCATCACTTTCTCTCTTCGTTTCAGTAGCTGAGCTTATATTACCTGCAATAAAGTTGCCATTTGTGGATAAGAAAACGAAGTCCCTTTAACCAATCAGCTAAGCTTTCATCAATTAACCCCAAAAATAGATTCCTAAAGTCAAAATTAGTGAACAATTTGCCTAAGACCCAGAAAGGAATTATACAAGAGAAGAGCAAAGGAAGAAGAACCCAGAAAAGGCAAGTTTAGGCTACTAACATGTGACGAAAATTGGGTAATCGCGGGGGGCGGCGGCGGGAGGTAGCTTGTCGTCGTCGGCGTCAGGGAAGGCCCAAAGAGGGGAACAAGGGTTGGGGTCAGAGGAAGAGAGGAAAAGGGGAGACATGGGATGGCTGGAAGCATAAGAGATCTGATCCAAAGGCCATGAATTGTCGAGATCGAGGTCGACCTCCATGAGAGACTCTCCCCTGTCTCTCCCCAACATAGCCGGAGCAGAATTAACGAAAACACTGTGATATTGTTGTTGGTGGTGGTGGAGGGGTTGACCCTGACTCTGGTGGTGTGGGTTTTGAGCCTTTGACTTCTCAGCAGCTTCCTCCGGCTCAGCCATTTCTATCTAATCTTTCAGGTGAAGCTGGCGGCTGGGTTTCTTGTTGTGTACTTGCGTCCCTCCGTTTTCTGGGTTCTTCTGTTTTGGCAGGACCAGGGGGAGAGAAAGAGGAAGGAAATCTGGATATGGATGGGGTTGGGCGATGAATATAAGGCTGGAGAGATAGGAAGACAGAGGGGGGAAGAGAGTGAAAGGTGGGGAAATTTTTGCAGCGTGTGATTCCATTGTGAGATGTCGAATCCGAATTTTGTAATTGATATTAGTTGCAGAGAGGTGGGGTGGTCGATTAAACAAAACAAAGTATATAAACAGTGACGTTGGTTCCTATGGGAGATTGGGAGTCTTATTTTTATCTTGAAAGAATCATCAATGGAGGAGAGTACTACGCTGTACTATCAATCCCAATTCCCGAGTTTCTGCTTCGCATTTATTTCTCGACCATTTTTAGCGGGAATATCGTAAACATAGGGCCAGCCAACATTTAACAAAACAATCAAGGTTCACAAGAATCAAAATATTTCAACATATTTTGTTAGGGATTGGTTTGTTTGATCTTAGCCAAAAGGCCGAGAAAGGTACAGGATTGGTTTGGTTGAATCGTCTCGTTTGAGTTAAATTGTTTGGTGCATAATGTCTTGTTTGTTAAGAAATTGATTTATTTTATTGCACTAATTACTGACAATATCATTGGATTAAGAAATATAAGGATAGTTTAGGAACTTTGCATTGGTCTTAAAATTTCGAGCGTACATTCAATGGTCTCGTGTTTTAAAGAGTATATGAGAATGTGATCTTCCCGTGGATTCAACTTGTTCGAAAGCGATTATCATTCCATTTGAGCTCCTAATCAATCTTCTTGGAGGTTTCACTGAACTGGCAATTTGGTTATGTTGTGGTTAGACTGTCTTGTGCAGTTTATGACATATTTCTCTTTGGTATTTGATGGTTTATGATTTGTCGAATATCGAAATGCTTCTCATCATAGTTGTCTTGTTGTTTTCACGTCAGTTGACAGTGTGGTGCTCCTCATTCGGAAGATAGATTGAGTTGTTAATAGTTAATACATTCTTTTTCCGCATCATTGGTTATTGGACTTCGCTCCACGTATTTGTGGTTTTAGATGTAGTTAGAGACTACTACATGTGTTTTGGTACTTTGCTCAATTGTACACCGTATGATTTTTCCAGAGGATATTCCATTTTTTCAACAAAGGACGATGTCGAATCTAACGGTTACTCCAAACCTAGAACGAAAATAATAATAATAATAGATTTATAAATGCTTCCACGTAACCTCAAAAGTTGACTCGTTAAAATACCCTCCCCATTTTCGTCCCTCCAATCAACTCAGTTTTTAATCATGTCACTAAACTTTGCTCTAATCCATATTAGTACAGGACAATCAGCCATCCAACCACTCTAATTATGTTTTGGCTAATTAAGTGATGTTAGATTTATAATATCGATATAATAACACTACATAATACATCTGGTGGTGGGTGAAAGAGATGGTTTCAATTTGAGTTTTGTCTTGTCTTTGCAATGGTGGATGGCCATGATGTTAAAGCTTAATTATAAATAGGGAATTGGGCTGGCCCTGGCCCATCCAATAATGTTGTTGTCAAAGGTGAAAAGCGGTCCTAAAAGCGACAGTAAAAGAGTGGAAATCGGATTAGGAGATTTAGGACATACTTACCACAGTAATCACAATCTGGAGGTCTCCTTCATACCCAATTAGCAAGAAGACACAACAATAAGTGCAGACAGAAACATTCATATTTAATTAGAAATAAATTACATGTTAACTTTTATTGAGTTGGTAACTTTGTAAATAAAATGTTATCGCATTCAATGATTATGAGACATTTAACCCCTAAAGGCTCTAATTCAACAACTCCTAACTCTGTAAGTATGTTCTTTAATCTTTACAGAAGCATTTTGAACATCATAGTTGAATTGTACTTAGTTGAGCTTTTCTGATGAAATGTCAACTGAATCTAAGATATTTGAAAGGTCAAACATCTTTTTATCGCAAAACGCTTCACATGTCCCCATATGGATATGAGAGAGGGAAAAAAGAAAGAAGCATACGGAGACTTAGAGAGAGAAAAAGAGCATAGCAGAGCATAGAGAAGTAGTAGTCATTGTATATGGCTTGATCATCTTAGAGGACAAAACTTCTGTTTATACAAGTTGTGGGTACATGGATCGAGCACTTGTCAGATCATTAGTGATACGATCTGACGCCTTCTATTACTGGTTATATTACTTTTCATCAGAATGTGCCGGGATAGCAATAGGGTAGCTCATTTGGTAGCTAGGAAAGCCCTGTCTTTGTCCCCGACTATATATCGGTATTTTGATTTCCTGGCCTGGCTTGGATCCAGGATGTAACTGCCTATTTCTCAATCAATATATGATTATCTTTTGTAAAAAAAAAAAAAATGGTAGTTATTGTCCCCCTAACTCCTATGATGATGTCCACTTCTAAAATTTGTCTTTTGACTTTGACTTCTTCTTTAGCTTCGTCTTGTAAGCTTTTCTGGGTGAATGCCACATTTGGTCACTGAGATTACTAACAAGAGAGTGACTAAATGTGACATGTTTCAGTAATTTGAGTGACATTCATAAAAAAAAAGTATTTCGAGTGACCAGAGTTGGACGGATACTAACGGGAGTGTGACTAAATGTAACCTGTTTTAGTAATCCGAGTGACCAAAATTGATACTAATTTTTTCTAATGACTAAACATAACACGATTTAGTAATCCCAGTTACCAAATGTGGCATTTACCCAAGTTTTTTTTACATGTTTTGGATTTTGACTCCTATGGATACTAATTGAACTTGAGGTTAAAATTTTAAAATATCGTTTTGAGTCTAGACACTCAACTTCTGAGTGCATTGGAAAGCAACCAATTGTTTGTGTGGGCTACTACGAAACGAAAGTGACCTGAAACCACTAGCCCCCACTTGTTGTGCCCACTGGCCACAGCCAGCCCAGGCCCCAAGTTGCCGCATCTGTTCTTTTCAATCCTTTTTCCCTCTTCCGCTTGTCCCTTTAGTAGCGGCCAAAACTGCGTGAAAATTCATCAAATGCTCTCTCTGTTTACCCATACCGCCGCGGCCAAGCAGTTGCGTTAAAGGGCTGTAAAAGGGCAGATCTCCAGATGATTTGGGCTGAATTCTCCCATCTTCTTCCTGTCACACTATCTTTGTTTATTCTTAAAGTGCACATCATACTGAATTCAATACGGCATAAGATACCAGCACAGAGACATGACACGACAACGAATGTTCTGGACGAAAAAAGTACAGCAACTTGACGATTAGGATAATAGTGTCCACTGTCCAATAAGCTATCATTTCTAGAGCAGAGTGTTCATGCTAACAAGTAAGATATATTGGTCGACTGTTCTTCGAGTTCCAACTTTGATCTATACTCGAATCAACAGTGCTGCTCATACTCTCCAATTGCACATGTCCATTTGCTGTTATAGTACAAAGGAATTCCATTCTGGGGCTGGGTTTTGGTGGGCGATGATGGGGTTTTGCACCACCGAGATCCCACAAACTGGAACAATTGTGAAGCAAGCATTGCTGGCCATTGCTGCAATCTGCTAGCTGCTGATGTGAGATCCCAATTCCAATTCTATAGGGGGTGGAGGGGTCAGGTCAACCGCCAACCACCCTTTATCTTAATCATGAATTCATTAACATAATGATAATAGTAGCAAAGGTAATGATGCTACAGCCTACAATTAGTGTTGACTTAAAATAATATTGGTACATCAACAACAACCAGCAACCAAACCATGCCAAAAAGTCAAAGCAAATACGGAGAAGCCTGCATAATTAATTTGCAATCACATCTGATATGAAAATTTTGGGAGAATATGAATGATTACAAGGGGATTAAATGTTTTCCTCCGGTACCTTTGGAGGGTCAAAGCCAAGTTGGCGATTTTCTGCAAGTTGAATCTCCAATTGCAACAGGAAAGCAAATAATTTAACATAGAAAAGTGCCCCTTAGATTGCCTTTCAGACACTGTCAGAGAAGCAAAACAACTCACACTGCGTAGTACTGCTAAGTTACAAATGGATCGATTACCTTGTTATAATATCAAAAGATATGGCATACACAGAACTTGGCATTTTGCAAACAGATGCTGGATATGGAGACTTAGTTGTTGAGTTGAATGGCAGAAAGAAGCTGTTGTCAGAAGAATATGATCGAGACGCCCATCGTCAGGCACCCTGCAGCTACCCAGGGGCTTAACCGTTCACCTGTGTTCCCCCATGCGGCACAAAGATCAGCGACACCAGGAAGAACTCAGCACAATCCGTGCGAAAACGTAATAGTACAGGGTAATGAATCTATGGTTTGAAGCAGGGTTTTGTTCAATGAGTTTAGTTCTAGTTCTAGCCATGAAAGAGCCCATCGTGCAATCTGTTCTGGGTAGATCTTGATAACTTTGTAATGAACAGTTGAGAAACAAGGGTTACAGATGTACCTATTCTGGCTGCTTTCCAAAAAAATCCGCGGAATCTGTAACGAACAACATCTCAGAGGCCAAGAGAGACACGAATACTGAAGAGCAGAGAGAAATAAAGATGCAAGAGGGTTAGCCAGTAGCTATAATAACCCACCCGGTTTTCTGTTCGAGAATGGTGGGGAACTGCATCTTCAAGAAAGTGCAAGTGCAGATCACCAACAGCACCACCGTCAGAAACGAATGAAAATTGAAAAGCGCCGACTGCAGAATTCAATGATCCAAAAAAGAGAACCCTTCTCAGATTCAATCTGAATATCCCGATCACTGTTCTAGTGTAAAAGAATGCAAAAGCTTTGAACTTTTCACGTACCATGTTCACTTCTCCGGCTTCCGCTTCTTCCCCTTTTGATCGCCGATTGTTTCCTTTCCTGTCTGAAGTTTTAGCCGAAAGCAGTTCGCCAAAAGGACTCTGCCTGTGAACGCGATGAAACCGAAACTTTTTGTGCCAGCACCCCTCGGCCCTCGGAAATTAAACAACCAAAAGATGTCGTCTTTCTAACTTGTCACGTTGGCCGGCCTGTATCTCCCCTTCTTTTCACCGTCTACTAGGCTATACTCGGGGTAACTACCTGTAATGAAATCGTGACATAACAAACCATAATCACATAATAAGACATGCCCTGATAATTAGGAGCCTTCTATTTCTACTTTTGTGGCTTTGAGATGTAATATTGGAGTAAGGTACTTACTTCACATGTTGGGCGAGCGAGTGATTGAACCGCGGGTTGACATCGAGTCATCAAGGCACCTGTAAATAATTTGTGATTGTTATGGGCGAGTGATTGATCAGGTGGGCTAATTTGAAGCGGAAATCCGCCTGATCCACCCAATGCACAGCCCCACATGTTATTCTAACTTCTAAGCCGAAACCAGAATACACATTTGTTGAACTCATCTGCTCAAGTGAACTGCAGTACATAATTGTGTTACAGCTGCTTCATACAAATCCCTTAAAATTGGGAAGAACTGCGACTCCATGGAGCATAAATAAAACGATCACAGCAAGACAAAATCATACATAGTACATATACCAGGGGCTCATTGTTAGATAGCCAGTTTGATGTGAAAATTTCTGCTCGTCGATTTTTAAGCGGAGAAACTGTGCATACAAGCAGCGAGCAGCGAGTGGCATACAGTTCAGAGTGATCCAGGATAGAACAATTATGCCTGGAACAGCAGAAGTAAAATCTCTCTGAGAGTTGGAGCTCGTCTTATTAGCGTCTTGATTTCTGTTGTGGAGGGTATCCAGCCCCCATGGGCGGATCTTTCCTTCTCAGGTGAGGTTGCTGATGGGCCTGGGCGACACCTCGACCCATCGGCATTCCTCCTGGATTCATCCCTCCCATTCCAGCCTGAGCCTGAAGATTATAAGCTGCCATACCCTGAGGTTGCATTCTTTGCATCCCCATGTGCATAGGTCGAGGACCACCTCGGGCTCCCATTCCATGAGCACCCGCCATCATTGCATTTCCTGACACCATCTGCTGTGGAGGCTGAAGGTTAGTCGTTCCTTCAAAATCAGTATTCGTGTCAACAGGACGAGTAGGATAATTGATCACTTTCTCCCCTGGCTGAACCGGCACAAGAGCATTTCTTCCTGGCAAAGGTTCCATCCGGAAGTACTCGTGATCAAGTGCCTGTGCAGCTGTTATCCGCTTTCTAGGATCATATTCAAGCATCTTAGAAAGCAGATCAAATGGAGCACTTTTGGGAGAGAGATGCACTACACTGTGCAGTACATTGGTCTCGTACTTGTGACCTTGGATGTGCTGAAGATCAGATTGCCAATGGGGTAGATTCACAAGCATTGGCCACCGCTCTTGCGTGGGATGGCCTAATACCTTGAAAATCTTGTCTAGCTGATCGAGCTGGAAAGGGTTTGGCGTCGATTTGGCCTCTGCACCTTGAAAGAGCGGCTTCAAAGTCAAGAGCTCAGCAAAAATGCATCCCACAGCCCACATATCAACAGCGCTGGTGTAATGCTTCGCCCCAAGGAGTAACTCGGGCGCACGATACCAAATTGTTACCACAACACCATTATCGGCCAGTGGCTTCAATGGAGCTTGATAAACCCTTGCGAGCCCAAAATCAGCAATCTTGATGGCCCCATGCTCTTCACCATCTCCCATCACTAGGATGTTGGATGGCTTGAGGTCTCGATGCACAATCCAGTTGCTGTGGAGATAGTTCAGGCCATTGAGAAGCTGCCAGAGCAGTGATTTGACCGTGTATTGGTTGATTGGATGGTTGAGCTTCTCTCTGTGGTGCCTGATGATCTCGTAGAGGTCGTGCTCAGCGTAGTCAAATGCCAGGTAGAGCGACATGTCGTTGTGGTTGATGTGGACGTTGACGAGCTTCACAACATTCTCGTGTGTTATCTCTCGTAGCAACATGATCTCACGGATGGCGGTGGGGGAGACACCATCACCATCTTTGGACTGCTTAAATTTCTTGATGGCGATCGATTTGCCACGGTTTGAAGAAGGTGGCTTGGTTTTGGCCAAGAATACAAGACCGTAAGTGCCTTCGCCGATCTTGCCAATGAGATTGTACTGCTGCAGCCATTCTGGCTTCGCACTGTTGCCACCACCACCACTGCCTCTGTTGTTGCTGCCATCTCCCATTGTCTTCTAAGCCGAACAGAAAGGCCCCCACTGAGCTTACCTCTCACATCAGAACTTGGGTTGTTGCTTAAGACATGGAAATGCCACCACTCAATAGCTTCTTGCAGTTTTTAACTACAAAAATTGATAAGATGAAACAAAAGGATTAAAATTCACTGCAAACGAAAACAGATCGCTCACCAATGATGATAATCTTCAAGCAAGACAGATTTTGTTAACTGGTCACGAGGCAATAAGGTAGGGAACTCAGAATGAGAAAAGAATAGTGAGAACTATGAGCCAGCATTCACAACAATTAGCGGAAAAACTTTCGAAGCTTAGACCAGTTTTGGAAGACGAACTTAGGGTTCTTCGGGTGGTTTGTGAAGTAACCAAAGGTAGAAGCTTTAGAGCAAACAAACAGAGTTCTTCCAAACCCAAAATCTGAAAAAGTACATACTTTTCCCCACCCACATCATATCTTACCCAACAGGAAAACAGTAAGCATCGATTGATTGAAATACGAAATTGCCCAGAAAGGACCCACGGGAACCAATAAACACTCGGGGAAACCGCAAAATTATGGGAAACAACCAAGAAAGAGGAAATTGCTTGGCATACAGTGACTGAGTAACAAGAGCTTTGGATCCGAAGAGCCAGAATAACTTAGGATCGGAAGATGACAGAAAAAGAACGAGGAGAGGAACGCCGGAGACGGAGCACGCGGGCGGTTGGAGGGAATGGTGACGACGAGGAGCCTGGTGGACAGAGCGAGGTTGAGGTCCGAATCCGGCGTTGAAGGAGCGAGAGAGAAACTGGAGAAACAAATTAACCAATGAAAATTCCAATTCGGATTTCTTTTACCGTTGGCGTTTCCGGGGGTTTATGGATTTGGCTTCCGCCGGCTTTTGAGTTTTTGGAGACAACTTTGAGTTTTGACTGCAATTAGAAGCAACTTTTGCTGGGGAACAAGCTAGCTGGGTCTCTTTCCTTCGGAACTCGAGATTTTCCTTCCACAAAAATAAAATAGGGTTACTATCAGACTGTATCAGTCTATCACTCAAGATCTGAAGTTTGCAAAGTTGACATTTGCCGAACAAAATTTTCACTCAGTAAGGAAAAAGGAAGGTTGAAGCAAATGTCATATCAAAATTTACTCATGTCCGACATGAAAAAATAACTATATGTATCTTCCTCGAATAATCATATATAATGTTCTTCACATAAATTGAAAATTTTCTCAAAATGTCAATTATACTTATAAATTCTATTAAGATATTATTTATAGAAGTAAGGAAAATGAGCAAGATTTTTGTTTAAAAGATAATTATAATACGTTATAGTGATTGATATAGATGAGTAAAGTATTGAAGTTAGTGAGTTTAAACCATAGTTTTAAGATATATTCAGTTTTGCCTAGTGCAAAACTTAAAATATCAAACCCTTACCAAAATCATCACACCCTTACATACCGTTTGGTACCAAATGAATCAAGAATTTATTTCATTGTAAAATGAATTACCGTATAAAATTCATTGTCAATGAAATCTTGTATTTGGTATGTCATATTAAAATTTTTAGAAATATAATGAATTGTCGTGTAGAATTCATTGTCAAAATGAATTCTTGTGTTTGGTATGTCATATATATAAGTAATTTAGTAAATAAAGAGGATACTTATATTATTTTATTATAAATAGTAAATAGTTGTGGAATTCATTTGGAAATTTCATCTCAATTCCTCGAAATTGCTATAACTAGTACCTATTCCATAGAATTCAAAATTTAAAATGGATAATGAATTCTTTTAAATACCAAACACAAAAATATTTCATTTCAAAATGAATTCTTCAAAACTTATGAAACTCATTTATACCAAACTGTATGTTGATAAGTTTCTAGATAAATTTCACTAAAAAACAATATAGGTTGGATCTTCCCAACCAAATCGATTCAAATTCAAGATGGATTATCTTTCAGTCCTACTTAGAGGTGGCAATTGGATCGGATTCGTGGATTCGTGGATTGGATTGGTGGATCCATGGATCAAATGGATTGGATCCAATGGATTGGTGGATTCATGGATTGGATCAAACGGATTGGTGGATTGATACATGAATCAAAATGACATCCAAGGCTTGGACCAAAATGTAAATTTTGAAAAGTTTAGGTACTAAAATGTCATAATGAAAAAATATAGGTACCAAAATGTAATTTTCCAATGATTTTTTTCGTATAAAAATATAAATTTTAGGTACCAAAATGTAAAATATAAAAAATATAGGTACCAAATCGTAATTTGTCATTTGGATGCATGGATTGATCCATGAATCCACCAATCCAATTGGATTTAAATGGATTGAATTAAGTGGATAATTTGATGGATGGATTGGATTCATGGATTTGGATTCTAATTGCCACCTCTAGTCCTACTCACAACAACTCAATCAATTATCAAACCAACATTGATATAATTAATTCATTGTCATTGAATGAATTATTAATGAAGGTGTTATCCAATAATGTATGCATAAACGTTGGCCGGAACTTATGACAAAATATTGCCCATGTGTTTTGTAATTGTGAAAATCAGGAGATCTGGGATGCTAAATCACCAGTTTTTCTCAAAGCCTTTTGACTAAGGAGACCATAAGTCATTAATAAAATTCAGGTTATTATAAAAAAAGAACTTATGTCAAAATATTGTAAAAAAAAAAGAACTTTTATGACAAAAGAAGCGTTGGTTAGAACTCTTTAGAAATTAGGAGGAGAAGAGTGGGGTAAAGAAAAGCGATGGCTAGGAATCAATTTATTCCCGCCACTTTCAGAGTTCGATTTCCCCAGACCTGATAAAGCATTTTGCCTGTAAGCATTATCAATGGAGGCGAACGAGACGAAGAAGAATCGATGGAGCCACGAAGTACATTAAACAGAAGAGGTTACCATCCACCACTCCATCATCAGCGACAAGGTTACCATCCACCACTCCACTCTCACTCACTCGCATTTCGCAGCTCCCGTAACCCTAGCCCCTCATTGCAATTTTCGCTCGGTTTGAGATTTTAGGTTTCTCTCTCTGCAGATTAGGTTCTTCAGTCATACCGGAACTGATTTCCTCCTCCGTTGTCGTTGCAGATCCAGATCATGCTGTTGGATGAATTCGAGAAGCTACTGGAATGCAGGGTGCTGAAGGACGAAGAAATCGTTAGCTCCTGCGAGTCGCTGACTTTCAATTCATATCTCGTCGATGTTGCTGATCCGGAGGGTCATCATGTAACGGTTCCGGGCTTCCGGCGTGAGATAAGAAGATGCCGCAGCGTGGACCTAGTTTCGCGACTAGGCAGAAGTTCAGATGTTCCTCTATTGATTCTGGTGTTAGTTTTTTTTAGGAATGACTTAAGCCCGTCTCAGAAGATTATTTGAGGTGTGTTCAGAATCAGTCATTTGTGCAGTGAATTGATGTTAGTTTTTTTTAATGAGAATTAGTGTGAAAGTTGTTTGCAGTTCAGATTTCAGGAAGAGTGAGCTGCAGAAGTATGAGGCACCAAATAATGGTAAAGATACGGTTACCCTTGGCGCTGCAGGTTTGTCATAGAATCTGTTTGGATGATATACAGCATTATGTACAATAGATTATTCTCGCTCCCTCATGGAAGACTCGTTTCTCTTTCTAAAATAGAGCGGCAGATCTTGTATACTACTCAAGTGACTAAAAAGGCCAAGACATACCATGACACCTCCATGGTGTCAATGTCCATATCTTGATTTTTAGTTCATTCAACTAGGTCGTCTTGCTATTGTCAGTTTATACAGTTCCGCATATGCCTCTATCATGCAGAATGGCAGGTCATGTACACTTCACAAATGACTCAGAAGGCCAAAAAGTACCATGATGGTTATATGAAACTTGAAAATCGTGGAAGCCTTGGGAGGTAGGTCAGTTCATCTATTTAGGTTATACCCAATTAACACCCTTGATTAATATGACCTTTTGTGAATTTACCCTTTTTAGTTTGGCTTCCACATATTGATGCATACCCTTTCAATTACCAGATTCAGATCAAGCTATATGATGCAAGCCGGAACATTCTCAGTAGTAGGCACCTCAAGAAAGATGAAAGAATATGCTCTAGAGAATCAATAGCATTTGGTGGCTATTTGGTTGATGTTGGAAAACTTGAAGGAGACAAACAAGTTCTACCAGGCTTAAATGATGAAAATTCTCCCAGAGAAATTCGCAAACCCGATAGTGTAATTCATACTTCATTTAGATCCAGCAAATCGACACTCAAAGGTTGGTTGATGTGTCTGTCTCAATGAAGCCTGGCTTCCCCTTGTAAAGAGATGGGCCATTGGCTGAATGCTAACTAAACTTGTTCTAGTTCTTTTAACAGGGGAATCACATGGTAATGATCTGCCAAGACAAGATTTAAGTTGCAGCAGTCCATCTAACATAGAGAGGACCAAGGTTGCTGAGACTGTTTCTGCAACAAACCTCTACGTTATGGTTTGTTCCACACTTTTACTTGTTTTCTTGTATTTTCTATGCGCCTCTATTCCCAACCCAGTTGAAAGTAAGAAATGGTTGTGGGCTGGTTTAGACAATTTATTCTGGTTCAGATTCCTACATATTTTCTATAGTCATGCTAATGATGGTTATAGTTTTTATTGCAAAGTCATTTTTCCTTTGCTTTCCAAACATTTTTTCATGCCATATAGCTTTCATTACTGCTGCAAAAAGTAACACTGTCCGAAAAGAAGGGTGAGATGTAAATGTAAAAGAACGATTTGATATTGATAACTTCGGCAATGGTATAATGGTTGGATTCCATACTAATGGTGGGTTTTAGCCTTGCAGCTTGGGAGATATTGTCTGTTCTTAAGAAACCACCTAAGAAGAGTGCTGCTGCAGAATGCATCAACTACTGCCAACATGCTCATCGTTCCTACATTGAGGTGCTCCAAGCTTCCACTTCTGGAGACTCCTTATTCCCAGCTCTTGAAACAAGTGAAAATCTGACAAACAAGGAAATAAACAAGATAACTAATGATTTTGATGGCAGAGGAGGTAAGTGGTCATTTCACAGTCCTTGTACCTTTAGTACATTCACTTGCCTTAAAAGATGCCTTAGTTTGAGATGATATCTAAAGCTTCATGCTTCGGGTTGCAGAAAATACCAGTAGATTTAGTTGGATCCCTGGTGGCACTGAAGCTGAGGTTTGGAACTTAACGCCTGAAAGGTTTTTAGTTGCTGTCTCGTCAGCTTAGATTGAAATAGAAATTTTTATCCCCAACTGATGTTAACAGCATAGTCTAGACTATCTCGAAACAAGCACCAAATTTAGGGGTGCAGGTTTGGGTTCATACACTACAAGTTCTGCAACAGCCTTTACCAGCAATGGCCCAAGGAGTGATGGCGGAACAGTAGTTCTGTGCAGCGTAAGAGAAGCATTGAGGAGTTGCCTAGTTTTGATCTTGGGTTTTGAGAATTAAACTTTGGGTCTCTTTCTTCTTAAAATTTAAGTTGTAAAGTCCATTTACATACTTGTGGCAGAAATTTGAAGGCACGGCCACACCCATAATGGCTAAAATTGAGACTAGAAGCTGAACCATTAGAAAAGATAGATAAAACCATATTAATTGTGTCTTCCAAAGTCTTCCTTCGAACTTGTTGTTTTCAGATCTCGTCCAATTGCTTGTAGATGGAACCATTATCTTTCCTGGTTCCCCGCAAGCTCACCATGGCCCTGAACAGGCGTTTGCTTTTGCTGGACTGCTGCTCATTCTTATTCTTCCCGCCATCTATTCCTCTTTGTTCCGGCCATGAAACCAATCTCCGAGGAGCTGATGGATTCTGGAAAAAGAAAACAAGACAAATGTAAACTGCATGAACTCTTTCTTTTATTGCTTAAGCTTAATGCTGCATTTCTGTTGTTGATGTGCTTATACCCTTTGCTTCCCATTGGCATAGTTCGTAGAAATTGATCTCTTGAGATATAGAGATCCAGATCGGAGAAGCGGGTGCTGCTGTGGAGAGTCTGCTCTCTTTTTATCTGTTCATTGCCAGAAAAATTAGCTGTCAGCTCAGCAAGTAACGTCTCAACAAGTTCAGGCAACTACCGAAAACTCACTCTTGTATTTCTACTTACTACTATCAATGGTACTAGTCGAACTCCACAAAAATGCTAACTTTGGTTGTCGTGAAGATTCCTCTGAGTACTTGAACTGAGAATGCCCTTCTCTACACAGACAGGAAGCAAGCATTGTCCACGTGTCAACCCATGATTCAAATGGCACCACAACAGAAGAAGGTGAACATATACTGAGATCAATTACCTCAGAAAGGTGGAAGGGCTGTTGCCATTGGTTTTCTTTCGAACAGCTTTGTCGGAGAAGAACAACGGCCATCCAACAAATAGTGAGTTTACTAGATAACTGTTACAAAAAAGGATGGAGGAGAAGCAAAATTACCATTGGCGAGACGATGGAAGTTTAATTCAAGACTGGAGCTACTTCTACTACAATGAGCTTCATTTTCCTCCGTGGTCACGCTCTCTCCTTCCCATTCTGCAGCCTCCTTCGCGTCCTCTGCTGAACAGAAAAACTTCTTATGCACCTCGCAGAAAACCAGCATTGTTATGGAGATGATTTTAAAAGCGAAGGTCTGAAGATTTCTGCCTGGAATTATGTACTGTGTGTGGTGCTTGGGAGCTTTGAAAGCCAGAGAATGCTGATATATCCCGCCTCGGTTTATGTAATGTTGCCATGTCTTTGCTCTCTGGGAAAGAAAAGATGGGAAGTTGGTTTCAGAAACTAAGAGGGGGCATTGAATGAAACTCACGACTTGGTTGTGTTTCACATTAAAAGCATCGTCCAATCAATCACCTGCTCCAGGGAATAGAACCGGAGCTCCACTGCAGCAACTTCATTCGCTGTCTGGTCGAGGAAACTGTTCACCTTGTATGCCACGGAACCCAAGTGGTCGATCGTATTGATCAGGGCTTTTATGGTGTAGTCTTTGCAGGTATCCGTCAGTCTGCATTGATTGAAGTAACAAGAAACTTTTTTACAGCCGGTAAATTCAACATGGTTTTCAGGTACGGAATTCGGTCGTGACTCACATCTCTTTCTGGACTTCATTACTGTATGACTGTTCGAACTGTGCAGCTGCCGAGTACAACTGTTTCCTTAGACTCTTCAACTCATGGGAAACTCACCCACCCACCAAATCAGAATAATTGAAACTTTCTCAAGCACAAGGAATGAAGGAACAGAGGGATTCTTATTCCCTTACCTTGAGATTGGCAGAGAAGAGTAGTTTCTGCTGCATGAGGTGGTCTTCAAAACTCGCAGCAGCTGATCCATATGAGTTGGAAACTGGATGGCAAGTTGAGCTCTTGATCTCCATGGAAAGATTTGTTGTCAACTACAGAAGCCAAAGCTGGGTTAGACAGAGAGCGAGAGGGAGCTATAATAAGCAAAAGTATTGGAGCTGGATAACTGAGTACTGTTTTTCACGTGAGTCCGGATTTCGGCAGTGTTGAATTGAATCAAATTATTGGAACCAGACAAAGAGAGGCCCCCCGTGGTGATGCTGAGATGGGAAATCTCGAGGTTTTGTTTGCTCTCTGTGTTGATGCTATTCTGCTTTTTGCTTTTTGTCTGCAGGTGTTGAAATCTAGATATTACCAGACTGTTGGGTCAGATGAACTGCGACAGGAGGAAGAGAGTACTCATAATAAGGGTCGTTGTCGAAGGAAGCTTTGGGTTTTTATCATGAAGCAATAATGCAGGCAGATACCAGCCTCTTGCCCTCTTGGTATACACTGAATCCTCCCTCAAGTTATTTCTTTGCCCTGCCAATGTGTCAATTACAGGAGCTGGATCTTATAGGTAGTTACTTGCCCATTTCTGAAGTTAGAATATAGAGTGACCGAGTGAGGGATAGGAAATAAGAAAATAAGATATCTATACACCCTAAATTGACTTAGATTAACAGGTTACTAGACTATTAAAACTCCTTCATTTGTTGGGTTTGCTACTATTGGGGATGAATGGTGTAGAGTTCTGTCATAGGCCGAGGAACTTTATGGCATCAAATGGATTCGGTTAGATTTGGTGGAAGAGTAGGTCTCGAGTTCTAGAGTCTGGAATGAATGAGGGATAGCTACTTGAGGATAAAGACAGATTAGTTTTTGCTGTCAATATTGGTCGGGGTGAAAAGTTCTGATTCTAAGAAAAGATGGATTCATGAAATTCAACCGTATCAACCACTAATAAAAGTCAGTTCCAGTTATTGATGTGTAATCACGTTTTGATGGCACCTACCTCTCTTTTGTGAACCACAACTCCACAAGATATTCTGCTACTCAAAGTGCCGTACGTAAAGGGATTCTCAATTTGATTTGATTCACAGCAGCTGACAAAGACCTTAAGCAACACCCAAAGGTAAACCATACGCCTTGAGATCCCCAACTACTCCTTGCACAATCGCATTTCACTCAACAATAGACGAGAGCACATGATACTAAGTTGATACGAGAATACCAATAATTATTGGTAAGTTGTAAATAGTAAATTTGCTAATGGATAGTGGAATTTTTTTAATGTAAACAATAATTGTGTTTTAAATGCAATCAAAATTTAAGGTGCAAGGTGGGCGTTCATGTGAAATCTAGTGGTCAGTTCAACTTATACCAATATTCGACTCCTCTTAACAAAATTTATGGCTACGCCACTGCATGGAGGATACTATACTCGGTTTATGAGTTCTGCATATAGCACAAACTCTGTTGCTCAATAAAGAATATAAATCATGCTCTGCTTGTGAGTTCTGCACAGAATCGTGTCATTTTTCATATTCCAACAGCCACATTTGTTCATTCCTTTACTGTGAAAATACACTTACTATATAATTTTTTAACCAAAATTAAAAGACTAGTAAAAGTTTTTCTGCGGCACCAGCTCGTTAGCAAGAACTCCCATTAACGCAACAGAGCTTTCCTCTGCAACCGAAAATGGCGTCTTTCATTATCAATGAAGCTGCAACAATGTTCCCTTCCACTTCGTCCCTGTTATCCCTCTACGCCTCCTTCTCCACCTCAGCGATCCTCCTCCGCAACGCTTACCGCGAGATTGTCCCCAGATTCGTCGCCGACTACGTCTCCCACAAGCTCCGGCAACTTGTCTTCAAAGCCGCTCCGGTTCTGCCGGACACCGACTCCATCATAATCGACAAAATCTGGAATAACAACTGCTACGACGGGAATGAGCTCTTTGATGCCGTTAAATACTACCTCTCCACCAAGATGGGTCCCGAGAACAAGCAGTTCCGCGTGGCAAAGCTGAAGAACAGCAACAGATTCACCACCGCGCTGGTCGGCAGTGAAACGGTGGTCGACGTGTTCGAGGGTGACGTGTTCAGCTGGTACTTGCCTTCGATGAACAACAGGAGACGGTCGGGCCTGGTTGGAGGACTAATCCAAGGAGGTGATGCAGATGATATGTACTGTAGTCCGGATGACTGCTACAGATTAAGTTTTCGCACGGAAAACAGAGAAAAGGCGTTGAATCACTATCTCCGCCATGTCGTCAAGGTGTTCGAGGAAATGTCTCAACAGTTGCAGCTGTTTACATGGTCCTCGTCTGGATCACACTACGGGGGTTCGAGTTGGACATCGATGGACTCGAGGCATCCGATGACCTTCGACACAATCGCGTTGGAGGGCAAGATGAAGCAGGGCATCGTTGATGATCTGGACAGATTTGTGGCGAGGAGGGAGTTCTACAAAAGAGTTGGCAAAGCTTGGAAGAGGGGTTACTTGCTGTACGGGCCACCCGGGACCGGTAAATCCAGTGTCGTTTCTGCCTTGTCCAATCATTTGAAGTTCAACCTCTATGTGGTCGAGCTCGCCAATTTCGGGTCTGATTATGAGCTGAGGCATGCCTTGCTTTCGATTGCGAATAAATCGATTGTAGTTTTCGAGGACATCGATTGCTGCCCTGAGCTCCACGCTCGATCCGAGTCGACGAAAGCATCGGATGAATCAAGTGATGATAATACACGGAATGATGGTAGTCATCATCATCTCAAGCGCAAGTCTCCCGGCAAGGTAAATCTCTAATCTTTCTCCTCGGAAGTTTCTAGTTCTGCATGAATGCCAATGACACTAACACTCTTTTTCCACTCACTCTCTCGACGCTGCTGAATTGCATTGATGGGTTATGGACTTATGGTCGAGCCACGGAGAAGAGAGGATCATTGTGTTCACTACGAACCACAAAGATGTTCTGGACCCGGCGCTGATTCGGCCCGGAAGGATGGATATGCAGATTCACTTGTCGTACTGTACCCCGGAAGCATTCAGAAGCTTAGCCGCCATTTATCTTGAGGTGAAACGTGAAAGGGAACCATCCCCTGTTTGAAGAGATTGATGGGCTGTTGGAGATTTTGGAGGTGACACCTGCAGCTTTGGCTGAGGAGTTGATGAAAGGGAGTGATGACTGATGTGGATGAGATTCTTCAGCAGGTTGTTGATTTCCTGAAGCAGAAGAAGCTGGGAACCGAGTGAGAAGAATCCGACGAGGGGCAGCTCAAAAGCTAGTAGTTTCCACTATATAAGTTCTTACAAAGATTAATACTTTATAGTTTAGGCCATTTAGCTACTTGGTTGATTCGTGGACTAAGATCACCCAATCTTAGTCACCAATTCCCAGCACCATTGAGTTCTCGTAGATTGAATTATTTGACACATAATTGACTAAATGATCAAGTATTATGCATGGCCATGCAAAAGAGTCATTAGGTCGGACCACAAAAGCATCGCATAGCACCAACGAGTCGAGGCCCTGAATCCATAAGAGCAACCAGCGTGTGTAGTGCAAGAACAACATGACGATGTCTGAAATTCTAAGCCGAAATGGGTTAAGGACGACAGATGTTTTTAACGCTTAAAGACAATGGGTTCCAGAAAACAAGCTGAAAGCCTCCTTGACAAATACATGTTTCACAATGATGCTTGCAAACACATAACTTTTCAGCGAATTGGCATTTTGAAATGCGCCCCAACAAACATAGGTGCCATTGAAGTACTACAGATGAGGAAAAACTACATGCTCTTTGTTTTCTCCGTGAACCAACAATTTTAAGGCGACGGAGGTTTGTGTAACAGCTGCCAAAGCAAGCAGTCTCGCTAAACAATCCGCTCCAACTCTCGGGCATAGCTGAGCGTCTGGTTGATAAGTTGTAGAGACGGGATCTCCTTGCAAGGTGCAGTTTCCTTTGCTTTCTGGAAGACGACAGACCCATCTTTTATTTCCCACTCCGGATGCTCCTGCATGAACAAAGTGAAAAACTTGCATGAGTCCACATGGTGAACGAGAAAGCTCTAATAGCTAATACACACATTTAAGTACAACTACAGAGTCTAGCGATGACTAGCACACATGAAATAAGCAGAGCATATTCGTTTACCTCATTAATGTATTGCAAGAGTTCATTATCGGAAGAGAAGAGCAACATTTGGCGGGCATCGTTTATTGAAAGGTAGTCATATGCCTTCTCGCTGCACCCAGATATCTCATCCCTGGAAGTGGCAGAGAAACAAATAACTAAATATGGACTCATAAACTAACAGCTGAATGAAAACAATGTCCTGCCTTCAAGGTTAAACATAGCCTTGCACCTCAACACATCATTGCAACTCAAGTAAATAAAATTTTCTGAAACCTAAGTTTATAAAAAAAAACTAACTATATGAGTGCAAGGGCAACAATTATGCATCAGTGTCCCACAGAAAAACTTCTCTAACTACTCTCAATACAGGTTAATTTGCCGAGAACTAATATTAAATATGATATCAAAAGCAATGAATTCTAGAATGGACGGATGATAGCAATTGCGACATCTACCTCCAAGACAAAACATTTCAGAAGAACCATTAAAGCACACAGCAAAAGACAACAAGTAATGGGGAAATCTAATGCGCCTAGCAGATGCATCCATGGTAACAATTGCAGCTGCCTCATCAACTGCCAAATCTGCACATAGTAAATTACCTGACAGTCTTTGCTAAAAGATCCATGAAGTAGTCATAGCTCTGGTTTGGAACAGTTTGTTTTGCAGTCAACACACGGTTGTATGCCCCTTCCATGAATGACTGCTCCAACTCCACGGCATGCTTGATGCAAGGATCCTCGAGAGACTCGGCTGGCAGCAGTTCTAGTTCAGTATGGAATTCAGCAATTCTATTCTGAACAAGGAGTCTCAAAAGGTTGAGGCCCAATATCATGTGTTCTTGAGGAGATGGTGGTAGGCGTTTACTGCTCATTAAGCAAATAAATGTGAGTGAATAAAGAATCATCAGTAATGTTAAAACAATTAATATGCTACAACAACATGAAGAGCACACATCGGCAAGCAAAAGATGAAAGATTTCTACTGAGATTCAAGACAGCATAAGAAGCAGGCAGTTGAAAAAGGTTGTACTTCATAAACTAGAATCAGAACTCATGTCAACATAACCAGATGCAGTACATACATTTTATTTTCAAATCCTTGGAATATTGATTTCTGCTGCTCATTCCATCTAGAAACGAAGCTACACCTTTTTTGCATTCTATATTAACCTGACCTGGATTGTGCTAAGTAGACAAAGAACAAGAAAGGGGAAAGAATGGAGAAGTTACCGGGCGTCTGTATAATAGGGCTTCAGCTGAAAGAAGTCCCTTTCAAAGGCATCCTGATCCCCCATCTTCACACTTAGAAGTACAGCATGCTCATAAATATCTCCTGAAAGTTTCCATGGAAACAACAAAAAAAGAACTAAACTTTAGCAGCAGCATAACTTCATAGGGAATTTAATAACTCAAGTACTTCCCCATTAGCCAACACTATCACTCCAAACTAATTCAGATAGATCTCAGTTCATGCATTTAACAATCAAACCACCGCATTCATTCATACAGAAGCGGTAAAGCAATAGAAAACCTACTCGCTATCGTCAATTCTTGAACAGAATTTGGAGTAACTTCGAACAAAGGTGGAAGGCTTCTGAAGCTAGTCAACGAGACCTGCACAAAACAAGACAGAACATTACTGCTCTAAATCTAGGGAATTCAAAGAAGAAAAAAAAACAGACGGAGAACTTCGACATCTGAAGATAGAAGCTTAGAATTAGGGTTCCAACGGCGAGTTTCTCACCTTAAGCTGAGACAGCAGATTGGCAGAGGTATCGATATCCTCCCTCACACAAGCCGCTTTGAATCGCTCGAAGTACTGCGACACCTCCGTTAGCTTGGGATCCATCTCTCACGATTGCGTCGCCGTCGATTATCGTCCGATCTATGAGTCTCCGTTTTCTAAACTTCGTATTTTTCCTCAGTGAATTTCCGCTTGAAACTTTTAATAGCTTGACTGGCTTGGCTTCGAGTTCAAGAAAAGAAGTTTCTGCCTTGTCTCTCTTGGGTACAAGTACAACACGAAAGGCCCATTCAGAAACAGGCTTCTAATGGGCCAAAAATTGTTTGAGCCAGGCCGTATAAAACCGGGGCCCATGGGTCGTAAATTTTGATCGTCTTCCTTATCTAGATCTCCGGGAGATGCGCAGCCGAGTCGAACGACAGAGAGAGCTCGGCAGCAATGGCGTCCTCAGCAGTTTCGTCCACTCTATTTTGTTCTCCAATTTGCTGCAAATCACTGTCGAAATCCCACTCTTCACCATCTCTGGCATTATGTGGGCGGTTCCCGGCCAATGCGACGGCGATTGTCACACGTGGGAGAGGGAGCGAGAGCGCGCCGACGGTGAAGGCGCAAACTTTTGATTTCTCCGGCTCGTTTTATCAAGGTGTAGGAATGGGTTCCGAAGAAGAACCACCGTCGTCGTCGGGAGGCACCGCGACGGCGGTGGAGGAGAAAGAGGCCCCTCCCTGCCCACCTGGGCTACGCCAGTACGAGACCATGGCGGTCCTGAGGCCGGATATGTCCGAAGATGACCGGCTTACTCTTACCCAAAAGTACGAGGAGGTAATTTTTAGAGTGGAAGGGTTCTTTTTCAGTTTAGCTTTCTAAATTTTATACTTCATTTCTTTGCTTTATCCAATCCAATCTGCAATTGATATCATTTCCCTGAGATTGATGATAATGGTTCGATGAGCTATTTGCCCTTGTTGTTGAAACAATCGAGTGGTGCATTATGTGTCAAAGTTTGAATTGAGATTTCGTAGTATTCAATGATGTGTGGGGGAGAACTGTTTCCATGTCTGAAAGCTTTGTTAAGAATCTGGTTCAATTGCATGAGGCTTTTTAGTTTAGGTAATATGGTCTCTTTGGGGTTTGCATCTGAATGATCTGATAGGCGATAGCTTCTTGATTGTTTAGTTTGCTGCCAATTGAAGCAGTATCATGATTGGCAGATTGAGAGAGAACTTCAATTGATGCTACTACTTTAAGTAGAAGGCACCAAGTGTTGAGTGGAAAGATGAGTTACAATTTCTAGTACTTTATTAATTAAGGTAAAAAGTTGAAGGATATACTACAACTGTAGCTTAAAGTATAAGTAGAATGAGGGAATCAAACCTAATGTTGACTATATTGCAGTTGCTAGTTGCTGGGGGTGGGATGTATGTGGAGGTATTCAACAGAGGGGTGATTCCACTAGCCTACAGCATCAGGAAGAAGAACAAAGCCGGGGAGACCAACACGTACTTGGATGGCATCTACCTCCTCTTCACTTACTTCACAAAACCAGATTCCATGACTGCTCTTGAGTCGATATTGCAGGCCGATGATGATGTGATCCGATCGAGCAGTTTCAAATTCAGGAAGAGAAGGTACTAAGAGATTTATACTGTATCCAGTTTCATTCCCTCTCGCTCGCGGCACACTCTATAAAGAAGTTATGAGAGCAAGGGATGCAGTCTAGTGATCTCGCACTTTGTATTCCTTCAAATTTGATTTGATTTTTTCTGTCATGTAAGCAAATCCAATCAACGACTTCTGAAACATCATCTGGTACTTCGAGTCGATGACCCTAACGTTGTTGGTGTGGATGGATGTGATCTATGTACAAATTTCAGAACCCTATTATTGTTACTCCTTTGGCTTGTGCCACCCCAAATATGCAGTCAGAAAAGGAACTTCAGCCAGTGAAAGCAAGGAACTGCTCTTAGCTGGTCCTGTTACTTGGGTCTCTGCACAGGCTGGTGGAGAGGAATCTGGTTCTAGATAAAGGCAATAAGCAGGGTTGATATTCTACACTCCATTGTTTCATTCATCTAATTTCAGTCAGTTTATGGATAAGCATGCAGATATGATCTTTGCTTGAATAGAACTAAAGCTATCATTTCTAAGTCATACTTTTCACCAACAGAGAAAGCAAAGGGCAACAAAGTTTGGACCTGTTTATCTAGTATGTAAAGGCGATGGCTTTAGTCATGAAACAATCATTTCCCAGGCCAATAAACAGAAGGGGCATAAAGGAAAGAAGCAAGTAGAAGAGAGAATATATTTCTATACATAGCAACCACTCAGAGGTAGGGGATTTTACAAAGGGACGATGGTGGTAGCTGCACTTTTGGGACTAATAAAAGTTTGTTTTTAAGATTAGAAGGGAAAAGGGAAGAGATGATTCCAAATCGTAACAGAAGCAGACATATAGTGGAAACTGCTTCAGATCTTATCTCGTAGAATTGATATGCCCACTTTGTGTGAGTGTGCTTGGAAGGGAAGGAAGGCTGTCTTTCCTGATCCACCCACTAACACAAGTGAGATTTCCCCCCTAGTGAAATTGAAAGGTGACATCCCCCAACAGCAACATTCAAACTTGTTTCCAGAAAAGAAAGATGCTACTTTCTCAAAAAAAAAGTAGGCTCATATAAGCTTGATAAATATATTAAAGTTTGTGTGAGGTATAGAGTCATGTGTCGATCTGGTAAACACTCTGCGTTAAACTTACTGCGGACAACACAATCAATCATCATTTATTTATCAAACGATCATCGATTGAATGCTCTATTTACTTTCTCAATACGACAATACCCATGATTTATTATAATTGTATAGACCGAACCGTAAAATGATAGTTTCTAAACTATTAACCTATATTAACAACAACAAACCTGGCAAGTTCACTTCTTAAAAAAAATTAAAGAAATTATTAGCTATACACCAGAAGTATCACTTTGAAAAAGCATTTTTAGAACCCACCACGTGTCCATCCATTTCTCAGTAAGTAAACAAAATCATGATAAAAATGACTAAATATTGATTGGTGTATGGTTTAAACCGAAAAAGATGATTATTTATTTGTTTTTAGACTTTTGATTGATTAATAATGAAATTGATGGATATCCAAGTCTGCGGAACTTCAATTTAGTGTATGTCGTGACCGTGTCGTTCGAAATTGAAATGACTCAGCAAGCCTCTTAACATAACATAAACTCAATTCCTAATATTTAGAATGACTTAGGAAGAGTAACGTATGATGCTTATTTGTTGAGTGCACACCTTAAGGAAAGACAATACAGGACGAGCATGCAAATGCTACTAGCTAGTGGATCCACTTGCTCATTTTCTGGTGTTTATGTAATGATTAAAAGGGGTATTAAGAAGTGAAAATGAAGGGGGAAAAAACTGTTCAGTAAAGCACCAACTCAACTCGTTGTTGTTTTGGCAAAGCCAAATTCATTATGGAAACCGTTCCTTTGCTTTCAATGAAGCATAGATTCTCTTATTATTTCACAGCCATGACAGAAAAGTGCAGCACTTTGTGTGTAGGAGAATGTTCAACTATAATTTTCAGGGGGAAACAAATGAAACAATGGCCTTTCAATTTCATCGATGGTTCCAACTTCCAATACATAATTGTTAAGAATATTATTTACAGATACTTACGCAATTGCGTAATTTTATTTTTTTTGAGGAAATCATCCATAAAATCCCATTTGTATCTATTAGTTCTAATCTTCTTTTCTTTTCTATGAATTATTTATACTTAATTTGATTGCCAATTAGTTTATACTTTATATTATAAAATGAAGCACCTCTTAGTTTATTGTATAAGGTTCAATATTGTTTTTTTTCGTTGAATAAGGTTCATTATTGAATCTCTCTCAACAGTTTAACTTATTGGGACTAACTGACTCATAACATGCTGTAAAAAATTTAAAGTCTTCTATAACCAATTATATCGAACTTTCTAGGAAAATGATTGTGTAAAAAAGTATCTCATTAGTGTATAAACTTTAGAATTGGCACTATTTTTGCCTGTGGCCACTACGAGTGTCAGAAGTGCATTTTTTATAATGAATTTAGTGAAAATACACTTCGGAGTTTGAGAAATGATGAAATTTTGAACGATTATTTGGTCCACTACATTTATAAAAAGTAATATTTTAATTTAATTTTGTACCTACAAAAACTGAATCGCTTTTTGTACTAGTTATGTTTTGTATCCAATTAGTTGAGTAGTTTTTATTCCCGCTGCCGTTGCAGCAGTGTCCAGATTCTTTTTTTTTTCCCCCTTGCTGCTTTGATGTACCCATTTGTCAGGATTCATCTTTGAGGTATTTGATTGTTTTACCCGATTGGAACATCGTTGTTTTCACTTTCTTTGTATTTCTTCCTTGTATTTTCTGCAGTTATAAATATCATTAATGCCATTAAAAAAATCAGGGGAAACAAACAATTCTTTTGGTGCTTCAGGTGTGCCTCCTCAAGTGGAATAAGTATAACTGGTTGAGTCTGTAATTTTCAATATTTAGTTATTTACAAAGTCACACATTCACTCACAAACAATTACGTAATTTTTCAATAAAATCCATTCGTAAAGTTTCATCCGTATATATTAGTTCTACTTCCTTTGTTTGCGATCGCAGATTAATATTGAATGTTAGAGATGATCTCGTCGTTAAAACATAAAAATCTATATCGCATCGGTCATTATTCCAAAAACTTTGTACTATAATTGTTATTTATTGTAAATGATGTGAGAATGATGAAATGAGTGGGTGGCAAAAATAGATTAAAACTAACTAACTAATTAAGTATCATTAGCAGCACATCAACAAGAATATAAGCCGGCCTTTGAGGCCTAGAGATATCAGGGAATTCTTTTGTTTTACTAACGAGGGGAGGGTGAAAATGAAAGGTTTGGCACCAATGGAGAGGTGAAATCGAGAGAATTTTTGACCAAAAAATACCGAAAATAAAAAATTGTGTCGAACGTTGAATGGACAGCCAACTGATCTAGTATATTATTCCATCATGACTTCCTTCTAATTATTGTTCTGGATTTTTCTGTTCGACAATCTTAATTATCTCGGAATATATATTTAATGGCATCAAATCACAAATGAACATTTTTCTTGATTTTACAAACAAAAAAAAAACATTTTTCTTGGTGGAATCACAATGTGAAACTATCTGTTTTATATTAATATTAGACAAATTCCACATCAGTAAAGTACGGAAAAAATCAATGATTTATAAGTAATAAATCGATCTTAATTAACCGATATGAGTTATTTTGGGATGAAGTGGAGAAAAATGCTTATGAAAATTTTAGCGCAGGGAACATTGTATAAATGTATAACCTTTTATATACGAAATCACCATGATGCATACCAAAAGTAAAAAAAGTACGTTAATCCTAAACGCAGACAATATAATGATAACAAAAAAGTTTGGATGCTCACTAATCTCCCACAAACAAATTAATTACAAAAAGTCATATGAAAAAAAGGATATTCCCTGCATTACTAGCTTCAACGCTTAATTAGCAGCCGAACAGCCCCATTTAATTTAAGTAGCACCCTCTTTTCCTGTGTTCCAGTCCCACTGCTGGCTGTGGCCTGTGGGTGGAAAAGGGGAGACTTCTCTCAAATAACAAACCAACTCAAGACTGAAAAAACCTTCTTCTTCTTCTTCTTCTTCTTCTTCTTCTTCTTCTTCTTCTTCTTCTTCTTCTTCTTCTTCAGAAGTACTCCTTGAGAGAAGGGGTTGTTTTCGTTTCTTTTGGTCCATTAATCTACAATGGGTTTCTACTATTCTCCAGTGAGCCAACCTTCTCCTCATCTATACCCACAAGAAATTCAGCTGAAGCTGTACCAGGCTTTCATTTTCTCAATCCCAATTCTCTTCACCATCATCCTAGTTCTTCTCTTCTACCTTTTCTACCTCAAGAGGAGAGCCTCCACATTTTCATCCTCTCTTCCCACTTCTGCTTCTTCCAATCAACCTGCTGCTGCTGCTGCTTCCCATTTGTCTGATGTAAGAAGACCTCCATTTTTTCCTTACTGATTCTTCTTCTTCTTTCTCAAAATCATTAACTCTTCTGTCAATAATTTATGTCTGTAGGTTTGTGAGGTTGGTCTGAAAGAGAAGCTCCAAGTTGTGCCGTTTGATGAAGAATTGAGGTCAAAGGAATCACAGTAAGTTGTTATTGTCTATCGGATTAATTGACATTAAAGATATCATTGTCACATTAATATTGTTTGAAAATGGTCTTTGAAAATTGCCTGAGAGTGAGTGTTAGGACAACATTTTCTTTCCTTTCCCAATAATGCATGAAAATGCCAGGTAACTAATTATTATGAAGTATCAACTGACATTGACACCTACGTGTCGAGGTTGCCTCAACTTCCTCAACACTGACATTTCCCTAACCCAACTTTAATTGCTTCTTAAGTTAGACATATGACCTTAAGAATCACTTTGTAATTACGTTTTGAATTCGATAACTCATTCTTTTTAATTTGGTGTCATACTTGATTATTGAGAAGAAGGAAAGGAAAGCTTTCTGCTAATTTTCTGGGTCGTCGTGTTTTTAACTTTTATGCCCACTTTTATTCCTTTTGTGCCTAACCAATTGACAATCCACTTCTCTCGCTACCTAAAAATTGATATCTAGACTAGAAGCCCATCAAACAAAAAGACACATGCAATGCCCAAGCTTTGGAATCTCCAATGTCGTCCACTACTTTCCTGAATGAAAACAGAGAATGTGATACTAGAATAGTGAAACATAATCTTTCCCGGCAATTTGAATGATTGAGATTAATTTGTTTTTGTTAGTTGTTCAAATCTGATCATTGTGTTTGCACGCAGGTGTTGTGTGTGCTTGGGGGACTTTGAGATGAAAGAAGAATTGCTCCAGATCTCATCATGCAGACATGTGTTTCACATGGATTGCATTCGTCATTGGCTTCTCAACAACTCTACTTGTCCAATCTGTAGATGTTTTGTCATCCCGACGGCCAACAAGCTCAATAATGTTACATCGCAATCTAGTGGTGATGGCACAACTCTTGCGGTGGTGGTGTCGTTGCAGCAGAACATGGTGATGAGCTCGGAACATCAAGCAAGCGTCAGTACGCACGCAGAGCAACGACACCGGCAAGAAGAAGAAGAAGTTGCTACAAGTCCAGGAGTAGAGCATCGTTCGATACGTGTCGTTGAAGGGTCATCTAGCTCACAATAGCATTTCTTAATTAGAGTTACAATTCTTTTTTAACTTCTATATATGCTAGCTTCATTTGGTCAAAGAGGGGATTCTTCAGTAAAAGAGAGAAAGGGGGAAAAAAATAGGGATATCAAGAACATAGCTAGAGAAATCAGCAGAGCTAGCTAGCTCATTCTCTTCCTGAAACAAGTTCAAATAAAACAGAAGATGAAGAAGGCATATACAATATAACACCGTGATTATCACAATGGGAAGAAAGGTTAAATTCAGAATCAAATTATATGTATTTTCAATTTGAGTCTCGTCCGTTTATGTCGAGAAGAGCTTGCAAGTTGTGGGAGGAAAGCATATGCTGTGATGGGAAGAGACCAAATGGGCCAGAATCCGAAACGACAAAATCACAGGCCCATCAACAAGCCGAGTTTCTTGATGCCCTTGGCTAATGAGCTATACTTAGAGAGGACCAGCAACTTCGCTGGACCAGTTTGTTGGGCCTTCAATTACAGCCCGCCACTCGATGGGCCAATACATCTCGCTGCTCAACTTAAAAACAGGTTATCCAACGTTAGTCACAGAAGTTACGAATCTTTCTATCACATTTTCTTTTTTAGGTTGGATTAAAGTTCGATTCTATGAAGAATGTGCTACATAAACTTTTTAATTCGTCTTTATAATTTGTATCTTGTCAACCTCAAGTACAATAAAACTGATATCTCATCTCATGCTCAGTTAATCAAATTAATATACATTATTTCCAATGTAAGTTGTTTACTTTCTTATACCGTTGACTTTCCAATCCCTTAAGACACTTATTGTAAATTTGTAATACCCAAAAGAAGAACAACAATCACCTGAGAAGCAAGGAACCACTTCCATAAACAAGCAAAGCAAGCGCTACAGACCAAACAGTAGTCTTGAGCGGCATTCTCCCATCATCACTCCTCAAAACCACAGCTTCGTAAATCGGCCAGCTGTTCACCACGCCAAAGCCCGCCACAAGCAACTCCACAACCGGCACGTCAACCGCCACATCAGCACCACCACTGCAGATCCCGACAAGAACCAGGACGAGGCCCTGAACGAGCGCCAGCAAGTTGATCAGCGCCGCCACCGTCGGTGGAACGAACATCGGGGAATGTACGCCGAACTCGAAGATTCCCTGGTCGTACCTCTTGCTCTGCTCCTCGTCCACCACTTTGCTGGTGACGTTGAATCCGGCCGCGATGCCGAGGAACTTGAGGAAGTACTCCACCGTACCGAACAGGTGGCTCGACAGCCCACGCAGCAGCCAGATTCGCTGGTCGCTCCACCATCTTTGGACCGTCCCGCCCACCAGCACGAACTCCAACGCGTCTTGTCCGTAAGCTCCGACGAACACGAATATATACAGCCAGAACCATGCTTCCGTTGCCTGCAAATATCATGAATCCATATTTTAAGACGCTATCAATTTCTTTTGTAGCTCTAGAGGTAAATGACAACCCTTTCCCAACAACCCACAAACTATCGGACTAAATGGTTTGTTCGTTAATATGGTATCAGAGCCTACAACCAAGTTATAGTTTCTGAATCCTTACGACGACTCTCAATGTAAACAATGACTACACACAACACAAGGGATGATTTAGGATATACAACGGATTGGTTTGTAACAGACTGCATTGACCAAATCGACATTTGGACCATACCATGCTGAACCGAATATAATGTGATCCTCATCCTTGAAAGTTGGGTCCATAAATTTTATAAATACAGAAGAAGAATAATGTACCGATATGACACTTAGATCGACCAGGCCGTTGCACACCTTTAGAGATGATATGTTCAACTTGTACAAACGGAAAACTTAATGATCTAATCCAATGAATGATAGGTTCAATCTGTGCAAACTGAAAACAGTTTGAAGTCGTGGGTAAGGGGAAAAAAAAAGAAATGATAACCATTTTGTATGACTCGAATTATTGGGATATTCGTAGCCATATAAGCTTGGACGTACCTTAGGGAAGAGGTGGATGCCATTGAGGAGAGCGATTTGGGGAAGGAAGGAGTAGATGGTGAGAGGGACAGACCAGATGGACCAGAGTACGTACTGAGAATACGCAAGGCAAGTTAGGAAGCCGGCCGACGACCTGAGACCGTAGGTGAAGGTGGTAAATCTGGAGAAGCCGATCTCAAGCACTCCAGTCGCCCACCTCTTCTGCTGAGTTAACAAATCCAGCAACGAGATCGGGGCGTCCCCAAGGAACGCAGGCCTCTCCGGGCAGCAGAAAACAGACCGCCACCCTTCACAGTGTAGGGTATACCCTGTGAAAAGGTCCTCCACCAACGATCCGTACCTATACCCTATCTGCGCATTTCAAATGGTTAGAAACGGATCAGAAAATCGATGGACAACGTAATAAAGTAAATACCACACAAATTTACGTTATTTATTAACACAATATGTGTTGGTTAGTCTATGAAAGTGAGAAATTGAGAAGTAAACATAGTACTTTTCTAAACGGTCTAACCCTAATCCAATTCGGTGAAGATTAAGATTACGGAACAGAAACTCAAACGTGTGAATAAAGTCCAAACATCGTAAGTCAGGAATGTTGTATAAACCCAACATAGAAATCCGTCTGACTTTCAGTGAACGATAAATAATCTTATAGCAAAAAAATATCGTAATTTGTCATCATAAAAAAATATCGTATATATAATTTGTGTCTACCATTTATAACTCAGGGATGAATGGGTGAGACATTCATTTTAGTCTAAGAAGTTACGTACCTTGGACCCCCAGTGGGTTTGACTCTCGTAGTTGCAACCAGCAAGCTCATGTGCCAATTCCAGAACCGACCCGGACCGGATCGAACCGTGCTTGTTCGCGACCCGGTCGGGTTGGAGCTCGGGTATCTCGGGTGTGACCGGGCTCGATGGGGGTCCAAAGAAAGCACGTCGACGAAAGAAGCACCCGGTGCCAACGTGGTTCGGACCACGCAGACCGTCGAACCCCATGGCCTGAATCTGGAACAGACGCTGGAATTCCCCGGCGTAGATGTCGTTCTTGTTGATTCCGTGGTACTTCTGTGGGAACTGAACGTAAGCCGAGTTTTCTGGGCCGAGGTTAGGGTCGCAGAAGTAGCACATCGCACGGAGAGGCGTTTTGGGGTCGTTGGAGTACATGTCGCAGTCCACGGCCAGCACTATTGGGCCGTTGCTCATCGTAGCTGACACCCGGAGCTGCGAACAGGACAAGAAAACAACATCAATGATTGATTGTACATTAAATTTTTTTTTTATTTGTTTGGACGAACGTGAAATATGGGTCATGGTGAGGAAGAGATGTGATTCCATTTTGGTTGTTGGGATATTATTATACTTGAAATGATCGGTGATATATATGTCTATGGCATGAATATGATGAAAGATAGTGTATAATAACTATAGTATAAGAAAAAAGATGGAATAAAAACTTAGAATAGTAAAAACTACAAATCATACCATCATAATACAATTATATCAGAGGTGGACTGGTATGATCTATAATAGAGGTGATAAGGCCGGATTTTATAGGTTTTTTAGTTCCTGAATTTTTCAACGTAACCCAAACATATAATGTAATATAATACCAAAACGTTGAGGGCGCCAGCTTTGAAGTGATGTGGAGAAGTGTTGCTTTTCTCCCTGGAAACGTAGATGAGGTTTGGCATCGTTCGTCCATCGCCATCTTTGTCTGCTTTGCTCTCCACCAAGACCTGTTATTCACCATTTTTTTTTCTCTCCGTATTATTATATGGTGCATTAATATTTCATCCGTTGTAGTAATGGGGTTGTTTTTGTCGTATCTGTTTCTCAATAAAGTAGTTCATTCTGCGTTGCACATAATTCAAGGTGATGTGACAATGATGAGATATCATATATATTTACCAAATTGCAACAAATAAGTTGTCTTATTATATACGTTCTCCAATAACTCAAATTGTTGTGTTATTAATTAATCAGTTCTTATAATGACATTAATTAGAGGCTAGTACTGTGTTTTGATCTGAAAGAACGTATAGATAAGAGAACTATATGCATTAATTATATACCTCTTCAACTTACTGCAACTCTAGTTATTATTTCATGTGGGGCAAAAGTATGTGACTAATAGAATGATATGAACTATAAGAACAACTGATCTAGCATTTTTAGTAAAAAAAATTCTCCATATAATTATCATTAGGTGATCTTAATTATAGAAGCATGTCTAAAATTAACCAGGGACCTGAATAACGGCGGGATGGTGTTGCTTTGTGAAATCATGGGACTTCCATTGCTCGAAAGCTTCCCTCTCTTGAGGGCTGTCGAGATACTGCTCATCCACCTTCCCACTCTCCAAAACACGTTCCACCTTCACCTTCATGCTCTCGTACATGTTCTGCGTGCAAACAATATAATATTTTTTTTCCACAACAATATATATAGTTATTATTAATCTTACAGAGTCGAGCTATATATGTACATATTATTTTGTACAAGAAGTAGTTTTGTCACTTCAATATATATTTCTCGCCTCGTGGGAAAAGAAACTCTGACGGCGTAAGATTTGAACTTGCGTTGGTAGTCGTAATTTATTGTGACAACAAGACCAATAATCAAGGTGAGAATAAAACAATATATTTAATTCGTCTATTTAAAAAAAAAAGCGATTAATCAAGGTGAAAAACGCTCCACCACACTAATAACGTACGTGATTTTTTTTTTTTAATGTTATAGTAACGAGTCAATACTCAATATCATCATGTTGACATTCATTCGTTAAGACATCCCCGCCGGCGTACCTGAATCTCCTCGACCTCACCTGCCACGTCGGAACACCGACTACCCGATCCAAAAAAGACCGCCGGATTCCGCTCCACCACTTTATTCCTGTCGCAGAACGGCAGCCACCGCCTCGCAAACCTGGCCGCCTCCATGAACGCAAACAGGGTCAACGCCGACCCGCCGTCGTCCGACAAATAGACCGACAGCTTGTCCCTGGGGTAGTCGTAGGCCATCACCGACAGCGCCGTGTTGACCACCCGGATCGGCGGCTCCTTGTACGGGTCCGCCGTGCATATGAACACGTCCAGCCCGGGCAACTCGCTCCCCATGACGACGTCGTTTTGCAGCTTGTCCAGCTTCTCGCGGCGCCGTATTGGGTTCATCCGCAAGGCCTGGTGGGTGGCCCACATGAAGGCGAGGATGAGGTCGGCGACGAGCAGAGCGAGGGTTATGGCGAAGATGGGCGGTTGTGATGACGTGGCGGTCGGAGGAGGGAGGAAGAGCTGTGTGGCGCGGTGGTAGAGGAGGGCCAGGACGGCGAGGAGGTTGATTGGCGCGAAGATGCGGTTGAAGGTGGTGGTGGGCCATGGCTTCACCGTGTGGAGGGTGGCGGCGGGAGTGCGGCGGCGGCCGGCGGCGGTGCGGTCTTCCATGAGATGTGGAGATGGCGGGATGGATTATTGGAGGGCGGGTAGTGTTAGTGACCGGTGTTTTGGTTTCTTATAGTATCATTTATGTAGCGGTTTGGTTTTCATGTCGGAGGTTTGTGACCTCAATATTTATGCTCTTCTGTTTTTGGTTGGTTGCTGGCCTCATAATTTGGGCCCAGTGAGAAATGTAATTAATTGTGGTGGCTGGGAATTCTCATGTCTCCCAATCTTCTTTTCTTTTTCTTTTTACTATAATATAAAGAGGGGGTTATTTGCTTGGTCCATGAAACCGTACCAGATATCGTACTGAAAAAGTCAACAGTATGATATTTTATGATAAAAACGTGTTTAAACCATAGTTTAATCGTTAGACTGTTAAATACCGCCTACCGGTTTAACCTTCGATACTGATATTTCGTGGTTGAACCGCTAGTATGGTACGGTTTCATGGACCATGGTTATTTGAAGCTACAAGAACAACACGTAGAAAATGTGTTTTTCTATAGTTTCTAGTCTGATAGATAAGTAGCATAACCAAATTTCATAAATAAGTTGTTTGGGTTTGTGTTTGAGAATATTGAAATAAGTAAATAAATTTTATTTTTGGTCTCATTTGAGTGATTATGACATCATAAAGTACCTCGAATCATCACATTATCACATTCAAAATATTAATTCACCAACTATCATATATTTGGTTCAGACTAGCGTACACTACCTTACGTACACTAACTTTATCGTACATCCAACAAATTTTGCTATCTACACTGTGAATTCACATAAGTCTGAGGCATAATACTACATCATAACTTCTAATGAGAGAACCCATTGTTATAAGAACCAAACCGATTGTTATAAGAATCAATGGTTGGGCCATTAGAATGACTAAACTATAGTTATAATAGCAGTTCGATTCGTTTGATTTGACGGTTAGCAATGGACCAAACATTTTTTTATGGCTGACATGAGACTAGATGAATCACATCGTTAGACTGTCCACTAGTTCACAACTTTTAACAACATAAATAAAAAATATGTTTGAACGTAAACTAAGATCAACCACCCTCAATATATAATTTTATGTAGGCTTCATTTTCTTCATTTCCCTCCCTCCTTGTCAGCTTTATATTGTCCACTATGAATTGCCACCCTGATTACTAATTTGAATTTGATAAAAAAAATGATTCCTTTTTGTGAAATATTTTGAATAATTTGTTATAATTGTTTTTGTGATAGCTAATATTTGAATTTGTTTATGGTTACTGATAATTTCACTCCTAAATTAGTGTACTATATATATCTTTTATGTTATAGCACATGAACGTTATTGTCAACAGTTAACCAGCAGTTATATAACAGTTAACTGTCGAACCATCAACCATTAACTTTTTTGGTTCAACATCCGATTCGGTTATAAAAACATTGGGTGAACCTTGATCCTAATTGTCTCAACTCAATTTAGCTAACACATTATTTAAACTTTGATGGTTATTTGTTAAGCATACATGCACATTACCTTTGTGATAATAGATTTGGTCATGTATATAAAAGAAAAAGATCTAGTCAAACTCAAATCTGATTTGGTTTCCACCTCCACACATACATCATGCATGATCAATTGATCATTTGTTGTCTCCCGCACCAATTAATATATTAGTAATGATAATATATCATATAGGTGCAAACATATATATATAATTAAATAAATAAAATTATTGGTATGACACTATAATTGATAAGTTGTTTCCCATGGAAAGGGTGAGAGAGAAGTAGTGCACAATAATAAGTCATCCAATTCCCTCACAAAAATTCGCAATTCGCTTCTTCTGCCTGGTAACATTGTGCCGGCGGGCTTAATTGGAAAACAAAGATACTCGAAGCCCAACGGCGAGCGTGAGGTCTTAATTAAAGCCCAGTTTTAATGCTTTGAAAATAATGGACAGCCCAATCCCCTCCAAGGGTTTGGGTTTCAATCAGAAACGGTTTTTTTTTTTTTTTTTTTGTAGAATCAATCAGAAACGTTAACTGAGGAACCAAAGGAGCCAAGGCAGAGATTTGCTTATTCTTGGGGGAACAGTCAACAGAGTACAAAAGATAAAAGCTTAAAGGAAATGCAGAAAGTAAAGGAGAAAGAACACGCTAATATTTAAGTGGATTACTCAAAGGGGTTGGCCATGTCGAGATAAAACATTCATCAAATCCTGTGTTAGAACATTGGGATAATCATTAAGACATATGGGCCTCCAAGCCCATGATCACTAAAGAGCCCAATAAAGCAAATAAACCGAACCCAGGTGGTTTGGAGGCGGTCTTTCTTAGTCTCTGAAGAAGACCGCCCGACACGGACTCAACGGAAACAAAACAGGGCGCCCGACAGCAGGAATGTACGGCGCCCTGATAGACACAGTACGGATACTGACCGAAGTAAGAATCTGACTATGCATTTAATGGAAGCCAGAGGCGCCCCAGGGCCGCCCGACAGAGCGTATATTGTCCTCACTCCTATGTCCAGCTAGTATAAATACCCATCAATGGATCACATTTATGGTAACTTTTATCGACTCGACTCTCTCTCCTATTTACTCCAAACTCACTTCTCTCTCTAACTTAGGCATCGGAGGAGGTCTCAGGACACCCCCTGTGGACCTTTCTTGCAGGACTTCGAGGACCGCCTCTCATCTACCAAGGACCGCACGAAGCCAGTGAAGTCTCACAAGACCGCTCGGTACGAACCAGGCACAAACAGGGAGTTTGGACAACAATTAAGGAAAAATATACTCTATTAACTTTCTAATTTTCATATTCTCCATAAGATCATTTTATTGAGAACACGGTAATATTTTAATATACGATCGGATTAACTAAATGATCTAGTTAGAGGCCCCTTAATTTTCAGAGATCCCGTATTGGTGGCTTTCTAAAACACCCTCTTGGTCGGCCTAATTGAACCTTATCATCTTATCTATATCTAATTACGTACGATAATAAAAAAAATTACATTTCTATTTCATATGGAATTGTATCCAAACATGCTGTTAGGTTGCAGATTCACCGTCAAATTGAGAAGACGATGATTATCAATTCTTCTTGAAGCAACATTGACATGATTCTATGCTATATAGATACTTTCCCTAAATATTCATTGGTGGTATTTATGATTCCAGGGCGGTGGCTCGTGCCACCCGACGTTGACATACCTTGTCATGTCTAAGTATATTCTTCCATTAGAATGTGGCGTTGTCGGACGACAAAGAGACTAAGTTGATATTGTTTAGTTTCAGGCCTAGCTAAATCATACGAGATGGGAGAACAAGAACTTGGTCCAAATGTTCCAAGTTCGAATCTCTTAAAAATCACCTAGCTAAAAATCGAACATATATCACCCTTAGAAAAAAAACCAAATAAGTTGCGGGTAAGTTGAGATAACATGAAATAAGATGCTTTTATCAAACCTCACAGTCTTGCTAGTTGCTAGACAATTTATTTGTATTCCATTACTAAGTTAGACATGCATATCTATCTCCAACGTAACATGTGGAAAATATCACCTTAGGAAAACCTTCATAAGAAACCATGGCCATCACTTGAACACAAAAGAAGCAGCCACGTAACAGGCCCAAGCCAGAGCCACGGAGACAACAACGGTCTTCACCGGCATTCTCCCATTATCACTCCGCAAAGCCACAGCCTCATAGATCGGCCAGCCGTTCACCACCCCGAAACCCGCCACGAGCAGCTGCAGCAGCGGCGCGTCCGCCAAACCGCCGCCGCGAACCGCCAGCACGGCGAGGCCCTGGACCAGCGCCAGCAAGCTGATCAGCGCGGCCACCGTGGGGGGAACGAACATCGGCGAGTGGACTCCGAACTCGAAGATGCCTTGGTCGTAACGTTTGCTCTGTTCTTCGTCGATCACTTTGCTCGTCACGTTGAAAGCGGCGGCGATTCCGAGGAACTTGAGGAAGTACTCGATGGAACCGAACAGGTGACACGTCAGTCCACGTAGGAGCCAGATTCTTTGGTCGCTCCACCATCTTTGGAACGTCCCGCCGACGATGGTGAAGTCGAGCATGTCTTGTACGTAGGCTCCTAGGAAGAGGAAAGGGTACAGCCAAAACCACGCTTCTGTTGCCTGCAGATAAAAGATTATTGGGAAGAAAATAATTTTTGCTTCATTAATAATAGTTTTCATCATAAGAGTGATGGGAACCCTATATTTATCCCAAATTATAAGAGTTTTATATTTCTTTTTTACATAAATTAAAATATTTGAATTTAAACCAATGGGCTGGTAGATGGAAATGACTTGGGTTTCGGTACAAAGTTCTGGCCTGCAAACCCCCTGGTTATATAATCAGACATCACGACATCGTAATACGATGATACGATTGGGTTTTGCAGAATTTTGCAGATCGGAGTTTTTTACACTATCTGCTCCCTTTAAAAATGGGTTGATTGGTTGGTGATGGAGACATTGCATGAATAATGAAAATAATTAAGTTATCTACATTCCAACCATTTATGCATATTTGCTTATATTGTTCACACAATCTTTAAAGAAAATGGTACATGATTTATAATTAACTTTTCTTTAACAACTCAATCATTAATATCAATCGCTTGATGACATGGTGTCAAAATTGATTCGATCGACCGGTTATTGAAATAAATAAGAATATCATTTTAACAAATATATATGATGATACCACAGATTTTTGTGTCACCAGGGATTTTTTTCCCCCATTTCATAATTGGAATGTGACTATATATGTGAGTTTCCAAAATATAATCTATTTGTGGTGCAATAAAAAAATATGAATCATGATTACCTAACAGACTCGCAAATTATGGAAACGCGGCTTGCGTACGTACCTTTGGGAAGACATGGACTTGATTGAGAAGTGCCAGCTGGGGAAGGAAAGAGTAAACGATGAGAGGGATGGACCAGCTCGGCCAAAACGCGAACTGACAATACCCAAAACCCATAAGAAATCCAGCCGACGACTTGACGCCGTAGGTGAGGGTGCTGAATTTGGAAAACGCAACCTCCAGCAGCCCAATATCCCATCTCTTCTGCTGATTCAACATATCCACCAACGAGATCGGGGCGTCTCCCATAAACGCAGCTCTCTTTGGGCAACAGAACACCGACTTCCACCCTTCACAATGTAGACGGTACCCTGTGTAGTAGTCCTCCACCAACGAACCATACCTATACCCGATCTGTACGCAACACATCGATTCGAGTTATTGTGATTCGATTATCGAGTTGCAGATATAGCTAGATGTATTAGTTAGGGTCGTCATTTGAGTGGTTAATTCATGGTTTGATATTGACCAACTCCTAAAAAACCCTGATCGTTGTTGGTGAATTACTGATGTTGGTGGATCATGGATCAAAAATTTCCTACCGGCACTTATTATGGCGGGTGGTGGATCACTCGAATAACCCGCACCTCAAAGAGTTATTTCTTTTTTTTATACTATTGAATAATAAGTTAATAACCACACAATGGCTATCAACTTCTAAATGCGACAAATAAAATAATTCTATTTAGGTCATAAAAATTTTCAATTTTCTAGTACAGTTTGTGATAGAGTAATGAAAGATTGGATACGAATGTCAAAGAATTGAAATCCACACATGTAAAGAGCCTCTGCTCTTTAGAACTATGTGGTAATTGGTTGTTTTGATTTATTGTCAACCAATACTTTATTTAAAGTAGCAAAATGAAAATTTGGTATGAGTGGTAAAAACACTGTACAGTTCACAAGTACCAGAAAAATCTATGAAACAAAGTGGGAAATTTCTAAATTGTTAATGTCATCTTAATTTGTGAGGAATGTATTCTAAAAGCTAGCCAACTTGCCTAATGTGATAGTAAAACGATTGTTTTATGAATTAACCAATAGTCTACGGCGGATCTAGGGGTGCCCTCGGGCCACGGCTCAGTCCTCCTCTAGATCAGAGCTAGTATAGTACCTGCAAATTTTTTATTTACGGTATTCATTTAAGTGTTGGTCGAGTTACTGCCCAATCCACTCTTCCTCTTTTCAAAATTTGGCTCAGTACTCAACCTAATCTTGGATCTACCATTGCACACAATCCAATTATACACTTACCCGCCACTCATCCAACCCAATCTAAATATAATTGTAAGTTGATCAGAATTATACCAATTTACGTGTATTAGTCAACTTAAAACCGAAATGCAGTCACTCCATCCACTACCCGCCCCTAGTATTAGTTAATAAGAAGAAGTTTACCTTGGAACCCCAATCGGTTTGATTCTCGTAGTTACACCCCGCGACCTTATGTGCCAACTCCAGCACCGAATCAGATCCAATCGACTCACTCTCCACAACGTGGTCAGGTCCCAATTCGACTAGCTCGGGTTCCACCGGGCTCGATGGCGGCCCAAAGAAAGCCCGCCGCCGAAAGAAACACCCGGTACCCACGTGGTTCGGCCCGCGTAGACCATCAAAGCCCATGGCCTGAATCTGAAACAGACGCTGGTATTCACCAGCGTAAATATCATTCTTGTTGATCCCTCGATACTTCTGCGGGAACTGAAGATACGCCGAGCTTTCCGGGCCGAGGTTCGGGTCGCAGAAGTAGCACATGGCGCGACGCGCTGTTCCGGGGTCGTTGGAGTACATGTCACAGTCCAACGTCAGCACGATTGGTTGGTTCGTCATCGCGGCTGACACGCGTAGCTTCACGAGACATGCAACGTGTGTATAGTATACATAGTAATGTCAGTCGTCAGGCTGATTAAATAAACATAAAACGAAAACGAGATCATGGATTTCCTCGTCAGCTACGTAAAATTGGGTATGGCGGAGGAAATGGGAGAAAAAATGAAAGAATAATAATAATAATAAATGTACCAAGACGTTGAGGGCGCCAGCTTTGAAGTGATGGGGAGAATTGGTGCTTTTCTCCCTAGAGACGTAAATGAGATTTGGAAGTGCGTGGCCGTCCACGTCCTTGTCGTTGTTACCGTCTAGCAGGACCTGTTCTTTGCCGTCGACCGATTCAGACGTTACGTTAATAATTGTTACATATAGAAATATGTTGTGATAGTGAAATATATATATGTGCAGTGTTTGAGGACCTGAATGAAAGTGGGATGGTTCTGCTTAGTGAAATGATGATGGGTCCATTTGCCGAAAGCTTCCTGTTCTTTGGGTCCGTCGATGTACTGATCGTCCACTTTTCCTGTCTCAACCACATGCTCCACCTTGTGCTTCATGCTCTCGTACATGTTCTGCAAGTTCATCAGCGGAATTAAATATCTTGAATATTGTTTGTTGACTTATGTGTTAATTAATCCTCTAGTTCTCTATTAACTGCAAGTTGCAACTTGAGACAATATGTCAACATTCCTAAGGAAATATAACTAAGTTGTTGATAGGGATCAGCAATGGGTGGTTGGATGGTTTTGGGGCTAAAATTCATCTATCCAAGATTTTGGTGTGTGTGGCACAAAAATGACTCACCCACTCATTGTGTCATTATGGGTGGTGATAGCCGGTGTTGGGTTAATTTTTTCAGATAATAAGATATATGTACGTAGACCATAAAAGCTTGCAACAAGCTAAATAAGTATCAAATTATGCTATAAAATTCAAGAGTTGATAGCTATTAAGCGTATTTTATGTTATAATCTAACATCAATCATCTCATTTAGGTACAATAAATATTTTATGGGGGGTTATCATATTTTTAAAATAATTGACGTATAATTTATATTGTAACTCAAGCCAAATTTATTAAAAATAAAAAATTATCATTTAATCGATTAATCATAATTAATATTTTAAAATAGAAAAAATACGTAAATTATTATAACGGGTGGTTTTACACCCAAATTTTATGGGTTAACAAAAAGAACAACTAATAATCTACCCAGACATATATCGGATGAATTATAATCGGGTGGATTTGAATGTGTTTAGTGGTTCATCCACTCATTGACCCGTGGTGGATGGCTGGGATGCTGAAACCCAACCATTGGTCATGTGCTGTCCGGCGTCGGCATCAATGATTAAGAGAGTGGTAGCAAGGGAGAGAAAGGGGCCCGGGATATCAGGGTTGGTTGGTTCACATTTCCAGATTTTTCTTCTTCTTTCATTTTCTCTGTTTGGCCAGAGACAATTGAAATTTCACATTGGCCCATCCCCCTGACCCAGAGTGATGAAACAGTATACAGAGTCGTCAATATCGTCATTCCCCCACTTGTAACATGATTGGTCTGATCTCACTTTTCATTCAGCTAGATGAAGAACCAGTTGTTCCGCTGGACCGGGTTTACCAATTACCAACTTTTTCCAACAAAGATTACCATTCCACCGCTCTTTCGAAATGGAACTATGAAGAAGAGGTGTGTATTTGATTCATCGATTATGAAAGCATGAGGCTGACTCTTCAAATAGAGGTGCAATACTAAAATCATTAGAAATCGTTATAATACAATGATGATATATTGCGATATGTTATACTTATTGATTCAGTCACTAATATGCAATTTAATTTAACTGATAAAATCGGAAGAGACCGTATATTGTGAACACTAAACAGTGAACACTAATTAATTTGATACAAGATTGGTCATGCATCATATATTTCATCCCATGAATGATCAATCACCAATCACCAATAAACTTATGGAATAAATTATAATCCATACCAAAATTCATATATAGTGTACTATGTACCATAGATTTTGTCAAAAGTACTATGTACTTACTATAGATGCTTTATGAAAAATATATAACAGCATATAAAAGTTCAATTATATTCATTCTTATAAAAATAAAAATAAAAATTATTAGTTTAAATAATTGTTTAATTTCAAATTGGAAAAAAAAAAATATTAAGCTGACGTTACCTTAATTTCCTCGACTTCACCGGAGACAGGGTGGGCTCCGTTGGCCAACTCGAAATAAGCCACCGGGTTCCTCTCCACGACTCCATTCCTCTCGCAGAACGGCAGCCACCGCCTCGCAAACTTCGCCGCCTCCACGAAGGCAAACAGGGTCAACGCCGACCCGCCGTCGTCCGACACGTAGACCGCCAGCCTGTCCCTAGGATAATCATACGCCAGCACCGACAGCGCCGTGTTGACCACCCCCATGGGCGGCTCCTTGTGCGGATCCGCCGTGCATATGAACACGTCGAGCCCCGGCAGCAGCTCGCTCTCCTCCCCGCCTACGACGTCGTTCAAGTTCTCGACCATCTCACGGCGTCGTATCGGGTTCATGCGGAAGACCTGCGTGGTGGCCCACATGAAGGCGAGGACGAGGTCGGCGATGAGGAGGGCGAAGGTTGTTGCGAAAGAGGAGGGTGATGACGTGGCGGGGAGAAGGAGGAGGAGGTTTGTGACGTGGCGGTAGAGGAGGGCTAGGACGGCGAGGAGGTAGATTGGCGCGAAGAGGCGGTTGAAAGGGGTGATCGGCCAGGGCTCCGCCGTGTGAAGGGCGGAGCTGCTGCGGCGGCGGACGGTTGGATGGTCCATGGGATATTTTATTTATTGTTATTGGCGGCGGAGGGAGTGTACTACTCTACTGGTAATTAAGGAAGGTAGGTAGGTAGTGTGTGCGGTGTGGCTACAATTGTGGAGATATATAGTGGTGGTGGCTAGGGATGGCTATTTGGTCGGACTTTTTTATTTTACTCGAAATTGGACGGTATTATTCAGATTGAAATCGGATCGGGACCGGATAGCAAACAATACAATCCCATCTTCGGGTTTAGATTTGAGGGGGGGAAAATCATTTGGGATCAGACCGAAAATCGAATAAAGACCGGATAAGAGAGCCAAATACCCAAAATTTAACCTCCTCGCACTTTAAGACCTAAGGCCATTCAAATCTTCCCTCAGACCACTCAAATTCCCACAAGCTCAATCTAAAATTAAGAACTAATTGGGACCGAACCGGTTCAAGACCGGATTGTATTTAATCCAATCTTTGATCTTGATATTCTCGAAAAAAACAAGACTGAAATCGGATCAATTCGTACCAATTTAACCGGACCGAACCGTATAATCAATGGAGACCGTATATAATTCGTAGTTTATTTACTAAGCCATATTCTGTCAACAAATCTGCCACGAGCTTTGTACCATTGTCGTCTTATATATGTGAACAAATAAATTATTAAATGGGCAATAAAATGGGAGAAGATTTGTCTATTTTTTTTTAAGAAGGATTTGACACCTTATCAAGTTAGTCATTCTTGTTTGACTTTGAGTTAGTCATCCTTGTTTGACTTTGATTGGGAGTGTGAAATCCCATGAAACTTTAAAACGCACCATTTACATAAACAATTGCGAGTAGTGCTTTACAATTTTACCATTTATAATCATCAATGAGACGATGAATATGACGGTATTGTCATTTACGTATACCGGTCTTGTCAGGCAATTTGTTCCATTGGTTGGCACTTGCCAAACTGAAGAAGTCACTATAGCTCTTCTCCAACTCACGGCCATTTGGTCGAATCATTTCACAGATACTGGGGATCGATGGCTGTTTCGCAAGAGTCAAGGGATGCGTTATGTTTTATTTATAAAATTACCATCCAAGTGTTAACAATATTCTCGCTAATTTTCAGCATCTGTAAAATAGTTCTCGCACATGGACTGTGTACACTATAGCAAAATTGTCAAGAGAAAAATATATGAGCGCTTTAGAATATAGTGATTTGATGAATATTCTTAATATACAAAGGGACACGTCCGTCCTACGTGTATTATTATACCAGAAGGAAAAAATAAGTTTCAATGATTTGCATTGGGATTGGGAATGAATGCATGACCAAATAGCTAGCATGACACGGTGACTTCTTTTTTTTTGATAATGGTGAAATATATTATTAAATAAAAGCTAGAGAAAAGTTCCTCCGAAAAGCAAACACAGGAGGTTACAACAAAGAAAAACAGAGAAAAGACCAAGACCAAAGCAGAAGGTCCCGCTGCTAGCTGCAACACAGGGGAAAAAACAAAACTTCATCACAGCATACCAGGGAGAAGAAAACAAACAGAGCGCTACAGCAAACACAGCAACGCAGCAGCTCAAAGAAAGCCTCACTGCAGCTGCTGATCAACAGCCCCTGTTCTTGGCATCAGCTGCATTTTCAGAATCCTCAACCAATCATCAGCAACGACTCTATCCACCTTCTTGTTTGCGCATAACCAGTCCGAGATGTCTCGCCCAATTCTAAAGCAAGCCACGATGACTGGCTGCCCTTCATCCCTGAAGACTCTGCTGTTTCTTTCCCGCCATAACCGCCAACACAAAGCGTGCAAAAAGATTCTGGTGCACCATTCCTGCATCTAAAAGTAGGGGTGTGCAATGTTCCGGATCGGACTGAGTATAATACGGTTCGGTTCTTGGTCCACATGAGTTTTGCAATTACTAAAGAAATGATAGACCGAGTTTATATTTGGCAGGATAGAACCAGAGCAAATGCAATGATTGTCCGGTTTTTTGTCGTAAAATGTCTTTCACTAATGAATCACGATTCTCATAAGTTTGGTCCGATCCAAACCGGGCCGTTGCACACCCTATCCAAAAGGAAGTCCTCAAGCTATACCCCGTCCCATCCTTATACAGAGAAACAACTGCCGTCCGAATCCGATGTTGATCGGTCTATATAATGTCTCTCCCACAGGCCACAAGTCCGGAGCGGGCTTGGCCCAATAGCCACGGGGGCAGTCCACCTTTTTCCATACAAACCCCATGTTGGTAGGACCTTGACGTCCGATTGGGCTTTCATTGAATTTGGATGGAAATGTAGGAAATTAATCTCTTCGTCACAACTTAGTCGAGCATAAGCTAAGTTGCAAAATATAATTTTGAATTTAATTCAGTTGATCTCAGTTTCTGAGTAAGACTACAAATTTTCATGAATAGTTCATCACTTCTACTATGATATATAGTATTGGTGCTTTAATGTACAATTTTAGGTTGTACTATAACAATAAATGTATAAGTTTAGATTGTACCATAAAGGAATTTGTATCATTATGTTATGGTATAACTTTCCAACTTGAAGTTGTATCATCACATAAAGGTACAACTTCAAGTTGTATCATAAAAGAATTTGCACAAAAAGTATAGGTACAATTTAAAGTTGTACCATAACGTTAAATGTACAATTTCAAGTTGTACAATAAAGATAAAAACCTATAGCACCAATGCTATATAGCATTGTAAAATTCCTCTGAATAGTTTGGTAGCAACGATTCAAGTTGTTTCGTAAGAAAAAAAAAACAGTTCAAATTGTTGGAAAATACCATCAATTAAGAATCGATCTTACATCTCTCTTTTTTATGACCATCAAACGAAAATCAACTTACGGACTTTACCTTCGCGTAAACTCATGCAATTGCCCAATTGTGTGAAGAAGATCCTTAAAAATCTTACACGACTATACACAAATCTGTGTTGCAAATAAACAAGATTGGTCTGGTGGGCGAGTGGCAGCTGAGATCATAGCCCGGTTGTTGGTGTAGGTGGGTAAATTATAGTGTTACTATGCATTGCCATTGGTGCACTCCTGCTCCTGCTCCTGCTCCTGCAGTCATGGGAGTGGAGAGTAGTAGTGGCTGCTGCTACGCCTTGTCTTAATCAAATTATGAATTGTCATCATCATCATCGTCCATCCATTCCCCCAGCCAGATGGTCCAACGCAACCTCCAAAGTCCAAACTTGTCCTCCATTTCCTCACCTCATACAAGCTGCTTTCATATCATATCATACCATCTACTTCCAAACTTATTTGCCAATTTCAAAAGGAAAATTTGTTTGGTGGACCACCCTTGTTATGTTGTCTAATCGTGTGTCTGGCGATCTCGAGTTGTCATATGCAAATACGATAACATTCGTTTATTTATAGCATTGCTACTATGTGCAAAATCCAAAGTCCAACTTGATGGCTGAGTCCAAAATCCAAAGTCCACTTGCAACACTAACGCCCATCATATTTGGAAAATCGTAACACGATTCACGAATGTATATTCACACAACACATGATGTAACGGGTACACCACATTTTGAAATTCTAACCTCTATGAGCGTTAGGACCACAAACCATACATTGAACGAGAGTGACATTCCAATTCCATACTAGTACACTATATACCATTCCTCTCGTTGTCAAGTTTGTATTCAACTATTCACGAGCCAAGCACAACCATAACAAAACTATGTTGTCAAGTTTGTATTCAAATATTCACGAGCCAGGCACAACCATAACAAAACTATATAATATATATAAACTTCCATGAACAAGTAAAATTTTGGGAGACAAAATGTAAAGGATTAGAAAATAGAGGACCAAACTGGAAAATAAAAGGAATCCACTCACTAAAATGACCAGGATTACATTGATAATTGTCTTTTGTCAATACTTTATATACATAGAATAGACAGAAGCCATTAATGAAAGGACTGATGACTGAGATTCTGAGGTGATCACATTATACCCCCTCTGCCCCCAAATACCTACCACACTAAACAAAAGATTTACAGACTCTAACTTAAGCCCCCTACACTTTGCTTTTTTGACACCAAAGTCCAAACGACGACTACACTCTCACTGCAAGTCAATTTTCCTTCCTTCCCCCTGCTTTTGATAGTAAGCTCTAAAAAGCCGAGCTACTTAAAATTAGTATATAGCAAAGTCTCTCTCCCTCCCTCCCTCTCGCTTTCCTCTTTTCCAACTTCAAACATCCATGCAAGCAAGCCACCCAAAATGGAAGAAGATGATGAAGAAGAAGAAGAAAATTGAACCAAAACCCGTAATCCACAGCAAACACATTCAAACACAAGGCCAGAATAAGAAGAAACAAGAGAGAAAAGACAAGGCTCTTCCCCAACTGTTAGTTGGAGGTTTCGACTAGGCCAGAGTCTGAGCTTACTACACCTCCACCTTCGGCTTCCACGGGGAACATCGGAAGTTTGCTTCCCGGAGTCATCTTCTTCACATCCTGACTCAAACATATGAAGATTCTCCGCACCATGTTGCAGAATTCACTGGCATCAAATGAAGCAAGTCCTTCAGTTTCACGGAACATTTCATTCGGACGGTATTGACAGTATAACAAAAATGTTCAAAACTTGTGCAGAAGAAACACTTACGGCCATGGATCGTCTCCAACAAGCATCATGTCTCCTTCATCGTCAGTGTAGACGATTTCCCACTTATCCCGAGTCTGAAGCTGCCCGTTGAGGTCAAACAAACTCTCCAGCTCACTTATGAGCTGTGGATAACCTTTCATCATTGTCAAGTCCACCGCTCTTCCAACAGCAACTCCCTGCATTTGAACCTATCGGGACATTTGACATAAAAGCGTCAAAACTTTCTTCGGAGGCTTTGCCAAAGGCGACAGAAACAATTATTATGTTCATTAAAAACACCCTTGCATAACTAAATCAGGCAAAACTCATTGCAGTACCTTGGTGCGACTTCTAGTGGACATGGAACAACTTTGTCTGCTCTGAGTGGTATCCTTGGGGGGCACTGGTGATTGTTCAGTGTTCTTTTCATTACCAAGTGAGATTGACTTCTGTTCAGCATCAGATGGCGAGAGGTTGCTATGCGCATGCTGCACCTCAGAGGTCTTCTCAGCCGTAGGTGTACTCATTGGACTGTTCACAAGCTCAATACCGAACAATCGATAGGTGGTAGTGGTTGCTGCTGCTGCCTCAGGTTTCCTTCCTCCCTTATCAACTGGCTGCTCAACAGCTGGTGAGTCGCCGCTCTTCAGTTTCGCAGATTGAGGGGGAGATGAGAAGCTAACAGGCCAATTTGAGATGCTCTTGCTATCCTCAGTTGCAGCATCCTGAAATTTATGCTGAGAAGAGACGTTATTTATGCGTGGAGACAGCCAATCTGTACAGCTCCCGTGGCTGTTAATATCTGGCTGCTGCTTGTGCTGCTGCCACATCATCATATTCTCATTTCGCTTGCTCTCGCCAGTAACGCTCATCTGTGTCATTTCAGTCAACCCAGAATTCCAAGGTGAGGCAGTTGAAGACAAATCTGTCCGGGGTAAACAAGAAGAGCAGGTCAGAGGGAATTTAATTAAAAAAAAAAACTGGGAATAATGACAGGATTGAGCAAACAAAACAAAAGATGCTATTTACCAAGAGCTGGAATTTCATTTGGGGGACGTGGCCTTTTGTTTTTCATTGGAACTGGCTGAGGGAGGCTGGTTGGTATAGAAGAAGCCACAAAAGGTTCTATCTCCCATGGAGAAACCTTATCCGGCCTTGGAATGGAAGCAGGTTCATCCCATTGAACCTGGTAAACAGAACAGGACAACACAGAAAGAGAACGCTGTTCTTAGTTTATGAATATCCCTACTGGGGAGCTCAAAGTTTCATACATCATATGCACTATGCAGACAAACGACATGTCAAGTGAATATGAAATATTCATACCTTCAAAGATCGCCATTTGGACTCAGCCCAATGAACAGAGAAATCTTCAACACCAACAATTGTGCCTGAGAACCTGATCAAACAAACAAAAAGCTTACTTCTAACCCCACCTTCTTCATAGCCAACTATTACCAAAAGATCTAGAGAACTATGACTAGGATTTCTAACCTTCGCTCGGGGGAATCTTCACCTTCAAACCTCATCTTGAACCTCTTCCCAACTACAAACTTATTATCCACAGCTTCCAAATACTTGTTCAGGCTGATGATGAACTGGCTCGTCCTCGGCTTATAATATACCACAAACATAGTTTGAGTCGCAACGGCATGAGAAGCTGTTGCCAGCACTCCAAGGTGCATGCTCTGACTGGAAATCACAGACGTAGGCATGCTGCTCTGCTGGCGAGCAACCCGTCTCACTCCAACTCGGAGCTCCCCACTCTCCCCCCTGATAAATGAAAAAACAACAAAGAAAGAAGCAATCTTAATGAACTGAATGACTAGAGAAAACCAGATACAGAGATAGGGATAAAGAGAACTCCCAAAGAGTTGACTTATACCTGAGGAAGACAAAAGAATCTCCAGCAACTAATCTCTTGGAAGTCACAAACGTACTCCAACCTGTTGTGAGCAAGTGCCTCCTAGGCTGACCACGGAAGATATGCTTGAACCTCCATTCATAACCATGAAGATCTTTAGCAACCAATTCCTGAGTTGGTGTTTGCTGAGCCATGTCCTTAAAAATGGGTTCAAATATAAGTCAGCAAAGCTAGAGGTTGATGAGTCAAGCAATCTAAAGAAGGAAACAAAAAAAGGCAATAGATCCACTCTCGTGCACATACCAAAGGAGGGAGGCATTCGGTTGCATGCTTGCGGAGAACAGAGAATCCGCCGTGAGTACTTGTATCTGACGCAGTTAAGACCTTGCAAAATGAATGAACTGAAGGCCTTGGAGTCTCTGTTGGGGACAGATCTCGGCTAGTCTGTTCGCTTTGCTGAAAGTTTTGGTGATACCAAATTAAAGCCATCAAAATCAGATAACAACTGATATATAATTCGAACAGGGTGTCTCGAACTCTTACATCAAGTTCAGGAATCAAAGTTATTTGTGCATAAACTTCATCAGTCTCTTGTTCAGCCTGCAAAAAGATTGAATAGGTCAACAAAAAGGGTTTTGTTCCCAAACACTCTTCCTGTGACTATAAACTCATAGGTCAATTTGGTTTCTGCAGAATCCCAGAACCAAACAAATCAACAAAGGCTGCTTGACCCTGATGGAGCTCAAAATAAAGGTTGCATTTGCTAAGCAATCAAACAGAAAATTCCTAGAACAAGAAAGAAATTGACTAGATCAAGGAAAAGTACCAGGAGGTGGATGTTAATGACCCGACAGAGAATCTTGGACGGCAAATTAAACAGAGGAGCCCTTTGATTCAATTCCTGGTTTGTTGATGCCTCCAACTACAACCATACCAAAAATAGCAATATTTAAAATCTTGAGCTGATAAGAAAGACACACCATATTTGGTACTACCACCACTCAAATCACAAAAGGTTCAGACAACAACTGCAAGCAATTAAACCAGGATCAACCTCTCGGACACTTCAATCCCGAAAAGTTGTCGAGATTTTCCCAAGAAACAAACAGAAAACTCGGAAAAACAAGACAACCCAGAAGGAGAAAGGCGGAATCAAACTTACCTGTTCCATGTGACCCTGCGGGAAATAGTAAACCCTTTCATCAACTTGAGGAACCTCCACCACCGGACCGGCGCATAATTTCCATAGCTCTTTATACAGATCATCTCTTCCTCCTCCTGTAACCCACAAATCGAAATTCTCAGCATTCCCCCCAAAACATCCCTCAACCAGAGAGAAAAATAGTAGACGAAAACCACAGACCTTCATTGTTGACCTGCTGGAAAGACCCACCGCGAGTCGCCGCCATCATTTAGCTCTTTCCCCACGAAGAAGCAGAAAATAAATCCACCGAGTCAAAGAGGCACAGCACAGCAGAGAAAAGAGAAAACCCTCCCAGAAAAGCCGATAACGAGAAGGAAAGGACGAAATTTCCCACTTTTAAGGCAACCCCACTTCAATTTCCTCAATAGTAACACCTCCGGTAACTGCAAAAACGTATTGGGCTTCCTTAATTACGAGCTCAAATGAGGATAATAATAAAAGCTTCGAGCTTTCCCACTACCCAATCCCCTCCACGCCTTTCAGCACACACTGCCCCCTTTTCCAAACTGTAACTGATCGACGAAGAGATCCAACCCAGAGAAAAGGGAATAAAAGAGTGAGCGAGTGAAGAAGGGGGGAAAAAAACACGGAACTCTCAAAACCACTAAAACGGTTACAAAACCGCTTACCCACCTGCCCCCTTCCCCTGCCTCTGAAAACCACTCTTCCGAAATTCTAGTTTTCACCCTGTAAAGAAGCAGGCAGCAGGCAGCAGCCAGCAGGCTTTAGGTCTTCTTCTTCTTGCTGGTTCTCTCCCTTTCTCTCTCTAGAAAAAATACGAAACGCCGTTAGGAATCCCCAGTAAACCGCTTCGCGCACCTCTTATATTACGCGACTTTTTATTGCCCACTTTAACTGTAACACCCCACGCCCCCGTCCACTCTCTCTCTTGGTCCGTTAACCGGACCATGGTTAAGGGTCGAGGGTTAAGGGTCACGATGACGGTGACGGCGGGATGGGAAAACGGAAAGGGTAGGGAATGTAGGGTCACGGCTCACGGGGGGAAGCCGACGGAGTTAAAGGGACGTTAGCTGACGGCTGGCGGGTAATTTTAGAAAAAAGGGAGGAAATTTGTTGGGTGGTACGGAGGCATGGGAATGCGTGTGGGGGAGTAAACGGAGGAGGGCTTTTGATAACTATTTATTTATTGCTGTTAGGTGAGGGATTGCCGTCACCGTTAGTTGACGTCTCTATCGTTGTCTGCTTGGGAGCAGGCAACAGGGTTGGCCCAAGTTACCCCGGCAGAATTCATGGACGGGGGAAGGAAGGAAGAAAGAAAGAACGCAGAAGTCGGGATTTTTTTTTTTTTTAACTCCCTTCCATTTTCCCAATAATTTAGCGTATTTGGTCTAAGCTTAGGAAGACTAAGCATATGTTCGATACGCCAACTTCTATGCTAAATCGATAAAACTATTAAGAAATATATCGTGATCTTGACTATGGTAAAAGGATTCTCAAAATCCTTTTCGCATGATTTTTAGTGAACTCTGGCCGTAAGATATGACAGTGAATCTATTTAAAAATAATTTTGGATTGATTATTTTGAGATGATCAGGAGGGTGAAGATTAAAAAGGAAAATTTTGGTAGTCTTTGAGATGATGAATTATTGAGACAGAGTGATATGTTAAAAATCATAGTTTTATATTGATGACTATATTTGTTTTTTTTTATGTTTAAGTCCGGTACGGGAAATTGTAAGGAGTAAGTCAAAGAAGGAGTGCGATTTTTGGATGATGTAAGTGGGGTGTTTGAAAGGTTTCCAATGACTATGTATAAGTCGTTACCAAAGTTGTAGGTAGGTTTTTTTTAATAATGGTGATATAAAATTGTGTTTATTGTTACATGCTACGGAAGGAATTCAAATTTGAGACCTCCAAGTCGACTATATATAAAACTTTTATACCAAACATTTGTTCGCATAGGTAGTTACAATCTATGATATTAATCCCGCATGGTATTTTTAAAAATTTTGCTCAAACCTACCACACATCTAACATAACTCCTCCATATTGGTCATTATTTGTGGTTGTCTTACTTTATGTGTCAACTATCGAGAGATGTAGGTGCATGCTCTCAAGTCCGTTATGGCTGGTTTATATGATTCGTAAGTCCTACAACCATGGTTTCAAGCACGAGAGGGTTTAGCCCAAGCTTTAATAGGGACTGGACGTCCGAGGTGTTTGTTTAACTATATATGCCCTTGCCCTTAATTGGGACCTTAGGAAAACTTTTGTTTTAAAGAGTTTGCCAAGGGTTTAGCAGTCTTGATAGATCATTGGGACCCGATATAAGTAAAGAGCGAGTGACAAATATCATTGTTTGAACCCTTACGAAGTAAGATCTGTTGAATTCACGGTATTTGAGAAATCAGACATCTTCTATCGTCAATAAATGTCTCACATTGTACAATTGACCCCAATCATCCTCCACCAGACCACCACGATTTCATCTCTTGAAGACCATCCATTGGGCTCTTGTCTCTTTACTAGGTCAGTGAGTTTCCTGCTCTTTGAGTTTTGACCTTACCATTCACATTTCGAACATAAATAATTACATACGGCTCATACCAAATTTTACCTATTATATATAATTGTTTTTTTTATCAAATTTGGAAGGGAAATCTCGAGCCAAACCCCTAATTTGCATTCACATATGGATATTTCAACCTCAAAAACTAAAAGTGGGTCTAGGCTAACGAGTATTTGTGAATTTATATACAAATAAATTAATTGATTTGAAAACAAGCATACAATAGAATTATGTATGCTTTTGTTTATAATTCTGTATAATTTATTTTCAATTCGTTAATTATTTTATCATCGATAAGATTTATAAAACTTAAAAGTTGTACAATGCCTAATTAGTTTAGAACGGAATTTTGTAGCTGATCAACGGTTGGCATAAACCAAACCACAGGTACCTGATTTGGATGTCGTAACACTAAATATTGTTCTTTTTGTGGAACACTAAATGATTACCTATTCAAACCTGAATTTAGAAATTTTAATTGCACCTTCCACTTTAAATAAAATCACTTGGTTGGGAGTCAGTATTGATGTTTTGGTTGCTACTTAAACGACAAATTTTCATTAAGCAAACATCACTCCAATTTCCTTCCAAACTATAGGCTTAATGAAAGCAATATGAGCTAGTAAAGATGACTAATTATAATTATAATCCCAACTCAACTTGCATTAAAAAATACAGTCTCTTTCTCGCCTTTTAACCTATTTTGCGGAGGAGCATCGAAAAGGAAAACACTTAGGGGTCGTTTGGATGGAACATTTGTAAAACGGGTCAATTTAGAACAAATGTTTCATTTCATAAAATGAGTCAATTTTATGAAAAATTTGTCCCAAATTGCCTTGTTTGGCTTGTAATATGAGATGAGGCAATTAAGATGAGGCAATTGCAGAAAATACACTTTTGCCCTCGGGTTTTACCCTTCTTCTTCATCTCCCTTTCTTACTCTTTGTAACCAGAAAAATCCATACCAGTAAAGATCAACCACTTCTAGATTTCTTTCCAAAAACCAGAAAAATCCATACTAGTAAAGATCAACGATTGTCGATTGACCAGAAGTGAACAAAAGAATGGGAGACGAAAAAGAGATTGAGATGGGCAGCACAGAGGGGCAGGCAGCAAGGGAGTCTTGAACGACGAAGGGAGAGAGCATCAATTAAATGAAATCGAGAGCCGAACTAGATGAATCAACCATCGTCACTTTGGGATCTGGCTCTTTGAGCGGATCTCTCCTCCCGGCATCTGTTCCTTTTCTTTCTTCTTGGACGAATCGAGAACCCAGCCATCCATGCATATCGCCTCTCTCTCGATCCGGCGAAACCCACAACGATGGCGACCGAGGTAGATGAAATCGACCATCAACGCTTCCCTTGCCAGTCGTCGTGCTGAAATTGTTGTTTCCCCCGATACGAACGGAGGATGCCGTCGGTGCGAGAAGATGAACAGAGAAAATGGAGGTTCAAGGTCGATTGAGACGTAGGAGGAGAGAGGGAAGAAATATAGCTCGTCGGCCGTCACCTGCTGCATTTGTTATCATCAAGGAACTTGGCGAAGAATGGGATTCTCGGGCTTGAAGTCTGGCGGTGGATCGTCCTTCGACCGGAGAGAAAGAGAGGAAAGAGAGGAGAGAAGATGTATCGACAGCGAGGTAAAGGAAAAAATAAAAAGGACACAATTGGAATAAAAGAAGGAAAAACGAGTCTTTTCTCTTTACCTGCCCCCCACCCAGGTATTTGAGATTCACCCCTAACGGATCAATTCCAATTGACCCGACCCAAATTGCTCCATTCTGCTTTTTTATTGCCAAACAAGACAATTTGCTTCAATTGTCTCATTTTGAGGCAATTGTGTTCAATTGATCCATTACATAGATCCATCCAAACGACCCCTTAAAATTTTTAAATCCCAACTTTAGATTAAATCTATTGAATTATTGACACTCCTTGTTTCCACCACTTAAACACCATTAGGGGCAACAATCTCCTCCAAGATAATCCACCAAAGATGCCCTTCCATTAGCACTATCACTCCTATATTTTTATATAAATCATCATCAAAATCCTCAACTCAACGATCAAGGTGGGGACAAGAAAGGATTACAAGGGTAATTTACTGATTAGACATGTGTGCTGTAGGATTATTACAAATGTAATCCTACATTAAATTTTTGAACTTTTAAGAGTTTAGTTTGACCATGTAAGTTTCGAAAAATGACTCAATCAAAACTCAATATGAATTCATTATTGACAACGAGGCCGACCTTCTGATTCATAATAAACGAATATCAAATCAGTGCATATTCACTAGAGTTGTTGGAAAATGAACATCGTCCCTTTATACGCCCACTAAAATAAATCTGATCATGATCTTGAAGTTTGCATAGGTATGTTATATGATATCCCGCATTTAATTCATTACAGGCACATGTAACTGATGAAGAGTCAAATCTAAATTTTCTGGAGCTCTTGTGGGTATATATAGTAATTTGGATGAGTACATGGTTATTGTCTATTGAGCTCTAAATACTCATGGACAAAAGTTTCCTTCCCACGTCAATATCCTCATCCTGTAAAGACAAAATGACAAAATACAAATTATTATTTAAATAAAAATACAAATTAGGGAAACAACAAAAACTATGACATAAGCATATTGGTAAGTCGATCATATTTATAGATTTTAAAGTGGCAAGTAACAAATAAATATCTCCAAATGACGTAAAAATGACGTCTCCATTTATAGAGCTCACTTCATTTTTTTTCCCATTAAATTTGTGTTGTGCCCATGAAATAAGATTGACCATTGATGTTTAATGGTCTAATTACTCTCTTCAATACAACCAATCAATCCGATACAGAATTTATACGACCTTAAAACAACCCCGAAAAATCAAAACACCCACCACAATCAAGCAAACCAACCATCACTATCTGATCATCTTCAAAAGTAGAGCATCGAAAACCAACAGGGACAAACCATTCCTGTTTTCAGATTCAAATTCTACACAAAAAGAACCTCTTCTTTGTCCCCATTACAACTCAAGTAAGTAGAAGTTTAGTTTACAACTGCCTAATTAAAATTTATTGTAACTTAAATTACCTAAGGTACCCTGGGCGATCAATAATGATACTATTACTGTCAGCCCATAAAAAAATAAAATTCTAGGCAACCAAACGAAGGTGGAAGGATCAATTAACGAGAGCTGTCAGAGTCCACATCAGCATGTGTACAAAGTAATTAAGAAAAGGGATTTGATAAATTAATTATATTAATTTCGGATTAGTGGCC